TCCTCTTTCAAATAACCAACACCCCTTAGATAATCTTCCTTCTTCAAGTGAGCAAACTCCCGCTGACGATCTCGATCATGAAACCCCGATTAGACGCAGTGGACGAACGCGTCGCCCTGTCGAACGGCTCCAATACAATACTCTCGGCCACCTCCTTAATCTTTCCGTTTATCAAACAAAATTAGAGGCTGGGAAGAAGCTGTGGGCACGGTGGAAAAGTCCCGGTATGAATGTAGCTAGGGCTAGGTTAGGTATGGTATAGGAGAATGGTATAGGAGAAATTTTTTTAAACACTATTTTACAATAGCGTGATTCTATTCAGAATGTTGATTTTGTTAATTATTTATATTTTTTAAATAAATTGTTTTATATGCCGGGACGGCATTGTTTCGAAGGAGGGGAGAGTGTAACCAGGTGACTTTTCTATAAAGACCAGTCACATACCAACATCCTGTTTCCACATAAAATGCTGGATTACATGACTCACTTTATGCAAATATCTTTTAACACGTGACCCCGCAACATTACTTTGTTCCTTTGTTTCTATACACCTTGAACTCGTGAACTCGCTTGACTCCTCGCAGTCCGTGTCACGAGTTTAACCATCACACATCTCTTCTTCGCCTCCTGTTTTACAGGTAATTTACCATATTTTGTATTATACTTATATTTAAGTAAATCATTATTATCATGTTATATAACTTTGTGCGGTTGTACTGATGTATGATTGGATATGTTCTGATGTTCGCATTTGTAGATATCGTTGTTTTAAGGGAAGAATTTAAGTTAAGAAAGTTTAGCTTTCTTACAACTATTTGTGAAGCGTTATACTGTATGGGTGAATGGTACCCGCGAATACATATATTTCACATTGTACATAACTATTTAGCTTTCTTACTTAAAGATATGAGCTAATCAATATTTTGTCGTTTATGAACCACTATTGTGATTCTAGTTAGCATTTGACATATTCTAGTTGGGGAAATATTATTACGATTTTCCATATTCGATTTGATAACGTTTTGAGAGATTCCATCTCAGAGGGAGATAACCTTCGATTTGACAATGAACCGGCCAGATTTTGCTAGTCTATAAGTCCGTACTTTCTTATAATATGTATCGAGTTATTATGTCGTTTATTTTGTCTATGATCTTACAATATCATGCCAAGATAATAATCATGTTAATATGTGTTCCGATATACCAGGGATTGGTGTGGAATTGGCGTATAACTTTATAATCATTTATCTACGATACATTGGTGTCTGCGTGATTAGACTATGTACGTTCACACGGTGTGTAGGGATTGAGCGCATCGTTGAGAACAAAGAAAGGATTACAACTTTTAACTAATAGTACCAGTACAAGTATTACCTTGACAAAGAGGAACTTGGGCTTTTTAGGGTTATTTGTCTCAACTCTGTAATCTGTATAGAGCAGGTACTATAGTATTAGTAGCTGAAGTAAATATGCTTTAGCCGTGACTATTATATATGTATGAGTGGGTTTTATTATGGTCCAAAAGACCAAAACGCTCATTTATCTATTCCGCCCTTTACAATATGAATTAAGTTAGAGAACAACAATAATTATTCATTTGCACGATATATGTCCAGTTTACGAAAGCACTATTTATCTATCGGTCGGTAGTCTCCAGTTGTATATTATTAGTCAGACATGTATAAATCTATTTAGTCTATTCCTTTTATGTTAGTTATAGTTTCTTCGTTATAATTAGTTAGTACATATTTGTTATCGTCTTGTTTACTTTATTTAGGTTCAGTCGAGTTAGATATTGGTTATCTTCGTAGTTTAGCAGTTATACGTTTCGAGTATTTGATATTAAGTTAATAGTTACTATACATTATCCATTCTAGTGAATGATAAGTCTTTGTTCGGTTAAATATTGGAAAGGGACATGTTGTTGATATTTACCTTGCTATTTCATCTAATGGCTAAGTTTGGATGTAAACCTATATATTAGTAGGATAGGAACTATAGAAGTGTATTTGTGTTTTGATTATGTGAGTTTGTTGGTTGAATACGTATATTCAATTATGTTTTATATATATTATTACTTGTTATTAAAAGGCAGTCCGTGTCACGAGTTTAACCATCACACATCTCTTCTTCGCCTCCTGTTTTACAGACTTATCTCATCTCTATTTTTGGTACCCTACTCTTACAAAAGTAACGAGGGCTACAGTTATATTGTTGTTAGTTCTCATGATATCTTATTCAATTGACCAATAACCATAAAAAGTAAAATTCGAAACAATTCAGATAAATATATTAACATATTTGCTTTGCGGTATACAGGAAAAACAACTCAGCCCCAGATGAAAGTTGGATTTGATCTTAAATACAAACTCATTGTCGATCATAATTGAGTAGAAGCCACTTATCAAAGTTTGTCTAGCACGCAATATATGGAATACATGTAAATCAACATACTACTGGTTTGTTTTCTTCCATTTCTCTCCTCTTTCGAAAAAGAGGACAAAACTCAACAACCATTGGTATACGATTTCATGTTTATACATTCAGAATTAGCTTCGAGGCAACCACCGGGGGAACAATAGAGAACAATCAACATGGAAATAAAGAAGAAAAGGCCACATGTTTGGGGTGCTTAATCGTTTGCTTTATGCATTATTGTTTGTCTTTCATGAAGGGGTTTAAACAACGATTCGTTTTAGACAAGAACTTTACAAAGTTTACACACCCTTCTAACTGCGTCTGGGTTGAGTTTCGCTACTTAAGCACGTCATATCATGCCAGTTCCTTGCCATATATCGACCCTATTTACATTTAGAGTTTAATCTTATCAAATTGACTGAAACGGAATGTGCAATGTCGACATCTTAATTCAGTATGAATAAAAGTGTGTTGTTTCAGTCAGTTTAGGCATGGCGCTAAAAAGGGGTTTTCATAGAATTCTAAAATTGCAATAATTTGTAGCGCATAAGCTTCTTCATCGATAACTTCCTGTAACAAATGTTGGAATGTTTAAAACGGCGTTATCCTAGCTGATCAAATGTTCATTCTCGACAGGATGTCAATGTGAGTTTTACTAATTGAAAATAATCCATTTGATTTACAATTAGTTTAATGTACAAACAAAAAAATGCTTTAAATCCAATAGGGATATTTTGGGCAACTTTGATGAATGGTTTGTGGATTAGTTCCCTTTTAATGGTGTTTATTTATACAAACATGACTTTTGAGAAACTCTATAGATTTCAATATCGTAGATGTAGAAAATAGTAATGAGGTCGCTATTCAGTATGGGCTTATTAAAGCAAAGGGTGCATGGGGAGCGGAAAGATAATGAAAATACACTTTAAAAGTTTTCCTTTTTGTGAGATTGTGTTTCACATGTGAAAGAGGAATGGGAGACGCCCATCGGACAGTGTGGAAGACACGGTCATGAAGGTCGAAGAAAGAAGACCAATTCAGCAAAGATTATTTGATCAATAGTGTACCAGTGACAGCTGAGGAGCAAAGTTGTCGCCAGCGAGTAAAGAGTCAAGTTTACCTTACGTGCCAACGGCCACTGGTAGCTTCCCCCCGTCTCCAGGCGCGATGGTATGTCGATGACACGATCACCGCCACAGCATAAATCAACAACTCCTTTTCCAACTCTCCTCTCTTTCTTCTTAAATGGTCTATTAAAGTCAGTCAAAGGTTTGATTATTGCAAATTGTGAGGGTCACTATCACCTTATATATTTTCCTTTCTTTCTCTTCATCTCTCCTGTTCTGTTTATTTTGTCTTTTGTTGGAAGATTTGATATTTGTGCTAGATAGTAAAGAGAATCAAAATGCATGGATGACCTGTGTGTTTGATTTTTACAAGGAAGTTTGCTTAATTCGAGGGCAAAGAGAGACAGCCTAAAACGGCCTTCTTAAAGTGCCATTTTGTTTTTCGTCATTTGCGTTATCCCTTCTCTATGTATGTATTGCATTGGGTTGCTTGGAAGGTAACCGCAGATTCGTTTCAGGAAACGCACTTGCAATTGTCAATCTTATTGGTCAGAAGTTGAATGCACAGACCGCCAACTTATGATGGCGCAATTTTGTTGAATCTCATTGCAGGGGTATTTCTCTGGGCATGGGTGACACTATTGTAAGCACATCTCCACCCCCCCCCCCCTCCCACACACACACACACACACTCGGGAGAGAGAGGGAGAGAGAGAATCACCATATTTCAAAATTTGACACTGTCTGCTGAATTTTGTATTAGCTAGTTTGGTACTTTTAGTCGCGTGTTGTAAAAATGTTCATTTATTTTTTTTCCCGGCAAATATGGACTCCACCGTTTTAGTGACGCCCCTGACTTGCTTACACTCTTCATAATTATAATCATCTGAAAGATTCGCTCAGGTTTGGTCTTTCATTCATACTCCACAGGTATGGAGTTATATCACAATTATATCACGTTCACAAATATTCATCTAGATACGAATCTGAATGACCGCTTTTATTCATCAGTGATTTTGCACTTCACCTTCTTATTCTCTATTACAGGTTTTAGTTGCGAGCAGGATCTAAAGATAAAGGTGAGTTCTGGCCATCCGATTGCATTGTGAAAGAAAATGTGTGGAATGAATCAGAAAAATTTGATCATATAGCATGTAAGTATTGGTGTGTACTGCAAACTTCTGGAGTCATCAAAATCACAATAAATTTGGCCCAGTCTTGGTAAAGTAACAAACACTGTACACAGAAAGATGTATATGGGACTACACAAATGATGTCGGGGTTACTAAATTTGATTTCCTAATCTTTCTATGCTCATTACTCAGCCAGTATACATTTTCTACCAAAATCTTGAACATTCAGTGTAAGTTTCGTTTGATTCTGTGAGAAATCATTAAAAAAAAAAAAAAAAAACAGAATTCACCTTTATCTTTAACTGCACGCATGCTGGTAAAAGAGAAGAGTGTAGCATTATGACAACCAAAAGGAAAATAAAAAAGGAAACACTACATTTTGTAAAGTGGTAAAACATTCAGCACAGACATCTTTTATTGAAGTATGCTATTTCCGTTTTTATTATACATTGGGATTTGTAAAACTCACCTATTAATGTACACAATCTTTTTAATATTGAGTTTTGTTTTAAGTTTTCTGTTTTCAATAAGTGATGTAAATATACATGAATAAAATTAAACAATGTTATACACAAATACTGATAAATACTATGCATGACTACAACTTTTAATCAATATGAAGTGATTTATACAATTTCTGGCCCATCGTTTATACGAAATTTTAGTTGTTACCTATAATGAAATCATTTAATGGTATTTTATATTTTAACAATACTTTGAAACATTAATAAGTAATGAATATCGTTGATATCTTGTAGTGGACACTATTATGGAAGACAATGTTTCGAAAGTTAACAATACATCTTGGGCCAAGGAAACCAAGAACAGGCTCATAGAAGAGATTTTAACAATAATCTGAATATTCCAATTTTTTCTCTCTGGCTCTCGGTCTCTTCACTTTGTAGGGGAGGGGGTAGAAATAATGAGCTCAAATATAACCGCGTCATGTTTCTTGCAACACGGTGAAGACGATTCAACAGGCAACAAAATAATAGATGCATTACATAATTATGTTTACCACAATTCAGAGAGTTTTTGTTGGTTATTAACTTTCATTTTCTTGGACAGTTTTCAATAAGGAACAGCCATATACATGATACAAGACGTGATCATGAAGCTTCTTCCAAATCCAAACTGTCATATTCAATGTATAGCCGACAGCGACTTAATATGCAAGTTTCACAAAGATAAGAAGACCCAGTCTTGAATTTCATTAGCTAGCATTACCTGAATCAGTCATTAGTCTGAATATAAAGAACATATCATGCTAATTGCTGTTTTCTGATTGAACCTGTACCATATTCCATTCTCGTGTAATGTACCCAACCTCACACCATGGCTCTCCTGTATGTATCACATTTCATTACAATCAAGTTATTAATTTAGATAAGTCAACAAATTCATCCCTTTGAAAGAAGACCTCACGAAGAGTACCTAACACAAAGTGAAAATCAGACTCAAATCTCGTCAAATAATTCGTTGAACATTATCAGTGTTCGCCTTCACTTGTTGGTAATAATTTGAATTCTTAACATGACATTCTGTATCCAACCCTGGTCATCGTATCGTAAACGTATTTCTGCACCGTCCTGAAATCAATACACATGATAAACATGGATTTAAATGATTTTAACAAATAGATGAAATCATTAGCATAAATAAGAAAACCGTTGAAAGTGTTAATGATTTCATAAGGAGTGAAATGGAACAGAAATCTAAATAGAAAATGTATTCACAAGAAGTGAGAGGAAGCGAAGAAATGCGAAAAACATGGATGATATTAAGTTAGGTAGTTGAAACAGCCTGTTTATTATCAACATCTCTTCCTATCCATACACTCGCACCCTCGTCTATACTTCGGCTTTTAGGGGGTATGGAATCTGTATTTACCATGTTTGCGTTCATCCATTTCTCTTCCTCCTATTAGTTCCAGTTATATTACTTTTTGCTCGCTCCTTATTCCTCATTTCCCATATTCTTTCTGCGACTGCTCTTTTGTGATTTTGATGGCTAAACTAGTTTTGTTTTGTAAATGCTAAGCAAAACTTAATTCACTTTGTCCATCAAATTGTGAAGCACAAAGCCAATGTAAAAAATACTCTGTGGATTAGATTGTATTTCTTTTCCTCATTCTTTAATTGCTCGTCATGTTGTTCCTCACTAATATCCCTTTCCCACATGTTAAATCAGTAATTCCAGGGATATATTTGAATGACAATGTTTATTAACGAACCTGTATACTGTGCATGTTCTCCACCCGAATGTCCCACACGAAGCCTGTCTGCTCTCCTTCACGAATCGCCTAGATCCACGCCGTAAGGTCTGGGAGAACGTCTGTAGTGGACAGTCACTAAAACAAAATGAAAACAAAAAATATATGTATCATACTTAAATCAGTACTTAAATCGTTTTCAAAGGTTGTATCTCAGTCTTTACTTGCTGGATGGATAGTATCAACTTTCTATCCAGCTTTTAAAAGTGTTAAACTACCATTCTGAAAATGCTGTCGATCCTCGGCAATATTTAATGATGCTTTAACATTGTGATTTTAGAAATTCGAGAACATTATCCGGCGACAGATCTTTAACTCAAAATCATCGAGTACAGGGGACGCACAACTACTGAGATGTGCTGTACGTGTTGTTTGGGAGTTGGTACAGAAAAGGAGGGGCACCTTCTTCACCCCTCATTAATAGGTGTGGTTTAGTGGATATATCACTTTCCTCTAGATTATGAGGAACAAGGTTTGAATCTCTATAACACTAATATCTACAGCAGGTTTGCGGTTGCACCATGTGTGTGAGAGAGAGAGAGAGAGAGAGGTTTGAGGAGTCCTAAAAAGATTACCAAGTCAGAGTCCTTTTCAGGACTCCTCAAACCTCTCTCTCTTTCTCTCTCACACATGGTGCAACCGCAAACCTACTGTATATCTACATCACCATGCAAGCCGACACTTACAAGTAGCATCTAACACTAATATCCTTTGACAAGGTATTTTAATACAGGTACCTTACTCGACCATAGAGACTAAAATAAATTAAAATAAATTCCTCGAATTGCCCTATCGCCTTTTCAGGATAGCGAGAGCTGGTATAAATGCGCCCATTGCATTAACTACAGACTGACTCTAGATCCTGTAGACGTACATCTAGAACTCGCAAAGAATACGAATTCCTCTTAAAGGGCAATCCAACCCTCATTATAAGTTGATTTGTATGAAAGCAGAACAATAACAGCAGCAGAATGGCAAAAGTTTTAAATGAATCGGACCAATAGTTAGGAAGTTATGAATGTTTGAAATATGAGATCACTAAGTCCATGCGGATCTCAAATTGGTAGTTCGGTCAGTGGATTGTGACGTAGAACGTGGATAACTTTCCCATTTGCCGTGTACATAAATATCATCAATTTATGTTTTTCTCATTTAGTTCCTTCTCCCTTGGGGCACTACTCAAAATGTATTATAGATAGCATATTATTATAGTTCCTCTAACAAGAATAGACCCTCTTGAGCAATGAATTTGAAAAATTTAAATTTTAGTCATTTTATATGTGGGAACATCACATTGACATTACCGATTCAGCCAAGTTGAAGTGCCCATACGTATACCGATTACAACATTCGAAAATTCATAACTTTCTTATATTTTGTCAGATTTAATTAAAACTTTCATCAGTTTCCTCATCTGATGTTTCTGCTTTCTTTTAGAGTAGTTGTCTATTTGGGTTGGATTTCCCTTTAATAATATTGTTTACTTACCGCTTCTCACATCTCAATCCCGATGTTCCTGAAAGACAGGTACATCTATTGTTTGGCATACAAGTGCCTCCATGTTGGCAAGCAGGACGGCATTGGACGATACCCACTGAAGGAAAGACAGAGCAGAAAAGAGATTATTGGTTTTGATATGTCCATCACATTGTGATTAGCAATTTCAAGTGACTTTCAAATTTATCTTATTGAAAAGTTCACATTAGTACACTCAATCTCTCTCTCTCTCTCTCTCTGTCTATCTTTATCTGTCTCTCATTCTCTATCTCGTCTCTCTCTCTCTCTCTCTCTCTCTCTCTTTCTGTATCTCTTTCTATCCATCTCCCACTTTCCCTCTATCTTACCTAGTTGGCAGAAGGATCCATGATATCCCGGAGTACACCTACACTTGTTGAAACCCACACAGGTTCCTCCATTCCTACACGGTCTGGTACATCGAGTACACTCTGTACTATGTACCCTCTATACTCTCTCTCTCTCTCTCTCTCTCTCTTTCTCTCTTTCTCTCTCTATCTCATCTCCTCTTCTCTCTCTCTCTCTCTCTCTCTATCTCTCTCTCTCCCACTTTCCCTCTATCTTACCTAGTTGGCAGAATAATCCATGATATCCCGCTCTGTACCGTACCTCTATACTCTCTCTCTCTCTCTCTCCCTCTCTCTCTCTCTCACTTTATATCTCATCTTCTCTCTCTCTCTCTCTCCGTCTCCCACTTTCCCTCGATGTTACCTAGTTGGCAGAATGATCCATGGTATCCCGGAGTACACCTACACTTGTTGATACCCGCACAGGTTCCTCCATTCCTACACGGTCTGGTACATCGAATTTGCTCTGCACAAGTAATGATCGAACCAAATATAACTATAGATTGTACAGAGAAGGTATTCATGCTACGAAAATAAAACAGTGGCATATACAGATATTGTTAGAAAGGGAGCAGAAGTCCACCCAACCACATAAATAATAATATTCAGTTCTTGTATATAGCACATTTCAAATTATAACGTCCCTATGCGCTTCCAAAGAGCGTTGGAAATTATTACCCTAGCTTTAGCACCAACAGCCGTTATCAGCGCACAGTGCATTTCAAGGAATAATCCTACCAGGTACCCATTTACCTCACCTGGATGGAGGGTGGCAAAATGTAGATTAATGCCTTGCCAAAGGAAGTTAGTGCTGTGGTAGAGATTCGAAACTCGTACCTTGTGGTTCACAGTCCGGGGAATTATTCACTGGATCACAACACCTCCACTGCTGTGGTGCAGCCGTATGTGCTATACCCAATAATGGAATAGTACTTAACTTTGTGTAGTATTTGGGGGTGGGGGCTTTCAAAGAAGGAGGGGAGTATGCAAGCTTTACTCTATGCTGGTATATTCCCGTTTACTTAATATACATCAAATCATACCTTGATTGCATCACGAGGCACAATGATCGGATATATTCGAACGAAATCTCACTGTAACAAATTTTTTGAATATCTCGAAATTGATAAGACCAAAAGTGATTTACGGAGAGAGTTTTGAAAGTCAAACGGATAACCATTTGGCGTCTTTGATACTAGGAATCTAATGACTTACCCTGCAGACATCTCGGCCCGTAGAAACCCGGACGACAGATACAGGTATCGGCCGCATAACATGTACCTCCATTGCCACAAGAAGGTTGACATTTAGCTGATCATAAGAGAAAGAGAAACAAACCTTGGTTGGATCTTACACCTAAGTATGAACATTTATATGTTTTTTCTCCAATGCAATTATAATAAAAATACTTTTTAAACATGAATTATACGGATGACTAATTTTCAAGAAGGTTGACATTATTTTAGCTGATAAGAGCAAGAGAAACAAACCTTGGATGGATCTTACACCTAAGTATGTTTATATGTGTGTTTTCCAATGCAATTCTAATAAGAATACTTTTTAAATATGAATTCTACGAATGACTTATTTTTCAGAAGACTACAGCAGTTTACATGCTGATCAACGGTAAATGTTTAGAGAAACGTTAACATGATGAGAGTTTGATTCTTGCTCGCTGTATTTATAATCATGTAATCATCTTCATTTGGTGCCCCATCCCCCTCCCCCTCTATAAAATATTATTTATGTTCGTTCATAGGATATTAAAGTGATTCTTTTGCCGCCTTGAGAATTTTTACCAATCTCTAGACACAAGTTTCTCGTGTTCGTGTTCAACCCGTCATCTCCTCCTCCTTCTAACAACCCCCTAGAATAAACTTGATAACATACGTGTTTGACATTGATTTCCTTCGAATCCTGCTGAACACTGGCATTCGTTTGGTCCGATGCAGTTACCACCATTCATGCATGGTAGTTCACATGTAGCTAGAACAGAAAATGAATGGTTTAGATAGACATATTAATTCAAATATCAATGACTCTAAAGTTGTATTAAATTTTAAATAAATTAGCGCCATCCGCCATTTTTATTGCTGATTCTCTATGATAATTTTATGGCTAACAAGGCGGTTACTAGCACACAAAAAACCTGATTACTTATTTAGCCCAATGTCTAATTTAACATTGTATATTGTTTCACCTATATTTTCAACCGAATTTTAAAATGTTAGGCCTATTTGGTATAAATAATCTTCTATTTAAACTTTGATAAATTCTTCACAATCGCATAAAGAAAGGGGTAACTTTACAACATCAACCATTTTGAGTGAACAAGAACTTTGCTTACAATGACAAAAATTTCCTCTACTTACGGAGTTGGCAGTAATTTCCAGTATACTGGCTGCTACAAGAACATTGGTTATACCTCTGGCAAGTGCCATCGTGCATACAGGGTGGATTGCATGTAGCTGGATAAAAAAAAGAGACATACAATAATCATGATGATCAGTTATGAACATACAAAGACGTACTAATATATTTTCAATTCTAAAAACGAAATTGTGTTTTACCATTCATATTATTGGTTTCGTAATCGCCCCTGATAATTATAATAATTAATCATCCGATGAAAATTGGGCATCACGATTCGTGGCTTCGTGGAATATGTCACATACAAGATCTTAATATGATATGGCAATGACATACACAATAGCCATGCTCAGAACAAAGACAATAATCAATCGTCATTTGACATAAAGATGCGCTTAGAGACTTCAGTGGAAAGCTCTTTATAAGCACCGTTTTATTATTGTTATTATTATTATCATTATTGTAATCTATTTAAAGAAACTGTTTTAAGAGGTCTCAAATTGCAACGATCGTTTTGTAGGCTGGATTTTGTTTGGTCGTTCGTTTGTTTGCTTGTTTGTTTGCTTGTTTGTTTGTTTGTTCGTTCGTTGTGCTTTCTCTGATATGTTAATTCATTATGTTGAAGTTTCATAACAAAATAATTTTAAAGTAAATTCTAAGATTGTCAATCTACCATAAAAAACAACTATGCAAAATGTATTAAAAGAGATGGTTGAGAGATTTTAAATAAATCAATTGGTACTTACGTGAACATGTTGGTCCTCCATAACCGACAGGGCAGACGCAAGAGTTTGGTCCAGTACATTTACCGTAATTCAAACATGGTGGGTCGCATACGGCTAGAGTGATTTTGAAAGATAAAAGGATGCATCGATTAAGTTTAATAAATTGCCATTTCATAGGTACCTTCCTTATGTCCCGATTTCCATCCCCATCTCTTTCTCTTGATTATTTTCCTTCTTGATTTCCATCCCGATTGTCTACTAAGACTCCGACTATTACTAAATACTTCTTATATTAAATGGGGGATACTGGACCACATATTACTCGCCAACCACGCCAGACAACCTCAGGCAGTGAGGTTGTCTATTTGTAATTGTTCATATCTTATATCTCACTTTCATTGACAACATTCTATAAAACCTCAATGTTCAAACACAATAATTCCAGTCCTCATAATAAAAGTTGCCAATTTGATTTCGAGCCGGAGACGATGATCCCACTGCAAAAGGAATTATGCCTTACGACCATGCCACTCAAATGGTCTTTGTTTATAGATCGCATACTCATCGTGCAATTCTCGAACGGAATCTGCTAATAAAAATCGTAGTTCACTTCTAATATTACGTTTTGAAGGACCTAATGTGGTGACGAATCGATGGTTATTTTGACATGATCTGGGCGCTGTTTCATAAAACTCATCAACAATAAATGCTAAAATGTTGTGACAAATTTGCTCTCAGCCAAGCAACTATCACGATTTCAGTAGCTTATAACAGTTATCGTAACTTGCTATTGATCACAAGTATTATGAAACAGGGCCCTGCTTGGAATACTTACCATCACACCTGTATCTATTTCGTGCCCTGACCATATATCCAGTCTTACATGTACAGTGATAACTGCCTACTGTATTCACACAGGTGTGTTCACATGCCCCGTTAGCATCGCCACACTCGTTCAGATCTGCGTGTGAACAATGAGGTAAAGAGAATGGCAATAACAGAAGACAAAGTTTATATTAGAAATGTTAGAAATGAAATTATGCTACGACAACCATTATTATAATAATAATCGTCCTCGTCACCCACATCACTAGTACCATCGTCATCATCATTATGATCATAATCACATCATCATCATCAACATCATTATCATCATCATATTATCACTATCATCATCATTATCATCATAATCAAATCATCATTATAAGCTCATCACCACACCATCATCATCATCATCATCATCATCAGCATCATCATCATCATCATCATCATCATCATCATCCCCACCATACTCATCAATCTTGATTCGCGTGGTCATTTTTATTTTAATTATAATCGTCTTTCGGTCATGACTGTCATCGTGAGTATGCGTGATCATCAGTGTGATCATCATTGACCGTTAGAGGGCTTACCATCACAGCTTCGTCCGTCTTCATTGAGTACATAGCCAGGTCCGCAGCTACACTGTATCCCTAGTTGGTCCTGACGACACAGTTGAGCACAACCACCTTGCTTTACTTCACACGATGATATAGCTGGTTTGAAAAGCAAAACATCAAGATATGCAAATTTCAGATTCATCCTTATGTTCTAATTCACCAATTCAATTCAATATTCAGTTCAATTTGAGCATGTCGAGTAAACTAAAACAATGTTACACTGTGGTATACAGTACATGAAATAGCGCATGTGTTTTATATAATGTTTTAATAACCACATTAACAGACATACAGATCCGAGGGTCACAGTGATTCAGTTCGATGTTCACTCCCAGGCACAGGTGACGCCACATATTCAATCAATAATGAAAGGCCCTTCTTTCATTTCTTAGTCGACCCCCTGTACAAGTGAACTTTGGCCAACTATTTTTCTAAATCCTATTTTATTGCATATATATATCGGGAAATAAGAAAGATCTAACAATTCATTCAGTACGAATCTGTTCATTTGGGAACAAACGGCAGGCTTAATGTGATGCTAGTGGCAGTTGTGTAGTTAGATGCCCCACCATTCCCCCCCCCGATCCCCATTGAAATGCCCCTGTGTATACCTTGACAGCGTGTCGGACCCCCCCCCCCCCCCCCATTGAAACGTCCCTGCATACCTTGACATTGTGTTGTACTGTTTAGTACTAGTGCACCGTGGTCAGACCCCCCCCCCTATTGAAACGCCCCTGTATACCTTGACATTGTGTTGTACTGTTTAGTACTAGTGCACCGTGGTCGGACCCCCCCCCCCCCCCATTGAAACGCCCCTGTATACCTTGACATTGTGTTGTACTGTTTAGTACTATTGCACTGGTCGGCCCCCCCCCCCCCCCCCCCCCCCCCCCCCCCCCCCCATTGAAACGTCCCTGTATACCTTGACATTGTGTTGTACTGTTTAGTACTAGTGCACTGGTCGGACCGCAGTCACATCTGTAAGATCCGGCCGAGTTGATGCATACTTCCTCACAGCCCCCATTGTTGATATTACATTCGTTGAAGTCTGCAGGAAAACATATACCAAAGTAAAATAGATACTTCTTTCTACTTTAACTTCTGTTTGTTAACTAGAACAAAATGCTTATTAAACGTTTAGGCAGTCTTTTATTTTTCACTATTCATTATTAATCCGTTTCTGACATTAGTTGTTTTTCCTTCATGCACAGATGTTTTCCCCAAAAGTAGCAACATCGCTGGTCTAACGTAGATATATTCAAGATCCCATAAATCAATAGAGAAGGGAGAAAGAAGAAAAAAAAGGAGAAGAAAAAAAGAAGAGACAGACAGAAAAAAAAAACAGAAAGGAACTTTAAACCAAACATAACATGACTATAATGCGGATTTAGAAGTCACACTATTTCAAATATATAAATATCGTTTTAAAAGGGGTTAAATATGAAGTGGATGAGGGTATCCTTTTTCGTAAATACCTCATCACATTATTCCCTAATCTGCCCCCCCCTCCACCATTAGTCAGAAACATGGAATGACTTACCCATACAAGATGATCTGTCTGAATGAAGCTGGAATCCTGGATCGCATGTGCATTTATAAGAACCGTCAGTGTTGGTACAATGCTGCTGACATAGACCATCGTGGAGTTCACATTCATTCCTATCTGAAATTGACAAAAATCAAATCATACTCATTAGAATGAACAAGGTCAAATGCTTTGCTTTTACCATTGTTTCGCCCCTTTGTTTCGACAACCCAATGTTCAGACGCGCCTAGGTTTCGAAAACATTGTGTTCTGATTCACCCATAATCAGGCAATCACTGCCTCCCCCGAAGCTTCACCGATAGACGTTAGCTAGGACTCACCCAAAGCATTTCCATACGTATGACCCAATTTTCATTCTTTATAAAGCCCGTCTGCACAAGTTTGGTCAGGATGGATTAGACCACCCAGCGTGGTCAGTGACAGGTGGTTATCTCATCAAATCAGCTCTCAATTAACATAAGAAAAAGAGGATCATGGGGGACCAACATGCACCGATTAGGAAAGTAGTGCAGTGTGGCTTTAAATTTATCGCCTGACTTAAGATGGCTCCTTCATACAAACTCACCAAGGCAATTTGAGTGATCGAGTCTATCGATATCATAGCCTCTTCGACACTCGCAGCTAAATGTCCCTGGTGAATTGAGACATACATGTTCACAGCCCCCATTGATGAAGGCACATTCATCTGCATCTAAGGGATGACATGAGATAGGTAGAAATACAATTAGCAACATTCAATCATAAAGAACAATAATTTGGCCTCTCTGTTTTTGGAACGAATTGCTACGCCAATCAATGAGGCTTGTGAGCAAACCAGTTGAAAATATTATTTTTTGTTTTTAACACTCACTATGTTGACACTCTATTACAGACATTTTTTAACGTCTAGTCTGGAATAACTTAACGGGAATTTTTTTTACCTTCTACCGAGTGAAAATTTTAGGTATTTAATAAAATAAAGGATAAAAGTGAACGTTAAAGTCTCAAATTTGTCATATCCTCCCTGTGTTATAAAAATTACACAGTTTACGTTAAACGGATAAGCTACTGTAATCAAAAGATGGGCTGCTCTCAGGTTCTTTTTCGGCCTGGGTAATTAGGAAAGTTGAAAATTAGGGGCTGCTTTTTCAAATTTCTTTAGGACAAAGTTAATAAGCTCTCACATCACATTTGGATCAGTATGTAAGCAATGACAGACCGGTACTTGTGTAGAGGTTAGTGTCTGATGATAATTATGTAACTTACCATCGCAATATTTCCCATCGCCATGGAAACCAGCATAACATTGACAGAAGTATGATCCGATGATGTTACCACATCTAGCAAAGATATGACAGTCATGCTGAGCAGTGCCACACTCGTCGATATCTAGGGGTCAAATGGAATTGTTAAGCAAACTAAATATTATTACGATAAAAGGTTTCAATAAAAAATGTGATCATCATAAATATGAAGGTAATATTAGCGTGTAGGCCTATCAGTAAACAAAGAATTTGGTCAATATGAGTTTTGTTAATGAGGGGCAAAGTATAGATTTCAAATTTAAATGTGCTTGAAACTAGAACATTTTAAAACAATGAAAACAATCAGAATCCAGGAACAGTACTGAATAAGAAAAGGTTTATCCGACAGGGCGGTTAATCCTGACATACGTTGTCCTTTCATAGCTTTTTTTCTTCAAAGCTAAATGAAGAAAAACGTTAATCGGTGCGGTCCTAGATCAATTAGATGAAGAGGAATACGCAAAATCAAAAACATTCTTGACATTTACAAACACTTGTACTACCTTTAATTGCATGCGTATAGACTTTGTCATCTAATGACTTATATGATTAGCTATAATCGTCCAATGTTAATGTTCAGTTCACCTTGGCAATTGGTGACGTTTCCTTCGTATCCTGACGGACAGACACACATGTGAGTGCCTGGTAGATTGACGCATAAAGAGATCCCTGGACATACGTTATCCAATAAACACTCATCAATGTCTGAAAATAAACAAAAACAAAATGGATTAAAATACGTCTGAGTGGCACCATGAAGGAATATTACGCTTTTACTTTCAGGAAATCATTATAGGAGAGGCATACTTCAATTTAGGATTTACTGCTTACAGGTGTCATTTATTTGACATGATAATTATATGATCCCTATCAAACATAAACATATATTCATTGATGAATAGAGATTTTCTAAACAGTGCTGCCCTACTCGTTCAATATCTTTATAATAACAGCATCATTTTGGTGATGGCATTCTGGGTAATTCAGATCATAGTATTATCTTATTCTTATAGAAGGGATATAAGTATGCTCTTGGAAAACTTACTAGGGGTCAGGATAATCATTTGTCCTTATACTGGTTTATACAATTATAAACACAACGAGGTCTATTGTGTTGCTGATATGTAAGGGAGGACCTCACGCAAGCCATCTTACCTCCACACCCCTCGACAGTGTCCTCATATCCTTCATGGCATACACATCGATGAGAGCCTTCTAGGTTCTCACACGAGGCACCCTCACCGCAGAAGCTCTCCACCTCGCACTCATTGAAATCTAGTGTAGACATAATCAAGAATAGTATTATGATAGTGTATGAGGTTACAAGAAACTTGTTGAAAAATAAAATTTCATTATCTACCTTTTATTGATTATCGTGATGTTTTTGAGAACTGCACACTTCTTACGATACAACTTTTATGAAAGATTGCTATATAAGGGGACTCATTTCCAATGGCCTAAATTCGTAAAAACAAGGTTCATGAGACCAAGAGGTTTCGGTCTCACAAAATTTCTGACTAATAATTTGTGATTAGTACATACATTCAATTGTCAGAAACGGCTCACAAGAAATGCAAATCAATTCTTTTTCCACTTACCCATACAGAAACCATTTTCATCTAACGCATATCCATCTAAACATGTACAGTCATAAGAGCCGGGGGTGTTCACACAGTCAGCATTAGATCCACAGAGTATGTGAAGAAGCTCGATGAATTCACATTCGTCCACGTCTGTAAAAATAACATATAACTAAAATATCAATATACGTTAAAAGTATTGTGAGGTATCATTCGAATCATCGTCCTGCTTCATTTCTCTACATTTCAACAGCTATTATGACTTGCATATGAGCGCATCGGTGGTTCAGTGGTAGAATTCTCGCCTGCCACGCGGGTGACCCGGGTTCGATTCCCGGCCGATGCAAATACCTTTTAATAGCGCTAGAGACTTCGATGGAAAGTGTTTTGTTTTAAAACACATGTAGTTTGTATTACTTTTTTTTAAATGATTTATTTATTGTTATTTTGTATTAATTTTTCGAAATTATTTTTGTATTATCCCAATGAAGGTGAATTATCTGTTCCATCATAATATTGCGATTATTATCATCTTTATATTAGTTACTATAGTTATAGAGGGTGATCCATTTTCTAGACAAAATTTAACGAGACTACTGAGGAGACATTCAGATTTGAATCTAATAATACAATATGTTGTCACGAATTAGTGTCCCCTTGACAGTGTTAATTAGACATACTACAATGTTTAAGATTAAAGAATTCATGTATTGGTGAAGGTCAAAGTTCAAATAGTACCTTCACAGTTTCCATCTCCGAGGAAGGAAAGAAACCCTGTCAGACAATGACATTGGTAGTCACCAATCAGGTTGACGCACTCACCGCCCACACCACAGATATCGGGAGTTTCCACGCATTCGTCGATATCTGAGGGTAGAAGAGAGGGTCAAAGAGAGAGAGAGAGAGAGAGAGAGAGAGAGAGAGAGAGAGAGAGGGGTGAACGAGGAGGAAAGAGAGAGGGGATGGAAAACGGGGAGTGGAGAGAGAGAGGGGGAGAGAGCGTGAGTGTTAAGAGGGACAAAGGAGAAGAAAAGACAGAGAAATAGTTAAAGAAAGAATTAAAGCAAATGTGATTTTGGTGAAGTAAACAAGTTTTAACATTTTCACAAACGTGATAGAAGAAACTAACAGAGTAATCAAGATATGAGGAAAACTGATCGAACATAAAATATATAAGTTGACGAGGAATGAGAGGGTGACGAAAAGGAAATGTGGATAATTTTGGCAAGGTGTCTGTCTTTAGGACGGAATCTACCTCGGACAGAAAATTGAAGTCTGGGTATGCTCATAATATATGCCACTATTATTCGCCGTTTTACCCTATCTGTCCCAGGCGTCCCAATGGTTATCTCTTCTTGTTCGATTCATTTTCTGAATTATATCATTCTCTATTTCTTTGTCTACTGCACTAAGAATTAACATGGATGCATAGATCACCAGGCTTGTTACAGAGGTGTCAGACGTGTTTCAGGTGGTGATGCAGGGATATGTGAGTAAGAGGGATATATCTGATAATCTATCCTTAGAAAAGCAACACAATATATCAAATTAATATTTCCTGAATAGCAGTTGCAAGCGGACGGACGCTATTAATTTGTAGACAGAGCTATGGATTCTGAGTAGGCATGGAAGTTACCAACTATCCCCTATATTCACTGAATTTATTATGTCTGTCTTTTGTAGTGACCCCCCCCCCCCACCCCCCACCCGCCATCCTAAAGATAAATCGACGTTCCTGTTTAGAGAAATGTATGTAGATTAGTAATTTGAATTATCATTATGATGTATTTGCCTTTATAATACCCCCCGTACAGTTCGCGACCCTTGTTGTTGCATAATACGTGTACAGACATTTAAAAAGAGGAGACTAGAAGTGTTCAGGCGAATCTCAATCTCCCGAAATATACCGGCGTGTTCACACTAGAATACGTACCTTCACAGTAGCCCTCGTATCCTACTGGTGAGTAACCCTTGTTGCACATACACACATGGAAACCAGGTCTGTTCAGACAAATCTCATTCTCCCGACATATCCCTTCCTGTTGACACTCGTCAATATCTGAAGATATAAAATAGAATGTTTCGGGATCATTATCTTGACAACGCACGAGACTTTACAAAAAGCGTGTGCGACCTTGATTAGTATTACTTTCCAACAACTTCTGTCATATTGTAAGCTTCTGAAAGACCATTCGCTATCATCAAAGTTGTCTTGTCTTGTTTTCTATTCATACAAAATAATCATAATGCAATAAAGTAATTGAAACTTTACTTAAAACGATCACCTCTCAATTATGAATTTCATGTATAATTGTTATTCCTGGTGGAAATCTATCTTAGATCGTGTATTTTGTCCCATCAAAATTTGATAAATTAAAATGATAAGTACATATTTATATATACTATGAAATACATGCACATATGACTTTAAGGATAAAAATTATAAATACAATTTTATGATTGAGACTTAATTACCTGTACAGTTGTAACCGTCCGAATCCAGTGTATATCCGTCTAGACAGGCGCATTCGTAACTATCCGGACCGATAGGCAGGCACATATCCCTACAACCGCCATTATCAATAGTACATGGTTCAACTAGAATAAAAAGAAAGTCATGAATCCATAAAACTGAGTTATAGATAACTACACTCATACTATGTTATATAATCTTAGGCCCGGGATTTTTCATTCTTTTTAATTTATGCTAAGATCATGGGTGTCGATCCGTAACTGATACCTATTCATCAGGGGGGATGATCTATTCATTCATCCCCCCCTGATGAATAGGTATTACGTAAGTATCGACACCCATGGCTAAGATGTATGGGGGTGAATTAAACACACATGCTCATTATAAACATATCTGTTAAATTATTATACACGATCGATCAGAGTTAAAAGGCAGGAGTGGACCACAATAATAGTTGATGAACTGGGTGACTTCATCACAAGCATGCATGGCAATAATTAACGGGTGTAATTTAAGCAATAATTGATTTTAGTCGGTAAACCGTCTGAGTCATTTGCTTGTTTAAAGTCACATGCTCATTAAATGACCGCAGTGAGCTATGCGGAGTAAAAATGTGTGGTCGTAATGAATGTTCATACAATCTTCATGAAGTATATACATGTTGTGGCATGCATGTTGGAACAGAGTGAAGAAGAAGAAGACGTTAAAATAAGGATATCCGTACTTTTCTCCGGTGTATAAACGTTTGTAAAAACAAAAGTCAATAAACAATATAAATTTTCTTTGGATTTCCCGATTTTTCGATAAAGCACAATTTCAGTCATCAGTGGAAATGATCGTTGGTTAGTTTGGAAAAATAGCACACAAAAATTCACATCTCGCTGACAAAATTGTTTCAAAATACATGATACCTTTTTAAAGAAAAACATTGTATTTAAAGGGAAAAGATTGACGCAGCCGGACAGATCACCGTGCCTGACTATCCCTTTAAACTTAAAGTTGTAGATGGTTGGACATTTGGTTCGATAGTTCGATGTATACCAAAAATGATCCCTACCCGATCTACGACCTAAAGCAACGCAGAGCTATTCAGTTGGATATCAGCATGGTCATTTTTGTTTTCAATTCTTAGAGAATATGTAAATCATTATATTGAGAAATATGTATTAAAATGTGACAGATAAGAAAGACAGTAAGGGGACGGTTGATGATCAGCACTTCTGTTTTCACCAGCTTTACCATTTTAAATCAGTGCCGTATCTAGACATCAGAGAAAGGGGTAATCAATACCCCCTTACCCTCCGCACCCCGGCATTGGAGCATCTGAGGGCGTATTATGCCGGAGCGTTTATTTTTAAAAAAAAAATTTATAGGGCATTATCCTACAATCTTAGACAAACTTCTAATGACAATGAATTCTTTAAAAAAAAAAGGTCTAAAGATTCTGGAAGGTGTGTGATAGGAAACACACTATTGAAGTTTTAAGTTTGTATTAATGTCCTGTATAGGAAGCGGATAAGGAAGAAGAGAGGAGTGATATCAACGTTTCCGTACTTCCAGACAAAACAAATACATAGTTACTTGACAACTTGGTAGGAAACCCACGCTACATCCTTGTGAGTTTACATATCTCATTTACATTTACAGCAGGTAAATCGATATTTAAAAACAATGTATCATATCCAACTGCAAGTGAGGAAGAGATTAACTCGGCCTGGACCATGCAATAACGATTCATAACTTCATCTTCTGGCAAAGTAAAGGAGCACGAACAACAAAATACCGGTCAACTGCAACACTGAAGTCATGTTGTTTAAGAATAGTAGAAATCGTTTACCTCATTTCAATGATGAATTGATTTAATAAACATTTGGAATAGCCCTCTCAATGATGTTCTAACTTACATTCCATCTTTTCGCGAGGATTTTATAAGAGGGAATACTAATGATCCTAAAATTAATCCATTTAAAGAAAATGATAAGAAATCCGTTTTAAAACCATAACATGTCTTCCGATAGGTATGCGTTAACATAAACAAGTGTCATCGCTAAGGAATAATGAATCTCTCTCTCTCTCTCTCTCTCTCTCTCTCTCTCTCTCTGGACACGGGGGCATATCCCGCCCCGTTGAAAGTTACAAAGTGAAGGAAAACGAACAGAGAAAGATAAATAAAGAGAGAGAGAGAGAGAGAGAGAGGGGGGGGGGGGTAACTTCAAAAGAAGATGATATGTCTCCCTAGTTCCCTCATAATAGCTTTGTTCTCTTGAATCATATAGTAAGACCGGCGCCCCCCCCCCTCCCCCACCCGGCTTCCTTTTTTCCGTGACAATATTTCTTCATCAATGTCTGAACCTAAGCTTGCTACGCCACTGTGTAAATCAAAATGGATGATGACAAGGTCAAGGACTAGATCACTGGTCGAATTAGTTGACATCTTGAAATGTCATGTCCTACTTTGCCGACCTTTTCATTGTAACCCTTCGTAGAATGAAGATAATGTATAGAGCTAATTCATGTCAAATAGTCCTTTCCGCTTTCTATATGGAAAATAAAGATAACTGTGATGATACTAAATTCGGATGATTGGGTGTTTATAATTATAGATACAAGTTATGTATGCTCATGTCTGTCAGATACTATGCTCTCTATAATAATTATTTAAAAAAAAACATCATTTCAGGGACATGCGGGTTAAGAGGGTGTTTACTATTAAAAGTAAAAAGGTCTATAATGATTACTGTCTTTTTCATATGTTATATCAAGTATCTTTCTTTTTATTCAGCAAGTGACTCAAATACTACTATTCACTACAGGCCAACTAATTCTATTCTCAAAGTTAGTTTAGTGGATGTCTTCTACATACCATCAAACTTAATTGATGGAAAATCGAATGGTATAGGGTCTATAAAGTTCATCTATTTGGTATCTACTTTGAGAAAATTCAAATTAAGAAAGGAAAACATTAAACCTACTTAGATATTGAAAATCATCATTAGGCCCATTTACACTACGTGTCAAACATCCCGATGTGAGTAACACCGCGATGTTTAGATTGTGATGTGAACGGGACTATATATATATTACCTGAGCTTCCAGTCTGATAATATGAGCTGACTGTATTTGATGATAAAGGACCTAAGTAGCTCGCACTTTTCTCCCCGTCTGACGATGTCGTACCCTTTGCCGTGCTCGTACTTTTCGTCGATCTCGTACTTGGACTCTTTGTCGTACCCTTGGCCCCCGTCGACGATGTCGTACTCTTTGCCGTGCTCGTACTTTTCGTCGATCTCGTACTTGGACTCTTTGTCGTACCCTTGGTCTCCGTCGACGATGTCGTACTCTTTGCCGTGCTCTTACTTTTCGTCGAACTCGTACTTTTCGTCGAACTTGTACTCTTCGTCGTACCCTTGTTCTCCGTCGATTTTGTGATCTGCGTCGTGCTCATGCCCCTCGTCGAGCTCGTACTCATACTTGGAGTCGCCTGTCAAGGTGGAATCCGTGATGAAAAATAATTCAAGCAATCATAAATCATAAATCTCAATTTTTTTGTCTCAGAATTCAATAATTCTTTCATGTTCGACTTTAAATAATAATCATTTCGTGCAATGATTATTCTGTTGTTCTTCTACTACTACTAACAATTATCCTTTGAAATCAGTTATACCATGCTACACTGAGTAAACATGCTGACTGAAAAATCTGAAATATACACTTTTAAAGATGTATTTCTTTAATGACCATTAATCCCAAATCTTATTCTGTCCTTTCAAAACCACAATGTACCAATTGAAGATCCACTTAAAGTTGGACACTATAGGGTTTCTTGCACCTCCACTTCAAACTGTCTCAAATCGGCCATGCGTGATTTAGTGATCATATAATATTGAAAAAATTGACAAAAAAGGGATGAACGGAACGAGATGAAGAGGAAATAAAGATGGTTTGAGAACAATAATTATGATAAATGGAAAAGGTATTGAATAATTATTTATATAATGGAACAATATATACATATATAAGAAATCACCTTAGGAAAACCGGTAGGAGAAAATCGCTTGAATTATTGGGCCTCTTGCCAATGAAGCCCCCCCCCCCCCTGTCACTTTCTATCTCTGTTTCTTTTTATTTCACCCCCTTTCCCCTGTCATGTGATCTCTTAAACTGTCTCCTCCCTAGCCCCTCCCCCCTTCTCTCTCTCTCTTTCTCTCCCCTTTCTCACTTCCTTCATCTCTAGCTCCGTACCCTCTGCCTTTTCCTCTTTCTTTCTTTCTCTCTCTCTCTCTCTCTCTCTCTCTCTCTCTTTCTCTCTCTGCCTCGTCCATTCTGTATTGTTCTGTATTGTAGCAAATGCTACTACCATCGCGATCATCATGTCAGAGTCAATTTAGCGTCATGGATGTTGATCCTAATCCCAGCTAGGTGACCTTGATTGCAGGGTTCAAGTTTAACCTCTCTCTCTCTCTCTCTCTCTCTCTCTCTCTCTCTCTCTTTCTCTCTCTCTTTCTCTCTCTAAATATAAACAGCAACGAATCTGTTAGCCGAAATAGTTCTGAATGTCGCACGAAGATAGTCAAAGCAATACACGTCAGTCGTATTGATATCTGCAGGTGTATTTCTATGAGGGACAAAGGTGATGACAAGTGCATGTCTGGGATTAATCAATTAGCATGCTACCATTAAGTGGAAAATGACTTCATCGTGTGAGTTTGAAATGATAAATTATGTAATGCCGACTGTCTAATTGCTTAACAAGTGTTCATTTCCGGCGTATAAATCACAATTTGGCCACTGTCTTCTTAAAGTCTTACATTGAGTTTGAAATGATAAATTATGTAATGCCGACTGTCTTGCTGAACAAGTGGACATTTCCGGCGTATAAATCATAATTTGGCCACTGTCTTCTTAAAGTCTTACATTGAGTTTGAAATGATGAATTATGTAATGCCGACTGTCTTGCTAAACAAGTGGACATTTCCGGCGTATAAATTACAAATTAGCCACTGTGTTCTTAAAGTCTCAAATTGAGATTGAAATGATGAATTATGTAATGCCGACTGTCTAATTGTTTAACAAGTGTTCATTTTCGTCGTATAAATTACAAATTAGCCACTGTGTTCTTAAAGTCTCACATTGGGTTTGAAATGATAAATTATGTAATGTCGACTGTCTAATTATTGTTTACCAAGGGGTCATTTCAGGCGTATAAATTACAAATTAGCCACTGTGTTCTTAAAGTCTCACATTGGGTTTGAAATGATAAATTATGTAATGTCGACTGTCTAATTATTGTTTACCAAGGGGTCATTTCAGGCGTATAAATTACAAATTAGCCACTGTGTTCTTAAAGTCTCACATTGGGTTTGAAATGATAAATTATGTAATGTCGACTGTCTAATTATTGTTTACCAAGGGGTCATTTCAGGCGTATAAATTACAAATTAGCCACTGTGTTCTTAAAGTCTCACATTGGGTTTGAAATGATAAATTATGTAATGCCGACTGTCTAATTGTTTAACAAGTGTTCATTTTCGTCGTATAAATTACAAATTAGCCACTGTGTTCTTAAAGTCTCAAATTCAGTTTGAAACAGGTGATAACCATTTGAGTTCTTGCTTTTAGGCTGAAGAAAAAGAATCTTGTGATTTTCAGGGAAGGAGGGTGGCATTTATAGGACTCTGAATGTACATGACAAGAAGGACATGGAAAGACTTTTACACAAGATGCATTTTCCAATGGTCTAACTTGTCAACTCTTCAACAGGTACAATAATGCATTTGGGATATAGATTCTTGTAAACGCTTTCTTCTTCTATATAAGCTAGGACGAATTATGGTTTCATAATGATTCAGTAAAAAAAATCTTTGTAATGAGACAACTGTAAAATCACTACAAATCTACAAGACATAATTATATTGTCAATATAATTCTCATTGGATAACAACTGACCGTAATTCTGGAGTCACCTGTCGGTATAGCTTGTGGACTTTCCGTCGTTGTGAGTGATATCGTTTCAGTCTGATTGCTAGCTGTTGAATTCCCAGACATCGCTGACTGACATAAAATATGATTCACCGTTAATGAAATCACAAAGATTTGGAATAATTTATCCATTGTTGTAAATTCACGTATAACTATACAGAAATGAACCTCTACCAAGCATATTCCAGCTTATCATCCAATGCCAATGGTACTGGTAGTTAGAGCGACGTTTGCAAACGTTTCGTAGTTTGCGACGTACAAGTACCAAACGACAGTTACTACCGATCGGTGCGATCTCCCAGCTCGAAAGTAATCAAGCTTAACTTTGACGCGGCACCAAAAAAAGTGGGTTCGTCATTGGGCTACGTCCATAACGTTTGATGTCGCGAGCTCCGACTGATTTAATCCACCGTTCTAATTCTGATCAACCCTCGTCTGAGCATTCAGGTATTCTGATGGCCCATAAAGCCTGTCAAATTGCCGGATATGTTGATATCCGCTATCACCGTCCTAGCTCATCCTTTTCTCTTTAACATGTCAAGAGTGACACAGAATCGCGAGCAGATACCAACCTGCTGTCTAAATAAGCTGCCAGCTCAAGCCAACTTTTGTTTAAAAATGTCTTCTTAAACTCAAAGGCAGCTATATATTTTATAATTGAAGGATATAATTATTTTGATCGCGTTTTAATCGTCAATTGGCCATTAAAATGTAAAGCGAAGTTGTTAACCATATCTACGTCTACATGTTTACTTCTCAATTAGACCATAACCCATACATCTTTTTTTAAATAGAAATGAACTTCAAAGATAATATCATGATAAAACATAAGGTAAACCTCTAACTTACTGATCAGTCAAAATGTAATTATTGTGAATTCGAAGACAGGCCTGCTTCAGTTATATAATATTTTTCACAATTTTGATTTCCTAGTACATTTTGCTAAAGATGAAAAATAATTTTTGAATGATTCAAGTGCATTTTGCTAAAGAAGAAAAATAAGTTTATAATGATTCAAGTGCATAGAAGTTTATTGGGTTCACTGAAATAATGATAGTGTTATTACGTTTGCAAAGAGTACTATTGACTTATTTTCTATGTAAATTTAATAGTGGCATCAGTATGAGAGATTAAATAGACGTAACCTTAATGTGTTTATTTGTGTTCTGGAAGTTAACAAGATACTCTGGCCACCAAGCCGATTTAGTATTGTCCTAAAACCCAGTTAATTATTAAGTACCCTCGTACATACCCTGACAAGATGCCCAATTTGAGATGCACTTAAAAGCCAAGTTTATATCTTTATAATCCTTCCCCATAGAAAGACCAAATGCATTCACAATCCCCTTCCCAGGAAAGACCACCTCTGTTATGTTTAAGCCCATACATAAAACTACAACGTATATTCCATTGTTTTGGCGGCTCTCATTCATGTCTTTGTCCCTTATGTAACCTACCCTCATATTACTTGTATTCTTCTGTATAAATATTACATGTTCTGGTTTTCTGGAGGGAGTTCAGTTTTGATCACCATTACACCAAGACCCCCCTTTCTAGCTGGCTCGCTCTTCATCTTGTGTTTTACATAATGTGGAAGTTCGTATGATGTGACCGATTTGATTCCCCAAAGTTGGGAGATAATAAATACTCTTGATATGACTCCGGAATTACAAGTCTCTCCTTGCTGCTTCATATTTATGTACCTCTCCTACTGCTAATACACCGATCCCAACACGACATTAACCAACTCAGCTTTTTTTAAACCTTGAATATCATGCAATTTTGATACACATGTATTATGATAATTCGGAAATATATGGGATTCAAATAGGCCTATTTGAAATACATATCCAAATACTTTCCAATTCATTTCAAAGTAAAGTCAAAGTTGGGTTGTAAGATCTTCTCATGTTATGAATATGTTTTAATGTTGTAATTGAAGAGGGTAATGTTGCAACAAAAAATAATGCCTAAAAATCCTCTCACTTGGCGAATATGATGACGGGATTCTCTTTACTTCTCTATATTCTTTTGAATATTAACGTTAGAATTCGGTGATCCATCTTGTGACTCGTATTTCATTTCACACTTATGTTTATTATCCCTGCTCGCTTTGTTTACTGATGGCACAGCATCACAGGTGAAATTCTATAAGACTTTAACAAAAATTGGGGGAATATTGTCTAGTATTTTAATAAATCCAAGGTTAAAAGGTTTTTGACATGGATTTTATGATTGATGGAATATCATACACGTTTTCTTGGGCGGATGATAAACAGACAGTGTATCGTTTTTCATATTTCATGAAGTTCTAAGGTGTCACTTAAGGCTCACTTTCAATTTGGGTGAGATGTATGAAATAAAGTGGACAAACGGGCGTATTGTCACATTCCACTGATTTTATTTCATCAATAGCGGGGGGGGATCATAAATCTAATCTGCTTCACCGTTTTAGTGAGCTCTAATAGAGGAATAACCGAATGCGTCGTGAAAATAATAGAAACGCAATGTAAATGTGGATATTTGAATAGACATGCGCCTTCTTTTTTTTTTATTCCCTAAAACTTTATATTGCGGGTTCAAATAAAGATTTCCTTGGATACTTCCTGTAGATCGAAAAGTTTAAATGACCACTTTGTATACTCATTATTAGGAGTGTTTTTCTCTAGGTTCTATGGGCCTTTAATATTTGTAAATCAATCATTTTTTTCCAAACGTGCTAAAGTTAGGGCATTATGAAGGCAGAAAACGAGTGGAGGTGGGAGATGGGGAGGGAGAGAGAGGAAGAGAGAGAGAGAGGTGGAGAGAGAGGGGAGAGGGGGAGAGGGGAATGGAGAGAGGGGAGAGAGAGGGTTGAGAGGGATAGTGAGAGGGAGACTGTAGTGACTTTGAGAAAGAAGAAATATTTAAAAAGAGAGAGATATGTATAATTGTGGATATATATATATATAGAGAGAGAGAGAGAGAGAGAGAGAGAGAGAGAGAGAGAGAGAAAGAGAGAGAGAGAGAGAGAGAGAGAGAGGGGGTAGAGAGGAGGAGAGAGAGAGAGGGGGAGAGGGGGTTGAGAGGGATAGTGAGAGGGAGACTGTAGTGACTTTGAGAAAGAAGAAATATTTAAAAAGAGAGAGATATGTATAATTGTGGATATATATATATATATATAGAGAGAGAGAGAGAGAGAGAGAGAGAGAGAAAGAGAGAGAGAGAGAGAGAGAGAGAGAGAAAGAGAGAGAGAGAGAGAGAGAGAGAGAGAGAGAGAGGGAGAGAGAGAGAGGGGGGGGGGGGAGATGGAGGGGAGGCAGAGGAAACCGATCAGGAAAACGAGGAGACAAAAAGCTACATAATTAAAGCTACATAATTAGAGCTAAAGAAATGATATCGCGCTGGACTAGTTATTTCTTATTACCCATTAATAATATTTGAAATGTTATCTATCTACCCAAGTTAAAAATTAAATCGATATCATGACCCAGTTGGTATACAATGGGCGACTTAATACGTAAGAATAGTTTGCAGTCACACTGTTATTATGCATCATTATCGCGACAACCATCATCACAATCATTATTACCACCATCACCATCATCATCACCGTCATCACCACCGTCATCACCATCATCATCATCACAATCATTACCACCACCATCATCATCACCACCATCACCATCATCATCATCATCACTATCGTATTCATCACCATTACCATGATCAGCAGAATAATAATAATAATGATAATGGTGGCTTCTTATATAGCGCACATGTCCGTCACGTTGTGACGCTCCTGGCGCTGCCCCGATTATTACCCTGGCTTTAGCAAGGCAGCTACTACGGCGCTTTAGCATTTCAAGGAATTAATCCCTTCCAGGTACCCATTTACATCACCTGGGTGATTATACTACTTACACCTAGAGTTTTTAAGTTGAGACTGGTGTCAAAAAATGAGTTCTAATACTCAACAAAACAATAAGGAAATTCAATTGATTTCATTGTATTGTGATTCAACATTTTTCTAGAAATAATTTTAAAAAGGATATAATTTTTTTTTTTTTTAAAGCCCTTCCATTCAAACTACTTTACACATTAAAACCCAACACAAATACACATCACGTCAGGAAAAAAAAATTACACTTAAGATTTATTTTGTTTCTTTATTATTACAAAATGGTGCATACACTTGTTATAAAGACCAGTAATCTGCTGTACTGTGCATTTAACATACTCACCTTTTCCAACTCAAATAGTTGCATCACACTCCCATTCTAACCCATCCATGGAACACTGTCTGCTGAGAACTGAAAGGGCATTAACTCTGTGTAAAAGCATACAAGTCAATGCCCTTCTTACAGTCAGTATCATACAATCAAGAACTAACCCCAAAGAATAACTTTAGTTGTTCTGAGAAATTTATTGCATTCTTGCTCATCAATCTACAAGATTCCCCATCAAAGTGTTTGAGAAAGGCTTAAAGTAAGAATAAAGTACAGTTTCTCAGCAAGACATGGGCATCGCCATTTTCTTGATTGCATGACGTACTATGCCGAGTCGTTATATCAGCTTACCGTATGTATTCAAATTTATGGATGCTTCCTTCTCAGGTGTGTGTGGTGTTGAACCATTTCGTTCACCTGCTATTATTAAGAAATCTTCATTTGTATATCTCTTGTACACGTTCATAAGATTTATTGTGCATCAAAAGGCAGGAATTAGTCTCTTTTTTAGAATACCTACACTTATTTTTCAGGGTTAGTTCTCCTTTAAATAATCCTTGGAAGGTGTGGATACTGTCTTACAAAACGAATTTTACAGAGATTTTTGCATTATGAAAACATTGCCCACATGGGTCAGTGTTCATAAAAGTGTTGTACATTTAAGTGGGTATAACTAGTGTTGTGTAGTATTGTCCCAAAACCCACAAGATGCCCAACTTGAGATGCACTTAAAAGCCAAGTTTATATCTTTATAAACCTTCCCCATAGAAAGACCAAGTGCATTCATAATCCACTTCCCAGGAAAGACCACCTCTGTTATGTTTAAGCCCATACATAAAATTACAACGTATTCCAATGTTTTGGTGGCCCTCATACAAGTCTTTGTCCCTTTGACACAATGTAACCTACCCTCATATTACTTGTATCCTTCTGTATTCAATAATTACATGGTCTGACTTTCTGAAAAGGATTGGAGTTTTGATTACCATTCGATTAAGACCCTCTTTCTAGCTGGCTCTCTCTTCATCTTGTGTTTTACATGCAGTTCATAATGATGTGACTGATTTGATTCTCCAAAGTTTGGAGGTAATAAATACTCTTGATATGACTCTGGAATTACAAGTCTCTCCTTGCTGCTTCATTTTATGTACCTCTCCTACTGGCAATATCTCATACACCGGTCCCAACACAACACTAGACTACTGTTTTAAAGATCACCAAATTTACAAATGTAATTTTGTGAATTTCAGAACTTGGTTATCCATAAATCAATAGACTAATTTATTCCAGATTTAGCATATGGCATTGGTTTTTTTAACTTATACCAAATGTGTCCACAAATGGGTCCAAAATGAAATTATGTTTACTCACTTCAAACTTATATTTTTAGGATCAGGACTAATCATATTTTTGAGAAATGCAAATTCTGGACCTTAATCTATCTCCTTATTTGTTCACCAGATATGAATACTTTGAGTTTTTACAATTTTATTGTGAACTATAGCATAACTTATAACTGTGATATAAAACTCATTTGCTATTAACTACACCTTTAAATATGTTGGGTCTTTAAGAATATGTTTCACAGATTAATCATGCAAATTTTTGAGTTTCTATCTTGAAAAATACAGATTTTGTATCCCTTGAAAGTGAAAAATAGCTCTAAATTAGGGCTTTGACAATAACAAGTTTTTAATTCAATAGGTAAAATGCTTTTTTCTTAGGTCAAACTTATTTTATTATAACAAGTGATGATATAAGGTAAATACTTGCAAAAAACTTGGGAACCAGTGCATTGCCTAATAATTTTCATATGTCACACCACTGATGTTTCGGACGTTACACACTGTTAACATTATAACTTTCTTCAAGTTAATTGCTTTTCTTTAGGTATTATTGATCTCAGTTACTTTAATTGTTTGCAGAAAAATACTTCTGTAACATTTATGGAAAAAAATTGCGCAGTTTTAATTAGTTTAGCACATACATGTATACCAAGTTTGTCTTCATCGACCACTCAATTCATGTAAGGAATATTATTCATTTCAAGAACGTGTACCGGTAGTTAAAAATTGTTTATGTGATCTAACAGAGTGAAATATGAAGCTAATAGCAATTTTAGTCATCAAAACTCCTTAGAAAATTCACGTAGAAACATACTCTTTATTGCATGTTATGAACAACAGTGTGAAATGTATACTATGGTTTGTTTCGGATGTTACACGATGTTAACATTTCAATGAGATCATCAATTTCTACAAACTCTACAATATAGATGTTTAATCAGCTTGCTAATGTTCTTTGCCTTCAACTATATAGCGTGTCATTCAATAATATCACTAACACATACATGTATGTAAGCAAAACATTGAAAAATCTTTTTAAAAATAAAACTATAAAAAAGTACCCCCAGTCATGTAAGTACGGTAATAAGAAATAAGTGAATCCTAATGTTTGTACATCTCGAGAATGAGACATTTTAGATGAATTTTAAAATTGTGTATGTTTTAGGTTATAATACTACTGTAGTAACAATCATCCTTTACCACTATTTGTATTAGGAGGCTGTTTCAAACGACAACATTTTTTAATGCTCTTAAATAAGTATTTATTTATTTATTTAATTGATGACCGATTGATGAATGGATGGATTGATTGGTTGGTCGGTTGGTTGGTTGATAGATCTTAACTCTTGCTGTGCCGATATCACAGGTGACATACAATATACAGTGTAGGTTAAACATGTACCGTATTTGCCGGCGATAAGGCCGCAGCGCCGCACCCCCAACTTTGACATTTCGTAGAGGAAAAAAACAAAAACGGACAGCCCATTTATATTTCACACTAGTGTCGTATTGCGGTTCTAACAGATAATTCCTAGCACTCTTAACACAGAGGCAGCCCAGCAGACATGTTGTAGGATTGATAACTACTGGCTAACTGACCAGGTTTTAATGTGTAAAAGCATTACAGCATTCTATGTAGCATTCCACATACATTCCATGCAAAGTAGAAGAAATCAATATATATTCATATAGTCCCATACAAGTATAAATCAACATCACAAAGTATTCCTGAATATTCAAACATAAACAAAGGGTATATATTGCATATTCATAGTATATGTACATTATACTATATAAGCTCGCCTGCATCGAAGAATATTGAAACCAATGAGAGAGAGAGAGATAGACAGATGAAAGGATGGTGGATGAAAAGGGTGAATGTGAATGAGGGATGACCTATTAATATGAAAGGGATGAATCGTGGATATGAAGGGGAGTTTCAGAAGTTCGAAATAAATCCCTACACTAGCTTATACATTTTGTATGTATGCATACATTTGAGGAAGATACTACTTGTATATTTTTAGGATCATTGAATAAGGTATTACTGGTAATGCCCTTTTATTTTATACATGTATGTACTTTCTACACAGATTAGTTACGTGTACTAAGTGCCCTTTTTAAAAGGTATTTTCAAATGAAAATCCATATTTCCCATAATTTTTTAGAAAAACATTTTAATTTGCTTGATTTTATTAACTTTATATACCTGTATCATACCCGTGTCATGTACATGTACACTGGGTATTGCTTAAGTGGGTGATTTTGAGCTTTTGTAACCTACCAAATAGTTTAGATTGACCATACAATCTTTGGTTATATGACATAATTTGGAACAACCTCTGTAAAAATGAAAACCTGATGATTTGCAAACACACAGCAATGTAAATAGCAAGAGGAGAGGTTGAAAAATTGAAATTTGCTATTCTCACATCTATCTTTGCCCCTCATTTGAACTAGTTAAATTATGAAAATGTCTGTTAACAGTTTAATGTAACATCCGAAACGTGCTAACAGCATACCAGAAAGTGCTGTTAAAATGGCTGAATATTTTGTGTGAGTCACTTTTATTAAGATTTTTTCTGATAAATTACAACTAAGGATATACTAAAGCAGCCAGCCATACCTTGCATCACAATGAGTGGCTTCAATATTTTATGTTTTATAAGTCAATTTTGCAGAAAATTCAGATATTTAACGGAAATTTGATTTTTCGCATCATATTTCATCATATTTTTATATTTAGATCTAAATGAAATTATCAAAATAGTGTTTTTAACAGGATTGTGCATTGTGAAATCGTAACTTGCACATATGATCAAAAATTAGTTGAAATTTGGAAACTATGTGTTAACAATCAAATAGTGTAACGTCCGAAACACCCTTCTTGAGCTTACACAAAATTAAGGGATTTGAAAGACCTGACTTGGGTTTTGACTTGTGTTAAGACTTATAATAACTTATGTCATAATGATTTATTCACTCCAGATACCCTCAAATATGGATTATCATCATTTATTTGGTATTTTTTGTTTCGGACGTTACATTTGTTTCGGACGTTACAACTGTTAACGGAAAATTGGTTTTAACTATAAAATAGTATTGTAATGATGTATTGCAAATTTCTTTTTTTTGGTGGGTAGCTGCCATGAAATGTTTAAAAAAAATTACGAAAGATAGGTCCTGCAGTTCATATATTTTCTGCTACTTCAAATTGAAAGTTGTTTCGGACGTTACAAAATTGTTTACGGAAAATGAGACAACTTTTTCAAATTTTGAGTATATTTCTAATATAAGCGCTACTACAATAAAATTATATTTTCTTTTAATTTAATGACTTGGAGTAACTAATGAGCTTATTCAAACCATAAACAGTCTCATTAATTTATTGTTCTGGTGGGTTAAATGAGGGTCTACATTGTTTACGGAAAATGTAACGTCCGAAACACCATTTTCAATTGCACTGTTCCATCAAAATACAGGAGTTAATTCATATTACTGTTAACTTTCTTTAAGATCCACCCATGCTCATCAAACATCAATAGAAAAAAAACATATTGTTTGTGGGTATATATTTTTTTCGGCTCCAACCAAAAAGGTATGTCAATTTTGTTACAAAATTCCGTAAACAATTGGCTGTTCAGAGATACCTCATGCACATAAAGCAATGTTGAAAATTTTTCATTAAGCTATGGGAGGTCAATCTAGGTCCATGCTACAAGAAAAAGTTGTAATTGATTTCTAATTCTTTATCTTTGAAAAGTTTCAGGCTCTCAAAGGGCCATTTAGCTATTTGGTCATAGTTAAAAAAACCAGTGCCATATAGTTCTCCTTTATGAATAAGAGTAGCAGAGTTTCTCTAACGATGTTCTTTAAACATTGATTGTATAATTATGCTGCTTGCAAACTGTAATCCTATCCCTATTACATCATGCTTAAAGGTAAAAACCAGTATTGGAAACGCGCCAATTTCAAAAAATGAAATGGAAGCTCTTATTACCAATCATGTGAAAGAATATGTTTTGAATAATACATGATGATAACAATTTTGCGGGGAAACCGCCTACTTATTGATATATTTGGTAAATTGGTTTATCTATTGGTGTGCGAGAGATAAAAATGCATGTGTCGCGCACGTGTGCATAGTCCCATATACATCTTTCTGTGTACAGTGCTTGTAACTTTATGAAGACTGGGACAAATTTCTTATCATTTTGATGATTCCAGAACCTTGCAGTACATCTATGCTAGATGATCAACCTTTTCTGATCGATTTCACAACGTTTCGTGCACAATGAAATCGCATGACCATAACTGGTCTTTATCTTTAAATGATGTTGATATTCTGGTAGTACTGCGCAAACAAAACTCACAAGACAATTTTCTCAGATCCTTTGATACTTCTCGTATTTAAAAGTGTAAAATGTTGTTAAAGTGTATGTATTACCAACTAAATGCAACTACCCCAAGTCACGTTCAAGTCATACAAAAGGGATTTCATTTTTTGTTTAAAGATCATATTTATGGAATGAAGGACATTCATGGAAGCTGATTCTAGTCTGAATAGAGATTTAAATGCAGTCTTAGCTTTTGGGAAGCATCTTCTGAAATATATGAAGTTGAGTAGGACACTGAAGGTGATCTTAGAGTCCACATTAACAATACAAATAGTCTGTTCTTGTATAGCACATATCACATTATGATGTAAATTCTGCATGCACTTCTAAAGAGCTGCAACCATCATCATCCCTTGGTGCTTTATAGGAATTTCTTCCCTTCTGGAAGCCACTTACTAAACCTGGGTTGAGAGTGGCAAATATATATCAATCCTTGCCAACCAATATCAGTTCAGTGTTTAAATCTATGACCTTCACATCCATAGGTGTAGGTTTGGAGGTTTAGGCCCATCTGCTATGATACGTCATTCACATTCTTGCCTCTAGCTTGAAAACTTTTAGTCACTTCAAAAGTTGCATGAACATTCTTCTTCAGTTCCAATTCTTGACAGAGAATTAATCCCTCTTCGTCTAAATCATCAGCACTGTCTATGATTCACTTTGAAGTTAAAATGAAGGTTTCCACTGGATGGATTGAATGTGACCTCAAAGTTCAAGCTCTCATCTTCTTTCACTTCCGGGTTCCTCTTGATGAAATGAACACCCTGCTTGCTATGCATGTCCCAGACTAGTCTACCATCACCAGACCCTGTGTTATCCTCTTGTAGTCCTGTAGAGATGGTTGTCGTTTCATCCAAGTCATACTCCATCCACAATGCAATACCATGACAAGTTCCACGACTAGAATGAATGAAAAGTATGAAGAAAAGAAGGACAAATATTGATTTAAACCTCAATAACTTTATACAGGGTGTTGCTGAAAAAAAAGGAAACCGAATTCAATTGTTTTTGTAAGTTGTACCTTGCTACCATGTGGGTGGGTAGTTTATGAAGTGAATTAATTGATTTTGTACAAGTGCTTATTTAGGGTTGTCGTTTTTTTAAGTTGCAAATTACAAAATTAACATTGTGAAATCCATTCCTGACATAGTCAAAAGCATGTGTTTAAGCCATCTCCTTCTGCTGCCTGATAGAGGAGACAAACCTTTGTCTGAAGATTAAACTCACCTGCTGAAATCAATGACTCCATTCCTAACTGATTTATCCTCAGGAATTGCTTTCGAGAAGTCAAAGGTCATAAGTTCAAACTGTTGGGTCAAAGGTCGGCCAGGGTACTCCCAGAGATGATGAGGATCCGTGGCTGCATCACTGCAATCTGATGACTTCTGAAGACAGAATTATAAATAAATCATGACTTAGACAAGCTCTTATCTCTGAATTCTGTGGATATGAATTGTACAACCAAAGAATATGAACATCAAAATTAAAATTTCAGCTCCTCTTAAAATGATAACATTTACAAGAAGGTTGTGAAAATGTAACTGACAGACATATTTTCAGTTGATTTACAAGCTATTTTTTTGATGAATTACAGGTAATCAACATTTGGAAAAAATACCTGTACTGATTTTTTTCTAGTTTTAAAGTCCCGGGAGGTTCTCTTTGGGTATTAGCCCTTTTAAAGAAACAACATACATGAGTTATAATGGTAGTAATGTCGATCTTCATCTTATTTTATCTACCCAGAGGACAAACATTTTTTAGACATCTTAAAGCCAAATTCTAGTTGTAGAACATACCTGTACTACATTGTCGAAGATCCTGACGTTAAAGCCCTCTATGCTCTTCACTGGAGCATGAAACTTCCAAAGGTCATCAAACTGAATGGCGATTCCCATAAGTTTGGCACTAGAGGGCAGCATTTTCACATCCGGTGCTAAGAGAGGACGTAGAGCAGACCAAGCATACCATAGGTAGAGATTGTGCCATGGTAAGAGAGTGGTAATGAAGAATGGTTCAGTGAGGAGTACATCGATCTGAAGGATGGGAAGATGTACCATTTGAACACCAGTCAATTTAATGAATAGATATGTTGAAGAAAGAAAGCAGTAAGGTTGGGCTAAATGAGGAGGATGCTCGAGATGAAAAGAAGTGGAGGGAGGGAGGGAGGGAGTTTCATCATGGTGTGAAAGTTTGCTATACAGAGGGCGCAAGTAGCTACAAGTAGTGCAGTGGGGCTTTAATAAATGATGATGATGATGATGATGAGTACATTTTCTAGCAAAATAAACTTGAAAGAGATATTTTCAATCCATCAACTCATTATTTATAGGAGAATAACCACCAACAGCCTCACCTTGTTACTATCAAGATCCTTTGCTGAAAGATCCTGTGCTCTTTGATCCAATAGTTTAACCTTTGACCCCAAGCTGTTGACCTCAACGACCTTGTCCATGACACGTCTACACATAGATGAAGATTCAGCACTATACACCTTGAGTGGAGGAAGATGGAAGAAAAGCAAAGTTCATGTTATCAACAGAGAAATTTAACCTATACTTTATCATCCATACATCAAGAGATATTCTGTACAAGGACAAGAACCAGAATGGCTGGGCAACCAACATAATGCATTTAAATTTCTTTGTCCAGGGGGGTTTTTCACAAAGATTTTAAGTCAAACTTAACTCTAAGTTGGACTTAAATATTATGGAGAGCCATTTGTAGCCTTATAATGAAATATATTCAAAAGCAAAAAATTAAAGTATTTTAGACTTTTCATAAATTCCACATCAAGAACATGAAATCTACAACGATAATAGAAAATATGAATGATTTGAATCAACATATAACTTTTAAGTCCAACTTAGAGATAAGTTCAACTTAGGATCTTTGTGAAACACCCCCCTGATGGTCTAAGATTCATATGCGATCAAGTTCAACCAAGTTGTGCAGCTTAACATAATTACTTCCAAAAGAAGCATGGTTTAGCATCCATCTACGTTTGAGAAAAGTACACTTGAATGTTGTGATCACTCCAAATCAAAGTCCCCGGTCCCGCAAAGAATCACAAAGTTACAAACCCTCTATCGCTTTTGTACAGAGTTGTGACTGATATCAATATATTGATGAAAGCCACAATCAACGTACTAAATCCAAATCTTTATGAGAAAGTTAAACATGCAAGGGAAAATAAGAATTGCTCTGCTTTACCTGTTTTGCTCCTAGTCTTGCTGCTATGAGCGGTAACATGGAGCCATCACTAACACTGAGGCATATGCTATCATTGGTGATAATCTGTAATTAAAAAAGAAAAGAAGACAGATGTATTGTAAAGACAATATTACATCATCACTTGACAGTTATACAAGATTTGCATCAGCACGTCAGGGAACACATTGCCATACTTTAACAGAATTACCAAAACAGTACATTTTGGAAATCATAGCTATTTTTCTATCATTGCTTCTTCTTGCATAATATTGGTATTGATCAGTGTAAAATATTATCAAAATGGTTGTGAAGGAAATCTTGTCAACCTTACGAGCTGAAGAAAGAAAATGTTTTTTTGGTTCATCTTCAATCTCAAGAGGGCCACTGAAAAGTTGACCATTATATTTAGCTGAGGCAAACTCGAACAGTTCTAGTCAAATTTGAAGATGATGGTCACTCCCAAAGTTCAAAATATTACCCCAAGTTCCAGGAATCTATCGGATTACCTTTTTCATAGCTCTCACAAACTTGTTGGTCCTGTCTTTAGAGTTGAGCATTCCAAACCTTGGTCTACTCCAGACTACATGTGCTCCACAGCGACAGACTGGCCTAACCTGCTGGGTTGGAGGACTCTCATCCCTAGTGCTTACATCAAACCATTGGCTGTAATCATCATGGGTCATCGTCAAGGTGACCGCATCACCTACGATTCAAGACAGAGATGAAGACTAGTAATGAGAAGGTCCAGAACTGATCATGATATAGGATACCACAGGAAATATTTCTCTCTAATGTTAACTGTACAGTCCGAACCTCTTTTGTTACACAAGTTTTGCAATAAAGCATAAACATTCATTCATTCATTTTATTTCCAATTCTCGTAAAAAATACATTCAACAATATATTATACATATAAACAAATATATAAACAATACAAAGAATATGACTGTATTGTAGGTATCAAAAGATTAAATCAGCAGCCAAAATGTCTATTGAGGATATGTTGATGCAGCCAGACACAAATATCAACATTGTCAAAAACTGAACAAATAGTATGTGAGTTTGCATGCTATAGATCATTTTTGTTTTTATATTTTATAATGCTTGAGGCCATTCTCACTGATCTGTCAAAAAGCATAACTTTGTGGACATCTCGCTGAACACGAGTTAATTCATAACGACTGTTTCAATGGGATGTCCACCACTGAACACAGACTACCAAACCTCTTAGTCACATGCAGCCTCACCTTTCTCAACCTGTACCGGTTGATCCAAGAAGTAGACAGCTTGCATCCAATGATCCCTCCAGGGTGCCTTAGACCCATTTTCATGACACCATGTAGGAGCAGTGCTCAGTATAACCTTGCCTTCCGTATCCATGGTAAGATCCCACCACATGAACACACCTAGTACAAGAAAAGATTGATATTAATATCTTCATTAGCTTTGATGCACATCAAGTTCAATTAGCTGTAATAATCCATTGTCTTTTCACACCAACAATCCTAACATACTATATGGCCACATCAAAATATATCCGAGTTTCTTAAATGATAAGTTAGAAGGTAAAGAAGATAGTTGTAGACCAATCCTGGGAAGCAAAGAACCAACTGGGAGGAAAGAGAACTTTAAGATCTGGTGTGGTGGAGCACTGCAAGAGTCCACAAGAATGCCAAAGAACAGAGATGTGTGGAAAAATGTTGAAATCAACCTTTGAGCTGGCTGGGAGAAGATACCATGCTAGATAGATCCCAGAATAGAACTAGATGGAACTTTGATTGCGCGCAGTCAAAAATGATGCCTCCGTTATAGAGCAAGTTTACAAACCAATACAGAAGAAATTTTTCAAATTCAAGTTTCATTGTAATCCATTAACAGGTTTTCAAAATATTGTGATTACAAGCAATTTCTCATATACATATATGACCCTTTGATCTTTGACCTCATGACCCTAAAATCTACTCAGTTCATCGGCTCTGCAAGATATCCTGAGTTAGATAGTAATCCATCTGTCAGTTCTAATGAGAATGCGTTCACAAGCTATTTTTGCATACATAATGAGCCCATGACATTTGAACTTTGACCTAATGACCCAAGAATCTACTCAGTTCATTGGCTCTGCAAGATACATACATGATCTAAGTTTGGCAGGAATCCATCAATCTGTTCTAATGACAATGCGATCATGAGCTGTTTTTGCATACATAATGAGCCCTGTGACCTTTGACCTTTGACCTCGTGACCCCAAAATCTAATCAGTTCATCGGCTCTGCAAGATACATTCATGACAAAAGTTTGGCAGGAATCCATCAATCGGTTCTTCAGATAACGCGATCACGAGCTGTTTTTGCATACATAATGAGCCCTGTGACCTTTGACCTCGTAACCCCAAAATCTAATCAGTTCATCAACTCTGCAAGATACATACATGACCAAAGTTTAGCAGGAATCCATCAATCGGTTCTTCAGATAACGCAATCACAAGAACGGGATGTACGGACGGACAACCCGAAAACATAATGCCTCCGGCTACTTCGTAACGGAGGCATAAAAATATTTATCAGCACAAATAATGTCATAATTTGTTTAAGGTAGATGAATATAACAACGTCTTATATTATCATAGTATAGCAAGACTGTTCTTTATTACAATCTTACATTTATGGCATTTGTGGATACCGTTTTGAAGCCTCTTCTGACATTAAATCCTTTAACTTGTACCACTCCCTGAACTGATGTCCCTTTTCTTGTCTATATAATCAAGAAACGGATCCAAGGCAAAAATAAACACGGACTACTGCATAATCAACCTAATTACAAGCAGGATAACCTTCATGATGTGTTTAGTAACAACTCAGAATGCAAAGCTTAATTAGATTACCTGTTTTCCAAACAAAGAAAGTTCTCACTATCGAGCATGTCTGGTCAATGTCTTCAAGTTCTTATTCATGAATGATACATTGTTGTGTAGTTCCCATGATCATAAACCATTATCTAAGTCTCAATCAAAGGTTGTTAGTCTGCCCATTATCAAAAGAACATTAAGTCCATGTAAATGAGAAAGTTTAATGCTCTTTTAGCTCTAAAGTGATCAGTTGCTACCCCCCCCCCCCAAAAAAGGGGGGGTGAGAAGAAACATCACTTACTTACCTTGACACTTTCCTGTTATCAAGCTTTCACAGCTGACATTCCTTGTCCGATTCTCAGTGAAATCTCCCTTGGTGAAATTGAAATCAATCACACTAAGAGGCTCTGTGATTGGTTGGAATTGATCAGGTGATACCTGGCTAAGCTGAATGTCATGGACGGAGGCTGCCCCAGAGCATGATGTCATCTCAGGGTGGGGTAAGATGTCTCCATGTCCGGAGATTGGAATCGGTTGAAGCTTGTGCCAGCTCCAGACAAAATCTGACTGGACAATTTGTGCTTTGACAACTGCTTTGTGGGGAACACATATGCAGTCATCCTAAAGGGGAAAAGGAAACAAGAAAGTAGTAAAAAGTGGTAGTATTTTTGCAATTTTTTAAAGTGTGCTTGCTCACAAGTACTTTATGAGAAGAATAGAATAACAATAAGTTGGAATCAGGAGTTGATAAACGTTATAGTCATTAGTGGAATTCTCAAGAATGTTGATGGATATTGCACACTAACAGACATAAGGTCTTTTAAATGATTGTTTAGTTTTGAATCTACACTGGACTTTTTTCATTGTAATTTATCCTAATGATGATGCACTACAGACCAATAAAACAACTCACGATTGTTGTCCAGAGAAACTACAAATGATAATGTTTTAAATGTTTTTCCTTGATATAATTCCTCAGTGAATGTGATCTCAAAATATTCAGTAGCTCGGTGAATACTTACTGTCAGAAGATACTTGTGAGCATGTAGATATGTAGGAATAGCTCCCTCCCCAATCAGCTCTGTATCAAAGACTTCAGTGGCAAGAATATTAGCTCTTACTGGCATGTCACCATCTGAAAGAGATAATAATCAGAAGTATATGATGCTCCATTTGTCTTGTGCTGGAATATAGGCCAAAATGTTGTCAAATCATAAAATGAAAGAGACTGGTGTGAAAACTAAATAGTATACTACAAAGAAGACAAAAGACACTGAACACAGATACTTAATGTGATTCTGTACAAGTTAACTTGTTGAGCCCTAGTCATATGTTTAAGTTGTTTAATACTTCATGCACTACAAGACAAGGTTGAAAAAGATGAAACCTAAACAAAATATTGAACGAACAATTTCTATAACACATGCTCGTTGAAATGTTCAAAGACCAAGTATTCTAGGGCTCAGTCTTACCAAAATCAACATACAAAAAATTAACAATAACATTTAATACTAGAAAAGAAATAGTGAAGAGGTAATCAGATGTCACCATCAATACACTCATTCCTCTTAAATACAAGGGGGAAATATGCTTACGAACACAAACTGACCTGGGCCTACGGTGACCTCAGTAGAACGTTTTGAGATGACAGTGATCTTATCTGCAAATCCATTCACTGCTACTATCTTCTTGGCTGCTTCAGCGATGGGTGGGAATGCCTGTGGGGCGGGGTGGGATTGCATGAATGAAATAGAATGGTGTTTAGGGGATGATTTAGTTAACAAAATGATCTTGTTCTTGCATACTGAAATCAACCAAGCAGTGCCACACTGCAGCTAATGATGTTGTATAGTTCATGGTGCGGCAATATTTCCAGACTTGGGATTCATTTATCTTGACTTACCTTTTATACTGACATTAACTCCATAAAATCAATCTACATCTATTCATCTAATGATGTGGTACAGTTTATGATTAGGAGCGAAGAATATATGTTTTTTTTTTCTTCTTTGTAGATTCAAATAAGTACATCGTGCAACCATTCTACTTGGCTAATGTTTTAAATGGAATGTAAACATGTTACAAAGCTTGTTTGGCTCCAAGCTTTCCTAATCAAAGGCAACCAATTCAGGTCTTGATATCATACTAATCATTTTCATTATCTCATCTGAGAAACGGTACATGGAAAGATTCTCCTGAGTTGACCCGGTTTTGATTCACAAATATAATTTCCATACTCTTCTCCACAAAGTGCTCCTCTTCTTCCTTTGAATGATTGACCTAAATGGCTTACTACTACAATTTATACTTTTATCCACAAGAAAGAACAAACAAGTAAACCTCATCCTCAAGAGTCCTACTTTGAAAAATGTTAAGTGCTGAAGTATAAAATATTAGCAGCTCCATCATACTTACTTCACATGCATGAACTGAGTCTGCACCACACTCTGCTGCCATCATTGCCAGTAACCCCGTCCCAGTACCGATATCTAGGACCCTCACCTCCTGACCCCTCCCTCGTATGATGGAGATAGCTCGACGGATACCCTCGTAGTATTTCTTATTCTATAGAAAAGAAAAAAAGAAGCGAAAAATAGTTAAATCTGTTAAAAGGATTGAAATATGATGCAACAAATCTAGAGGATTATGAGAGAGCAACAGTTTACACATGTATGTAGGTATTTTTGTCATATTTTTCTATGTGACTACAGAGCACTTGTAAGCACATCACGATGCTGCAACAGAATAGTGGATTGCATCCTGGGCATTATTTCAAATAATTATCATAAGTACAAGGACGCTGACATCCCATTAAAACAAGTATTTTATAACCTGTGTTTCAGTAGGAGGTTGGTGAACTTCTGCTGAAGAAAATGTTTCAGAAAGCAATGCTCTAGTGTAGGTCTTATTAAAATCAAAAGAAAGAAAAGTACTATATGAGTAATCGGGCATGTGTAGCTTCTCTCATTGCGGCCCTGAAATATGGAACACCCTCTCTTCTTTTGTCCACACTTTCACTGCGATCAACTCTTTCATGAAGAAGATCTAAAGGACACATCGCTTCAATAACTGAATCTTTATTTATATTCTTTTCCTTATTATGTTATTTGTCTGTTTAGCATTGATTTATAATGTGAAGCACACTGAGAAATTTCTATTGGATTGAGCATTTCATTAAAAAATACTGGTATGTATGTATGTAATTTTTAAGTGTGAAAGGAGCTCTGACACTGGTATGTCTGTATGTATTTTGTAAATGTGAAAGAGCTCTTACACTGGTATATACTGTATGTATTTTGTAAGTGTGAAAGGAGCCCTTACACAGGTATGTCTGTATGTATTTTTAAGTGTGAAAGGAACTCTTACACTGGTATGTATGTATGTATTTTGTAAGTGTGAAAGAAGCTCTTACACTGGTATGTCTGTATGTATTTTTAAGTGTGAAAGGAACTCTTACACTGGTATGTATGTATGTATGTACTTTGTAAGTGTGAAAGAAGCTCTTACACTGGTATGTATGTATGTATTTTGTAAGTGTGAAAAGAGCCCTTACACTGGTATGTCTGTATGTATTTTGTAAGTGTGAAATGAGCACTTACACTGGTATGTATGTATGTATTTTGTAAGTGTGAAAGAAGCTCTTACACTGATATGTATGTATGTATTTTGTAAGTGTAAAAGGAGCTCTTACACTGATATGTATGTATGTATTTTGTAAGTGTAAAAGGAGCACTTACACTGGTATGTATGTATTTATTTTGTAAGTGTGAAAGGAACTCTTACACTGGTATGTACCGTATGTATGTATTTTGTAAGTTTGAAAGTAGCTTTTACCCTTTCGTCATCATGCAGCATATCTGTGTAAGCCGAACGGGCAATCTCTTGATGATAATCATAGCTCTCATCTTCCACGACCCATTCTAAAGCTCCTGTGGTTGGATTGACACGGGATGACAGCGGAGCTTGAGACATCCTGGAACAGACTGAAAACTCTCTCCTCAGCTTTGGGAATGTAAGAAAGGCACGGTTTCCAAGTGGACTTGAGCAAGATCTTCCAGCCCGCCACAAGACAAGGATTCTCCTTCTTATCATACACACTAGTGTCTGCTAGAAATAAAAAAATATATTTAATATAGGGATGAACAAAATACATGTACAAGGTGCCAAAGAGTAAATAAAAAGCAGAAGGGATTTAATAGACGTTAAGCCTACCATTCTTTATCCTTCTTTTTTCTCCACATCCTTCACTTAGATTTGTTCCATCGCTTTCTCTTTCTAATCCTTGTGCTGTATTCACCTGTATTCACCTGTATTCACCATTCTCTCTTCTTCTTTTTCTTTCTTTCCTAATTTTTCCCTCTATTTTTTCTCATTCTCGTATCAGGTTATCCGATACTTTGTGCAAGTCTCTAAAAACCCAATCACACACTACAAAATAATAAAGGAGTGGGACAGTCATAACTTAATCACTGCAGAAAAAGCAGGAATCTTCGTAAATATTCAGATGCCTCAAATTCCAAACTGCAACGCATGAATAAAAGGAAATCGGAAATTATAATTCCATGACGTCAATCATATCATCAACACATTCAGTTAGTACTTACAATCTCTGCCTTTTTCTTAGCTTCGACCCAGTACCTTCAAACGATTTCAATTTCGCCTAGACTAGACGAGATCACGCCGGGGCCGCGCGCGGCGACCGAGCCGAGGGATTGCGGCAGCTAGCGCTAGCGCTTTTAGCGAGCTCGCTATATTGGTAAGATCACACTTGCACGTGGTACGCTTCGTGTGTGCCTGTGTTATCATAGACTATTAGGTGGGGGTGGGGGGGGGGGGGGGGGCAAAACGCATCCCTCCCCCTAAGGGACCTATAAGCGGGCCCCTGGCCTGGGTGCTCATCTGATCGTAATTAAATGCCTAAAACTCCTGAAATTCCATGGGCTCTTTTTCGTCTTCCTCTCAGGCTTCTTCTTCCTTCACCTTATCCAAATTATCATTATTATGTTCTTATGGCTCTTTATTCTATTTTTTCTTTTCTTCTCAAATTCACTCTCCTTGTACCCCGCCTTGTACGTCTCTAGGATTTCCGACTATAGGCTACTACTTCGTTTTCGCCACCTATAATACCTTTTAAATTCAGACCTACTATTGCGTTACTCAGTACCGGAGCCTACTCACATACAAGCTATGTTTTTTTTATTTAGGCTCCCCACATTTTACATTGTTTTACCTAGCTTGCCTGTCATAATTTATCTATTATTTTGAAACTTTGTACCTATTTTCCGGACATTAAATTTGATTTGAAATCTGCAAAAAAAAAAAAAAAAATCGTGTTCGATTATAGGCTTGTATAAAAAAAATCAAAACATTAATTTTTTTGTTTTTAATGTAAATGTGGAACAATTAAACTTCAAACTTGCATGCATGCCCTGCAGAACATTTTTCAGACGGTGGTGGAGCGTAGCGTAAATTTGCATGGGGTCCAGGGCCTTTGCGCCGGCGGGGATCAAGGGGCGGAGCCCCCGGAAGCTCAGGGGTTTTAGGCATTAAATTACGGTCAAATATAGCATATTTTAGATACCTATTTGTGACACTGGCTGGCAGGTCACTCATTGACGGGGGGGGGGGTTATGGGGCTGAGCCCTATGAAGCTCAGGGGTTTTAGGCATTAATTACGGTCAGATGAGCATCCATGCAGGGGCACTCCTTAATATAGGGCCCTTGGCGGGGTCCAGGGGGCACTCGGAGCCCATGGAAGCTCAGGAGTTTTAGGCATTTAATTACGGTCAGATGCATGAGCTCCCAGGGGCCCGCCTTATATAAAAAAAAAACAAGGCCTCACTTTGTATCTTTAAAACACTATTTCATTATGAAATTAAATACCCTAGTAATATCAGGGCCCTGTTTTATGGGGCAGCGCCAGCCGCCAGGAACGTCACGACGTGACGGACATAGAGTAGTTCATTTTTGGTAGTTATTATGGTGCCAAGATCTATTATGTATTACTATAAATGTAAATTTTCTTCTTGATATTAATATGTGTCTAACTGAATCTTTTCAGATTGTCAACCTCTAATTCCCTCTCCATGTTGTCTTGTGCCCGTTGTGTGCTGTGCCTATTGTCGATGTGCTGTAGTCTTTAATCACTTCTCATATTTTCTCTTTTCTCCCGTCTTGTCTATAGTCTCGTCTCTCGATTTGTTGTTGTTGTTGTTGTTGTGTGTGTACACTTCTTGTTTTTATACCCCTTTTCCCTATTGTATTCTTAGGTAGTCACAAATATGTACTCATCATGTTTATCTGGCTCAGAGGGGACCCTAAAACTTAAAATCTCTGCTTTAACCGGGGTCTCCTTGTCTTTCTTTTACACCCCATTCACAGTGGCCTCAAACACCGCGACAGCAGCGGGACTGTCCCGCTGCTGTCGCGGTGTTGTCTTCAGTGTGAAGGCTCGGACCCGTTATAAACTATCGCGGGATAACACCGCCTAGCGATAACGCCGACACAAACTATCGCTAGGGACGCCTAGCTACAGCAGCGGGACAGTCCCGCTGCTGTCGCGGTGTTTACTCAGTGTGAAGGCTCTCCGCTATAACACCGCGACAAATACGTGTGATTTGTTTACTTACCTATCACTGACCTCTTTTCTACAGCAATGGGGAACATAAAGTGAAATAGAATTAAAGTAACCAGTGGATTCAAATTGATTTTATTATTATGTAGGTATTATAATTATCCAAATAAAAATATTTCACACTTCAAAAAATTAAAATATTCTGACTGGAAGCAATAAAAATGCTAGTTTTTTAAAAAGTAATATGATCGAGGATACAAAAAGCAACTTGACATGTTTACCGCGCAATTTCAAGCAAGTATTTCCGGTCATATCGGGGTCACTCGCGGGTCATGAGCCATGCATACACGTGTTTGTTACGGAGGTAATAAAAATCACCCGCTGCAGCGTGAATGGGTACATGATATTTATCCCGCTGCTGCAGCGGGATAACTTTTCTACTGTGAATGCATTTGTAGCGGTGTTATGGCGGTGTCGCCGCTCCGCTACAACGCCGCTACAAATTTCAAAACCACTGTGAATGGGGTATTAGTTAACTTTGTTTTTATCATTGCCATAATTCGTTATTTTGCATTGTAAATGTGTAATGATCTAATGTTATGCTCTATGTGTCATTTGAAAGAAAGACGAATAAATGTCTTATCTTATCTTATCTTATCTTATATATTCGAAGCCACCACTATAACAAAGAGTTGCGATTGAGTCCAAATCAATCGCAAGTTTGCAATCTCCTATCTCTTAGTTGCGATTATGATCAACTCTTGTAAAACGTTTATATCAAGTTTCAACGTTTATTTCAAAATTTCTCTCGCGGCACCAAGGTTGACAAAAAAAAAATCGCGCCGTTTTACTGTTTTACTTTCTTTTTCTTTTTTACTTGGCCGCCCAAGGGGGGGGGGGTAAAAACCGCCGAAACACCCCCCCCCCCCCTAGATCCGCCCCCTGAACGGAGTTAAGTCTTTTGTCAATCCTGTTTGTTGCTACGGCAGGCAGCCAGTGAAAACGAATTCGTTTCATAAAATTATGGAAATGCAAGCACTATTTTAAACAAGCAGAACTTTGTTATTCCTTGCTCATTTTCCAGATTGAGGTGTCATATTATGAAAGGGCAGAAACTCAACTTTCTAGAAATGTGATTTTCTCTTTGAAATTTCTCAGGTACCGTCCGCCAAATGACCTTTTGGTTTCCTCTCTTCAAATTGCTTTTAATCACTCATGCGTGAAATATGCATCACATGAGTTGCATCAAATGTTGTAAATGTGACTAAGTTTATGATAAAACATCGATAATTCTCCAGGCGCGGATCCAGGATTTTCTAATAGGGGGGGGGGGGGGGGGGGCGGAAATTCGAAATTCGCGCAGACCGTTATTTAAACTTACCAATAATGACAAGGTCATATTAGAAGCACTGTATTTTAATAGTGTACTGGTACCTACAAACGGGCACAATTATTTTGGAAAGGGGACATGCTCACGTCACATCTCTTGTCCGATATCAACATTCCCCGTTTTCAAGTTATGCTCGCGCGCAATTTTTTTGACATTTCCATCAGTGGGGGCTGAAGCCTCTTGCCCCAATATCTATTTCCTGGTTTAATAATTTGGTGAGTGAGCGAAGCGAGTGAGCGGAAATTTGAGCTTATGTATGTTGTGAAAAGTGTTAATTGTCACCAAAATATACGAGATAAGATATAACAAATGCATATTGGTAATTTTTATATTTTCGGGGAAAGAGAGGCTGCAACACCATCCCGCATTAACTGCAGGTGTTTTGAAATCAAATCAGACTCCCCAAAAAAGTATTAACCAAAACGCACGAATCCAGTTTCAAAAATCCAAAAAAATGTCAGCTTCAGAGGGGGGCACATCACCCCTCAGACTCCCTCTAAAAGTATCAACCGAATCGCACGAATCTAGGAAAAAAAAAAAATCAGCTTCAGAGCTAGAGAGGAACCCCCCCCCCCCACACACACACACACACACACACACAGAGATACCCCCTGTGCGCGCAAGCGTGAAATTAACGTTGGCGCTAATGCGTAAGCAGGGGCGGCGGAGCTATTTCCAAAGTGGAAAGCACCAACAAAAAAGGGCACCTACAAAGCGAAATCTCAAAGCGAAAATATACATTTTTTTAGACATTGGTATATACCCTTTCATTGTGATCCCATTATCAGGGACGATTTCAATATTTGTTTTCCTTTATATATCATACAAGTTATTGCTTAAGCGTCACACTTTCGGTTGAGTGTGATTGTCTGAATATTCATTTGCGAGCGAGCAAAGCGAGCGAGAATAAAATATAAGAGATCTGTGAGGTCGCAGAGTGAAAAATTACATCTTATAAAGAGGAAAAAACAAATCATGATGGGGTTATAAGCATCACGGAAGACTGAAAAAACATTTGTTTTAAAGTGACATATAATTGTATCATCTATAAATGCGAGCGAGCGAGCAAGCTTTAGGGGAAATTACTCTTAGTCGCTTTAAATTAGGTGCAAGACTAATGATGAGCAGGTTAGGGGCACGTGCCCCCCCCCCCCCCCGTGCCTACGTGCCTGATGATGAGAGGTTAAGGGGACACATATCGAAAGGGATAAAGACACTTATTAGAAAAGAAAAGGAGCATGTGTCAAGGTACAAAGAGTAATTATCAAAGGTTCAAACTGGGCACTTCTTACACCTGAAAGGAGGCACTCACCAGAAATGAGATAGGGCACTTATGAGTATGGGAAATGGGCATTTGTCGACGGAAAAGGGGCATCCATCAGAAATTGATTTATCAGAGTTGAAAAGAGGCATTTATGAAAAGGGGATAGGTCCTTTAATAGAAAGGAAAAGGGGCACGATTCAAAATTAAAGGGCAGTTAGCAAAGGTGAAAATGGGCACCCATCATAGATGAAAAGAGTACTTATCAGGAGGGGAAGGGGTACTTTTCAAAGTAAAACGAGCATCTCTCAGATTTGAATAGGGGCAATTATCGGAAGTGAAGAGCGCACTGAAGTGAAAAGAATTAACTTCTCATATATGAAAATGGTCATTTACCAGAGATGAAAAGGGACACTTTTTATTTATGAAGGGCCTCATTTTTCTAAATAGCCCTTATCAGATAGAAAGGGGGCACATGTGTTGATGAAATGTGCGCTTATCCGAGTTAAAAAGGGGAAGGGGCACTTCTTTACAAAGTAAAAGTGGCCCTTTGGGGGGGGGGGGTACTTGAAGAGTGGGGCGAACTTTGCCCCCTACCCCTGCCACCCGCCCCATCATCTGAAAATCCAAAATGAGGTTGTAGGGGCCGGGCGCGGCTTTGTCATGAGTGCTTTTATGTGAACCTCTTTTTTTATATATATATTATGCTGGATTCCAACCCAGATTGCACACTCTAAAATGATAGTATGATCATCCCCAATACGCTTGTAGTTCACGTATGCACCCCTTCCTCCTAATTCGTCGTTACCGTCACTGCCATTTACGTATGGCCGGCCGGCGTATTTTTTATTTACACGCTAGCGAGGGGAATTTCTCGATTAATTCCAATGAAACCGCTTAAAATTCCAATTTACATCGAGGAGAAAGTTTGCTTAACTTTTTTTTGAAACACTTGAACGGTTATGGAAACTGTTTGTGTTTCTAATCTCCAAATATTAATATTATTCTGCATCAATATAAAACATTGATTTCTACTGTGATATGTAAAGGCACGAACTTACGTTAATACATACACATATTTTGTTTTGTAACCAAGAAGGTGCACCATGGTAATACATTTTAACAAACACATCAACATGTTACCTAGACAACTCATCACCATAGCCATTGTAAAACCATATATTAATGATACATGTAAAATATAGATTGAAGCAATTCTCGTCGATTGGCTGTATCCTGAGTGTGATTTTATATAATGGATTTTGAGTAACATTTGCATCTACCTGTAGTTGAAGAATAGATACAGTGTATAACATTAATTAAGTTGGAGTTCAATTGGAAGGAAGTAACGAGGAATATCGAAGCAAGGGAGACTGGGAGATGAGGAAAGCAAGTAGTTAGAAATTGAGAGATTACTCGCGTGATAGCCGTGCATTAATGAATCCTTTATGTTGTCTTGAGAGAAAGTAGACGATTTTTTTTTTTAATTGGAGATTAGTGCAAGTATTAGATATATTGGAAATAGAATTAATGAGAAAGTTATTTTTTATCGAGATCATACATGAGGGGGGGGGGGCACCATCAAAATAGGGCACTTTCTGGAATATAAGGTGCATCTACAAAGGGAAACATAAAAATGTAAATCTACCATATTAAGACATTGATAGACGTACGCGTAACGCATGTCACACACAGAAAAATGAGAAGAAAAGAAAGAATTTTTTTTTTTTTAAAGAAGATAGAGGAAAAGGAGAGAGACAGAGAGAGGGAGAGAAAGAAAGAAAGAAAGAAAAAAGGAAGAACATGAAACTTAACTTTACACTTAGGCCTACATATTACATTTCCGACTGAGTTGGCTCGACATGTGCTTAAGTAGTCTGCGGACGAAAGTACAAAAATACGAAAACATAAGTTATATGAAATTTTCTTTAAGAGAGAAAGAGAGGTTAAATTCTAAAATGAAATGAAAGGGGTTATGTGACTCTCAAGGAGGAAATTACAATTTCTATCGCTCATGACGACTATTTGGAATTTCCTAATTTTTTTTAAAGTTCAAGAACTTCCTGGGGCTCCGCCCCATGCAAGACTCCCGGCAACAGCAAATTATTTACAAAATTTCTTGCTGTCTGCTGTCTCGAGAGCGAAGAAAGGTAACATATAGCAAGAATCCCTATTCAGTGAAGGATTTATCCCTTTTATTATTAAAGACTCCCGACAAAGGCTCTCCCCTGCAAAATTGGAGAGAGTTTTATGTAGTTTAAGCTTCTAACAACCACGCCCGTGGACCTTTTATTATTTACACAAAGGTAAAAGTGTATAGCAAGAATCCCTATTCAGTGAAGGATTCATCCTTTTTATGCAGATGCTTCTTCTACCATTCTTGACCAGAAGTGCGTTTCAAACTCAATGATATGGGCATCATCCCATTGAATGTTATGTCCAGTGTTACGGGTTTGTTTTGCTACTTGCTGCCTAATCTGAGGGCTCTGTTGTGCTCTTTAAAAAGAGGACACAATAGGGGCGGCGCAATCTAAATATTAAGGAATGTATTAGAGTTTATTTCTAAAATGAAATGAAAGGGCTATTTGACTTTCAAGAGCGATACAAACTCTAATCCATCCCTTGAAATTTAAATTGCACTGCCCCCATTCAGTGTGCCATTTTCAAAGAGCACAAAAAGGCTTCAGATTGAAGATTCCATCTCATAAAATTGTCTATAAGAGAGAAAGAGAGTTTATTTCGAGAGAAAAAATGAAATGAAAGGGCTATTTTGACAAGAGCCCTTTCATTTCATTTTAGAAATAACCTCTCTTCCTCTCTTATAGAAAATGTTCTCTCTTGAAAGTCAATAACCCTTTCATTTCATTTTAGAAATAACCTTTTTTTCTTCTCCTTAAGACAATTTCTCTCTTGAAAAGGCTCTGCCAGACCCCTCAAGCTCTGCCATGTTGTATGGATCCATTAGAAAGCAAAATAAGCCAACTCAATAACTGATTATATTAAAACGTCATAGCGATTCATCCAAATAAGAAATCCACGTAAGAGGCATTTTGAAAGTTTTAAGAAAATTCTTTCAAATTCCAGGATATTGGGTGTTCTTTTTCAGGAAACTCTATTTAAACGAGTGGAAGCACTGGCGGTTCTGTTTTTTTTTTTAAACTGTAACAATTCTCCTTGGATCAGATATAGACCAAAAACAAGCCTCATTATCTTTAGTATATACAAGTGTCATTTCGGACCTTACAGCTTTCATAGAAATCGCTTCTGGACCGTCAAAGAAAAAGTTTGAGAACCCCTGGTCTACGCATTATACACATCAGGACCAACTTGACAACTTGACAAAAATTTGAGGGGGTTCGACCCCCCCCCCCCTGCGTACGCGCCTGCATGTGCATCCCTTCCTCCTTATTCCCTTATCCATCGTTACCGTCACTACCATTTGAGTAGGGCCGGCCCTCTCCTTAATAACGACTCCCAAGCCATCAAGAATGACCCCATAATTTATAGATTACCATTCTGCCGTTCTTTGGAGGGGCAAAACAAAAATAAGCAAAAGAACAAACAAACAAACGATCAAACAAAAATTGACCTACATCAAGACTGTACTACAGATCAAACATTGTCGGGTTGCTGGCCAGCTACCACTTCGAGTTGTAACATTTCTTTTCATGGGTGACATATAATTATGATCGGATTGTTCAGATTTATATAGACCAGCAAAATATGACATTATTATTATTTATAAGAAGAGTTTTAATTTCTTCAGCTGTCCTATACCGGAATATTAAAATAGATTCAATAAGTGAAATGTGCGAGGGCGCTAACTATTACTTCACGACCTAAATATATCTCTCTTAATTTCCTTTCTGAAAAAAGGCATACCGTATAATAGAATTCATCACCAAACTCATGCATATCACAACATGGGCAATTTTTAAATACTAATTTCACTAAAAGTTTATTTGAATCTGTTATATTATTAATTGGTAAACGATGTGGCTGCATCTAAACCAGTTCAATGTTTAAAAATAGAAGTTCGACTATCATTTTTTGATCAGCAAAACTAAATACCTTTCACTGTAAGACAATCATTGTAAAGATCCTATAAATTAGGCACACACTGTTTGACCAAATTGTTGCCATCGCATCTTGTTTTGAAATTTTGAAATTTTTATTATATACATTTTTTTAGTAAGTGATCATACAACCACCTCCCCCCCCCCCCCCCCCACTGAGCGAAATATTGTTCTGCGCGACTTTCTCATTTTCGGGGTCAAACATCATTATGCTCACTACCCCCCCCCCCCCCCCACCCCCGAGCATAATGATGTTTGACCCCGAAAATGAAAAAGTCGCGCAGAACAATATTTCGCTCAGTGAGGAGGGGGGGGGGGGGGGTGGTTGTATGATCACTTACTAAAAAAATGTATATAATAAATTTTAAAAATCGCCGCCCCCCCCCCCCCCCCCCCCGTGGATCCGCGCCTGGACCTATACATTCTGACTAATGAATATCAGGATTCGCCCGAACTTTTGCAAAAAATAAAATTGAATATCATATAAGCCCCTTTTACTTTTACCAGCTAGAAACCGACCATTCGATGTTGGAACTAACCGTTCCATATTATTTTTTAAAATGTACGTTTTCGCAACAAAAATTGTTCTTTTGAATACGTCATCATCTATTCTTTGTTTTTATCTTCATTTTGTAATGTATTTTCTATTTGAATTGAAAATTCCATTCACATATTCCTCGTAAATGATCAAGGATAATTCTTGAATGATCAGTTATTTCATAAGGATACCTTGAATTAACTTGTATTTTGCCTGTTTATATGCTTATGTATTTAACTATCTTGTTTTTGCTGCTGTTATTTTGGTTTATTCTTACCAAACAGGGCATCATTTAAGACGACCAAATCAAATCGGTGACTCTACCACCCTGTATCAATATCAGAAATAAATAAATAAACATCGAATCGAATGTTGTTATCTTTGTGGTCGAGATCTCCCCGTATACGCGTATTGAGTATAGAAAGGGCGAGTTATATTAACAAGGGTTTGGAACGACTTGTTTACATGCTATGCATGCACATAATTGTGCAATTTCGTTGTTCAGTCTAGACTACGTGTACTTACGCCTACCAATGTCTACGTTATCAAGATTTTCAGCATAATCTGTATCGACGTAAGTAAATGTCTGTGGAAAATGTGGTACGAGATTGCTTCTTAATTTCCTTAATAATCTTGGCTTCCATAATCTGTTGATAAATGCATGCATGGTACTGCTACTACCGCTAGGGCTAGACAGATCTGCTAGTTTTTGACACAACAAAAGTCAACACAACTCGCACTTGCACTCCACTCACTGTTTACAATTACACGGCGTAATTCGCAAGCAAGCGCAAGTTGCATGATGCTATGACTTTGAGCCATAAATCTGGTCTGGATCTGGATCTGGAGCTGGAGCTGGAACTGTAAAACTAAAACTTAAAGTCAAAAGGAAGTGCAGTGCAATATGGTATTTTGTTAGCGAATAACGTTTGTAGAAAATGATGACCCTGGCTTTAGCATTTACTTTAGGCTTCAAAGATTAGATCATTTAAATTGGTCTGATTCAGTCAATCACACTTGTGAGTGTGACACTGACAGACTGACACTAGTAGGGTGTCTGAACGATTTTTCAATTTTCAATTTGGGATCGTTTTTCACCATTTTTGTTTGATATTTGAATAAAAAATGTTATCAGAATAATACATTTCAAATTTCAAGTCTCCCCGATGTTTCTATCAAAAGTTACAGCCCCTCCAACACGCTGGTATATTCATATCATTTTGGTCAAAATCGACGAAAAAGACGTCCACGCAGAGTGATGTTGTTTTGCTAAATTTAGCCAAACAGCTGTATCGCGCGATATGCAAGCGTATGCATATCGTACGCATGCTGCTAAGCCAATCCGCGACTTGCAGCTTGAGCTACGCTGTCTCCGCGACATGTGCGATTGACTAGTATGGTTGGCGTTCGTCGCACAATAAACCCGGAAGTGAATGCACGTTATAGTCAATGGCAATATCGCGGAGACAACGCACGTTGTCTCCGCGATATTGCCATTGACTATAACGTGTATTCACTTCCGGGTTTATCGAGGGAATTGCCAACCATAATTTCAGTCACTATAATGTGTAATTGAATTTGGGGTTTCGTTCGTGCGCGGAGATGTTACGCGATGTAACCATGGTTTGGACTGAGCGGAGCGCACGCCTCCTAATTAGCTGATCCACCAAATAGCGAGAAGGGTATTTTTAAACTGTTATCAGTTGTGATCCCTGGGGGCTAGCGAAAATATAATCACATAGAATTGTTCCTTAGGACTGGGACTACTTATCGATCGGGGCGTCATATCTCAAAAGTGACAAACCTCAGAGTTAGCCAGGACACAATGTTTAAATTGCTGTTTTGACCAAGATATTTTTAGAATTTCGGGGGCTACGCCCCTTTGGAAATATTGGAATTCACCTGCTCTTTCATATGACACCTCATTCATTGATTATCACCTTCAGGATCACAACTGATAAAGGTTTGAATCTCGATTTGAAAAAAAAAAATTGACTTTTTTTGCATGGTCGCGCAATGCACGTAGGCTGCATAGGGATGCGTGTAATCTCTATGGGAAGAATTTTAGCACACAACATCGGGTGCGCGATCAGACACCCTAACACTAGTCTAGACCTAGTGACTAGCAAGTTTTTGCACGGCGATGCAGGTGCTGACTACGGCCCTTTGTACAGGGTATTTAAATGAACTCGCTACCCTGTACTAGCTCAACTCCCGATGCTAATACAGCTGAATACCGTCGTAGATTTGGACGCTACATGTGCGACCCCCTGCGAAGATTAGTGTTGTAGAACTTAGAAGGCCGCGTCGCCGGTTGCGAAAACTCGCTACTGACAGTGACAGTCAGTGGCAGTGCTACTAACTATAGTACTACTCTAGTGCTACACTGCTAAGCCTAATGATGTAATGATAAAAAGATGCGTGAGTGCAGTGTCTGTCAAGCAGACATTCAGCTAACTCCAGGGAGCTCCGCATAGGAAAACGATTCAAACAGCAGGTTGGGTCACATTTTTTGAAATGTGAAGAAGTAGTAATTACAATTTTGACTTGGGCTACACAGTTACAATGTTTTTTGACTCCTCTGGGCATCCATTCAATCACTTGAAATTATAACTTGAAAAATCTTTGATGGAAAAAAGGGTGATACCTCGTCATACCTACCCCATTTCATCCCATATTTTACAGGATGTATATCGTCAAATCAAAATGGCGATGAAAAAGTACGCATGCGCAGCCACTACTGCGCATGCATACTTTTTTGCCGCCATGTTGGGATGAATTGGGTAAGGATGAGGAATCACCCTTTTACCCATCAAAGACTTCTTCAAATTATAATTTCAAGTGGTTGAACGGATGCTCAAAGGAGTCGAAAAACAATGTAAGTCAAAATTATAAGTAATACTACTTCTTTACATTTCAAAAAAATCTGACCAAACATGCTGTTTGAATCGTTTGCGTATGCAGGCTCTGGAGCTTAGGCAGTAGAGCTCCCTGGAGTTACATTCAGCATGTTTCTACTGTGTACATGAGACCCGGAAACAAAAGGGCTTGCTAAACCGTTGTGGGAAAGTAGTTACTATAATTAATCAAATGTTGGAATTTTCAGGAGATGAAATTACAACACATGTGACATGTACAATTTTTTTTCTTTCCCCATATCTATTTCAGACTGTTTATCTGGGTGTCTTCATTTTTTATGCTGCGTCTTCATTCTTTATGGTGCACAAAACGTGAAAGCCTAAAAACTGTTTTTGTTCCACAAAAAGGAGAGATCCAATAAGATCCATGTACAAGAAACCAGAAATTTGAAATTAATCTCATCAAGGAAACGGCATCATCATAATCAAGAATGCCTACTACTACAGCAGGGCAGCTTCCCATGCCCCCTCTCCAGACCTATGTGGCCATCAGCTTTCTGTTCCTAGCTTGGTCTGTTCTACAAGCCAGAGAAGGACTGTCCTTACTAGAGACCATGCAGGCTGGCACTGAGAAAGGTCATGAGGGTTTAAGTTCTGTTCAGGAGTCTCTGATCAACCCGATCACTGGCGAACCAGATAAGGGGGAAAGTTCTAATGACGGACTGGAGAAGCTTCTAGGTGAGATGCTGTTTCATCTTGTTATTTCGTTCTTGTATTTTTCTCTCAGCTTACATGTATCATTTGATATGTTTCCAGTTATAATCGTCCTACTTGTGTCATTTTCTTTCAATGATTTTATGAATTATAACTATTGAAAGTACGGCAACAAATTCAGAGAATATAGTTAGCCTCGAAGGAGTGTAAAAACTGGGGACTTATACGGTTATGGGGAAGTAATTTTTCATAGTAGACTCCTATAAGATTTTAAAATATGAGATAGTTAGATAAAGCTGTTTTTTATTTTGAATTTTATGGAAAAAAGGAAATGAAACTTTGATGCTAGCATTTTCTCTTCTGTCCCTTCATAAATGAATTTGTAAATAAATATTAATTTCAAATGAGTTCTTTATCATTTTATATCCTTTTAACTCTTTTTCAAAGTTTTCAACAAAAACAATACTTCTTAGATTGAGAGTTTCTGAGGTATTCAATTGTCCAGAGTGGCTATTTCAAATTCTGTATGATGTATAAATCATGTAAATGTATCTTTCATAGGTATTAAACCTGGAGAGTTGGATTCATATAACACCTATTCACTGGGATCTCGTGGAGACCAGACTCCCGAAGGAACCCCTGCATCGTCTCCAGCGACGAGTCCTTACGATGGATACCTCTCAGGATCAAAACCAGGTCCTGGTCCAGACCCTGTCTCTCCTCTAGATGGCGGTGAAGGCATGCAAAGGATTCATGATCAGGAAGGTGTTATGCCTAGTCCAGAGCAAATTGAAGAAGAGATCTTCCGTAGCTTGTCATTTGACTTTGGTATCCATCCTGATGATAGTGACATGGTCAAGATGATGAAACTCATGCTACAAGACTCCCTCTCTGTGGTTGTAAGTAATGCAAATATGGCATGTTTCTCACTTTTCAAAATGTTACTTTAAGCTTGCTTGTAACGAAAATGTGGACATGATTACACTTTACCTTTTTATCTTTTTGTGGTGCCAAGCTTGAAGGTAAAGGCCAGTTTTGGAAATGCCCCCCTCTCAAAAAATTGAACGGAAGCTCTTATTACCAATCATGTGAAAGAATATGTTTTGACTAATACGTGACCATACAAATTTTGCAGAGAAACCGCCTACTAATTAATATATTTGGTAAATTATTATAACTATTTGGACCTGATAGATATAACGCACGTGTCGCGCACGTGTCGCGTAGTCCCATATACATCTTTCTGTGTACAGTGCTTGTAACTTTACCAAGACTGGGCCAAATTTCTTATCATTTTGATGATTCCAGAACCTTGCAGTACACATCAATATGTTGCTAGATGATCAACCTTTCTGATCGATTCCACAACGTTTCTTTCACAATGCAATCGCATGACCATAACTGGTCTTTATAATGCATCTTGAATGCTTTTAATTTTGTGATGTCGCCAAGTAGTGGTGTTTACTTTTCACCCAAAACAACTTTTTAAACATTTTTATGTTTACAGTACATGGTCAAAAGTATGAATAATCACATGGATTCTAAGAGTTAACTCGGACCAGAACTGTTTACACTGCTAAAATGTGTAGATGCTGTATACAGGTTCATGTATGTCAGAGCTTTTATATTTGCTATGAAACAGGAACCTTCATTTGTCAAACCTGATGTATGGGAGTGAAAGTAAATTCCATACATCAGGGTCCACTAACTGTTTTTGGAAGGTGGTCCAAATATTAGTTTTTACATGTGTGCATGAGCCCTATTAATTCACCACTTTGATTTTGATTTGTCCAGGTTGTAATCAACATGGCATTTTGTTGCCTCATCCTCCTGGGCAAGGCTATCCAGTATATTGTGTTCGGCAACCTTCGAGTCATGGAGAGACAGGTAAGACCTTTTATTCAACCTTTTTATATGTTACATCCATATATTGTATCTTGTAAGTGTGCTGCTTCGTCTGCTCTCTATGGTTTATATACTACATTACATCAAGGTTGTTGTACTTATTGTACATCAAGATTCACTAGATCATGCAGATATGTTGTTAAAGAGAAGAAGAAGAAAATGGGTTAGCTCATGTTTAAAGACTTCAAGAAAAATCTTGGATCTAGATTGTAGAAAAGAAAAAAAACAGAATGCTAATACATGAGGCTGACCTTACCTTCCCTAATCATTTATCATTATGACAGCTACAACTTTCAGGCTACTTGTTCCTTAATAAATTTTCTGAAAATATGAAATAGACAGAAATTGGACCTCTTTCTAGTTGTGTTACAGCGTGTGCCCTTGGAATGATTATGAGCACGATGACAATAGACCAATAGTTCATCAAATTCAATGTTCAAATCATTCTTCCGTTGGATAAACAAAGATATCATAAGGAGTTAATGTTATTTCTGACTTTGGGAATTCAAATCGATAGATACTTGTTATGACTTTCCAAATACCGGTATGTGTACATTGTGCATGTATATGGATGAGTGCATTTGATGTATGTGCAGTGTATACACAAACAGAAATGTTATTTTGTATTCAAGGTCAATCAGGCTTTTTTTGCACTCATAAACCAACTACATGACAATGTACAACATTGAGAACAGCAAACCTCTTTTGAAACTCAAGGATTTAATAGTTAGACTGTAGACAAATACATGTGAATACAGTGACCTTCATGGTGTAACATTAACAGATCATGCCTTCTACCTGGTACTGGTTTGTTTGCTTGATACAGTGGAAGTCATTATACCTGTGTCAGAATACATGCTGTTTGTGTATTGAACATAATGGAGACTTTGACCCCACAATCAATAATATGATATTGAACATGTACTGTACCTTCATATTTACAAGTACTGCTTTATTGAAATCCTCTCTTTACATTATATATACCGGTAATGCAACATCAAAAACATGTTGTTGTTGTTTTATTTTGTTGTTGTTGTTTTTTTTACTTGTTTTTTTATAACTTGAAATGCTGTAAAATGATTCATGAATCCAGTACACTCATTAATAGACATGTAACTGTTTCACGACCTGAAAACATACCACTGATTTTTCATGATTATTTTTTACCTTACTAGTATTGTTGATATCTGTCAATCAGAATTTGTGTTTTTGCTTGTGTGGATTTCCTTCTTTGTTTTAAATACCAAAACAAATTGAAGTCATTAGATAAAAAAAAGCTAGATGGGTATTTTGAGATCAGATAAGAAACAATTGTTGGAAAATGGAAATTTACAAAATTATTCTTGATGAAGTAAATAATTTAAAGATAGTACCTCATAATTCAGTGGCCTGATTTTTATTTTGAAATGGTCTGAATCAAACCTGGGCTGATATGGTTCATTAATTTATGAAGCACTCGAAGTCAGGAAAAGAAATGAATCAACTTTAAACTTAAAGATGAGACATCGATACAGTGATGACATGATTTCATTAACTAAGTTACTTAAAGAATTACTTATTATAATAATTCAAACCGGATGAAAAGATTGATACCTGAGTTGACACTCGATAAATGTACATGTACATGTAGTGTGGATCAACAACAGAGTGAGTTGGTATTGACCAAGGTTCATATAGGGCTTCATAAACAATCAACAATGTACATGTATTCTTGTTATTTCCACCATAGTATACCGGTATTAGAATATCTGAATCTATACAGTCCATGTATTTTCCTATATGTTTGCCTCTATCTATTCCATCTCTCTGTTACAATAATTATTGTATATTTCCTGCTAGCATCTTCGTGACAAGCTGTGGAACTTCTCTTTCTACAAGCTCATCGTGGTCTTTGGCGTACTCAATGTTCAGACACTAGAGGAGTTGGTTCTCTGGGTTGGATGGTTTGCTATTCTAGCCTTCCTTCATGGCTTTGCTCAACTGTCCAAGGACAGATTTGAATATGTGAGTACATAACCTCTTTATATTTTCTAAGATATGAGTTCATACATGTAGCTGATCCAATATTTCTTGCAGTTAGAGTTTATCTACCAGCTTATATGGTCTGATATGAATGGAAATGCTTGATTATAAATTAACTAAAACATTTGTGTACATTTTTCTACAGTGTTCATGAAAACTTTGTTTTTTTCATGGAATTAATTTTTAAAAAATTAGCCATTTTTTTTTAAGAGTGCACCCTGTACACACACTTTACTGACCTCTTGCATAAATTGACTCTACTAGAGTTGAAGCAGTGCTTTATATTCCTATGATTTCTACTTCTAATCTGTCTGAATCACCTCCCCCCTTTCTTTGTATGTCTGTCTGTATTCTCCTTTCTCCTGCTCTCTCTCTCTCTCTCTCTCTCTCTCTTTCTTTGTTTCTTTCTTTGTTTCTTTCTCTCTCTCTTTACATTTGCAGGCTTCATGTTTGATAACCTTCTCTTCATTCTTTTTTCACCCCACAGCTTGCCTTCTCTCCGACGACGTCCAGCAAGACACACAGTCTTGTAATCAGTCTACTGTGTCTCATCTTGACTGTGACCTGTGCACTCATGGCCGGTAGCTTCTATCTCTGTTATGAGTTGGACTGGAATCTCCTCTTCTTTATGCTGGCAGAGGTGACAATAAAATAGAACATTTCCTTTAAAGCCTGTCTGTACTAGTTTGGCCAGGGGGGGGGGGTTAGACCACCCTGCAAGGCCACTGACAGGTGGTTATCTCATCAAATCAGCTCTCAATAAACATAACAAAAAGGGGATCATGGGGGACCAATAGACACCGATTAGGCATTGTTTGCTATATAGAGGGCGTAAGAAGCTATAAGTAGTGCAGTGGGGCTTTAATTGAGGGATTGTGAAAGGTGAAAAATGTAATTGTTACCTGAATTTACACATCTTTATACTGTGATACAGAATTCATGTATGAAATATATTTAGTTAGGTGCTTTTGGTAAATAGGGGATACCTGATATTTATTATTTACAATTTCCAAATTGCATATGATGCCTAAGAAATGAATTAGTAGGCCAGTTTATAAATAAGCACATGGTACAAATACCATTTTTGTATCCATAAATCCTTTACCCATGGAGAGGTCCTACATGTAAATTGTTCATATGAGAATGATGGCTCTAAATGTTGTGGAGGTGCCTCATAAAAGCTAGTGTTTCCCCTTTTGAGAAAAATACTTCCTATTATATACCGTAATGTGTAGTATGCACTATGCAATACACTTCTGCATCATGAAGTAATAAGGATTCCCTGATATTCAAGAGTATGTATCCAGTATTCGTGAATCTTTGGATATTATAATGGGTAAAGATAGGCTTTATTTGGGCAGTTATGACTGGACTGGCTTGGTTTCCATCTAGGTTGGTTTTATGTACCATGCATGTGAATATGTTTCAACAAAGTACTACATTTTGAGAGACTACTCAGTATTTCATATGAGAATTCAGAATCAATTATCTAATTTGTTATGTACAGTATTTGGGAATATTATATCAATTTATCATAGGCCCAATAGCTTACATTATTGTATACTTTTTTTCCCTCTCCACATTTCAGTGCATTCTGGTGAGCATTCGTGCTATCTTCGTGCTCGCAAGGTAAGTACACTTGATTTCAATCAGCTGTATCTTCCTGTCTTACCAGCAAGATGTACCTTCTGCCTTTTAATTGTCCTCACGTTGTCATTTTGTATCTATTTCCTGTACTGTGTCAATGGTTTTGTGTCTGTGATGTGGTCACATGTGATGCTCATGTATACAATCATCACTAACTGATCTAATTTTTTCTTTGTAATGTTCGAGCAATTTAACTTAAAGGGCAGTCTCTTTTTTTTTCTCTCTTTTTCTTTTTTTCCATCAGAGAAGTGATTATACATATATGCAGGGAATTTAATTTCTTCTTTGTGTAGAATATGTGTAAAGTAGATTGAAAGTCCTCAATAGAATTGTAAGATATAGAAATAATGCATTGTTTGAGACATCAATGTCAATTAAGAATTGATTAATATGTATAGTGATAATTCCATTTGAAGATGTCAGGTTGATTGTTAACCATTCCCCTTCCCCAAATAGTGATGTGAAAATCAGAATTTTGAAACAACATGTAATCCTCCAGATATAAGCATACTACATCTCGTTTGTGTTTTCTTCAAATTCTTTCAAGATACAACCTTTAAGTTGTATTAATTCTTTATGGATATCCTTTATGGCAGGAAAGCATATACAGTCAAACCTGTCTATAGCGACCACCCAAGGGAAACACAAAAAGTAGTCTTTGTAGACAGGTGGTTTTCATAGACGGGTTCCTTTAGTACATGTTTCAATGAGAAACCATTTTCAAGGGAAACAAAAAATGTTCTTGTTGTAGACAGGTGGTCATTAAAGCAGGTTTGACTGTAGTACCCTTTCATTCTGTTTCTGTGTTCTTGTGTAGGTATGCTATCCACTTGTATGACCTACATCATGAGGGAGTCTGGGAGAACAGAGGGAGTCTTATTTACCACACAGAGCTGGTCCTGGAACTTTTCACCCTTACACTCGATTTTGTGCACCATCTCCACATGCTGGTGAGTTTACCTTTACTAAAATTAATTTCTATTATTTTGAGTGATAAATTCCATGTCAACTGATAATGGTGATGCGTGAAAACTATTGTTTCAAGAAGATGTTTATCAGCAAAAAAGAACGGGTGTTTTGTTATTCCATTATTTCTTGATTTTCTCTATTATTTCATCTCTGTGATTGATGGGACTTATCTGCGCTCTTAAAGGGATAGTTGAGTTCTGTTTTCAGACCGCAAATGCCTTCAAAGTGCATGGATATTGCTCTTATTCTTAGTTATGACATTTATAGTGCCCTTTTAGAACCTAAAATTGCTATGAAGGAAATTTCTGACCCCAAAATGTGTGAAATTTAGCCAATACGATCATACCAATTCAGCGATTTTGATCAAACAAAGATGATTTTGTAATTTAAATATTATTTTCTTTCAAATTTGACTCTCAGCTGTTCATTATCTCACAAAAAAAATTATTTTGTGTAGCGCCCTCTGCAACAGAACTCAATTATCCCTTTAAATTTTGTAAATGTCGAGCTTGTTCCTTGAGAACATTTATATGTGCGTGCCTTCAAAATTTTGCTGGAATCCAATAACAAAAAAGGTGAAATATTGCATCTTGCTATTCAAAGCCTGATTCTGTTATGATTTTCATATAAAAACAATGGAGTTGATTAGATTTTTAATTTTCAATTCTTGGATGATTACTTCTTCATTTTTTATGCCTCCGCCACCGAAGGTGGTGCCGGAGGCATCATGTTTTCGGGTTGTCCGTCCGTACGTCCGTCCGTCCGTCCGTCCGTACGTCCGTCCGTCCGTACGTCCGTCCGTACGTCCGTCCCGTTTGACCGTTATCACAATATCTCAAGAACCATTTAAGATTTAAACTTAAGACTCGGGAATAGTATTTATCACCATAGGAAGACGATCTGATTAGATTTTGGAGTACGTAGGTCAAAGGTCACAGGTCACAGAGGTCAACTTATGAAATTCCTTGTATTGAGTTTGTTAGCGCGATATCTCAAGAACCATTTGAGATTTAAACTTCAAACTTAAGGATAGTATGTATCACCATAGGAAGACGATCTGATTAGATTTTGGAGCACGTATGTCAAAGGTCAAGGGTCACAGAGGTCAACTTATGAAATTCCATACATTGAGATTGTTATCATGATATCTCAAGAACCACTGGAGATTTAAACTTCAAACTTAGTGATAGTGTGTATCACTATAGGAAAACAATCTGATTAGATTTTGGAGCACGTATGTCAAAGGTCAAGGGTCACAGAGGTCAACTTATGAAATTCCATACATTGAGATTGTTATCATGATATCTCAAGAACCACTGGAGATTTAAACTTCAAACTTAGTGATAGTGTGTATCACTATAGGAAAACAATCTGATTAGATTTTGGAGCACGTAGGTCAAAGGTCAAGGGTCACAGAGGTCAACTTATGAAATTCCATACATTGAGATTGTTATCATGATATCTCAAGAACCACTGGAGATGTAAAAACTTCAAACTTAATGATAGTGTGTATCACCATAGGAAGACAATCTGATTAGATTTTGGAGCACGTAGGTCAAAGGTCAAAGGCCACAGCGCACATTATGAATGCAAAAACAGCTTGTGATCGCGTTATCTCAAGAACCGATTGATGGATTCATGCCAAAATTAGGTCATGTTTGTTACTTGCAGAGCCAATGAACTAAGTAGATTCTTGGTTCATAAGGTCAAAGGTCATGGGCCCATTATGTATGCAAAAATAGCTTGTGAACGCATTCTCATTAGAACTGACAGATGGATTACTATTTAACTCGGAACATCTTGCAGAGCCAATGAACTGAGTAGATTTTATGGTCATGAGGTCAAAGATCAAAGGGTCATATATGTATATGAGAAATTGCTTGTAATCACAATATTCTGAGAACCTGTCAATGGATTACCATTGAACGTGAATTCAATTTTTTTTTCTGTTTTGGTTTGTAAAATTGCTCTATAACGGAGGCATCATTTTCGACTGCGCGCAGTCGAATTCCATCTAGTTTTTTTTTGGGGGGGGGGGGGCGTGGTTGCCTGGTGGTAGAAGTAACACATCTCATGCCTGATAAACACCGCCTGAGAAATTACAGGTTTGAAATATTTTGTCTATTGATTTGTTGATAGTTATGGGTGAATGTATTCCTGAGTATGGCGAGCCTGTTGATCTGTATGCAGCTGAGACATCTCTACTATGAGATCCAACGTAGAGTCCAGAGACATAGGAACTACAGAAGGGTGGTTGCTAATATGGAAGCAAGGTGAGTGAGCAGTCAGTATAATGGGGTATTTTAACGATCGCTAATGTTTTCTATTCTATGTATGCTATAGAGTATAGATCCATTTGATTTCTTCTCTGATCTATTGTTGTTACATCCATGGATATAAATGTCTGTATATTTGTATTATGTTTATGTTGAATGTAAAAATGTTATTGGATCAATAACAAAAATTGAAACTAATGGATGAGCAATACTATTGAAGCCAACAAAGTTCTTCCGGTATATCATTCATCAATTTTCTTCATATTTTAACTGTAGAATGCTTTATAACCTTTTCATGGGTTGATACCCAGTTTTTTCCTGTTAATTACTTCTTTTCTACCTCTTCCCCTCCCAATGCATCTTGTTCCTTTGTAATCTTCCAGAGGCACTTGTAATTAAATTCACATCAAATTATTATATATTTAAAAAAACAAACTTAGAATTAACTTTTGTTAACTGGTAGTGTCAACTGTTCTTGTGGCAAAAAATGTAAAAAGTCAATGAACCTTGTGTTTTACAGTATCCTGCTCCATGCACCCATCTTTGCTTAAACCAATACCGTATTTGCCGGCGTATAGGCCGCAGTATTTTTGGAAGAGAAAATATCAAAAAGTCGGGGTGCGGCCTATGCGGCGAAAGAGTAATTTTTTTTTTTTTTTTTTTTTTTTTTTTTTTTTTTTTTTTTTTTAGTTTCGATTTATGGCGCTATGCCTGGCAATGTCTCCCAGCTCAGTAATCAGTGTGTTGACTCACCACTCGGAAACTACAACAACACTAAAATTTGTTACTATTATTTGTGACAAGTTTACAAGCACAAATCAGCGCCTTTAACTGCACCTCGATGTTAAATGAAGGTCCTTCCACGCGTGGGTTTTCGGCAGCAAAACAACAACAACAACAACCAAAAAAAAAACGATTTTTTTTTTTTTTTTTTTTTTTTTTTTTTTTTTTTTTTTTTTTTTTTTTTTTTTTTTTTTTTTTTTTTTTTTTTAAATGTCAAAATCGGGGGTGCGGCCTATGCGGGGGTGCGGCCTTTACGCCGGCAAATACGGTAGGTATAGATTGCACTGATCCCTCCAGTGCTTGATGGTCCTTTTGGAAATTAATTTTGGTTATTTTATTGAATTAGTGTCTGGTGACTTGATTCCTTTTGTTCACATTCCATAGGTTTCCCCGAGCTACTGAAGAAGAGCTTGTAGCAAATAATGATGACTGTGCTATCTGTTGGGAAGAACTGAAAGGAGCTAGGAAGCTTCCATGTAATCATCTCTTCCATGAGTAAGTTATCAATCAATTCAACATCTTTGTTGAATGTGTGTACTTTCATTTAAAAAAAAAACTTAAGTTGTGGAATTTACTATAATGTTTTATTACCTGTAGTTAAGAACTTAGTAATATAATCAGATGATCATTTGGAATGGGGAACATGTGCCACAATTATGAGTTATTTCATAGAAATATTATGAAAAGAAGACACTGTGCTTAAGTTTTGGAGTCATAGATATCATCATATGGCAACAAGAATTCTATGTATCGGGTAAAGCGTTGAAATTGTGAAAGTGAAGAATTTGCAATTTAAGTAAATAGTGGGAGGTGGTTCACCTTCAAATATTATAAATTCTTATTTCTCTCTTTGTCTCTGATCAGTGCATGTCTGCGTTCCTGGTTGGAGCATGAGACATCTTGTCCTACCTGTCGTCAGTCTCTGACCATCCAATCTACCCCATCCCGTCCCACCGCAGGGAGGGGTCCTACTCGAGCAGGGGGGCATGGTGCCAGACCTAATCCAGCTGCAGCTATGATGGGAGGAGGAGAGGCTAGACCTAACCAACCACACAGAAATCACTTCTTTCATTTTGATGGTGAGTAGAGGTCTCTTGTTGGTAAATAATGTTGGTTAAAACCTAGCCATGGAATATCATGACATGCTCCATGACGTATACATTATAAAGAGCCTGAATGGGCCCTGTGACAATGCACTCAAAATTACACATGACAGGAAAAAAGTTGTGTGATGGCACGAAATAATGATTATGTATAATGATCACGCTTTAGCTTGACCATCCATCTGATGACTCAAGAACCTGCTAAGTGATGATCTTTGAATGAGTTTCCATCTTGGTGGTATTGTATTGAAAGTAAAATGTCTCTTCAGCCAATTAAAACTAACCTGTTGCCTACCAGAACATTAGAGAGTGAGAAAATTCAATCTGTAGATGTTTCCGTTACCCTTTGCAGGATCGCGTATATTCAGCTGGCTTCCTAGTTTCTCAGTGGAAGTGACCCATGCACATGTAGTAGGTCCTCAAGCAGCTCATACCTCACAGCTCGATAATATGGTAAGTCAAACTTAAAGGTAACGACTAGTTTTGGAAACGCCCCCCTCTCAAAAAATGAAATCGAAGCTCTTATTACCTATCATTTGAAATAATATGTTTTGACTAATACGTGATGATACAAATTTTGACCAGAAACCGCCTACTAATTGATATATTTGGTATTTTATTATATCTATTTGGACCGGATAGATATCGCGCACGTGTCGCATAGTCCCATATACATCTTTCTGTGTATAGTGCTTGTATTTTTACCAAGACTGGGCTAAATTTCTTATCATTTTGATGATTCCAGAATCTTGCAGTACACACCAATACTTATATGCTAGACGATCAACCGTTTCTGATTGACTCCACAACGTTTCTTTCACAATGCAATTGCATGACCATAACTGGTCTTTATCTTTAATGATATATGTGGATGTAATCCAATGTTAATCCGAGTGAGGATCATACGATGAGGTTTTGAAATGTCTTTGTTGATGCTTGAGTTGTGCATGACTCATCTTCATATAAATTTGAGCTTGCATCCTGTAACCTGTTTTAAACTGCATTGAATTCACCTCTAGTCTTTATGTAGTATCTCTCAAAGTTTGTTAGGTAGAATCTGTGTGGACAAGATGGAGACTGTCCAGATTTTGAACAATTTTACACGTGACATATCACTATAATAGCAGTCTAGCTTCCTTGCAGATTGAAGATTTCCAAAGTTAACTTGATATTGTTGTGATACTACATTTTTATTCTCCTTATTCACCATTTTTTCTTTGATGTGATAGGACATTCTACCAGAATAATTTCAGAATTCCATATGGAAATGGTAAAAAAAAAAATGTTTCAAGTTAGGTGATGTATAATAGTGGTCTCTCTTTTTTCAGTTACTACAACTAACAGTATGATGATGATAACTTTTCTATTGTGTTCTATCTTTTCCCAGGCCAGGCAAGTCAGTCAGATGTTTCCCAATGTACCTACAAGAGCAGTCTTAGAAGACCTTCGTGTGACAAGATCCATTGAAGTGACAGTGGATAATATCCTAGAGGGTAGAGTGGTAAGTCCCTTCAAAGAAAAGAAAACCCATTATTAGGTGCTGGATATACAGATCTTTAAGGATGGGATAAGCATATGATGTACAGTGTTACCCAAAATAAAAAATAAGTTGCAGTGTAATTGTATAGAATTCAATCATCCATTAGTGCCGTTGTTCAGTTGTTCTATTATAGACATTAACAACATGACGGGACATAAGGAAATCATTGTCAGTATTGCATTTAATTTAATTTTTGAAGAGGCAATGAACTGGAACAATTTTTTTGTTTATCAAAGTGAGCATGATATTGGATAAGGAAATCATTGTCAGTATTGCATTTAATTTAATTTTTGAAGAGGCAATGAGCTGGAACAATTTTTTTGTTTATCAAAGTGAGCATGATATTGATTTTAGCTATTCAGTAGTGATTTATTTTAAAGACTATGAAACAGAAAAATTATGTAGGTACATTTTAATTTCATTTTCTAGTGGAATTTTGCATTGCTATTCTTGTAAATATAACTTGAAAAACACTGAAAACATTATTTGATTTTTCCTCTGAAATGCCTTTACTAGACAACGATTGGAATGGTTGGTGATAACAATGCAGAGGCTACAGACCAACCAGCCCAAGCGCCTCCAGGAACCTTCCAAGCCTTCCAACCTAACCAAGCAGAAGATGTAGATGAGGATGGTGGATTACTCTACAGACAGGCTAGGCATCATAGAGGAGAAGAGGAGGAGGGTCCTAGTGATATCACCACCAGAGGAATGGAAGGATCAGAGGATAACGCTGCTAATTGGACCAGGCCGGAGTCTGGGTAGGCTTCCTTATAGTTATACATACAATATTCTGTTCTTATGCAGCACATATCACATCATGCTATAATGTCTCTATACACATCCATCTTGCTTTGGTAGTTATTACCCTGGTTTAATCTTAGTAGAGTAATGAAGCTGTGACATCATAAGAATCTATTTTTAGAATTTCTCAAATTTTTCTTCATTTTCCAAAAGACCATCAAAAATAATGTCCAAATGTCGAAAACCAATTAAAAAGGTTAAGTATTGGTTAGATATTACCATCTGAATAAAAAGATTTATGAAAAGATTTATTATGATTATTTCTATTATCCATTTTAACAGCGCATCTAACTTGGATTCCGCAGCAGGAACACCTGAGTCGGATCTTAGTAGTGGCTTCCCAAGTTATTCTAGTCGATTCTCTAAATCATCTTCAGAAAGAGAAACGATCCTTAGACAACGGAAAGAAAAGCTTTTACAGCTAGCCAGAAGGTGAGATAGATAGACTTTAGAGAGAGAGAGAGAGACAGACAGAGAAGGGGAAACAGGAGGGTAAAGAGCTGTAGAGACAGAGTGAGAGAGAGACACAGAAACTGAAGGAGATAGAGAAGGGAAAACAAGACATACAAATAGAGGAAGTTGGTAACAAACTGTTGGTGGTGATTGGTGATATCCTTTCTTTATGTGTGTGAAATTCTTTTAGAAAACTTTTCCTTAATGAGATATTTTAAGAACTCCCTTAATGTAAATTCCATTCAACAATTATCCATAACTTCCGTTTTTTCCAGAAAATTTCAAGACAAGCAGTTGAGGGAATCTTCAGCTGAGACTCAGCAGGGAACATCCCATTCACAACCATCAACGTCATCGACGTATTCTGCCCCACCATCAGCAGCAAGCCAGGAGACATCAGCAACGAGGCATGCTCCAGATTCAACCTCTGTACTCCACCCATCCGCTAACCATTCACTTCTGTTTTTCCGTGCTTCAGGGAGTAACGCAGCTGGTAATGAGAGGCAGAGGGTTAGGGCAGCTGCATTGGAGGCAGCCCTTCGTAGACTGCAGCAACAGCAGAGACCCATATGAGTGGCTGGCTGGCTGGACTAGCTCATGAGTCATTTGGGGATTATTGCACAATTGAACTTTTTTTGCCTGCGTGACATCGGATATTGCCAGAAGGTTCCATATGTATACTTATTCGCCATCATGTTGTGATTAATACAGGTCTGAAACGACTCTATTGGTTGATTTCACAGTTCCTGCAATGAATTTAAGGTACCAACTTTGTACAAAGTGAGCTTTAAGTTTTCAAATTACATGGTCCATGGAAATACAGATACAAATTCTTTCTCGTGGCTCAGATGGTAAAATACAACAAAGATAGTCTGTTTACCGGTAATGCTATGATAGCAGTTGAAAGCTGAATTAAAGATAAACTCCAGTACTGGTAAAAAAAAAAAATAATTCTCACAGAATCAAACGAAACTTACACTGAATGTTCAAGATTACAAATAAATGACATGTGCCAAACAATTTTGGAAGAAAATGTATACTGGCTGAGTAATGAGCATAGAAAGACAAAGAAATCAAGGTAGTACTAGCCCCGACACCATGTGTGTTGTCCCATATATAGCTTTCTATGTGAGTGCTTGTTACTTTACCAAGACTCGGTCAAATTTATTATGATTTTGATGACTCCAGAACCTTGCAGTGCACACCAATACTTACATGCTACATGATCAACTGTTTCTGATCCTTGCCACACCTTTTCTTTCACAATGCAATCGCATTACCAGTACTAAAGTTTATCTTTAAGCTGAATGATTTTTGTATGGACTTGGAAGAGATATTATCGGCTATCAGACGAGAAATGGTATACACTTTGAAAATATGTGTACTTTACCAGGCAAAGCTTTGTCTATATGAAGCAAGTAAGATTATATGACATGTGAAGTAATATTTGTTTACATTTATTGGAAAATCATTGATCCAGTTGGAAGAATGCAGCAATAAGTATGCAGGACTCGGCTCCTGATTCAACTGACTTACTGAATATTTAATCGCATCTAGAGTAATTTATAAAGTCAGAGACGTGCAACATTCTGCATATAGATGTGCAGCATAGGATATTACACATGCAAACTTGCATGTTGTATAATTGTAGGGTTAAAGCTTTTTTACCACATTAGGTACATGTATGGATATTTGAGTCGTGCATTACGTATCATTGCATTAAACAAAAGATTTAGAGGTACCTCTGCATAAAGCTGATGCAAGTAACACATAGGTTATTATGCCATAACTAAATGTTGTCTGTAGCAGACTGTCAATCTACCGTATTTGCCGGCGTAAAGGCCGCACTATTTTTGGAAGAGAAAATATCAAAGAGTTTGGGTGCGGCCTTTACCGCGAAAGAGTAAAAAAAAAAAAAAAGTAAGTCAAAACCAGCACGAATTTGCACATATGGGACTACGAACGGTACAATAAATATACTACTATGATACAGGACATTTCCACACATCTTACCGACAATTTTATCTTGCATTGTTGACATGAAGACGAAAAAATAAACTTCCAAAAACAACATCTGCCGATAGATCTTGATCTAAGTTCGTGCCAATGCATTGCAAAAGTAAAAGAATGGCCCGTTTAACGGAGCTGCCGCAAAGCGTCCAGCATGCGAAGTCGCCATTTTCAATCCATTTCAATGTATACATAAGAGAAAACTGCAAGCTATGGTATCAGTGCGGCAAATACGGTAGTCAGAACTCTTAATGTGTGTAAACTGAAGTTAATAGTTGAGTTCTGTTGCAGAGGGCGCTACACAAATTATTTTTTTTGTGAGATAATGAAAAACTGAGTGTCAAATTTGAAAGAACATAATATTTAAATGACAAAATCATCTTTGTTTGATCAAAATCGGTTCAGAGACGGCTGAAATATAACGATTTCTAATACTTGTGTACCAACACAAAAATTAGATACTGGTATTTCGAAAAATTTGAAAAAAACGTTGAAAAAACGAAATAGCACCTTTTAGATTTTAGTGGCATTTTCATGTTGCACAACCAGCCGGCCCATGTATTGTTATTTTTAATTAAATAATTAATTAACAGTCACCATGTTTTTTTTAAAGTGGAGCTGAATTGGTATGCTCGTATTGGCTAAATTTCACACATTTTGGGGTCTAAAATTACCTTCATAGCAATTTTAGATTCTAAAAGGGCACTAGAAATGTCATAGATAAGAATAAGAGCAATAACCATGCACTTTGAAGGCATTTGCGGTCTGAAAACAGAACTCAACTATCCCTTTAGGTTCATCTCAAGGCGATGACACCTATATTCAGACACTTTGTACATGTATAAATGAAAGGTTGTTAGCCTGATAATGAATGATGCATGAAAGTCAACCCTATGTTATTTCATACAGTGACTAGTGTCTCTGCTTTGAGTATGCCAGTATTGTAAAAATACAGGTGAAAGCTGTTTTGATGAGTTGACTTGTACATTATTTATAAATTTATGGATTGAATCTATGAACAACAAATAATTTTATGCCCATTTTTTTTTTAGCTGGATGAAATTAGTTATTAGTTTAAAGTTTAAACAATTTTGGGAGACTTAAAAACTTTATATTTTTAAGTTTTTATGGAAATCAGAGATTTTTCTTTTATTTTGGAATGACATTTACCTGTATGTACTATTGACTGGCTGAGTTGGAGGCTTATCATATCTGTAATTTCTAAGGATGTGAACTTATATTTTACATAGTATTTTCTGTAGTTAGGGTCCATTTTTGGAACCTCGTGTAATCATCGCAATATATTAAAATGCTCATAATGCTTATACATAAAATGTATCATGGCTATTTGTAAGATATTGAACTTTTATTTCGATTCAAATTTACTCTGTTTTCTCATTTTGCTTGTGCACTTACCAGTACATTTCTATAATACAGTATGTTCATTGTTCATATGTTTCCAAGATTATGTACATGTATATAAGAAGCACCATTTTGAATATATAATAGGTTGAGGAATATAAGCAGTATCATTAGTAAAAACGGCATCACATTACAATGCTTTATTCTTTGCTACCTTTTGTTTCTGTTTGAGTTTGTGGCTAATTATATTGATTTCTGTTTTTATGTTATAGATGCTTTGTCTATAACATTTATCAATGTTTTGTAGAGTGTTCATTTAATAGGGAAATGTGCTGCATTCCGTAAAAAGAGTATAAACATGAACTTGCAAAATTATTGTTCATTTTCCACTTAAGACTAAACCTGTACCCTATGGCAGTGTGTTTTCACTTACACACTCGCAAATAAACGTTTGCATAAGAACATAAAAATGTATAATGTGTTATGAATTTATGTAAAAGAAAAAAAAATTATACACAAACTATATTGAGTGAGTAGACTACACATGGTGTCATTAATTACAAGGATATGGGTAACATTGAATACAAATACGTATCTAGTATGCATCAATATAAGGTGCTTTGTAAGGGATAGCAGTCATGATATGAATATGAATAAAATAGGTGTACATTATTTGACTTTTGTGTATGATCATACATACTGTATTCATTTGTGTTATGGATCAACATACATTTAGCTTTTAATAGGACTGGTCATGGCTTTAATTTGTTGCTGTATCATTTATTAATTTCTAGATATTTTGTTTATATTGAAGGGTTTCTAAACAATTTTGTTTGGAATGCTTGAGTGCAGAACAAGGACATGTGTCAAGTAATGAATTCACCAAAATGCAGACTTACATGGTTATTCTACCTTTAAAAACACAGTGTACACACTATGAATATGACGGACATAGAAAGTGGACAAAATATACAGTTCCTCAGGTAGACAAAGGAACACCCCTTCACTGCTATTATGTAAAAAGGTGAATATGCGACACCTGTTCTACACATGTTTACATAATAGCAGTGAAGGGATGTTCCTTTGTCTACCTGAGGAACTGTATATTTTGTCCGCTTTCTTTGTCAGTCATATTCATAGTGACATCGTTTGGTTGTTTTTGTATTTATGACTGAATTGTATCATGCAATCTTATTGCTTTTCATTGAATTTCAATGCTGTGAATTTTCAATTTCAGAGATTCTCATTGATGCCCATTTCCTGTATTCTAATGGATTTTTTTTTCCTTTCCGAATTTGGCTTTGAAAAAGCTAGTAGTTATGTGTGTAAATATGAAAGAGTATAAAAAAAGAGATAGCATTATATCTAGTAGTTTAATATATAACATACACTATGAATATGACGGACAAAGAAAGCGGACAAAATATACAGTTCCTCGGGTAGACAAAGGAACATCCCTTCACTGCTATTATGCAAAAAGGTGAATATGCATGCGACACCTGTTCTACACATTTTTCATAATAGCAGTGAAGGGATGTTCCTTTGTGTACCTGAGGAACTGTATATTTTGTCCGCTTTCTTTGTCAGTCATGTTCATAGTGATAATCTTGTGACAATTTGTTTAACACATTCTGAAAAATATATAATTTTTGATAACCTACATTATTTGTTTTCCTGCTCCCCTCAGTCATATCTTCTTTTATTTCATCATTGTGTTCAATGCAAAGAGAAAATATTTAAATGGAGTGAATTAAAGAAGCATTATATCCCTGATATTTGTTTTCTTCATGTGTGAATTCATTTTGCAGTGTGATTGTGTAATTTATTCACCTACTCCATAAGAGAGCAATTTTTATAAGTTTCATCTTTTTTTTTTCTTTCCCCCATTGGTGTAGTATTTTCACGACTATCTGGAGAGCAATATATCATTGTGTGCCTGGCCAGAGGAATATTAACTTGTCTGATGGAAGGCACGATTGTATGTTTGTTTGGGCGCAAATAATAAGAAAATGTTTTTGTGGCCTCCTGCTGTGCATAAACACTGTTGCACTCTTGCAAACAACATTCTAAAACATTTCTTACAAACCAAGGAGAATTTTTTTCTTCAGAACTTATGAGCCTTGAAGAGGGCTGGTATGTTCCCCTTTTTTCTCCCCCCCCCCCCCCCCCCTCTCTCTCTCTCTCTCTCTCTCTCTGCTCTATCTTGTTCTCTCCTGCTCTTTAGCATTGCATCTCTTGCTCTCCTTGTGTATCTTCCTCTCCTTTTTAAATCCATTTATTCCAAGTTCTTATTTTCTATATATCTTCTATTCCACTACACACAACCCAAGTTAATGTAGACCTAAATCTGAATGCTTTTGATTAACACATGCAAACATGAAGAAGAAGAAATGTACATTATTAATCTGCAAAATTATGAACCCTAATATAGGCTAGGACATTAAAAAACACTTCTTTTCTTTTTCTTAGTGCCAGCTGGCATTTACCAGTAACACAAATATAAGGAAATGATTGATTTTATTACTTTAGTTAGGCATCACATTGTCATGAAATAAAGACATGAAATACAAAGTTAATATAATTTGTCAAGAAAAAGATTTTAATTTTGATACCGAATGCTGGTGTAGCAGTCAATTCATCACATAGAAATGTAAATATAAAAGAGTATCATATAAAATACAAATGTTTCAGACATTATATGTTCAAATATCTCTTTCCATGTGATAATTTGTGCCCAATATATTTCACAGACATGCACACACATGGATCTCTATCAAGATGACTTGATCATAATAATTTATAACGACACAATGCTTGTGAACTCTGGAGTGGCAAGGATTCACTTACAAGTAAATATTCGTTTTATTTAGGCATTACAAAGTAACCAAAGAAAGAGTCTTCAGTCAGTCATATCCTACAGGCAAAATATGTTGTTTAACTGTATACTATCTAGGGAAATAAGTGAAATTGAATTTTAGGACATGCTGAATTGTATTTGTTTTAATGCAGCCATTTATATGCATTTATATGCATTTATTAAATTCCCATATCCCATACCATTCATTGCATATATAACTACTATCGCCATATGTCAGTGTTCATGATTATAATGTATATTTCAGTTTTGATATCTTAAACTGCATGAAATAGAGCACCTAGATATCACTTTATATGAAGCCATTTTGAATACTGGTACTGTATCTCCTGTTTATCCTTATTGCTCATAGTTAATTCGTATTGGACTGCTTAATTAAAGGTGAACAAGCCTTAGGAAAATCAGTTTGCCATGCCTCGATCCTGCAGCAGTATTCTGAAAACATGTTCAGTAAAAAGATAATTAGTGCAGAATAATGATCTGTATATAGCTCTAATATACATTTCTGACCTTGTATGCTGCCATCAACGCAAATGTTATGGTCCTTAACATGTTTTACAATGAATTTCTGTTAATGTCCCTGACAAACATTTATGACCTAGCTGCAAATACCTACTCCAACCATAATGTCTTAAGTTGAAGTGGTGCATAACATGTTTATCAGAATACTGCCCATGTTCACAACAACACTACCCTCTGTTTGTGCCTCTAGCGATATCAGGTATGGAAAACTGAGAAAAGACTTTATCAACAATAAATATACCTAATATCAGTTAAGATGCCCATAATCGACTGCAAAGATAATCTTCTGGAGTTGAGCAAAAAGACAAAAAGATGAAGCAAAATGAGAATTAAAAAAAAAGCAAAGCCCTGGCCATGATCAAATCTTTGTTCACCTTGTAATGGGTCTTGGACAGACTCCATAAACGTGTTCAATGTCTGAATCCTCTTGAGTAGCTATCCTTCTCACGTTTTGAATCCTTTAAATTTTTTAATCCTTTTGAGTATTACATGGGTAGATCTATGCTGAGAAGATTCTTTCTGCATCTAAATCCTCTGGTCTGGTTGTCCCACTGACATTGCTCCTGGTCTGTTATAACAGGATCAGGGGGCTATGACTGGAGTCTACGACATACTAGATGTACTATGCTGAGAAAAGTCTTCCAATGTCTAGATCCTCTTGCATGGTTGTCCCAGTGACAGCATTCCTGGTCTTGTTATTACAGGATCATGGGTCTATGACAAGAGTCTATGACATACTAGATGTACTATGCTGAGAAGAGTCTTTCTATGTCAAGATCCTCTTGTGTAGTGGTTGTCCCAGTGACAGCATCGCTGGTTTGATTCACATCATCAGCTGAAAGCTTGTGTGCTCTTACCAGGTGGGTCTTTAGATTACCTACAAGAGAGATAGGCAAAACAGTAGAACAGAAAATTAGGATCTATCCATGACAAATCATCAGGACATCAATTACATTACAGAAAAGCAGATTTCACTTATAGAGTAATGCTCTAGAGTAATTAAAGTAATGCTTGCATTTCCATAATTTTTATTAAACAAATCCATTCCATTGGCTGTCTGCCCTAACAACAAAGAAGAAAAAAGCCTTCATGCATGGCTGATTGTCAATGAAACAGAGTTTGTTGTTTGTTGCTATGGTAGGCAGCCAGTGAAAACGAATTTGTTTACTAAAATTATGGAAATACAAGCATTACATAAACAAACAGAACTTTGTTATTCCTGGCTCATTTTTCCTGATTGAAGTGTCATATGAAAGGGCCGAAAATGAACTTTCTGGAAATGTGATTTTCTCTTTAAGTTTCAGATACCGTTTGCCAAATGACTCTTTGGTACCCTTTCTTGAAATTGTTTTTAATCACTAATGCGTGAAATATGCATCATATGAGTTGCATCAAATAAAAGAGGACGATCTAAGCTTTACAAATATGTGTCATTTATTAATTATTATTGTGGTTAAGTTATGATAAAACATCGATAAGTTACGCTTTCGTTTTTTCTTGGACGCGCTGTATAATATTTACCCTCATGCTCTTTAAAACAGGATTTTCAAAGCACTTTCCATTTGGAATTGATGCAACATTAACAAAGTCTGAATAAGGAAGGGGAGGGGAGGGGAGGGGGTTCACTAGATTGTTGAGGGTACCTACCTTTCTGGGCGAAGGACTGTTCACAATAGGGGCACTTGTGAGGGCGTTCTCTCGTGTGGACATTCATGTGGATCTGAAGTGAATTCTTCTGGCTGAAGGCCTTGTGGCATTCAGGACAAGAATAGGGTTTCTCACCTGAACAAAACAATCAACACAAAGAAATGACAGATATGATAACACTTTTAATTGATATACTGTGAGTTTTAATAATAAATACAGAACCTCATCTCAAATTAAGTGAGTTATCCTGAGGCATTCATAATTGGGCAAACCAATTTAGATGCCTTAAGGGAACCAGAAGAGTACCAAAGGGCATCACAAAATAGAATCAGCACTCAATAAGAGATGTCTAAGAGCTCTTCCAAACACCTTACAGTCACCATATCTCTCACAACAAATTCATTTAAAATAAATTTTCAGTACCTGTTATCTTCTTATCAATAACTTAATATTTTTGTTATTAGTTGTTTATTATTTTATTTTCAAATTGAATACCCCCAAAAAAATGATTTACCTCATTGTTCCTCTTCTGCTGAAATATTAATGTTACAACTTGCCAATTATTGAGACCATCAACATGTCAAGCCTCAAAAGGCTTTTAATAATGGTCCCTATTAATGTTATTTTATACAAACTCATTTAAGATATTTAGTATTTTACATTGAAATGCTTTGTATATATTTTAATTTTTGCATTTTTTTTTAACCTAAAGAATGAATGAAGAATTTATTGAACCGAATGATTTGAAAACACTGTGATATAATTAAAGAGCCGTTGTACTCCGAAAAGATTTTCATTTGCTTGAATCTGCATTAAAATATATCAGAATGGAAAGGTCCTAAAGAGACAATAATTTCTACTTCAACATTTCTGAAAAGGTGATGAACAACTTGCACAAACCTGTATGAGTTCTTAGATGCCTCTCCAATTGACTAGGCTTGCCAAATGACTTTCCACATTGCTGACAAGAATGACTTCCAGACAGCTTCTTCTCTGCCTTCTTCTTTTTCTGCTCTGAATCATGGGTGGTCATGTGATCTCTCAGGTGACCTGGACGTTTGAAGGACTTGCTGCAGACTTTACAGCTATGAGGTCTTAAAGATTTGTGCTTCTGCTGTTGGTGCTGGCTGAGCTGCTGCATCTTAGTGAAGAGCTGGTTGTACAATGAGTGAAAATAAACATTCATAATTATATCTATCAATAAATACTAACTCTCAATGATCAATTTTCAAGGATTCTGAAAACAGAAATGAAAATAAAATCTAATTGCCAGTAAAATACAAGAACACAATCTTTTAAATTTTTTTTTTTTTTTTTTTTTTTTTTGGGGGGGGGGGGGGGGAATAATAATGATAATTATCCGGATTTATATAGCGCTTAATACAAAATAACATATTTAACCAATTTACAGATATTATTGACATCCTACTACCTACATGTATACAAGTGTACACTATAAAGACTTGTTCAGATATGCCACAGTAAGCCACTAGCTGCCATTTCTTCACGGGTAAATGAATGTCAACTGTATGCACACAAAAAAATTCCTATGCATCTCTACTTGCACAATCAAAGGCAATGAAAGACGAATCAATCACATGCACATTTAATTTTATTTCCTTTTTGATAATTTGTGATCAGTTTATACGTTAAGGTTCTCTGGCTCTTAGTCACATGCTATCCACACAATACAAAGAGCTTAATGGGTGGTATTTATATCAACTTACGGCTCATTCACATATGCTGCATGTTTTTTATGAACTAAACAACAGATAAGAGAAGATGATAAAAGTGGCAACAAATGTCCTACATGTACTCACTTATACATTATATCTGCGTTAAAAGATTTGAGGCATAGTAGGCTTTAAAACAACTCACAGAAAACAGCGGCATATGTGAGCAAGCATTAAGAAATGACATATGATTATAGACTTGCCTCATTGCAACCATCAACCGTGCAGGGATAGATGGATCCTATGGCTGCTGCTGCATCTTTGGCAGACATGGCTGGCTTTTCCCTCATCACATGATGCCCTGCAATCATTGGCCCAGTACTAGGAAGATTTCCTCCTTCGGTCACATACTGAAGCTCATCTTCGCTTTCCTCTTCCAATTCCTCTTCATCTTCATCATCTACATCATCATCGTCCTCATCCTCTTCACCACTCTCTTCCTCTTCTTGCAAAGGAACAGCAGCTGAACTTGATGCAGTTGTTTGCACATTTTCATGCGATGCTAGATTGGCGAAATCAACAACATTGACAGTGACTGTTCCCGATGATTCTGAATCACCAAGTGCCCCATTTGTTGATATGGTGATTTGTTCTTGGGAATGAGCAATGCTAGATGATGGAGTATACTCTACAGGGTTCTGGATGTTTGGTTGCTGGAGGAGGATATTAGGTTGTAGTGACAGCTGATCTCCTGACAATGAGAGCTGGAATGATTGTCCAAGGTTGGAAGTGTCTGCCTGTGAAGGGGTTGTATCTGTCTGAACCAAGTGCGTACCTCTGTCCGTTGTATGGATAGTGTACATCTTATTGGTCATGAGAGCCTCACCATGAGAGACATTCTGAGCCAGAGTATCGTGTATTGTCATCTGAACATCAGAACCCTGCAGGAATGGAGCCACTGAGTTTGGAGGAGCAACCACTTGTGTTGTCATTCCAGAGGTGCTGGGGATAAAGGATTGGTTCTGGAGGGATGGGATAATGTTCTGAATACCTGAATTTTGAACCACGACTTGTGCTTGGTTATGGTTAGAGCTTGGAGCAGATGATGTTTGAACTTGGATGGTTTGCTGTTGATTCCCAACACCAGTATCAATCCTAATCATCTGTGGAACCTGCTGCTGAAGAGTAGAGGGTTCCATCTGCACAAGGAGTCCAGTCTGAGGGTCAATATTACCATGTATGTGATGAGCCAGATTGACTTCCTGGCCACCAATTAGAGTTGAAAGATCCGGCTGGGATAGTTGCAAACTTGCTTGCCCTAAATTCAGTTCTCCAGTCTGCAATGTGATGGCATTATGTTGCTGCAGCTGCTGAATTTGCTGAAGGAGGGTTGGATCAATCTGAACAGTAATGTTATTTGCATCCAAGCCTTGAATATGCAGGTTCGGGCCCAAATTGGTTCCAGTTAGCTGCAGCTCCAATCCATTCAGAACCGCTGCTGCATTTTCAGCCCCATTTTCTGCACTGTTCATGGTTATGGTCTGGGGCTGGTTACCCACATTAAGTTGGTGTGCCTGGATTGCTTGCAACACAGGCTGATCACTAGCAACTTGCACTTGAGAAACTTGGAGATCTTGGGATCCTTGTTGTCCAACTTCTGCATGCGCCGTCTCAACTATAACCTGCTGTGCAATAGAATTCTCCTTATTTGTGGTGACTTTCTCAGCAGCCTTACGCTTTCTTGCTGTAGCTGGCTTGAAGTGATTTTCCGTGTGTTGTTTACGTGAACCTGAAGTCCTGAATTGCTCATCACAGTGCGAACATTTAAAAGGCTTAGCACCTGTATGTAACCTCATATGAACCTTCAAGCTCCCAACTGTTGCAAATGTTGTTTTACAGATGTGGCAAACCTCCTGCTTTCCACCTTTATGAGTTCTTACATGACATACTAGTGTTGACTTTACAGCAAATGTACGTTCACATTCTGTACATTTAAATGGCTTCTCACCAGTATGAGTTCTTACATGTCGAACAAGGTCACAAGGTTTCTTGAAAGACTTGGAACAATGAATGCATCTATTAGGAAAGTTTGGCCGACTTTTGAGAACATCTTCCTGGGTTAAGACCTCACTCACACGGTTCTTATCATTTACCATTTGGACAAGTATTCGCTCAGATGTTGTTGCATTTCTGGCAAGGGGTTTCTTGGCAATTTGCTGGGCCTCTTCCTCATTAAATCTGATCACATTCCTTGGGCGTTTACCATCTTCAAGTTGCTCCCCATCATCACTCTCTGTTGCATGGTCTTTCAAGTGTCTCTTCAGGTCCAGTTGTTTACGGAATGCTTCTCCACACTGCTGGCATGTGTGAGGGCGCTGGTCAGTGTGGATATTCATGTGTCTTACAAGGGAGCCATTCGTTGTGAATGAAGTGTTGCAAAGGTTGCATTTGAAGCTCTTGATACCTGAATGAGTTCTCATATGGTTTCTCAGCGTACTGGCTGAAACAAAAGACCTACCACATTGCATGCATTTACAAGGTTTTTCTCCTGTATGTGAACGGATGTGTTGCTTCAGATGACTGGATTTCTTAAAAGTCTTTTCACAAAAATGACAAGAATATGTTTTCTTTTCTCCCTCGTTAGTAGCAAACACAGAGGATGTGTTAGTGGTGGGCAAACGGTTGGTTTCTTGTGGAGGTGGTGGTGGCAGTTCTTCTTGAACAGGCTGGATATTCACTGCGTGAGAAAACAAGGAGGCGGACTGACCTGTAATTGCCTCCAACTGTTGTTGAATTTGTTGTGTCTGAAGACTGATCTGATTTTCAGCAGTGATGTCGCCTTGACTATTGGCAAGGCTTTCTAATGTTTGCTGAGTGAAAGCATTAACATAGTTCTGTGTTAGACCAGCCTGAGCAAGTGCTTCAGGAGTCAATCCCTCAGATAGCAAGTTACTCTGGGCAAGGCTCTGCTGTGCTAAAGCCTGAGAAGCAAGACTTGTTTCATTAAGAGCATTTGCTCCATGGAGTCCATCTTGACCAACAGTAAGTTGACCCTGTGCCAAAGCTAGAATGGAGTTTGATGCTTGCTCTATTGCCAAATGCTCAGCTAGGTTACTTGCTTGCTCTGCAATAGACTGAATCTCCTGCACATGGTTGGGATCCTGCTCTATATTCTCCTGCTGTTTGGCCTGAAGAGCTAGTTCTCGCTTATGCATCTTCATGTGTTTCTTACAATTGACAGATGTCTTGAATGTCTTTTGGCAATATGGGCACATGAATGGGCGTACATCTGTGTGAGTCGACATATGACGTTTCAAGCTTCCATTGGTGGTGAACAGACAATCACAAATAAGACATTTATAGGATTTGACACCAACATGTGTTCTCTCATGAGCTTTTAAGACTCCTGATGATATGAATGATCTCATACATGTCATACATTGGTAAGGCCTCTCTCCTGTATGTGACCGCACATGTTGCTTCAGATGGCTAGACTTCTTGAAGCACTTTTGACAGTATGTACATTGATAAGGTCTATCTGTTGTGTTGTTCGGCTGCAGCCCATCCGATAGATAATTATGGTACATATTACTGTTCCTAGGAGGCTGCTGTATCAAACCAGTGTCTGTTATTAGTATCGGTTCTTGAAGTGGTATGTCCGGAAGGTCTAGATCTGGGAGTTTCTTTGCACGGGCCTGGGCTGATCTAGTTTTCTTTTCAGTATTTTCCTTGAAGTGGCACAGCATGTGTACTTTGCGTTGTCCAGTCGTCCTGAACTTCCTTTCGCAGTGTTGGCATTCAAATGGCTTAGCTCCTGTGTGCAATCTGAGGTGGATTTTCAGACTCCCATGTGTTGCAAACAACTTAGCACAAACATTGCACTTGTATTCCTTAACCCCTGCATGCGTCTTCATGTGACTCATGAGGGTACTCTTGACCGTGAATGTCTTATCACACTGTGTACAGCTGTACGGCTTCTCATTAGTGTGAATGCGAACATGTCGGACAAGGTCACTAGGCTTCTTGAATGTTTTAGCACAGTAATTACAGGTATGGACCCGTGATCCTGTAGGTGCACTTCTCTTCACCATGACTCTCCTCTGAAGAATCTCTGCAACAAAGGAAAACAATTGGTTGAGCTGGTTGTTAGCAGGAGCTACAGTGGTCTCTGTTGATACTGTTGGTGCTGTGGTGGAAGCAGTAGGTATTTCAGGAGCAGGATCTGGAGCATCTGGAGCCACAGGAGCGACAGGCGCAGCAGGAGCAGGAGTTTCAGTCTGTCCTTCGACCACATTGTTTGTTACACCACTATTATCAAGTGCCTGCTGCAAGATATCAGTATTGATAGTATTACCAGACATGATCTCCTGGATCCTATCCAATGGATCCCCTTCACCTGCATTCTCTTCCAGCATATTGATCAGTTGCTCCAGGGCACCAGCTAATGCTGGAGTATCCACAGTACTATCTAACCAATCTGCTCCTTCCTGGATAGCTGAAAGTGCTGCCTTGAGTGACAGCAATGGACTGGAAGCCTCCTCGCTGTTGTGGAATCGACTGATGTGTGCATTCAAGCTGCTCATTTTACGAAAGTTACAGCAACACTGTGGACACTCAAACCTCTGTTCCAACTCGCTGTTGATTTCATGGACTCTTACAATGTGTGCCCTCAGGTTTCCACGCTGAGCAAACTTCTGACCACAGAATTCACAGGAATGTGGTTTGGTTCCGGTGTGCTTTGTCAAGTGTACATGAAGAGCTCCATTTTGGTTGAAAGCCTTGTCACAATGGGGACACTTGTATGGCTTTTCACCTAAAGTTTTGAAATAATATGAAAAATGATTAAAAAAAGGTTAAAGACAACAGCACATTTTCCCCAAAATCCTAGACGAACACGATTCTCGAGCCACTATGCTTCAGTTGCATGTATCTTGATAATAAGTGGCCCTCCCTTCGTGTATCTCCCCATTACAGACTTATTTCATCTACTGTAATGTGCTAGATCAAATAATGCCAAGTTTAAAGTCCACACTTCATTGGCTTGTATCTTGTTAAAATGATGACAGGTGTCACTATCAACTCAAAACATCAGGAGGCACTTTGGTAGATGCATTCATCATACAAAATATCAGTAAAACAATTGAGATGTGTAACATATCAGAAGCTTCCTAATGATCTTGCACTTCAGATTATTTAGATCCTGGTTTATCTAAGCTACCGGTTTATAACGCACATCTTGCCCTCACATCCTATTACATAAATGAATATAATTGGGCAATCCATATAACACTGACTTAATTACTAACTACAACTGCTCTATGCTGCAGAGATAAATATCATATGCTTAGTGGTACTAACAGAATTTGCATCAATATTACTGAGTGATGGCTTTCACATCAGAATGAATCTCACCTGTATGAATACGAACATGTCGCTCAAGCTGACTTGGTTTAGAAAAGGACTTGCCACAGAAGCTACAGCCATGATGAAATCGTGATCTGTCCAGGTTGCGTCGCACAAACTTTGTGTTCATGACTGCAGATCTGGTTTCCATAATGGAAAAAAAAAATTTATGGTAAAACTAATTATCTGCTTCTTTGTGGAGGTAACAACTTTCCAAAGCTATGCTTCACCTTTCTTTTTATACACTACTATAATGATAATTATAAAATAGTATGAAATTTTAGTTTTAGGCTATACAAATTTTCATTACAAATGATCATAAGGCCCCAACTTTAAGTAGTTCTTTTTGTTTTGTAACTTGTAATTGTATATTATCATTTGCAGGACAAATAGGAATCAATGAATAAAATTAACATTTTGAAAAATAGAGAGAATCATGAGGCTTATACACAAATAAGTACCGGTATATAGGATAAGGCTATCAATTCAAATTTCAAAGATTTCAAAGATTTCAATTCCAAAAAGTAAGCTTTTCAATCAACATCTCAAATGCCTGCAGTCTCTGTAATCTTTAACACCATATTCATATACATGCATAGTCAATTTACCTAAATCTGGGTTTGTGCTTCTGTCTCATGTGTTCTTTGAGCATATAATGCATGGGGAACTTCTCTGTGCAGATCTTGCATGTGTGTTCCTTGGGTTCAGTGGCTTCAGCAGCATGCTCCTGTAGATGCTCATTCAGAGATCTCTGTTCAAGTTCAAAGGTAAGAAGAGGAAAAGAAACGAAACCATCTTTAGCAAGCCTTGCAAGCCCACATCAGGCAATTTCTAAATAACCTATGCAGTGAATGATGATGATCCAACCACTTCGTAATTTCCTTTAGTGTATTTTCCATTTTATTGGTTTATCTATGTTTGCAAGAAATTATTCTATTCTTTGTCTTTGTATGTTTTTATGAAAGTGGTGAATAAATTCAGTTCAATTCAATGAGATGAGATGTATGCCAAATTGCCAATCAATACCAGGATGCGTATGTATAGGCTCAAGACAAGAATAAAGACAATAACAAATGTTTTTAAAAATTGTGAATTTCAATGATAAAAGAGTGGTCTGTTACCTGGAGACCAAACTCATCCCCACACTCTGGACAGATAAGCACTTCCTCCTTGGCATGAAGCATGATATGTGACTTGAGACTGGCCACACGACTGAACTTCTTCTTGCACTCAGGGCACACCAGGTTCTCCACATCATGAGTGGCCTTGTGCAGGTTGAGGTTGTATTCCACATTAAAGGATTGATCACATTGGTCACATCTGTGCAGCTTGTCAAACTGATGACTACGTTGGTGGCGCTTGAGATCCTTCCAGCGACCATACTCCTTAGCACATTGGACCACCTCGCACGTGTAGGGTCCATTTCCAGGGCTTTTAGGAGGTGCAGCCACAGCTGGGGTGGACGCCTCTTCTTCAGCATTGACTAGCATCAGTAACAATAGAGAAATATTTATTTGTTTAAATTACAAAACTCTTTAGCTATTAAATACCTGCATTCCATAGACTTAACCCTAACAATGCCGGGGGGGGGGGGGGGGGGGCCTCCGCGATTTTTCTGATTGCTCGGAACGCATACAGTATTGATGGCGCCCCGCCGCTCACTGACTTTTTTCTTTCGAGTCTTGCGCATCTTCAAAAAATTTTTTTTTGAAAATCGGACCTACAGTTACAAGGTCACGTGACCTTTTGTCTTTGCATGTCAGCCCGAAAATCGCTCATTTTTGCGATTTGTGTACAAAACTATGGAAATGTCATTTTTCCTAAAAATTGGTTATTGGGTCTTGTTTAAAGTTTAGGTGGTTGTCTTGGGAGTCAAAATAGTTGAATTGTAGTAAGAAATGAAATAAAACAACAAAAACAATAAAATACATAAGTTAAAAAAAACAATGAAATACATAAGAAATTATAAAACAAGAGATAACATAAGGAATAAGCTGGCTCTTCTAAATTTGTTTGTCATATTTTTATTCCAAATGGTTTAATGAAGATATGTAGTGAAAAAGAATGCTTAAATATGAATAATATATGATTTATGGGTAAAAATGTGATTTTATAACCTTATTTGTATAGATTACCATAAATATGTAAATAAGTGAATTTTGAAAAAATTGAAATTATCAAATTATTCTATACACTTCACTTGACATGCGTGCAAATGTTCACGGAGATCGGCCGCTTCCCGGCCGAGATCTTAATGGGGGGGGGGGGGGGCCCCATCCTCGGCCGTACTAAGACCCTCAAATACCCCGGCCTTTTAAGGGTTAATACTGCAACTACCCGGGTTTTCAAGGTGATGGATTAGAGACAACATGTCGTTCAGGCAAGCCTTAATAATAATTCGTGAGATTGCAATGACCTCAATAAATTTATGAGAAATTCAAAATCAAACAATTGCTAATGGCTTCATAGGCCTAAAGGGTTGGAAAATTCCTTATTTTTTTACCCCCCAAAAAGTTAATTGATTTCAATTGATTTCTTGACATTTCTCTTAAAAATGAAGGGGACAAAAATCACTGCACACAATTATGCGCAGTTTAAAGTTTTGTGCATTGTTAATATCGGTCATAAGGATTCTCTTATAGTAGTAGGACCTACTATTTTACACAGAAACTTGTGTTGCCCATTGCCACCATACTATAGTATTTTTATGTGTAGGAAAACTATCAAATACCAAATAACATAGAATGCCCTCCTCCTCATTTCCAGAAAGTCTGGATGAACCAATGAAAACACAAGAATCAACTATCGACCTTATATGAGAGTAAATCAGAGATACCAAAGGCGATAACTTTCTGGCACCAAAGGCATCCCATTTAGGCAGCTAATTTTTGTAGGAAAAATCAAACAATTTTATCAAACCAATTTGCTAATTTGTCTTAGTAATTAAGCTAGCAGTCATCAACAACAAAAAATTCATTTCCTTCTCTTGTTTCCTGAAACTTTTTAATGTCTCTGACCATGGCAAACATGCTTTAAAAATTTAAAAAATTAAAAAAAAAGGGGGGGGGGGGTTACAAATAAAAATTGTTGTGGGTTTTATTAGTGTACTAGGTTTCATCAGACTTCATACAGGCAAAGCATGCTAAAGTCGAAAGCCTGATTCCCATTTCAAATTTTTCCAATGACAGACCCTAGGTTTAATTTGAGGTCCACTCACTATATTCATAAGGACCACCTTTCATAAGGACAGCTATTCATAAGGACCGCTATTCATAATTTGAGAAAAGGATTATTCTTCATAAGGACGCTATTCATAATCGAAGAAGATGTTCGCTATAATATGAGAAGAGGGTAGCTATTCCCTTCTTCATGTTTATGAATAATAGCGACCCTGATTTCATATTATGAATAGCAGTTCTTATGAATAACGGACTATTAACGGTCCTTACATACATTTGCCTTTATGAAAAGTGACCCCCTTTGCGTATCGGTCCTTTGCGATCATGTATATAGGAAGTTATACGTTATGAATAGCGGTCCTTATGACTAACAAGGTTATACCCCTTTAATTCTTCTGCTTTGGCGTTTTACTCATTTGGTAGTATTCAGTGATCTACCAACAACAAAAATGTTATTCTTGTTTAAAGGTAATACAAAGTTTTGGTATGGCGCCGAAAAAAAAACAAAAGTCGGGGGTACGTCTTATACTAGGTAAAAAATAATGTTAAAAAAAAAAAATTCTGGCCCAAAAAATTGGGGTACATCTTATTATATACACAGAGATTTTATTGGAAGCATATCAGATTTTTACATCCACATGGGCATCCAAATATATCAAAATTTTAAAGAATTACTGCCGTATCCTTCCAATTTCCAAAATTTCCCAAAACTTTGCGTTACCTTAAAAGTTTTAAATGTTTTAAAAGTTTTAAAATTCAGATACATTTTTTAAGCCAAAATCAGGAACATGAATCAATTGACCAAAAGACCAATTGAAAACATGGTTTACACATGACAGCATTCAAAGCTTAATTCCTTTCAATGCCACTTGTGGCACAATGCAGTCTCCGCCTTTGCACAGCTTAGGCCTACTTAGCAATTTTACCTAATTGGAAGCAAAGATCACTGACTTTCGCACAGTAATTCTTACTTTCTTGTATCATCTTTTTTGAAATCTTTCCCCTTTCAATCAACTCATCCTTCCATATCATCTTTTCTTTCTTTTAATTCCTTTCCCTTTCTTCTTTTAAGTTTATCTTTCCTTTTCATTATGTTATAATGGGAAGTCAATTATCCTGATATATACATGTAGTTGGTTCTATAATACAAGCAAAAAAATGAAAGAAATAGATCCGAGAATGTTTGAGCAAAATCTGACAGAAATTAGTAAGAAGGTACATAATTATGAATTTGTGAAATCGTAACCAATCGTAAACACAAATTGGCTATTTGCTGTGAGCTAGCCTGTGACATATTTTGTAAGCTAGGTTTTATTTTCCAATCATTAAAGCTCTGTACTAAAAAAATGCAATTTTTCATTTCTCTAGAGAATATATTTTATCATAGATATGCCAATAGTCCTTTGCATGCATATTTCAACTTTCAACACATGTTCCCCCTGTATTTGAAGAATTTGTTTAAATAAATTTCAGTTTACTTTACATTCATCAGCGGCCAGGAAAAGAGAAATTAAATTTCCTGTACAGGGCAAATGGGGAAGGACCTGTCTGTAACAGTCGGCACTCCATAGTTTGGGGGCGCTAGCACTTCATAAAACCAAAACAAACTGTGCACATAAATGTTCGATGATTCACGAACAATGCTCGACAAGGAAGCCATCAAACCTTGAGCTTTTCATCAGTTTAACGATGTGAGTAGAATTGAGAGTATGAAGAATCTTGAATTAATGGTTTTCTGATCAGACTAAACTCATTGGAGGTTGATATTATAACGTATTTGTATGCTAAATGTTGTCTTTAATTGTCGAACCTTGATTGTTGAACTTTGATTGTTAACGAACACGTGTATGTGTGTATGATTGTGTGTGTTCTTATATACGCATAACACATTCAGAGCGCATCGTTGAATGCGATTATAGAGTATTGTACATGCACTTTGCGTGCTACTCAAAATCATTCATCTTCCTGTGATGAGTTATGTAATTTAAGCTGTATAATACTAATGATAAATGTATATTGCTAGATGTTGAGACATAAACACAGACATGTATAATTCCCTTCAATTTGCAGATGGGAACAGTATAAGGCTGTAACTGTAACAAGATGTGCATCAAGTTGAAAGTAAATCGGTCTGTCTTTGATGTCAGCACTCAGCAGGCACAGTGGTAAGCTTACATATAAGTGCCTCACTGTAATATGTTTATCCCATTATGATGTGTGGTTCATATTTTGAGCTGTGTTAAATTAATCTTATTGTAAACCACAAACTTGCTATTCTTGGTGTAATTAGCATTCTGGTGAAGTCACTTAATAACAGTATTATTTATACAATGTGCATGAAAGTTATTCCAAAGAAACAATACCTCAAGTACAGATACATAAATGGAAGTTTAGACATTGTTCACGTTAAATGTCAATTTATTATACATGTATTTTTGTACATCAAGTAGTTAATTGAACGATCATTGAAGTAATCGTTGAACACTGAAGCATTTTATTCCTAGAAGATTGATACCAAATGTAAATACCGTTATACTTATTATTCGTATGTTTTGACTTTGTCATTTTTCAGTTCTTACGGCTTTTGACAAGAATAAACGTCTACAAGAAGCATAGACTATACAAGCCAGTACTAGAGAACGTGTGCGTCGTTTTTTTGTTCTTCATCTAAGTAAATACATCGGGGCAGGCACAGTAAGAACACTACCACAGGGTGGTAAGTACTCTACCCACAAGTTAGCGACTACACTCTACCCAATACGTAGATGATGCATGCATCCGGGACGTGGAAGGCTACATCTCCAGCAAGCTCACTCTTCAAGGCTCATGGCATCGCTGCTGGACTGTCAAGCTCAAGAGCGTACAAGAAAAGGAGGTCAAGCTATAATTGATAATCTTTGACCTTGAAAGAACATTGAACTATCCCATAAATTCCACTTGATTTATTTTGTGGAAGCAGCTCCTTCGTATATCCTTTGAAATGGTAATATAGTAGGGGTTGATTTGGTATTGCTGTTGCAATTAGAATAGTTTGATAAATTTAGTATATTTTAATTAATTTGTACTAGAGCCTTACATTTCCTTGAGTGTGCAAATTTGGATAATAATTTGTGCAAAATAAGATAAGGGTGAACAAATTTGTGTTTAATAAGAAAGAAGCACAAATTTTATCGGTATTGGCAAAATTTGTAATAAGCCTTTAAATATTTGCTAATCGATTCAAACTACGGATTCCTTTTAATTTTTTGGAATTGATATTAGCTGTTTAGGCTAATTCATAAACTTTTTGGTTAAACATGCAAATTTAAATAATTTTTGTGTGAGAAAGTTCAAGTTGTTTTTTGTGAGCAAATTTTGGTTAAATCATAATTTCTACCATTGTCAGAGATTATTCTAAAATTCATGACTAACAAGTTATAAATGTTTTAATTGTAAAGTAGGTGTGCACCTATCGATATGAAATTGTAGTGCACAGCTGAGCAACTGAATTTACTTTGGGGTCGCTGTCCTGCATTGCTGCGTGCATAAAGTAGTGCGCATGTGGGGTTGCGAGCATTGTGTTTCGGCTTCGGCTGGTGACATGGTCTGGGGCCTCCTGACTGATGCCTTGGGTATGGTCTGGTATCAGGTGAATAGTATCGCTTAGACTAGTAGGCGGGTTGAGCGGTTGTAGGGTTTGTATTTCATTGGCTTCTCCTAGGTCCATTGTATTTATAAGTAATATGACGGAAAAGTCGCACAGTAGGAAGTCCTCAAGAGAGCGACAACCTACAGAAAAGATGGCAGCTCTGCAAGGGGAAGAGTCGGTGAAGACGGAACGGAAGTTCTTCAAACACTATGGGGCTCTGAAGACTATCGTCAAGGAAGCAAGGAAGGCAATTAAGGCTGAAAAGGAAGAAGCGATGATCAAGAAGCATATCGAAGCGCTAGAAAATGGAGAGAAGGAATTGATAACATTGTTTGAAGGCTTGAGGAAGCACAAGGCTCCAATAAGAGAAGTAAGGGAGAGAATGGATAGAGGAAATGCGATGGTCCGAGATATTATAAATGCCCTTGAAGAAGTTCTAGGGTCACTGGGAAGTCCCTTTGATGCCGAGGACCGCAAGCAGATCGCAAGAGAGCTCTTAAAGCAAGACTATGCCAAGTCGGTCTTCAGCTCGTCCTTAAGTGAGGTGGACCCAGATGCAGGAACAAGCCAGCAACCGGAAGCCACCCCAGTCCATGCCACCTTTAGTCTCCCTGGTCAGCTTTCTCGCGACAAGATCTCACCTCGTCCTCCTTCATCTGTCAATTCTGCAGATACTCTGTCAGAAGGCCCAACAGCGCCTTCTGTGTCAGAAGGCCCATCAGCACCTTCTGCCTACAGTCCTCAGTCATCGCCACTGGTAGATAGTCAGCATTTTGCCCAAGCCCTAGCCGACAATATGTATCGGAATCGGCTTCCAGTCCCAGTACCTCATACCTTCAGTGGTAATCCCCTCGAATTTATTGAATTCGAGAGAAGTTTCAGGACTCTAATTGGGGACAGGATACCGGCTACAGAAAAGCTTTATTATCTGAAGCAATACGTGACAGGACCGGCCAGAGAGGCAATAGAAGGATTCTTCTATGGAAGTTCAGAAGATGCCTATGCTGGTGCCTGGAACACTCTAAGGCAGAGGTATGGCCACCCATTCCAAGTCCAACGGGTCTTCCGGGAAAAGCTGCACAACTGGCCAAAGGTACCATCAAGAGACGGGAAGGCACTTCAAAAGTTTGCAGACTTCCTAAAGAGCTGCATGGACGCCATGCCCTACGTGCCAGGTTTGGAGGTATTGAACGACTGCCTTGAAAACCAACGACTTCTTGGTAAGCTGCCTGAATGGCTTGCTGCCAGCTGGAATAGGCAGGTTACAAATGCCATCCAGAATGGGGGATTGTATCCACAGTTTAAGGTGTTTGTGGGATTCATGATCAAGGAGGCACAGATAGCCAACAATCCAATCTCTTCACTGGAGGCCTTAAAAGGCGGTGAATCCTCGAGCCCAAGGAAGGACAAGCTTCCCACAAGGAAAAGCTCTACACTGGCCGTGAAAAGCAAAGAGGAACGGACGAAGCACCACAAGCACCCACCTGAAGGCAAGAAACCTGCCAAAGGCTGCGGCCTGTGCCGGTCGACAGACCATTTCCTGGATGGATGCCCTCAATTCAAGGCCAAATCCTTAACTGACCGCAAGGGTTTTGTAAAGGAGAATGGCTTCTGCTTCGGTTGTCTTCGGCAAGGGCACTTCAGCAAGGATTGTACGAAGAGACACAAATGTGAAGTTTGCGGCAAGCGACATCCCTCCTCCCTCCATGAGTGGCGTCCTGAGGCAAGTCAAGATGAAACGGAGCAAGCCGCAACAACATCCCATAAGCTGCACTTTGGAAAAACAACCAGTACGTCAATGATTGTGCCAGTATGGGTTGCTTCAGAGCAGTCCCCAACAAAGGAGGTACTAACATATGCTCTTTTAGATACCCAGAGTGATGCCTCCTTTGTCCTAGAAGAAGTAGCTCAGAGCTTAGGCGTTAAGCGACAGCCCTTGAGACTACAGTTATCAACGATGACGTCCTCATCCACCATCCAGTGCGATGCAGTGAACAATCTGGTAGTAAGAGGCATGACTTCTCCCACTAAGGTGGAGATTTCATAATGCTACACTCGAGAGTTCATACCAGCAAACCGGGAGCATATCCCAACTAGGGAAACTGCCGACAAGTGGCCTCACCTTCAAGAAATCGCTCGTGATATGTCTGCACTCCAAGGTTGTGAAGTCGGGTTGTTAATAGGTTATAACTGTCCCAAAGCCTTAGTCCCTAGACAGGTTGTAACAGGCACCGATGCTGAGCCTTATGCTGTACGAACAGACTTGGGATGGAGCGTCATCGGTGCAGCAGACACTCAAGAAGGTGACGTCGACTCAAGCCGATGTGGCAGAGTGGCTACACGGGAGCTGCCAGGGATAACGCCCAAAGATGTGCTCAAGGCCCTAGAGGCAGATTTCTCGGAAAGGTCCAGTAAGGACATATCCTACTCCCAAGAGGATATAGAGTTTGTGAAGCTCTTGGAAACCACCATTGCGAAGAATGAAGACGGTCATCTCATAATGCCACTGCCCTTCAAGAAAAGGCCTGACATGCCAAATAACAGACGTCTTGCAGAAGTTCGACTCAAACATCTACAAAGGAAGATGGAAAGGGACGAAAGGTACAAAGAGCAGTACCAGGCTTTCATGACTGAAATGATCAAGAATGGTTATGCAGAGAGGGTACAGGAAGAAAGTCCCCCTGGGTCGACGAACTACATCCCACATCATGGTGTTTACCATCCTCAAAAGAAGAAAATCAGAGTAGTTTTTGACTGCGCAGCAAGATTCCGTGGTACATGCTTGAATGATCACCTCCTGAAAGGCCCTGACCTCACCAATGCCTTGGTGGGAGTACTGCTCAGATTCAGGCAGCACGATGTGGCCATCATGTGTGATATTGAGAAGATGTTCTATCAATTCCAGGTGACGGAAGAACATAGGGATTACCTACGCTTCCTATGGTGGGAGGGCAAAGACACAAAGGGCAAGCCAGTGGACTATCGTATGAAGGTACACCTTTTCGGTGCTGCATCCTCACCAGGATGTGCGAACTATGGCCTAAAGCACCTTGCCAAAGAGTACAAAGATGACTTCCCCATGGCTTCACGTTTCCTAGCGAGAAATTTCTATGTGGACGATGGTATTACAAGTCTACCAAGTTCAGAAGAGGCCATTCACTTGGCAAGAGAAGCCATGGAACTTTGCCAGAGAGGGGGTATACGCCTCCACAAGTTTGTGTCTAACACAAAATCTGTCCTAGAGAGCATCCCAGAGTCAGAGCGCTCTGTTGATGTCACTAGTTTGGACCTCAACTTAGAAGAGTCAATGGAGAGAGCTTTGGGAATCTCGTGGAACCTAGCAGCTGACTATCTTTGTTTCAAGATTGCCCTGAAGGAGCAGCCGTGGTCCAGAAGAGGTATTCTCTCAACTGTGGCCTCATTGTATGACCCGCTGGGTTTTGTGGCCCCCGTGGTGCTACAGGGGAAGAAAATCCTTCAGGAAATGTGTCAAAAGGGACTCGGATGGGATGATCCAGTCCCGGAAGCCTTGCGGCCATCATGGGATCAGTGGCTCAAGGAACTGCCGCAGTTAGAGTCCCTTAGGATTCCTCGATGTCTTCATCCTCCTGGCTTCAGTAATCCAGTTGTGGTGCAACTGCATCACTTCTCAGATGCCAGCACCATGGGATATGGTCAGTGCTCATATGTACGGTTCGTGAACGAGAAGGAGGAAGTTCATTGCTCTCTGATTTTTGCCAAAGCGAGAGTCGCTCCATCCAAGGTAGTAACCATACCACGACTAGAGTTAACAGCTGCGGTGGTCTCAGCAAAGGTCAGCTCTATGTTGAAAGACGAGCTGGAGCTTCAACTGGTTGAGGAGTTCTTTTGGACTGACTCCAAGGTAGTCATAGGCTACATCAACAATGAGGCCCGAAGGTTTCATACATTTGTGGCAAATAGAGTTCAGCTAATCAGGGATAGAAGTCTCCAAGATCAATGGCACTATGTACCCACCGAAGAAAATCCGGCTGACCATGCATCCAGAGGACTCAGCCCGACAGAGCTACTGAAGACCAAGCAATGGATGAATGGGCCAGACTTCCTTTGGGAACGTAACTTTGAGTTCAGAGATACCTCCGCACAACTGAATGTTGGTGACCCTGAGGTGAAGATAGCTATCTTCGCAACTAACCTCAATCTTGACAAGCCAGACCTGCTACAACGTCTAGCCAGACTCTCTAGCTGGTCTTTGATGATTAGAGTCTTGTGTCGACTCAGAATGGCCTCAAGGAAAGGTGATGAACGAGCCTCACTTGCTCAAGAGAGAGAGAAGGCTAAGGTATTCATCCTTCAGCTAGTTCAAAGAGAGACTTTTTCTCAAGAGATGAAGTGCTTGACTCAGAAGAAAACTGTGAAGGACGCAAGCAGCATCCATGATCTGGATCCATACTTAGACGAGGATGGAACCCTACGAGTTGGAGGTAGGCTAAAGGACCTGCCCCATCCTGTCATCCTTCCAAAGAACAGCCAGATCACCAGAGCAATCGTACAGCACTTCCATCAGAAAGTCTGTCATCAAGGTAGAGGCATCACTCAGAACGAGATACGAGCCAATGGATACTGGATCGTGAAGGGATCTAGATTGGTAGCGCAGTTGATTAAGAACTGCGTAACTTGCAGACGCCTACGCAGACCCCAGGAAGAGCAAAAGATGGCCAACCTTCCAGATGATAGGGTAGAGCCCTCTTACCCTTTTACGTTCGTGGGCATGGACTGTTTTGGTCCATTTGTTGTTAAAAGAGGTCGCTCGGATGTGAAGCGATATGGGTTGCTCTTCACTTGTCTGTGTTCTAGAGGCGTTCACATTGAAATGGTTGATGACATGTCTACAGATTCATTCATTAATGCTCTGCGTTGTTTCATTGCAATCAGAGGAGCAGTCCGACGAATCAGGTGCGACCAAGGTAGCAATTTCGTGGGAGCTAGGAATGAATTTCAGGTAGCCATGAAGGAAATGGATGCTGTCAAGGTTGAAGCCTATCTTGCAGACAAGCAGTGTGAATTTGTTTTCAATGCTCCTCATTCAAGTCATGCCGGAGGGGTTTGGGAACGGCAGATCCGTTCTATAAGGAATGTCCTGAGGGCTACTATTGACTTATGCCCTGGAAGACTCACTGATGCGTCTCTGCGTACCTTCTTCTATGAAGCAATGGCTATTGTGAATAGTCGGCCTTTGACGATGACCAATCTGAACGACCCCAGTACTGCTGCACCTTTGACACCGAATCATCTTCTCACTATGAAGAAGTTGGTGCCGTTGCCACCTCCTGGTGAGTTTCCTAAGACAGGTATGTACCTGAGGAAAGCTTGGAGAAGAGTCCAATTCTTGACACAACAGTTCTGGTCCCGATGGCGCAAGGAGTACCTTCTTTCCTTGCAAGGGCGTAACAAGTGGACTAAAACACGAAGGAACTTGAGGATTGGAGATGTTGTCTTGCTGATGGACAACGAAGTGCCACGTGTGAAGTGGCCCCTTGCTGTAGTTACAGCAGTGACCCCCGGCGATGACGGTTTGGTCAGAAAGGTCCAGGTACGAGTAGGAACAAGGAACCTGGAAAAAGGGGCTAAGAGGTCAGAGTTATGGAGACCAGTGCAGAAAGTGGTCCTCCTCGTGGAACATCCTAGAACTTCTGACTCAGATTCTGAATGAGTGTTTTAGTCACCCTACTTCAGAGTTGTTGGTGAATTGTGCACTCCCTGTGATCGCTCATCTCGCCTCGCCCTGTGCTTTGATTTTGCTCATGGCTTCAGTCATGGAGGTTTCGGACAGCAGTTGTCTGTCGTTGCCGGGATGCATTGCTCTGTCTGCCCCATTCTTGCGCGCCTTATGTGCTTTGCGGTGCATGACAGTGACTCCTTTGTTCAGTTATGTTGCTCAGTTGTGCAAGTGTAGTTAAGTCTAGTATTCATTATACTGTAGTTGTTACTTTGCTACATACAGTTGCAACATCGTTTTTTTTGTAATACATGTAATTACTAGATTCATGTGTAATGGAGTACCGGTAGTTGAAAATTACCAACACAGGTTGTCATTGTATGGCAGGTTGAATTATTTGTAAGTAATTTGGTGGGAGTGTAACAGTCGGCACTCCATAGTTTGGGGGCGCTAGCACTTCATAAAACCAAAACAAACTGTGCACATAAATGTTCGATGATTCACGAACAATGCTCGACAAGGAAGCCATCAAACCTTGAGCTTTTCATCAGTTTAACGATGTGAGTAGAATTGAGAGTATGAAGAATCTTGAATTAATGGTTTTCTGATCAGACTAAACTCATTGGAGGTTGATATTATAACGTATTTGTATGCTAAATGTTGTCTTTAATTGTCGAACCTTGATTGTTGAACTTTGATTGTTAACGAACACGTGTATGTGTGTATGATTGTGTGTGTTCTTATATACGCATAACACATTCAGAGCGCATCGTTGAATGCGATTATAGAGTATTGTACATGCACTTTGCGTGCTACTCAAAATCATTCATCTTCCTGTGATGAGTTATGTAATTTAAGCTGTATAATACTAATGATAAATGTATATTGCTAGATGTTGAGACATAAACACAGACATGTATAATTCCCTTCAATTTGCAGATGGGAACAGTATAAGGCTGTAACTGTAACAAGATGTGCATCAAGTTGAAAGTAAATCGGTCTGTCTTTGATGTCAGCCCATAGGAAAGAAATGAGCCTGCCGCATACTCCTGCGGCAGACTTGCCGCAGATCTGCGGCAGACCTGCCGCAGACAGTCATCTTTTTCACATGCAAATTAGTTTTGCCGCAGACTTGCCGCAGACTTGCCGCATACTCTTTCAGTATGATGAAGAGTCTGCGGCAGGTCTGCCGCAGACTTGCTGCAGACTTGCCGCAGACTTGCCGCATACTCTTTCAGTGTGATGAAGAGTTTGCGGCAGACCTGCCGCAGACTTGCTGCAGACCTGCCGCATACTCTTTCAGTATGATGAAGAGTCTGCGGCAGACCTGCCGCAGACTTGCTGCAGACCTGCCGCATACTCTTTCAGTATGATGAAGAGTCTGCGGCAGGTCTGCCGCAGACTTGCCGCATACTCTTTCAGTATGATGAAGAGTCTGCGGCAGGTCTGCCGCAGACTTGCCGCATACTCTTTCAGTATGATGAAGAGTCTGCGGCAGACCTGCCGCAGACTTGCTGCAGACCTGCCGCATACTCTTTCAGTATGATGAAGAGTCTGCGGCAGGTCTGCGGCAAGTCTGCGGCAAAACTAATTTGCATGTGAAAAAGATGACTGTCTGCGGCAGGTCTGCCGCAGACTTGTCGCATACTCTTTCAGTATGATGAAGAGACCTGCTGCAGACCTGCCGCATACTCTTTCATATCCAGTGCGTGGCAATAAAGTATGCATGTAGAAGAACCAGTGATAAACTGATTGATACTTCATAATCGATATTGGCAATATCGATATTACCAATTAGGTAATACCAATATATATCGATATTACCAATTAGGTATATTCTATTCTCAATTGTATTAACTTCATCACATTGATCATTTGAAGTGTATTCAAGAGTAACATTTAAAGTGACACAGGCTCGTACACATATATATACTAAATATGTATATTGTTTTTTGGTTAGTAATCATAGTTTCTTGGTTAGTAATCAATATATCTATTGCTTAAACGTGAATGTAATTGTAACATGATCAGACAAAATAATCTATTGGTTAATAATGGCAAAAGGAAAATAGAAATCACAAAAATGATGTGCATTGTCTTAATTTGCTTAACAAATCATGATAAATGTATTTTTCTGTCACACGTGTAAAGTAATAATGAATATGCATGAGATGATTGGTTTCAATTGGCCCTATTAGACTTTAATGGGATTTCCTGTGGCAGACCTGCCGCAGACTGTTCCTGTGGCGTACTGGTATGCGGCAAGTCTGGAGCAAAGTTTCGCCCTGCCGCAGATCTGCCGCAGACTGTTCCTGTGGCATACTAGTATGCGGCAAGTCTGGAGCAAAGTTTCATCCTGCCGCAGATCTGCCGCAGACTGTTCCTGTGGCATACTAGTATGCGGCAAGTCTGGAGCAAAGTTTCATCCTGCCGCAGATCTGCCGCAGACTGTTCCTGTGGCATACTAGTATGCGGCAAGTCTGCAGCAAAATTTCATCCTGACGCAGATCTGCCGCAGACTGTTCCTGTGGCATACCAGTATGCGGCAAGTCTGGAGCAAAGTTTCATCCTGCCGCAGATCTGCCGCAGACTGTTCCTGTGGCATACTAGTATGTGGCAAGTCTGCAGCAAAATTTCATCCTGCCGCAGATCTGCCGCAGACTGTTCCTGTGGCATACTAGTATGCGGCAAGTCTGGAGCAAAGTTTCATCCTGCCGCAGATCTGCCGCAGACTGTTCCTGTGGCATACTAGTATGCGGCAAGTCTGCAGCAAAATTTCATCCTGCCGCAGATCTGCCGCAGACTGTTCCTGTGGCATACTGGTATGCGGCAAGTCTGCAGCAAAATTTCTTTCTGCCGCATACTTCGGCATACTCTTTGCCGCAGACTTTTAGTCTGCGGCAGGTCTGCGGCAGATCTGCGGCAGGTCTGCGGCAGGTCTGCGGCATACTTTTCACTTTCCTATGGGAGCACTCAGCAGGCACAGTGGTAAGCTTACATATAAGTGCCTCACTGTAATATGTTTATCCCATTATGATGTGTGGTTCATATTTTGAGCTGTGTTAAATTAATCTTATTGTAAACCACAAACTTGCTATTCTTGGTGTAATTAGCATTCTGGTGAAGTCACTTAATAACAGTATTATTTATACAATGTGCATGAAAGTTATTCCAAAGAAACAATACCTCAAGTACAGATACATAAATGGAAGTTTAGACATTGTTCACGTTAAATGTCAATTTATTATACATGTATTTTTGTACATCAAGTAGTTAATTGAACGATCATTGAAGTAATCGTTGAACACTGAAGCATTTTATTCCTAGAAGATTGATACCAAATGTAAATACCGTTATACTTATTATTCGTATGTTTTGACTTTGTCATTTTTCAGTTCTTACGGCTTTTGACAAGAATAAACGTCTACAAGAAGCATAGACTATACAAGCCAGTACTAGAGAACGTGTGCGTCGTTTTTTTGTTCTTCATCTAAGTAAATACATCGGGGCAGGCACACTGTCCTTGATATATATACATCACAGCATGGCCACTTTTTGTAAATTTGTAACTTTATATAGATCTAGACCTAGATGCAGATTTCGCTCAATCATAAAAATGATTTGTTTCTCTAATTTTTCTGCCTCAAAATTTAAAACTTATTCGAGTTAGAACTTAGAAGACAAGTACAATACCACCTAAGTAAATGACAGGGTAGCCTATATAGGCTTATATTAATATAAGCTTCATTTTTTCTCTTTGTTTCTGGTTATTTCTTTTTTATCACTTAGGTCTAGATCTATTTGACAGCTGAATTGCATGTCATGCTGTTTGTTTTAATCCTTAACTGTATTATCTACTGATACTTTTTGTTTTTCTTTGTTATATAATTATAAGAATCATCATTCCGATCACCATTCAAATTCATATCTTTATTCATAATAGTCTAGGTCTAGATCTAGACTCTATAGATCTAGACCCTATGTTATTCTTTGTTTTTATCTTTTTGTCATTCTTTTTTTTTTTCTTTCTTTTCTTCCATTCATTTCCTGATTTTCTCTTTTTCCCCTAGGCCTACTCCTACTCCTACTCCTAGATTAAATTTCTCCTTTTTCAGACATCAGATATTCTTAGAGTCAGACATCAGTCATTGCCATAGGCCACAATGCTGTAGTCCAGACAGATTCCCATACCCATTCAACATAACTTTCAGCTCAGCAGTGCAGGGATTCGCGCCGAGTTAGGGTACAAACACGGAGAGAATGGCAGGGTGGCCAGGGCCTGGGTAACGGCCGTTTCTGGCCGTCTAGACACCGTCGGCGTCGCGTCGCAAAGCTTTTCAGTTTTGTGTGAATGACAGTCATATCACGTCAATGGAGAAACTAAACACAGCCACACTGGTCACTGCAATAAGCGGAAAGCCAGTTTTCCGTGAACGATAGCGAAAGTTCATCATTTTGTTCAGTCTTAAACCTACTGAAAATTATCCAACCACTTTTAAATTTGTACACCAAATAAGGCTTTATATTCTATATTTCGATATGTTCTCATCTATTTCAAACAAGGAGCGCAAATTCGCTTCCAGTAAATGGGATAAATATCATATCACTCCGCCAGTCATTGTGCAAAAGTTGCGTAGATAACGTACACAGCTAGTGCAGTACACTATAGGCTAGTTAGGCACATTCACTATACACGGAACTACATACTTGCTGCATGTAGACTATGCAATGCGGTTTGTGTATACGAGACTTGACGAAGAGACCAGACAACACAGCTCCACAAAACTCACGAATATAGATGTAACAACGTAAAAAAATGAATTAAAAAGTTTTAAAACTCACGCCTAACGTCTTCTGCACGATATCGAAGTCGAACAAACCGTCGACGAGGCATACTTTTTTCCTCAGGTAAAGCTTACATCAAAGCTGAAAGCTCGAACTTTAGAAATTGAATGATGGAAAATAACAACCGGTAGATTGATGACGTCATCAATAGGGAAAACCCGGATGTTGCGTTTGTTAGCTAGCTAGCTCCGAGCTCCTCGCTTGCTCGAATCGAAACTGGCTGCCATTTACCATATGCATAAATTTTCGTCACAAATTAATTCCACGCCTGATCGAGCTATTTAATTCATAATCACCATAGGCGCCGGGGGGGGGGGGGGGGGGGGGAGGCGGTCGCCCCCCCCCCCCTCCATCGAAAAAGTAGGGGGCAAAACGCGTCTCCCCCCCCCCCCACCCCCGAAACAAAATTACCAATGAAGGAGTCAAAATGGTTTGTATTATTTTTTTCAACCAAAAAGAAAATAAAGATAATAAAACCGGATTTGATTCAAAGAAAAGGAGAGTAAACAGGAATTAAGTTTCCTAAACATTCCGTATGTCCTTATCAATGGAGGATTTGATATTACTTATTAGCTATACGCGCATATCGTGGAAAATATTGTGAGAGAATGGGAAAGCGTAATAAGGGTGAGAATTAAGACGTGAGCCCCTGAACACTGGTGTACTGATGGGGGGGGGGGGATTCAAACGTGGTTTATTTCTTATTCGGTACCAATCATTTACAATTTTTGTCTCAATTTCTTTTGTCAAATATTCTTTTTTTTTATGCGTTTGTTGGAAAATTACAGATTCCAATTACAGTCAGGCCAAAGAGAAAAAGAAAGAAAGAGAGAAAGAAAGAACGAGTGATCTGCTAGGGTCACAAAATTGAGGTATCAAAGTAGGCTCATCTGACCGTAATCGAATGCTTAAAACCCCTTAGATTACGGGGCTCCGCCCCCTTGACCCCACTTAGGCTATAAGGCGGGCCCCTGGATGCTCATCTGACAGTAATTCAATACCTAAAAAACCCTGAGCTTCCCGGGCTCTACCCACTGGCAGAGCACGTAGCGAGAGTTTGATGTTTTTTTTTTTTTTTTTTTTTTTTTTTGGGGGGGGGGGGACACATACATGTAATTGATCGAGGTCAAAAAAGGGGTCTAAAAAAGTTCAACCGATCTTGGAATTTTTTTGGGGGCCCTCGTGGCTACGTGCCTGCCCACTGGACCCCATCCAGGGCCCGCCTTAGGGCCTTGCATTATTTTTCAAGGCATGGCCACACAGAGGATTTTTTTTCTGTTGGGGATCGGGGCTGAATGCAATGAATTATTGATAATTAATTGCACTTTGTTTTGTCGTATTTGTGGGGGTGGCCCCGTATCCTAGCTCCCGCTGCGTACGGTCATGATTCAGTGGCTAAGCAATGGCCTCGTTACTGTGAGGCCCCAGGATAAAATACCGCGATCAGCTATAATAGTGCCCTTTTGTGAGGCATTAATCCTCATTACCTTCAGTTATGACTTAAGGACGTAGGTCCCCTAGTTGATATACATGCTTTAGCAGTCCTGCAAAACAAACACTCGCAAACTATTATTCAATACAATCTGAGAATGTATACTATTATTTAGATCTATTAGGAATAAATCATTGTCAAAATCATTCCATAAATTGGGGTAAAAATAATTATTCCACCTTTATGACCAACAGTGTATATGAAAGTTATGAATTTTTACAGTTGTAATCACTATGGGCACTTCAAATGGGCTGAAGCGATAATGTCAATGTGATGTAGTGCCGTATTACTTTCCCATCTGTTCCAATTAATATATAAAATGACGAAAAATTCATTGCTCAGGAGGGTTTATTCTTTTTAGAGGACCTATGATAATATGCTATCTATAATATATTTTGAGTAGTGCTCCAAGGGAGAAGGAACTTATGAGAAAAAAGAGGGTATTATTAGTAATATGAAAGGTACAGATAGTACAATAAGTAACTTGGCTGAAATAGACTTCTGCTAATTAATCTGCTATATGCATTCCATGCTCATAACAATATCTTGTAAAATCTAAATTAACAATTATCCATCCACCCAGATATACAAAAGTTATATGATTTCGTAAATGTAACCTAAGGAGGGCTGATGTACCCCACTTTTTCCGGAAAAGGTGCATTTGTCAACAGAAGGGGGCACCTACCAGATAGGCACTTATTAGAGGTAAACATTGCATTGGCACTAATGAGAATGTGGAATTAAGGGGGATTTATTACAAAAGGCAAAAAGCGACACTTTTGCTATATAAAAAGATGCACTTTTGGTTTGATTGAAAAAATGGGGTCACTGTGCCACAGTCCCCTCTCCCCTCCCAGGAGTGCCGCTTACAATGTATACGGAAAACTGGTTATATGACTTTAATGAAATCTCATGAGGCATAATTATTAATAGGCCTATTCATAAAATAGGAAATAATTCAAAATGTTTGTCTATTTACACATCATCACTTCACAATGAATACCCATAAACCTAAATTAACCCCAAATTAACCGTCAATTCCAAATGTGAAAACATAATACTTCGGCCAACGAAGTATTATGTTTTTACATTTGGAATTGATTGACTTTTTGTTTGTACTGTGTGATAGAAGTCGTTCTTAACTCACTCAGCTATGGCATATTGCTGTTGTAAGATATCATCATCATATCTTCTGTTTTGCTATAAACACTGCATTGTAAATTGATTTAAACGGTATATATGTTTACAAACAGAATGTTGATTTGTTGCATTACAATTTACATTATGCTTCCAAACAGAATATTGATTTGTTACGTTCCATTGTAAATTGATTTATATGTTTATAAACAGAATATTGATGTACATCAATGAAGTTTGGTATACAATACAATACAATACATCATGCTTCTCTTTTTTTTCTCGTTGTATCCATCAAAGAAAGTTCAGTTTGTGACGAATTGTTTAAAAATTCGAGTGAGTACCGTTTCCGGTGTAAAAGCCGCGTATCAATCAGCAAGCGCCAGCGCCCACAAATATGACCAATCAAATTCGTGATAGAGAGACGAGCCCCTTTTTAGTTCACTAATATGAATGACGTACATATTATTACGTCGACGTCGCGAGTGGAAAGCTGCATGCATGCACTTTCTATCTGCTATTCACCGGTACCGGCGAAAATTCTAATTCTGATCCAAGATTAGTGCTCTTACGGCAATTGGCCTTATTGGTAAGTGATTTACTCTCTTTTAAAGATGAAATAGCATATACAGGTTATTGTGACCGTATGATCTACAGTTTGGTTGTGGTGGTGGTTCTTGAAATTTGTCTGTGATTTTGTTGTGGAGTATTGTTGAGTTGGAGCGTTGCCATCATTGGTTGGACAACATCGCACGATGTGTACGCAGCATGAACCGCTTGGTTATGTCGCAGCAGATATAAACCGGCCGGTGCGATGACGCAGCCAATCCTCTCAGTATAGGCCCAGCAGTTCAGTACAGCAGTATATTTAACAGTCTAGTATGGATGGACCATATCAAATACCATTTGTCAGTCTACTCCATACTTCCAAGTTCCAAACATTTTGTAAATCTGCCCGATCTAGACAAAGATGATGAAAGGTCTAGACAATTCACTCTAGATGATCTAGATCGTGATCGATGCTACTGACTAGAGTAGAGTCTTTATTTTAGAGAGAGTATTTCATGAATGAAGGCAAAGCCAAAATATTCCCTCAATGATCAATCAATCAATCATGTTAGCATGTGTGAAAGTTGGACCTTACTTTAATAGACAGAAATAGCAGTCTGGTATTATTAATTCTTTAATAAAAATAGATATTTTAATTTTTCTGCTGTTCTGTTTTCTGTCATTAACACTATTTTATCTCTCTCTCTCTCTCTCTCTCTCTCTCTCACTCGTATTACACAGTATACATTGTATCTCATCTTCTTTATCTCTGTATGCTTTTCCAGTTTTCTCGCACTCTTCTCATCTTCTGTTTCCCTGTCCCTAGCTTTCCCTCCGTCACCCTGCTATATCTCTCATTCTCTCTGCCCCTCTCTCCTCATATAGTTACTGCAGCAGGCTACATGTAGTTTTAAATGTAAAGCTTTATCTCATACTCAGTGTTTAATTTTGTTGTTACTTCCACCTGCAAATGATAATCTATTTTATGGAGTATGGACATAGGGTATGTTTCCTTTATATCAAGCATTTTCTTCTAAATAGGGGTTTGCTTGGTCTTAACTTGGCATGCTTCACTCTTTGGATGTTATTGCCAAAGGTAGACAAACAGCCATATATGTTTCAGATAACCCTGGCCCTGGGATATGTTTTCTGTCACTCATGAATATCATACAAAATTTGATAACTTTTTATATCAGCAAAACTGTGCATTCAGCATTTATCTATTAAGAAACCTTTATCTGCAAATATTTGGGTATGTAGTTGAATTGAATTATTTCTCAGGCAGTGCAGGTACAAAAAAAAATCTTTTGAATGAGACAAAAGGCTATTCCCTATGAGACATCATTGTCATTTATGCAGAACAATTGAAGCGACTGTTCCTTTTTTTTCTTGTTGGAAAATGCTGATGTCACAATATGTGAATAGTGTCTTTCAGTTATCTAATATGCCAGCATGACAGTATTAGCTTTGTGTCTCTAATGCAAATTGCATGCCAGATGTGTGTGACATTGTGTTTATTTTGTAAGCAATCAGTCAATGTCATGTTTTAAAGGTATCCAATCCAATCCAGGAATTTATAAAGCGCCAATATCTAGTTGCATTATAATCAGAGGCGCTGATGTGACTGAGAAACTATAAAAAAAATGTCTGTTCATGATTATAACTAGGAAAGACAAAAAAGCAGTGACTAATTGTAAGCAATCTGAAATAGGTAGTAGGTACGGTATACATGTCTTTAGTTGAGTTCTGAAAGTGGATAACTGGTGACAACAGCGGAGGATTTGGGAAGAAAATGTATGGCCATTGTGGTCAAGACCCTGACCATACATACACATATACCTGTAATGTTGAAATAATGACATTTGTATTCCAGTATGTGAGAATAACACCAAATGGTATAAATGGGACTGATATCTTTTGGACGGTTGCGCACCATTTTAATAGTTAAAAGATTACTCAAGACATACATGAAATGACTTCAGATAACCTTTTTCAAAATATATCAAAGATTGTTTGAAGGTTGTGGAGTAATGTGGACCAAACATAAGTGTTTTTTTTTTTTTATTGATTTGAAATGTTAGTCTATTGGAGAATGCATGGAGACCACTTAGGAATTTTGTTATGGTACTTCTTATTTTCATAACCTGTATTAACTGCCCAATTTAGTAAAGACCAATTGTGATTTTTAACTTGTGATATCCTGAACTTTTTCAAGAAAGTGTTTTTTTTCTTCATCCACCTGAATTCGAAACATTTGTTATAAGGTTCTCTCTGACTGTACACTTAGCACAATAGAATACTGTAGTCTTTTGTTACATATTCTACACAAACTTCAGCTACATACACTATTTTTTATATTATTCTTATAATATATTATTATATAACTGAACCCGAAGTCGATTCAAATGATGTTATTATGACAAGAAATGCATGAATAGAATGAATTTAAATTTTGAATGGTGTGATGGATTGATATTATTTCTTTAATTCTTTTCATTCTACAACTGTATTGTTGATATCCAAATATTAATTAAATTTGTCTTCTGAATCTTTTTTTATTTTTATTGTATAACAAAGAATTACTTCATTTCATAATGATTGATACTTTTGTAGCAATTTACTACATGATCGTCAACCAGCTTCTCCTAATAACCCCTAAATGGTCCTCTCACAATGCAACTGTACGACCCATAGCTGACTTGAAATCAGAATTTGGTCAAGTTCTCAAATAATCCTTGTTTGATTTTTTTTTCCAACAGATAATCTATTGGTCAAGTTAAATTCCAGTCTACTCTATTGGAAACAAAATATACGAAGAGCCAGTTCAGTCAAGCTTATCACCTTACTCCTTCAATCCAACTTAGCAGTCTGCACTAGAGTAATTAAACAGGTATGGATGCTAAAATCAAGTTCAGGTCCCATTTGTCTTTTTTTGTCTCTTGTTTTAAGTCTTGTTGTTCTTTTTGAGTTTTGTCTTATTTTGTCCATGATTTACTTCCTGGTTTAGTCACATAAGTGAATGGTAGCCAAGATTGAAGGTCTATTCTTCATCATATTTCAAGAGCTTAATTTCATATTCTCCTCCAATAACTTTATTTTTTTTACCCTATGTTCCATTGTTGTGTGAATAGTAGTTACTCAGTGTATTCCTGCCCTTGTGCACTTATGGGACTCAACCTATGTGGAACTGTGTCGTGAATTCACTGCTGCAAGAGTGCTTGAGGATCACCAAAATCAGTCTATGCAAGATTGAATTTACTTGCATTTGCTAGATTACCTGATTCAGGAACTCTGAAACTATTACTCGGCTAAAAATCTGGGGTTTCAAAGTTGTAAATGAAATTTTAAATAATTATTTACCTCTTCTCATGTATGATCAACCCTGGACCAATTCCTGCTGCTACACAGAAAAACCTGTTGAGGTCTATTTTAACAGGTACAGCTATGATATAGTACAAGCTTATGTCAGATAAGCTTACTACATATGTATAAGTGCTGTTGTTATTACCCCTGAACTTTTGTGAATTCATTTATACAGAGTATCACCCATCCCAGTAGGTCAAACATCTACCAGGAGAAATGGAGAACGGATTCCACAAGAAGCCCAGATGGGATACGAGAGCGTCCGAAGCATCGCTGCGTACCATTAATCCTATCCGTGGTATCGTCGATGGAATGAAACTAGAGCCTAATCCAGATAAAGATATCATCGCTCTATCCATCGGTAAGTTACTATCTGAAAGGAGATTGAATGAAAATTATTATTAAAATGGCTGAAGAAATCAAGTGTTCCTATTCAAATTGGCGACAGTACATTTTTCTTCAATGATTTGCAAACAATCGTACATAACCTACTTAATTTTCTTAACTGTAACCCTATCTTTCCTCTACTGCAAGACTGAAATCAAATTGTGTAGTGCTATGTGTTCTTTTTGTTTGTTCAAAAATCTTGGCACCCATTTTGGTAGTTTGTAGCATATATTTAATCAATATATAAAAACTGATGCCTTTCATGATGTGTTTTATGATACAGTAGTAGTATGAATTGTTGTACATGTACATAACTGTTATCGTAATCTTTGCAAGTCGATGCCAACTTGCTTTAGAATTGTAGGTACCGGTAATTGAGAAGTGAGAAGTTACAAGCCAGCTCAAAAGGGTAGAGAGAAATTCACAACCTCAGTTTTACCTTACACAGTACGTTCTGCCTGTATTATGATGTTACCAAATATCTTAGTGTTGAACACCTGTACTTTCACTACCAGTATTAAATACAATCTAATTTCTACATTATTCACAGTAGCCCAGCTGTTTCATGCTGGTAGTTCTAGTCAATATTCTATTACAATAAGGAAGGACACGTGATGTTTTTCTGTTTTCAGCTACATGTATAATGTATATACCCTGCTTTAGGATGTGAAAGTTTTATCTGGGTCTTTTTTTCTTCCAATTTGTTCTGTAATATTGGGGTGGGTCAAGTCAACTCAACGTTAGTAGGGACTTTAAGATTTGCACGTCGACATAGTCCACTATGTCGAAGGGCAAATCTAAAAGTCTCTAATGTCTTCAGAGAGACAGTGACCATCCATCTCTGTGTATAGGTCTAAGATACACATGGTTTTCCTCAAACAGTGCTTGTCACTGCATGATACTTGAAGAAATTCAGACCTGCACATACCAAATGGTAGAGATTTCTGGACCTGAAAACACAATGAGTGCTTGACACTTGACAGGAAGGGTAAAACATGATTCATAGATCAAAAACCAGATTCATAGTGTGATCATACACACAAGGGAGAGGGAAACAAAGTGATGACAGATGGTGATGAAATCAATATGTTTGGAATCCAAATACTGCTCTTTGCCATTGATTTAAAAACATTGTGTGTGATAAATTAGGTTGTACCATGTCATGTACCGGTACTGTTTTTTATGTGCATACATTCCATACATGTTTGTTGATGAAGTCTATGTTAAGTAAGTCTGGCTACTAGTCCATTAGTTGTGTCTGAATTATGCATCTTTTCACAATTTCACTCCAACTTGTTGTGTTGCCTGATAGTCAAACCAGCATTTTATTTTAGTTGGGTTTTTTTTGTAATATTTTTTTTTTGTTTTGTTTTGTTTTTTTTTTTTTTTTTTTGGGGGGGGGAGGATATCAGTGTGCCCCTCTGTTTGTCTCTGTCTTCTCTCTCTTTATATATCTGTCACACACATGTACACCCTGTCATCATCTCTCTCTCTCTCTCTCTCTTTCATTCTATCACTTTCTACAAATAAATTATTTCCTCTCAGCTTTTCTCCCTGAAATATGTTTTTCTCCTTCTCTCTTTTGTGTCATCATCAATCATTCCCTATTCATATCCCATGGCTCTGTGGTACAGTGTATCTGGTTTACTTTAATACATCTTGACAGACCAATACTGCAGTTTCTCAGGATAGTCTGATTATGCTTTGATTACAGGTGATCCAACCAAGTTTGGAAATCTTGATCCGAGTGAAGATGTAGTGGATGCTGTAAATGTATCTCTCAAATCAGGGAAGAGCAATGGATACAGTCCTTCTGTTGGTAAGCACTTAGATACATGTTTCATCTCCTGAGAAACACTTGAATGTTTACTCTATAGGCCTGTCCTAATCGGCTCGAGATTGCTAAATATCCCGCTCTTTGAACTATCTCGATCGCAAATTATCCAGTTAATTTGCGTCTTTGTCAGCCTGAAGTTGCAATTAGTGGGATATTTGGTCGAGATAATCATCCCAAGATATCTTGAGCTAGTTTGCAAAATTGTTCAGTGCGTCTTCACCAGCCCGAAGACTCACACTATGCGTGAACGCTGAGCAAAATATCTCGAGCTCGAGTTTCAAGTTTCAAGTTTCAAGGTCAAGTCTCGAGCTGATGAAGATGCGATTTGTAACTTCAGGATAATTTCCCAAATCAGAAATAGCGGGCTATTTGGCAATCTCGAGCTGATGAGGACAGGCCTTATGTGAAGTGCTGTTAGACCTGTAGCACCCATCTAGATGGAGTTTATGCACTCTCTGATTATCAGCAGGTGATATTAAACAAATATTTTAGCTGCATAATTGTGTATGTAAACAAATATTGTATGCTGATTTAAGGGGGGGGGGGGGTCTTAAGAAAACGGAATTTTCAAAAGCTTCCATTTTCAGTGCTGTAGAAAAGATTGTTTTTTAGTTACAAACATGTACTTGTATGTACCATTTTTAATCATTTTGAGAAGAAAAGAGTGCTGTGTACATTTTAACTTTTACTGTTTACCTTTAACTTTATAAATGCTACTAACCCAAAAAACAACAACATCAACAAAGAAATAAGAAAGAATACTAATGAATAAATAAAGAATAAAGTTTAAACTGATAGAAAAATGAATGGTACACCACATTGCTCTAATAACTTTTTAGTGTGTTTAGGGGCTGAATAATGTAAGCAGATTAGGAGCATATATGGTTACAAATATGAATACACTCATACTTGTATCAGTCATCAAGCACCTGTTGGGTGAATCCGGAGGTGACTATATCTTCCATATCAGTAGACAGGTGGTGAATTCTATATTCCTCAAAAAAATACGTCAAAGTCTACTGATACTCAAATGAAGCAAAGATTAGATATGCATATATAATGCTTATACCTTAACTCTGAAGTGTAGGTTGTTTTATGTGTCATTCATTTAAAATACACTCTAATATTAACACAAAACAACAACAAAAAATACACATTGTAACATTTTGATTCAATAAGTAATTCTTTATATGTAATTTTGTAGGTTTTGTTGACGCTCGTGCTGCAGTTGCCAAGAAATACTCCCATCCGGATGCTCCTCTCACTTCAGAGGTTTGTGTTTTTAGTATGCTTCTTTATTTTCATTGTTTGTGTATATTTATTTGAATGTGTTGTGTATAATTATTTGTATCTTTTTTATGTACATACAAAATACTGATGATAATAGTAAATCTAGATTTATACAATACATTCTCAAAGCACTTACAGATATTATTATATTAAGATATACAATTATACATATTGTATATATACAGTCAAACCTGTCTATAGCGACCGCCCAAGGGAAACATGTAGAGGTGTCGTGGTCGAGTGGATACGTCGCCGGACTGTCGATGGCAAGGTCCGTGGTTCAAGTCCCGCCGCGGCACTAATGTCCTTTGGCAAGACATTGATCTACATTTGCCACACTCAACCCAGGTGATGTAAATGGGTACCTGGCAGGAATTAATTCCTTGAAATGCTGGAGCGCTGTATAAACGGCTGCTAGGCTAAAGCCAGGGTAATAATAAATGTGCCTCGGAATAGAATTATCTAGATAGATGACGCTATAGAAATGCCTATTATTATTATTATTAACACAAAAAGTAGTCTTTGCAGACAGGTTCCTTTAGTACATGTTTCAATGAGAAACCATTTTTAAGGGAAACAAAAAATGTGGTCTTTATAGACAGGTGGTCTTTGTAGACAGGTGGTCACTAAAGCAGGTTTGACTGTATTTCTATGTTTGATTGATGATCAAACAAGTGTCTTCTTTTAACACCATGCAGGACCCTGTTTCAAAAGACTTGTTATCAATAACAAATGCAAACATTCCATGACAGATAAGCTCTCAGCTAATCAGATACCACCATTTCTGTAGCTTATAACTGTTATTGTAACTTGTATTGATGATAATTTTTATGAAACAGTCCAGTTTTTCTTTTATATGGGCATCAAATAGGGATAGTGGAATTACAAACATGAGGACACCTTTTTCTTGTTTTGTGAAAAGTTGCTTTTATTACCCTCTTGATTTCATTTTCTTGATACTTTCAGGATGTGATTCTTACGTGTGGATGTTCCGGAGCTCTAGACCTGGCTATTGGAGTCTTGGCTGATGCGGGTCAGAACATTCTGGTCCCAAGACCTGGCTTTGCTCTGTACGCGACCCTCGCTGGAAGCTATGACATTGAGTACAGATTCTATGAGCTGATGGTAAGAATATGAAGAACTATATTATTCAAATCAATTTAAAATGTGTTGCGATTGCCCCAGAATATACCCACCGTAGCTACCTGTTTTAAAGCATACTCACATTTTTCCAAAGACATGGCCTTCATTTTCTGCACCACCCTAGCTGGAGCTATGTCATTCAATACAGATACTATGATCTCCTGGTAAGAATTAGAATTTTTTTTTTTTTTTTTTAATAAATAAATTTCAAATACTGGTATGTTAAAGATCCCTGAAGATAGCCTCTTTTAGTTATTTTTTTTTTAGCTACCTGTTTTAAAGTGTACACAAAGTTTTGTGTAGATGTGGCTTTAATTTCTGCACTTCCCTTGCCTGAAGCTTTGATATTGAATACACTGAGATATCATACTATACTGGTATGATTAAAATCCAGCATAGATATTTCAAGTTCCCCTCAAAAATTGGTAACGGTGAAAGAAAGAGAAAGAAAGAAAAAAAAACGATGAATACAAATGATTAGAGATGTAGAGGACTTGCTTCCATGTTAAATTTGAAATGAATTAGATTTTAAAAATAAAATGGGATCTTGTCTACTCACTCAAGTGAAAAACGAGTCCTCACTCAGAAAACTTAATTACTCTACATACTACTGGTTCATTAGTACCTGCATATATTTTTTATCACAGGATGTGCATGCTAATAAAATTTCTTCCTTATTTTCAAGGGTTGTGCAGTGTGAAAAGGAAGCAATAAATTGGCATGGTCATAGTGTGTATGATTTATCATGTGATGTGATCAAGTAAAAAACAGTTGATAGTGGGTTTTGTGGAAAGAATACATAGAATGGCTATTGAAAATATTTGGGCAATTATGAATACTTTCTAGATGAAACCTTTTTTTGTCATAGTCATTACAAAATTTCCTCTTTTGTATTTACTTTTCTTGTGCAGTGTGAAAAGGACTTTAAAAAATGCTTTGTCATATCCATGTATACTAAAAATAATTTTGATTGTATGTATAGAATTAGTGAATATATTGTGATTGTATTATGTGATTTTAAATCAGTTGTTATGTTCACTGCCTTTCTGATTCTGACCTTAAAAAGAATCATATAATTAATTTCTTTGACACAGCTTTGAATTTACTGAAGCTCATCATCTTGCTCACATCAGAGTAACATGCGAGAATGAACAGAAACAGTTCAATATTTGTTTCAACTATCTCTCTGTTTGTTTTCTGCAGCCATGTAAGTCATGGGAGGTTGATCTAGAGAACCTAGAATCACAGATTGATGAGAAGACAGCTTGTATCATAGTGAACAACCCATCTAATCCATGTGGATCGGTCTTCTCCAAGGAACACATTCAAGACATCATCAAAAGTAGGAATCATGTCCTCTTTTTCTCCTAATCTTACTTATATGCATACTTCCCTTCACTATATTCATCTTTCTCTCCTTCCGTGTGTGTCTTTATTTTATTATGTAAGAGAACCTTAGTCTTTTTTACTAAGCTACCTTCTATACAGGAAGAAAATCTGATAATTAATATGAAAGCTATGGATTTTAAACAAAGTTACATTCTACAACCAGATGTCTTAACACAGGACCATTAGACCTGTCATTTTCATGTCATGCTTTAAATACACTCCATTTTATTGTTAACATTCCTAGAAAAGTACCCCTTGTCTTTTATTTTATAAAAAAACTTATTATTCTTATGAAATCAGACACCATATCGCCCTCTTTGAATAAGATTGCAATCAGCTGTGCATATTTTTTGTGATGGTCATTATTAATGTCATCAGATTTTCATAATACCGGTAGCCCAAAATAGCATATGTATGTGGTGATAGTGTCCATCTCTACACATTTTGATAGCATCTGTATGTTTTCCTATCGTCCACTCAGTTGCATCGAAGCATCATCTTCCTATTGTATCTGATGAGGTGTATGCTGATATGGTATTCTCTGGCAGTACCTTCTACTCCGTGGCGTCATTAGCCTCCAATGTACCTGTGCTTACATGTGGTGGGCTGGCCAAAAGGTACGGTACAGTCCTCATCTTTTGACAACTACATGTACCCCCAACATATCACCTTCAGGACAATGGCCCCTGAGGCAATTATCTCGTTAAAATAAGAAACCCCCTCCTGGACGTAAACCCCGTAAAAGTAAACCCAATTACCCAGATAACTACCTGGGTGGTCATTGAATTAGGGGCTAGTAATCTTGGGTAGTGGGGAGGGGGGCGGGTGAATATCTGAAGGGGATCATTGTCTTAGAATTCATCTTTTTCATGTAAATATGATCTAAGACTGGAAAGAAATAGAGTGATATGAAGTCATAAAGATAATTGATGGGAGCATTACACATATATGTGTCGTGAGATTAAAGCTTTTGAATTGAATAAATCTGTATTGGATGGAAGATGTTTGATCCCACAATCATTAGTAATGATGAAAATACATGTATATGAGCATGAATGGCTTGATAGACCCTATGGCTATGGTCGATCTTCTCCTAATTTAGTTAATCCTGACCATGGTCTAAACTTACATCATGTGTAACAAAACATTATGACCTTAGACTAACTTCCTTTGTAAATCCTGATTTGAACAAAAATCTAAACTCAGCGATGGTTTTAAATTGTAGTTGAAAAGGGGCCTATTTGTTCTTTGTCAGTTTTTGACATAATTTGTTTTCTTTGTGTTTGTCATGCAGATATCTGGCTCCAGGATGGCGACTTGGTTGGATACTTATTCATGATCCAGTCGGGGCATTTGAAGAAGAAGTAAGTGCCTTTGATCTGGTCAAGATGTAATTTAGCTAGTGAATAAATCATGTGTAATAAACAGACAAGCTAGTTCAGAATTCATATTATAAGCAGAAATGGTAGGATAGTACTTTTATATTTCATTTGCATGGTTGAGAGTTGATATGTTTATGAATGTGTGCAGGGGAGGGGGAAGAAAGAGGGGGAGCTAAAGTTACGTGTTATATAGAGGGAAGAACATCAGCCGTAAAGTGTCATGAGCACTGTTGGCTGATAATTGGCCTATTACATGTAGCTGGCATGTTGTGTTCATTCATCACAGACAATGTACAAATGCTTACCTAATTTCTCAGTGCATTGCTGAAACTACATTAACTAATAAGAGAAACTTATGTTTATTTTGCGCTATATAAATATTGTATTATTATTATTTGTGTTGTCTTACAAATGTAAACAAACTATTTCTATAACACACATTTAGTACTATATTCAAACTGTGATATCTATCCTCTCGTAGGTTCGGCTGGGTCTGTTCCGATTGTCCACCAAGATTCTTGGACCGTGCACCCTGATACAGAGCGCCCTTCCAGCTATACTTGAGAAAACCTCAAACAGCTTTCATGAGAACACCATGGATATCTTGAAGGTAGCTAGCTTACATGCTTGTTTCTCTTTCTATTAAACGCCGTCAGTACTAGTTGGGCAGAGGGATTAGACCACCCAGGGTGTTCACTGACATGTGGCTATCTCATCAACTCAGCTCTCAATTAACATAAGAAAAAGAGGATCATGGGGGACCAATGGTCACCAATTAGGCATTGTTTTCTATATAGAGGGAGCAAGTGGCTACACGTAGTACAGTGGGGCTTTAATTCTGCAGTAAATGAAAAAGATCTGACATATTCTCCAGACTCTATTTCATCATAGATTTAGGATCAGGGTTGGGACTTTTGTAATTGGGTTCTGGATTAAGCTAAGGGTTAGTAGGAATAGTGCTCCGATCAGTCCAGGGTTAAAGTAAGGTCTTGAGGTAGTGTAGGGAAATTATTGCGGAACAATTGTCGCAAATCTGAATAGAGAGTTATATTACCTGTGTACTAAGCCTTCCCTCAATGCTTCATAAAATAATATAAAATGTCATTGCCCACTAAGTATTTAAACTATTACTGTTTTCCAATTTTCTTTCAATTCTCAGTCCTAATAACATGTCAAATAATATGCTAGCATTGTCTGACCAAATACAGCTTTAAATAATTTAAATCTGTGCTTTTGACAAAAATCTTAGAGAGCAGGCCTAACTAATGACCTTCAAATGTTTTATTAAGGTCCTTTTTTATAAACCTTTACATGGATTTGAAATTTCTTGGATGGTATAGTTTTCTTACAGGCACAAAGGGAAAATGTAGGTCTATAAATTTGTTCAGCCATAGAGAATACAGTACTTGCAATATCTGTCGACCTCTCTTTAAGATCTGCTTCAATTTTACAATATTATTTTTTCTTCCTTCATTCTGTTCCCTTGTTCCCTCCTCAGACCAATGCAGAAATCTGCTTCAAATTCTTGGACGCAACACCGGGCCTCAAACCCATTATGCCCAAAGGATCTATGTATATCATGGTGAGTGGTAAATTGGCAACACAAATGTCATGGATATTTCTTTCATAATACTGTAACTCACCATTCAATTCAATTCACATTTATTTCATTCTTGATTAAAAATTACATTGATACAAAAGATACAAAATATTTCATGAACAAATTTAGAAAATGAAATGGGGAACTACATAAATAAAGCCCATAAGCCTTGTACAAGCGTAGTTCCCAAAGCATTCATAGCATAATGTAAAGCAAAGATAAACAAAAACAAAAACAAAACTTAAATAAAAAAGAAACAAAAAACATATAACACAAATATAAACATGAGATAAATAACTATACGTATTTGAGATAAAAACAAAGAAACTGCCTCAACTGAAAAAGTCTTTGCCCAAGACTAGTAAAGATGTCTTTCGGATGGTGACGTTGATGTAAATAGTCATATCTATTGATACACGTCTGTAAAAACCCAATTACACACACACACATACAATCTTAAGAATTATTATTTAAGGATATATTCATTAGTTTGACAATGTTATGCAATTCTATTTAAATTGTTTTTAGAGATTGTTTACAAATGAACTTCTTTATTTCTTCTTTCAGTGTGGAATAGAGATTGATAAGTTCCATGGTTTTATGGATGATATGGAGTTTGTTCAGTGTCTGATGTCGGAGGAATCTGTTTTTTGCCTTCCAGGAAAGGTAAGCAAGTTCTTATTTCAATTCTCTGTTTAAAAAATTAATTTCAAAATCCCTATTTGTAGAAAAGATACCATTACAGATACCATATCTGAATTCTTAAATATGGAAATTATAGAAGTTGGTCAAATAATCAGTGCAATGTGTGGTTTAACATTTGCACAAAAATGTTTATCCCATCCCCGTAGTTTTAGGTAAGTATTAATATACATGTACTAAGTCTATTAAATAAAGTTTGAATTTAACTTTAAGGAGAAAAATTCACACAAGTTTTTGCAATAAGCATGATAATTTTCACCCATTTTTTGCCATTTTCAAATATCAAAGCAAGAATTGTGTGATAATATAAGTGATTGTCTTTGAAAGTGCAGTCAGTATTGTCATGGTTTTGTTACAAATCAAATGATTTGAGATTGTTTATTGTTGAGAATGCCCTTGTGCTCTTCAAAAGTAATTTGTTAAAAATTAAAACCATCCAATGTTTTGCCTACACTCCTCTTTCTTTCCCCCAGTGTTTTGAGTATCCCAACTACTTCCGTGTGGTGCTGTGTGTGCCAGAGGAGAAGACCTCGGAAGCTTGTAAGCGTATCAAAGAGTTCTGTACCCGCCACTATAGGGGTGGACTCATCAACACGGTGGAGGAGACATGAAGGAATCAATATACACTGCAGCTGATCAGATCAAGAATAATTCATCATGATGTATTAATACCAAAGGAGTATAAGTAGATGATTATTCAGTTTGAAAGCAATATATATACAAATAGTATTCTACATCTGTATATAAATTGGTCTTTATGCCGGGCACTTACTTTCGTAATGTTGAATAGTTTTTTTGACTGATTGTAGTCACAAGAATTCTTATACGTATCTTTTCATGATATGCTATGAGTACTGTTGAAGTTCGGTAAATATATAATCAGACTTTCATTCAAAGTTTAAAGTACTTGCAGGCTTTGAAGAAGCAAACGTATTCACGTCAGACAAAGTTCATATCCAAACATTGGTAAACTGAACTGGGTAATTTACTCATAGCATGTCATTAACATTGTTCAAGATCCTTGTTATAAAAAACATACAGTAATATGTTTAATGTTACAAAAGTTAGTGCTTGTAAAAGTGACATGCATTTACATTTGTATGAAGCCAAGTACTAGTACAGAGCATGTTACTATGTTTATGTGGAAAAGTTTTGTGCAATATGAAGTTTCTATGAATATGAAGGTGAATTTCAAGTGGTTGGGTATTACCGGTAAGTAGGGTCTCCATGTAAAAGGTTTAGTTTAAAACACACTATAAAAAAAAAATTCAGAAGATTTAAAGAGAATATTTTACTACACTACTACATAGTACTTTTTGTAATTCTGTGCACCATTTTCTGGCAAATTTAACCCTGCTGTTGAGTTTAAGCTTTGTTTGAAGTCAAGTTTGACAAATGGAGTTTGATCAAGGTCTAAGTTTTTCCTTTGTTCAACATATGACCCGCTGTCTGGTTCAATTGAATTAATAAAATACAGACTACCTTTCCTATTGTTTTGGGTTTACCCAACTTGGAAATTTAAAGAACACACAAATATTTATTCATAGCTCAATCATTTGCACAAACTTTCACATATATCATGCATGTATAGGTGAAGGGTTGAATAGATCCATGCTCCTTTTTCTAATTGCAGCATTCGTAAATACTAGTGTTTGTTTGACATAGGAATGTGGCATATCATTAAGACACATTTGTAGACAAGGCTGTTTGGTCCTTTTGTCAAATGTACGGTAAGTGTCAAAACGGCATCAAGATTTTCCTTTTCCCTTGTTAGGACATATGTCTTGGAAATAATAGAGTTTGAGTTGATGTTGAAGTGTTTAGATTGCCTCACAAGAAGAAATGTTATTTAACATAGTTTGCTCCTTTGATGTGAATGTGTGCTTCCAAGCTGAGTTTGTCGTTGTAAAGAAGCAATAAATCATCCATGTAGAATGCACTTAATATGTTATCAAATTGGCAACTTGTGAGGACATTAACTTTAATTGGCAGTATCGCCTGCCCTATATATATATATATATATATATATATATGATTGAATTGACAATGTTTCAATTGCGTGTTCCAAATTATGTGCCTGTTCAGTTTCAGTATAATCAAACAATGAAATATTTTACCTAAAACTGTAAATGTTTAATGACAGTGAATTGCAAATATTGTGAGTTTAAAACCTGTTGTTGCCTTTTTTGTTGAATTGCTCTGTGCCATAGTATATTTATTTATTTTTGTACATAAAAGCAAAGTTATTCATTTTAAAGATTTTACGTTTAGATTGTCTTATTTGCACTTTTCCTCAATCATATATTTTAACAAGTGATACTATCTTTTAGTTTTGCAGCTGGCATACACAATTACACATACTGATTTCTAACTGGAATCACATTTACCCGAGATAAAATTGTCAAATTTTCCAAACCTGATGTATATTTCCAAGAAGGTTCAAGGGACCATTTTCAAGGGAACGAGACCATTTTGAAAGAAATGATTTAAGTTTGTCATGACGGAACATTTTCAAAAATTTGAGGGTGACTATGTGAAGGGTAAAGGAGTATCTCTTATTCATCTAACTTTTGATTAGATAATGTTGAGTGTTATCTTTCAGACATTGTAAAGAAATCTGGTCGTTGAAATTAGATTAAATACAAAATGAAAAAAAAACTAGATGATGTGGTCATGTAATGAATCAGAATATACTGTAGTCCATTGTGTGTGCTATTGCTATCTTTCTAGCACTACTATCCGTTTTTAGAAATTCAAGCAATTTTTTGTTACTTGAATTTCTAAACCATCTAAAAATCCTTTGGAAGCTGAAATGTACTGATACAATATTCTTGTGTAGAAATTGTTTTGTTTTGCAAAGATTACATAAAGAAGAGATCTATATTTGATATGATGTGGAATATAATACGTATTTCTTTATGTAACAGAGTTTGTAAACATTTATGCCGAAAGCAACTGAAATGTTTGAAAATTAAGGTGTGTGTAAAATTTGAACAGCTATATGTTGCTCAGACTCCAATGCAGCTTGAGTCATGTTATGTTGATGTTTTTGTGCAAGAATAATTTGATCTGATTTCATTGATTCATGGGTAAAGAATGCAATGTCAGGCAAAACAAAAATATGTGTGCCTAATTTATGCAGAAATCTATCTTACTCCTTTTCCTTGTTTGTTAATGGTGAGATTTCTTGTTTTATGAGGATGAGGGTTATATTTTGAAAGCTGAGTTTGTAATTCCTATACAGCTGAAATGTAATGTTTGTGTAAACTCTGCATTGTATCAATTTGACCTGACTGACGGGTGTTCATTTCAGATACTATTCTGGAAATTGTTCAAGTTACAATTAAACATGTTTTAGTATTTTCAAGATTATTGTTTTTTAACACTGTTTGATGAGCTTGGTTCTATATGTTGAAAGAATATATATATATTTTTTTTTTTCTTTGCTGTAAATAGTGATATATTTACTCTGCTACAGTTTCGAGGTATATGTAGTAGGTCAATTGTTTCAGCATTAACATTGTGTTATATATTAGTATAGTTTCCCAGAGCTACCATGTGACATGATGTACATATGAAAGGCTTAGTTAGTCATTTTATAAGGTGATGGTGTATATTTAGTCTTATTCAAATACCCCTAATTCAGAAACTCTTAGTGTGCTTTATAAAGCAGGGTGTGTGCAAAACTTATATACGTCACTCCATGTATAAACCTGATTATTTATTTCTTCATTTAAACAGGATGTTCTGCAAAAAATTGCCTACCAATCGCTTTGTTGTTCAAGCACAACCATTTTGGTTAACGTACAAGGAGCTATACCGTATTGATGTAATTTTTTTTTTTTATCTCTTTTAAGTTATTTTTGCAGGTTATAAGTTAAAACTCTTTAATCTGCATGGGCTTATGTTAGATATCTTGTTTGTTAACTTATAGATGTAAACATGCTGATAGTTAAAAGTTCTACTTTTCTTTAGTAAGCCCTATGGACTATTCAAAAGCATCATTATTAGAGCATAAATCTAAATATGAACCCGCTATCAGTTAAAGCTGTTCATTTCAAGATCTGTGTATTTCAGAATCCAGATGTATTTCTCTGAAAATGCTCATTGTGCAAAAGTTTTCCTTTAAGTAGATCATACCATTTTGTCATTTTCAGTGAGAGTCAAGTGTTTTTGTTTTTTTCCTGAATGGCTTTACTTTTTAGTTAATCTAATATTCTTCATCTATACATGAATTTGCAGTGATTCTTGTGCTAGCATAATATCAATTCGAAATAGTATTCAGCTGAAATTGTAAGTAGTACATGTAGGTTGCACTTTTCAAAGTACTCTTGTTGAAAGTCGTATTAATGAAGTGTGGTAAAAATTTTGCTGAAATCTAAAGAGGTTTATTCAATCGATGGAAAAAAAGAAGAAAAAAAATCCTCAAACAGAAGATAATGTGCATGAAGAACTGATCACATTATGAATTATTCCAATCCAGGCTTTAATTGTCATATGTAATATCCTATTAAAGCAAACTTTATTTGATTTTCAGACTTACCAGTAATATTTCCTGATGTGGAGTATTCTGATATATTTTTAATGGAAAATTGCCTCTTTTTTTCTACTTTGAAAAAAATTAAATAGATTTAAATGATGGGGCATATAGAAATTATTAGAATTCAAGATTGTTTGGAAAGGGTATTTTCCCCCTTGGTAAAGTACAAAGTACAGTCAAACCTGTCTTAGTGGTCCCCTCTCTATGTAAAGACCACCTGTGTACAGTGGCCATGCATTTTTGTTTCCCTCAAGAAAGAGATAGAAATGTGTGTTATAGAACCTTTCTAGAAAGGCCACCTGCCTACAGTGGCCACTTTTCTGTTTCCCTTTTGTGACCTTTGTAGACAGGTTTGACTGTATGTCCCAGGGCATTACAAACTCTTAATTACTCTTGGTTTTCTCTTTTCTGCCTCATACCTGGAATATTGAAGCACTATTTGAACTTCTATTTCACTGTCAGTAGTATTATAGTTCTGTCCGTTTTCTGAAGTGAATTGTCGATATCTTTACTATATATCAGATAATGTGTAATGTGTGGCATTATTAAATATCTTGTCTATCTGTCAAGAAATGGAAGTTTTATTCCTGGAATAATCATTTGAAATATGTGTTTTCCTTTAGTTTATCTGAATAGTTATTGATGAACTAAACATGCTTTAATTAGTAGCAGATTCAGGTGCAGACAGCTTCTAGTGGCATGTGCTGTTGACCTTTAGAGATTTTAAAATCCAAACAGCACACCAAAAACCTAATTTTTGGACGGTACTTACAATTTGATAGAGATTGTACTCTGCGTTTTGGTATTCACCAGTTCAAGTTAAATGTACAGCCTACAGGGAGTGTCGCGTGTAAGAGTGATGGAAAAAAATCTGTGACAAATTATGGATTGGGGTGAACCCCTCTTATTCCTAAAAGGGTGCCATATGACTATTTAAAATAATGGTTGGAAAATGCTGCAGCGATCTATATCAAACAAAAATGTCTAATCATATTATAATAATAATAAAAAGGGTGCTTATAAAGCACACACAACCAAAGTCTCTAAACGCTATATTGATGATCCGTTCAGGTTTAATTGCTCAAAATGGGAGACCTAGCAAAAAATAAAAAAATAAAATGAAGAATTCACATGATTATCGCATTGCACCTGAATGCTCGGAATAGAAAATAAAAATGTTTACCAATTAATTAAAAGCATTACAATTTGTAATATTTCAGTGATTCTAATAAACATTTTGTGATCAATATGTTTGTGTCATTGTCTGTATTTCTTCATGGATGTCTTTTATGTTCTGTTACATTATAATTGTACATTTTGTATTCTCTATATAGGCATCCCCTAAATTTAAGAATGGTTCTCTCTACGTACATTAATAAATTTTAGACATAAATTTGAAATATGAATATGATTCTCTTCAAACATAGTAGAATAGAATAGAATAGAATAGAATTTATTGACTCATTCGACCCCCTTTTGGGGTATGAGAGGACATGTACATATCATGATAATGATACATAATAAAGAATACAAACATAGCTTAATACAAAGAATTCAAATACAACACAACAATGTAAAAGTATGACGATAAATGGGAATGATCTAAACCTAGCCTATGCTAAACATAAATACAATTATACAATATGACAAGCACAGGCGCGGATCCAGGATTTTCCAATAGGGGGGGGGGGGGGCCGGAAATTCGAAATTCGCGCAGACCATTATTTAAACTTACCAATACTGACAAGGTCATATTAGAAGCACTGTACTTTAATAGTGTACTGGTACCTACAAACGGGCACAATTATTTTGGAAAGGGGACAAAAAAGTTTCAAAAATCCAAAAAAATGTCAGCTTCAGAGGGGGGCACATCACCCCTCAGACTCCCTCTTAAAGTATTAACCGAATCGCACGAATCTAGGTAAAAAAAAATCAGCTTCAGAGCTAGAGAGGAACCCCCCCCCCCCACACACACACACACGCACAGATACACCCCCTGTGCGCGCAAGCGTGAAATTAACGCTGGCGCTAATGCGTAAGCAGGGCGGCGGAGCTATTTCCAAAGTGGAAAGCACCAACAAAAAAGGGCACCTACAAAGCGAAATCTCAAGGCGAAAATATACATTTTTTTAGACATTGGTATATACCCTTTCATTGTGATCCCATTATCAGGGACGATTTCAATATTTGTTTTTCTTTATATATCATACAAGTTATTGCTTAAGCATCACACTTTCGGCTGAGTGTGATTGTCTGACTGATATTCATTTGCGAGCGAGAAAAAAATGTAAGATCTGTGAGGTCGCAGAGTGAAAAATTACATCTTATAAAAAGGAAAAAACCAAATCATGATGGGGTTATAAGCATCACGGAAGACTGAAAAAACATTTGTTTTAAAGTGACATATAATTGTATCATCTATAAATGCGAGCGAGCGAGCAAGCTTTAGGGGAAATTACTCTTAGTCGCTTTAAATTAGTGCAAGACTAATGATGAGCAGGTTAGGGGGCACGTGCCCCCCCCCCCCGTGCCTACGTGCATGATGATGAGGGGTTAAGGGGACACATATCGAAAGGGATAAAGACACTTATTAGAAAAGAAAAGGAGCATGTGTCAAGGTACAAAGAGTAATTATCAAGGTTTAAACTGGGCACTTCTTACACCTGAAAGGAGGCACTCACCAGAAATGAGATTGGGCACTTATGAGTATGGGAAATGGGCATTTGTCGACGGAAAAGGGGCATCCATCAGAAATTGATTTATCAGAGGTGAAAAGGGGCATTTATGAAAGGGGATAGGTCCCTTAATAGAAAGGAAAAGGGGCACGATTCAAAATAAAAGGGCAGTTAGCAAAGGTGAAAATGGGCACTCATCATAGATGAAAAGAGTACCTATCAGGAGGGGAAGGGGTACTTTTCAAAGTAAAACGAGCATCTCTCAGATTTGAATAGGGGCAATTATCGAAGGTGAAGAGCGCACTGAAGTGAAAAGAATTAACTTCTCATATATGAAAATGGTCATTTACCAGAGATGAAAAGGGACACTTTTTATTTATGAAGGGCCTCATTTTTCTAAATAGCCCTTATCAGATAGGAAAGGGGGCACATGTGTTGATGAAATGTGCGCTTATCCGAGTTAAAAAGGGGAAGGGGCACTTCTTTACAAAGTAAAAGTGGCCCTTTGGGGAGGGGGGTACTTGAAGAGTGGGGCGAACTTTGCCCCCTACCCCTGCCACCCGCCCCATCATCTGAAAATCCAAAATGATGTTGTAGGGGCCGGGCGCGGCTTAAACATGAGTGCTTTTATGTGAACCTCTTTTTTTATAAATATATTATGCTGGATTCCGACCCAGATTGCACACTCTAAAATGATAGTATGATCATCCCCAATACGCTTGTAGTTCACGTATGCACCCCTTCCTCCTAATTCGTCGTTACCGTCACTGCCATTTACGTATGGCCGGCCGGCGTATTTTTATTTACACGCTAGCGAGGGGAATTTCTCGATTAATTCCAATGAACATCCAGGAGAAAGTTTTCTTAACTTTTTCTTGAAACACTTGAACGGTTATGGAAACTGTTTGTGTTTCTAATCTCCAAATATTAATATTATTCTGCATCAAATATAAAACATTGATTTCTACTGTGATATGTAAAGGCACGAACTTACGAAGTTGTAACCAAGAACTTGGGTGCACCATGGTAATACATTTTAACAAACACATCAACATGTTACCTAGACAACTCATCACCATAGCCATTGTAAAACCATATATTAATGATACATGTAAAATATAGATTGAAGCAATTCTCGTCGATTGGCTGTATCCTGAGTGTGATTTATATAATGGATTTTGAGTAACATTTGCATCCACCTGTAGTTGAAGAATAGATACAGTGTATAACATCAATTAAGTTGGAGTTCAATTGGAAGGAAGTAACGAGGAATATTAAAGCAAGGGAGACTGGGAGATGAGGAAAGCAGGAAGTTAGAAATTGAGAGATTACTCGCGTGATAGCCTTGCATTAATGAATCCTTTATATAATGTTGTCTTGAGAGAAAGTAGACGATTTTTTTTTTAATTGGAGATTAGTGCAAGTATTAGATATATTGGAAATAGAATAAATGAGAAATTTATTTTTTATCGAGATCAATACATGGGGGGGGGGCACCATCAAAAAAGGGCACTTTCTGGAATATAAGGTGCACCTACAAAGGGAAACATCAAAATGTAAATCTACCATATTAAGACATTGATAGACGTACGCGCAACGCATGTCACACACAGAAAAATGAGAAGAAAAGAAAGAAAGAATTTTTTTTTTTTTTAAAAGAAGATAGAGGAAAAGGAGAGAGACAGAGAGAGGGAGAGAAAGAAAGAAAGAAAGAAAGAAAAAAAAGGAAGAACATGAAACTTAACTTTACACTTAGGCCTACATATTACATTTCCGACTGAGTTGGCTCGACATGTGCTTAAGTAGTCTGCGGACGAAAGTACAACAATACGAAAACAGAAGTTATATGAAATTGTCTTTAAGAGAGAAAGAGAGGATAAATTCTAAAATGAAATGAAAGGGGGTATATGACTCTCAAGGAGGAAATTACAATTTCTATCGCTCATGACGACTATTTGGAATTTCCTAATTTTGTTTAAAGTTCAAGAACTTCCTGGGGCTCCGCCCCATGCAAGACTCCCGGCAACAGCGAATTATTTACACAATTTCTTGCTGTCTGCTGCCTCGAGATCACTGGAGCGAAGAAAGGTAACATATAGCAAGAATCCCTATTCAGTGAAGAATTTATCCCTTTTATTATTAAAGACTCCCGACAAAGGCTCTCCCCCTGCAAAATTGGAGAGAGTTTTATGTAGTTTAAGCTTCTAACAACCACGCCCGTGGACTTTTTATTATTTACACAAAGGTAAAAGTGTATAGCAACAATCCCTATTCAGTGAAGGATTTATCCCTTTTATTATTAAAGACTCCCGACAAAGGCTCTCCCCCTGCAAAATTGGAGAGAGTTATATGTAGTTTTAGCTTCTAACAACCACGCCCGTGGACTTCTTATTATTTACACAAAGGTAAAAGTGTATAGCAAGAATCCCTATTCAGTGAAGGATTCATCCTTTTTATGCAGATGCTTCTTCTACCATTCTTGACCAGAAGTGCGTTTCAAACTCAATGATATGGGCATCATCCCATTGAATGTTGTGTCCAGTGTATACGGGTTTGTTTTGCTACTTGCTGCCTAATCTGAGGGCTCTGTTGTGCTCTTTAAAAAGAGGACACAATAGGGGCGGCGCAATTTAAATATCAAGGAATGTATTAGAGTTTATTTCTAAAATGAAATGAAAGGGCTATTTGACTTTCAAGAGCGATAAAAACTCTAATCCATCCCTTGAAATTTAAATTGCACTGCCCCCATTCAGTGTGCCATTTTCAAAGAGCACAAAAAGGCTTCAGATTGAAGATTCCATCTCATAAAATTGTCTATAAGAGAGAAAGAGAGTTTATTTCGAGAGAAAAATGAAATGAGAGGGCTATTTGACAAGAGCCCTTTCATTTCATTTTAGAAATAACCTCTCTTCCTCTCTTATAGACAATTTTCTCTCTTGAAAGTCAATAACCCTTTAATTTATTTTAGAAATAACCTCTTTTTTTCTCCTAAAGACAATTTCTTTCTTGAAAAGGCTCTACCAGACCCCTCAAGCTCTGCCACGTTGTATGGATCCATTAGAAAGCAAAATAAGCCCACTCAATAATTGATACATACTAAAACGTCATAGCGATTCATCCAAATAAGAAATCCACGTAAGAGGCATTTTGAATGTTTTAAGAAAATTCTTTCAAATTCCAGGATATTGGGTGTTCTTTTTCAGGAAACTCTATTTAAACGAGTGGAAGCACTGGCGGTTCTGTTTTTTTTTTAAAACTGTAACAATTCTCCTTGGATCAGATATAGACCAAAAACAAGCCTCATTATCTTCAGTATACAAGTGTCATTTCGGACCTTACAGCTTTCATAGAAATCGCTTCTGGACCGTCAAAGAAAAAGTTTGAGAACCCCTGGTCTACGCATTATACACATCAGGACCAACTTGACAACTTGACAAAAATTTGAGGGGGGTTCGACCCCCCCCCCCCCCCCCCCCCCCCCCCCCCCCTCTGCCTTATCCATCGTTACCGTCACAACCATTTGAGTAGGGCCGGCCCCCTCCTTAATAACGACTCCCAAGCCATCAAGAATGACCCCGTTATAGATTACCATTCTGCCGTTCTTTGGAGGGGCCGGGCGCGGCCTTTTCAGAAGTGTTTCTACACTAACCTTTTCATGCACTCCGGCTTAACATAAACAAGCATGCTAAGATTGTTTTGAAAAGAAGCATAATTTCGACTCAGTTTCGCATAACCTAAAAATAAGAATACGGCCAGTCACCCCCCCCCCCCCTCCCCTTAATGCATCCGCCTTCACGCACCCCCTTCCCCTTGTCTTTCCCTTATTCGTCGTTACTGTCACTAATTTTTAGTGCCATTTCGTTGTCTTGCTTTCTCCCCGGCTCCTCTCTTCTTTTTCTTTCCTCTTTTTTGAACTCTCTCTCTCTCTTTTCTTTACTTTTTGTTCTCTTTTCTTTTATCTTCTCCTTTTCCCCCTTTTTTTCCTTCTTTTTTTTCTTCCTCTTTTTTCCTTCTCAATTTTTTTGCTTCGCCAATAGGGGGGGCCGCGGCCGTTTCGGCCCACCCCTGGATCCGCCACTGAAGCATACATGAAAAGTGGAGAATACCACATGAACAATATAAATACAAACACGAAAAGACAAAAAAAAAAGAGACAAAAAAAAACTACATTATTGTCCTAACTATATAAGAAATTATAAGTATCATTTTTAGTAAATACATGTATTTCTAAATTGACTACACAGAAATGACTATGATAGCCTTTTAAGTTTACATGGGTAGACTGGCCCATTCCTAAAAGACTTGGGGGGCGGAGGGGGGGGGGGGGAATGGGATTTTAGTTTACACTTCTCCCGGGCAAAGGGGGAATGCTAACATATGTTTCCTAATTACTTTTAACTGGGTGATGCCCCTCCCCCATCCCAGCCTTATCAGCCAGATTTGGGCGGATGCACCCTAAGTTGATGGCTCGAAATTGTAATGAACTTCATTTCCCCTGAAGTTCTCTTTTCCTCTTTTATCCTCGGCCTCGACCTTTCAGGCTTGAAACTATTTATAATCATTTTCAGCAGGTGTCTGAACGTGACCTCTACGTATGCGGCGGGTATTAATAAAGTGACCTTTGAACCTAGTCCTACATCGCACGCATGTCACGCGCGTCGCACCCACTACCATTTGTCGACCTTGGCGAATTAATCTAGACTCTACACGAAGTTCGTCAATAAGTGGATTTCTGAAGCCGACCAGTGCAGTGTGTGGTGGGGATATATCCATCGAAAACCTCATAAAAAGACATTTTGTAATTTCAAAGAGAGAAATAGCATTAGCGTGTCGAGGCGTTGAGAAAGAAGAGACGCCGTGTCATTGAACAGTTGAAGAGCTACGTCGCTCTACCCGCCCCCAGCCCAGCCCAGGCCAAGCCGTTGCTCTGGTGAAGATTAGACGCGCTACGTGTAGTTTGCATTTTGGGACGATTTGGACTTTGGCCCTTTGAAAGTTTGAGTTCTCTGTAGTTTTGTGACTTGTAAAGATACAGAAACCCCTCTTTTAAAATGCCCGAAGAAGAGCAAAAGCAGGTGTCGAAAGAGGCCGAGGCAAAGATTTACTCATTAGCAGAGGTCCAGAAACATAAAACAAGCTCATCACTATGGCTCGTTATTCACAACAAAGTTTACGATGTAACACAATTTTTGGATGAGGTAAGTCTATACTAGACTCTACAAGTCAAATTCTGTAGAGCAATGTTTTGACAATATTAAAATGATGATGATGATGATGATGATGATGAAAATAAATCATGACTATTTGGATCTATTGATTGTTTTATTGATAAGCTCTTGCCATCTTGGTCGGACTTGGACCAAATTTTTCTGTCTCTTTCGTTCGTTAGCCTTACCCAAATCAGAGGCTAACGAACGAAAGAGACAGAAAAATTTTATAATAATAAGTTTAACTTGAAGATTGACAAAATTGAGGCTTTACCTTTAATCTGATCATCTATTTTCTTTAATGCTCCAGACATGACTAAATGTTACAACTATATGTAAAGGAAACAGACGTATTCTCTGTCAATGGGCTCTTATTTTTATTTCTTTAAGGATATTTTATGTATTTTATCATTTTCATCAAATTGACAGCATCCAGGTGGTGAAGAAGTAATGATAGAACAAGCTGGTAAGTATTCCATTTCATTTGTTAATATTCTACCTTGGTCCGATTTAGATTAATGTAGCACTTGCCAGTTTCCAAGATTTCTATTGGCCGCAAACTGATTATTTAAAACATCATCAGAAATATCTGATGATATTTCCCTCCCATGTTTCTTCTTAAAGAGAATGTTGAGTTCTGTGGAAAGGTGAAAAATAGATTGTGGGCATTTTCATTGTTATTATGCAAGTGTGGAAGAACATCAGAGAAAAAATGTTCCCTGAAAGGCATGGCTTTATTAAAATGCCTTCATATTCTAAGTATGCCAAGTAACAGCTTAAAAATGAGGACATACTTTTTATGCCACATGTTTGTGTAGTTCCGTATACAAAAGTATGTGTAAAATGCTTGTTACTTTTACCAAGACTGGGCCAAATTTCTTATCATTCGATTCCAGAACCTTGTAGTACACACCCAGACTTATAGTTATATGCCCCATGAATGATCAACTTTTTCTGATCGATTCCACTCCGTTTCTTCCACAATCTTTAATTTTACATTTTGAAAGAAACTTGATGAATAGAAAGAAATATGGATGTTTGAGACTTTGAGATTGATGTGATATTCACATCTTTAACATGTACCGGTACATGTGTAGACTTTAATTTGGAACTCTCCTCATATTTTGTGTGTAGGAGCTAATGGAAGAGATGTCTGCTCATACAAGCGCTCTGCTTTCCTTTAGAACTACATGTACTTATCAATGTTGGATTTGCCTGTAAACTACACCATTATGTCTTGTCCAACTCTCTAATGCTCACATACATGTACATGTATCTATCATATGTTTGTTGTTCTCCCTGTGTGATGTGTAGGTGGTGATGGGTCTGAATCTTTTGAAGATGTTGGCCATTCATCTGATGCAAGGGAACTAATGAAAGACTATTACTTAGGAGAATTAGCAGAGGTATGTATCCAGTCACATAGTCCATACCCATGACAAATATGACATTCTCAAATCAAACTACAGAACATGTGCAGAAAGCCAGAAGCAGCAACAGAAGATATGTTGTGTAAAAGATAACTGTTGAAGAACCTAGAAGTTATGTTATATAGGAATGAAGAGAATTAAACATGACATGTATTGTTAATGATTTACCAAACATGATTTACTATCTGATGGTACATGTAGTACAAATTAACATGTTCCAAATCTCTAATGAAGTAGTTCATACTTGTAAGTCTTTCCGATGTCTTTTGGAAAAGAGATTCCAGAGATTTGTAAATCATGAAAGTAAGGATTTTTATTTTGTCAAAAGGCTCCTGACATATTCAAATCATTAATGTGTTTCCTAATTTATTCACATTCAATCTGTCGACAATGTACATGTACATCAGGTAAATAATTCCAGTATCACTCGAAAAACTAATTTGTTAATGGTTTGCAAATTGTATTTAATTTTACTTGTGATGTGCTGTAGTGGCTTTTTCATTTGTGCAATGCATAGATACTGCAATCTTCACTCAGAAGAACATACTGTTCATGTACATCATAGATGTAGGCAAACATTGTGTGGATCATGAGTGTTTAGTTTAAGTAATGAATAGACATGTGAACTTTGATTGTGATAAAAACTACATCAATTGCAAACGGCATTTCAAAAGTTTGACTAGCAGGCAGTTACTGTGCAAACAGGTGATTCTTCTTGCCAACTTCATTGTTGGTTCTAAAATCAGTGTATGCCCTGGTAGCAGGGAGCAGACAGTACAGTGTGAGTGTACTACACTGTATTATAACCTGTACTTTACATTTCAAGCACTAAAGTGGAATTGACTAGGTAGTCAGTAAGCTACATTTTATTAGTTAATGCTAGGTTTGTTTGTCTTCATTTGAGTAGATGTAGTTTCTAACAGTAAATACAAATTGGCATATCGTTTGTAATCTCATGCTTTGGTTTATGCATTAATGACATGTAAAGTAGTGTACCTATAGGCTTGTAATCTTGTGTCTTTATTGATTTGAACTTTTTGATAGAGCATGAGTCTACAGAGGTGAACTTTCATATGATTCAGCAGTTTTCACATCAGAGTTTGGTTTCTGTTAATAGTGTTTACTCTTTAAAGAAATGTGATATCCTTATTATTTTGCACACATTTTGAAGGTTAATAAATAATAATGTATATCATGGCCCATATAGTACTGACTTGATTACATGTATGTACAGCGTGTACCAGACAAACTGAATATGAAGGGCATATCTCAATGTAGAGACCTGATTTGAATATATTGTTAATGAAAATCCAATTAATTTCTGGTATGTTATTTCCCTTGTTTTATCAGGAGGACAAATTTTGTTCATCATCAAAGGTAAGTTTGCTTCTGTTTCAGTTGTTCGAAAGCTTCTGTTGATATTAGAGTTCTTTTTTTAAATAAGGAAAAAAAAAATTGTAGAACTATTCATTAGTGAATTCAAGTGTGAATAGGAATGCTCCTTCTACATTGTAAAGACATGTAAAAGATGTGTAAATATAAATATAAGCTACAAAGGAAACAAAAAAGGCCTGGTAATTTCATCACATGACATGTGAGTGGAAAAACTCTATTCGTGAGCATGTTTAATGTAAGTGTTAGTGAGATATAAATGTGCTCACACTAGTTTTGTATGTAAATGATACATGTTTATATTCTGCCAATAATGATGTCACATGTATGAAGGTTTAACTACATCATAGTAGAAATTTTAACATGGACATTGGTGTATCAGGACAAATACTTCCACAAACAAACAGTGGGGGGGGGGGGGGGTTCTAAAGTTAATTGTCTTCAGGGGATAATTGTCCTAGAACCAGACATTGTTGGACAGTAACATCTTCACATTGTACTAAAGTTTATTTTCAGTTTATTCCTATATCAAATAAATTTCTTCACCCTTTCATTTTTTGACAGACATCATCTGGATTTGGCAACCCATCAGAGTCGCAAGGAAGGTAAATTAACATTTGTGCTAACATTCGCCACAATTGCAATATAAGTATAACCTCATGATTTAATGAAATAGAAAGATATACACTAATATCATGCCAGCTATAAATCTAAACATGCAAATCATATAGCCCTGTCACCATTACCTCCCGTTACATCAATGCTCTGGTTTTAGAGGCTATGCTTTGTCGCTAATTAATAAGGTGCTTGGTAAATTATCATTATTGTTATTATTATTATGGTTTAATACACACGTATGCATAATAAGATTGTGATTTTTACCTTGTAGACCAGACTAAAGACATTCTTCTGTGCAATAAACATATATAGATCCATTATGAATACTTTTCATCTGAAAAGAAACTATTCTAGTGGTCTTATGATACATTTATGAATAGTACTGGTACTCCCTTTACACATGTAATTAGTGTCCGATCACAGAGCCTTTTAACACTGTACATCTAGGTCACTAGCTCCATGTTTCTTCTAAATTTCATTTACATTGTCAATTTATATTCTGATTGTACATGTATTACTCTTCATTTTATGTTTATATTTTACAATGGGAATGTTTGGGCACAGAGAACAAAGTTTCTTGAGCTTATTTGTGGATCATCGTCGTCTATCTGTATTCTGTAATTCATATGAAATCATTTTGGGAAATTGGAATTGTCTGCTAGTAAGGTACCTTTATAACATGCCAAGCCGCGATACATTCATGAAAACACAATGTTTATTGATTGTGTCAAATTTACAACGTAATTGTGTTCATTTGTTACTACATGTTCGTGTTTTTATTTTCATAATTATCCATCAAATAAAGTATCGCTACATGAATCAGAACAAATAGCAACTCCATCCCTCCATTCTTTTTTCACACACTTTCAAATACAGTTATCCAAATGGTTCACAATATTAGACAATACTTTGATAAATCATTTTCATATGCTTTGATTTCATGTGTAACACAGCAAAGATAATACCAGTGTGTGCACCATGTTTTAGACAACTGGTTCTGTCTGGATAGCATACACTAACTCCGGTATGCATATACCCATTCATTTGCTGCACATTGCTCAACATTGCTCAACATTGCTCAACATATGTCTTATTGTCATTGTCTTTCTTTTCTTTCCTCCCCATATTTTTAGATGAAGCTTTTAGCTCAGATTTATTTTCTAGGGTAGATACAAAAAGCTAATCTTGAATTCTGGTAGATGGAAATGCATTTTGAAAGAAACAGCTTTTCTCCTAACTTTTTAATCATGCTTTAGTTTCCCAACAATGTAACAAACGATATAGGAATTCATACATACAGTGATATATTTACAAATCCTTAGCGCATAGCCAATAATTATTTATGGACTTTTTATCGACTACCGGTAGATCATTCAGTTTGGTTGATTCTAACATCTTTCAATACCAGAACTGAAGATTAGCTTCCATTGCTTACAATGTAGATGTGTTTTATCTTTATAGATGCTGCAGCTTTGTTTAGATTAATAAATCATCACTTAATCACAAATATATATGCATGATTGCAAAAAATATGGTTCATTTCTTTTAACTTCATTAAATTCCATTTTTCCACAAGTCAATTGAAGGGCATGGCAATGCTTTTTATTTTGACAAATGGTAATTGAAATTGACATGATACATGGTAGCAAGTACATGTTAGTAGTGATTTTATCATGTTATGTGTAGTAGCGTCTCTTTTTAAGTATTTAGTTATGAGAGTTTTATGTTGATAACGTCACATGTACACTGTATATACTATATACCTGCAAGAATCACTGTATTAGGTAAATGCACTCAATTTGGTCATAAGATGTTCTTAAACTCATACCTGTACATGTAAGCATCTTCCTTTTTGGCTCCAAACACTATGGCTCATATTCTACAACACTTTAAACCCAACACTCGGCTAAAGCTTTTGTTCAAAATCAGGCTTAACAAAGGAAGTTAGTTGGGTCTAAATTGTCTTTTGTTGAGTATGATTTTAGATAAGTTGCTGGGTTATTAGTAGAATACTGGCCCATGTGTTAATGTGTCGTTGATCAATCACGCTAGCCTGATGCAATGTCCATTCAAAGTTACACGCCGCATATTGCTCAGCTTCCACACAAGCAACTAATGTATTTTATTTTCAAGTCCCTTTTCCTTCCCCTCCTATATATCACTCTCTTATGTACCATTGTCATGCCTTTGTCACAGAAAGTGGTGCTTAAGACAAGAATATTTTGGGGTTCATCCATCTGTCTTCCCTCAATATATATTTTTTATCAATTTTTTTTATATCAAAATACATTTTAGTCATGAACATTTAACTTGATTTTGATATATCACATCCTGATCTTTAGGACATAAATACTGACTACATGTACATGTATATGGTTGGGGGGGGGGGGGGGGTAGAGATTTCCTTTCTTATATTTCATAATCATGATTCATATATTTTTTTTCTCCCTTTCCTCATCTTACTCTCTCGTTATTCTGTGTGTTTCTCACACTGCTGTATTTTTCTTTTGTTTCATCTCTTTCCTGTGCCTTTCTCTCTCTCTCTCTCTCTCTCTCTCTCACTCTCTACTTTCTCTCTCTCTACTTTCTCTCTCCCTCTCCCTCTCTACTTTCTCTCTTTCTCTCTCCCTCTCTCTCTACTTTCTCTCTCTCTCTCTCTCTCTCTCTCTCCCTCTCTCTCCCTCCCTTCCTCTATCTCTCATTATTTCACCTGCACAGTTTCTTCTTGAACTGGATCCTGCCTGCCGCTGTTGGTATTAGTGTGGCTGTAATCTACCGTGTCTTCTTCTCCGGCAGTAATTAACAAGACAACTTGTCCTTCATTCGATGTTGCACACGGGACCAACAGAAACCTCTGCGTTTTTCTCTTCATCAAATCAAAGAATAAGAATCAATTATCTGGACAAACAAATGTATAGATCTAATGAAAGCGAGTCAATGTGTTCTTCTTTGAGAGTACCGAAGGGCTTATTTTGTCAAAAATGAATTTACATTTTCTTTGAAGGGAATAGATCAATCTCATACAAAATATTGTTGGAGCAATTTTTCAATAATTTCTCAATTATTCCAGTAATTTGATATACATGTACCTACAGCCACACTACTGCAATTAGTATACAATGTACATGATGTGTACTGCTACCTGAACTTGGCATTGTGCACTATTAATATCAAAGTGGCCATCAGTGATTTGTATGTGGTGCCAGAAAAGGCCATATTGCTGTAGATAAGATATGTACTTTAACATGTACATACAAATATATATACATGTATAACATTTTCAGAAGGAGATCTTGGTCTTCTTTTTTTTTTGCCTCACAATTTTTGCATTGATGACAAAATTGACATGCAATACCGGTTCACATTATAAAGTGTACAGCTCCCCGCTATCCATATTGTAATTCAAGCATGTTTAATCAAATTTTAGTTAGTGCTTTTCAGGTTCATTCCATTGTGTAAAAAAAATAAAAATGGCACAATATACAGACATACCGGTAGCTTCAAATTTGTGTGATTTAACACAAAATTGATTACTACATTATAAAGTTGCTTTATAGATTATCATGTCACTGTAACATCAATTTCTGAATGTAAAAAATCATTTGTTTTTATACGTGTAGTGACCAGATTTTTCCTGCATTTTGTGTTAATTCTTTTTAATGAAAGCTATGTAATATATGAGATGCGACAGTAGTTATTATCTGCTTCACATATCAACGGAGCTACACATAATTGTACAAGTATTCAAAATGGACACAAGTTATGTAATATAATACTGATTGATTAAATCAAAATGTGTCAATCTAATGAGAATCATGTGAAATTACTAATGTATTGAATTTAAAAAGATTAAAATATAGAAAGCTGTGAGCATTTGATTGTATACTTCTAATTTGTACATCAGGTAATTGGAGAATAATTCAGTTTACAATGGTTACAGTGGTATGTTTAGCAGTTGCAATTGGATATACAAGTATTTCTGTTGTACCAAACAAGCCTCTTTATGATGATAATAATAATAGTCACATAGTGCTTGATACCTGTACTATGTTCCTAAGCGCTTTACATTGTAATTATTATCACTCCGGTCATTGGATTTAATTTTTAATCGACACATGATAGTGTAGACGCTCTACTCCCTTGGGAGTTTTTCAGACAGGCACCATTTTGCAATCAAACCACATTAATGTTCGCATCCTACCAAGTACCCATTTAACACCTGGGTGGGGAGGGGCAAATGTAGATTAACGTCTTGAAAGGACACTAGTGCGGCGGTGGGACTTGACCCAAGAACCATGTGGTTCAGTCTGATGACATATCCACTACACCATGATACCTCTACCTTAATTTGCATTATCCAATGTGAATAGGCAAACCAAGATAGCATGAAAAGAAGGGAAAAATGATTATGATCACACCTCAGTAATAAATTGCTATCCTTAAAGTAAACATCACACACTATCATCGCTTTTATGATTTTATACCCTATCCCTGATTAGTGTTATTGATAATAAAAATTTATATAAATCACTTGTCAGCATTCCCTCCTGCATGATTTTATTGGACTGGATTGTAGATTCATGAGAGACGAGCCTTTTATGTGTATTGCGATAATGTTCCCATTATTTCTTCTTTCTTTTGATAATTATACTACGACTGTATATTTACACAACACCCACAATGTTTTAACAAGAATGCTACTTTTTCAAGAAAATTGGGTCTATTGTTGGCTTTAAAGAGAGGGAGGGAGAAAGGGGGTGAGAGAGAGAGAGAGAGAGAGAGAGAGGCGGGGGGGGGGGGGGGGGGAGGGGTGGTCAAATAGAACAGGAATGGATGACAGAAGAAAAGAGGTATAACAATTCTGAGGGAAGAGGTGTGTAAGGGAAAGAGACGGAATCAAAACTTCATCTGCAAGAAGAGAGCAGTGGACGGAGTAAAGAAAGAGAGGGGGGATCATAATGAGCAACATTTCGGACTAGAGAGATCATGAGCAACAAATGAGATGATGGTGGACAGATCAATGGGATCATGTTGCCAAGAGAACAGAAAATAAGAAAAGATGAGATGGTGAGCAAAGTTGGAAAGAGAAGGGGTTGAGAAGTAATCTGAAAAATATTCGTCAAGGTTCAAGATGTTGACAACTATTTGTATGTGTAGTGTGTACTATTAAACTGAATGTAGTATGTACCTACATTTCTTGGTCAATTCTGCTGTAATTTTTTTAGTTTAACTAACCACTTGGAAGATCTATTACATGTATAGATTTATGTTGTTTTATTCATCAACTCACACTGTCGCACAATACAGTTTACTTCAACATTATCAAACGCTCGCACAGAACAAATCTATTTCCCCTGATTTTGTTCTTATATATTTAATCTAAAAACACAGGAACAATTATAAACTGACTGATTCAGAAAAAGAATAATAGTTTCATTGTAACAATTCAATCTTTAATTGAGATCAAAGAAACAAATCAGAAAGGAGTCGTAGCTGCATGTACCACAGAGGTATCAATGTTTTTCATACATTACAATGCTAGTCTTTCCCTTTTACATTGGAAGGCCAGTTTGACAGAATGTTGTCACACACTGAATTATAATCTTCATCTGCTACACTTGCATAAATCTACATGTAAACCCAGATATTCGAACTTCAAATGGAGTCTTTAACACTACTCCATTGATGTTCTTTTACAAATGGCAGTAAAATTCATTGCTTATGGTTACATTTAAACACTGGAAAAGGCTTTACAATTTTTCTGAAAATTTGGGAGAACATGTACTATTTTCCACTAACAAAAATATTACTATTGACCATACACACCATCCTGATAGGAACCATGAGAATATGACAAAGTACATTATAGGTACATGCATTTCATATTTATTTAAAAAAAATTCACACCATGCACTACAACCCCCTCTTTTTAATCTTGCATTCACATTTTGATTCAATGATCAAGAAAAATTGAATACTCATTGATAAAATATAGTTGTGACAACTGAGCCTTTCCTACACCTCATCACGTGTTGATAACGACAAATCAAATGTACATATCTTCTACATTACTAGAACATTAACAATTATCTTCATCTTGGAACTGATCAATTCCATCTAAAACAACACTAAACCTGAGATGAGAGATACATATAACTGAGACCTTTACTTCTTTTAAAAGGCTATTCTAACAATATTTGAATACAATCGTTTGTTCTAAACTCTGGTAGTACAAAGTTTTTTACAAATATTACAAACGATTGGGCTCTTAAGGGAGGAAAGGAAATTCAGATTTTTGTAGAAGCATTTAATTCCCTCTAACAGATGTTACAACTGATGTGGTGGACAAAGGAGGGGGGTGAATCTTATGAGTAATAACTCGTAACTACGGCTTGAAAGCCAAGGAAACCCTATGCATGATTATTTGAAATTCAAAAGAAACTTTTGTCTTTTGTATTGTAAGCCATGCCATATTAAAAAAAATTCTTCCAAAAATGACATTTCTATAAAAAGTCAGATTTTTGGTTGTGTAAATAAAATTGCAAACAAGGGAAACGCTCTCGGTGGTCTCGCCTGCATTACGTAATTCGATATGATGAAAAATTGAGGTTGGAACATTATTTATGGGCAGGGAGGCCCATAAGCAGGCCCCGAAAAATGAAATCCTCTGAATATTATCAGCATTTTGAAGTGAATATGATTAAGAATCATGAACAAATAACAAAAATTGATTCATTTATTCTCATATTAAGTTGTGAAAACATAATCTAAGTCTACTAACCTAAAATGACCTTTGACCTTGTGACCTGGAATTTGAGTCATATGACTTGTGATACTTGATAACCCTTGGGTACAAGTTTCATGGAATTTGAAAACACTTTTGAAAATATGCTAAAAATTCAAAATCTTGATGTTGATGCCACAAAAAAGTCTAAGTTTATTGACCTAAAATGACCTTTGACCTTAACTTAGTGACCTGAAACTCACATGATTGGGGATACTTGATAACCCTATAGTCCAAGTTTCATTGACTAAGGACTTATACTTTCAAAATTATATCAAAAATTCAAAAACTTAAAAAAAACTCATCTGCAACTAGTGCAAGACTGCAACATTAACTTCAACAAAAGTCAGCATTTTTTTTTCTATAATTGACTAGGGTCTATAGATCCATCTTCTTGGTCCTTCAGTACACAAGTAGAACAAGGACCCGCAATTTTCCAAGATGGCAATTTTCTGACCAAAAAAAGGGTTACTTCGTATCTATGAAGCTGATGTTTTTCTGGCATATCTTCAAGCATGATGCCCCACATTCAACTCGAGTCTTGACATTTAAAAAAAGAAACATTAACAGGTGCTCAAGAAATCAAAAACGAAATTGAATTTTCCATAAGAAAAGAGATATTCATCACCTTGGTTAAAAGATTGCTTTATTTTAAAAGTCATTTCTTTGTCACTCGTTACACCTCACCTCGAACTCTGCATACTTTTTTATGGTCAAACAATATTGTCTAGAACAGTGGTAAACTAAAAGATCTATTTGATTTAAACCACAATCTATATGTGCTATACCAAGTAATGATAGCTAAGGCTGTTCCAAGAATTTTATGACTTATTGTATGAAAATACAAACTGGTCGCTATAACCATTAAAAACACTCAATGATTGCATCAGAGAAATTATTATTACAAGAACATAAAGAAGAATTTCTAGCAGGAAGCTGAATACAGGAATTTTCTTCTTCCCTTGTCCACTGGCACTGCTTTGAAAGGAAATGTTCACTCCGGATGATTCATAAAGCTGCCAAAATGGCGCAAGTTCTTCCAGAGTTGTGAGGATGATGAGCACTAACAGGAACGCGTGACCAGAGATGTCATAGCCGTCCCACCGCCCACCGCCCCGCCGACAAGCTCGGGAGCCTCCGCTGGAATGCGCCTCGATGCTGCATTTCCCAGTGTGTTCATGCACCGTATCCATCACGATTTCTACCCAGAAATACCAGGCTCCAGTGAGCACCACAAGACGGAGAATGGCTCGGAAAGCTGGAAGAAATTGTCCTGGATGTCTTGCCCAAGATAACAACAACATGAATGGTGTCATAAAACAAAGTGTCCATCCCCAAGACCACTTCACAAACTTTTGATTTAAAGGATTGTGCTTGTCCGCGAAGAATGATTCGGGAACCAATTCATTTTCTCGAAAGATAGAACCCACAATTATGATTAGTGACAGTGCGAAAGCTGCTGTTTGAGCATCCATGTAGCTTTTCACGCTTCCGTCCTTTTCCTCCAATTTGTCAGTCTCTTTGTGACAATTATCGTTTGATTTGGCGACTAATTTTCGTCTGCTTACGTTGCTAGAACCAGTGGAATTCATTTCATGTGAAGCCATGTTGCAAATGAATGAAGAAATGATAACCGATCCGATCTATACACGTTCGCTTTGCAACGAGTTAAAGTCACGAGATGGCGACATACAAAAAACTGACGTGTTGTTTGTTCCCTAGTGATGCAAGACTCAAAATGACGCAGCCATTAAATGCCGAACGATACAATTAGTGACGAAATCATTAACAATATTGGCAAAAGTTCGTTCCCCGTATAGTCAAAAGTATTTTTCTACCTTGAACCTGTTTGAAAGTTTAGTTTAACTGTATGATAGCTGCCATCGGGATTATCTCTACAAGTAAGGGTAATTCTCAGAAGACTAGGTGAGGTGGATGCAGGACTGGGTGGATGCATGCATGGTTGCAGAATAGGCACCAGTATATTGATAAGATATATAAAAACATTACAAGACAAGACTTCAAATCCCGAATATACGAATATGAGGATATATGGTTGCCGAAATATTGGCAATTTTTAAATTCTCAGTGTCCTCACCCGCCTCGGATGCCGCTGGCAGAAGTTATTTTATTCACAAATGTAGGCCTAGGGGGTTTCCCTGATGCGATTCATGCTTACGTCATCATTTATGCCAAGGAAAATGCGCTTAGCCTGGGCAACTGCGCTTTTGTACATGCGTCTACAAATGACGCGCTTGTAAAAATAAGGGGAAAAATCTCGGTTGACTCACAGTATAGAAGAGCACTGCATTGGCAATAAAAACCGCGACAAAAACACAGGTTAGCGTGTAGTTAATAAACAAAAGTTAAATAAAAGACCGGTATAAGAACCACATTTGATAATAGTCTAAGATCTGTGTGCTAGCAATTAAGCTACATTTACTAAAAGGAGATGATGGTGTTACAATTAGGCGTTGTTTGAATCCGGTCGCGGAAACACCAGATGTGAAGGAATTTAAATTGAACTGTAGATAAAAGAATTCAAGCAGCAATGGGATCACACTTCAAATTGGATATCTTTATTTTGTCACTTATTCTAACAGTCACATCTGTACCGAGAGTGCAGTCACAAAACATGTGAGTATTATCGGGTAACCGAATGTAAAGGTTTGGCTGTTCATATTTTATTTCCATTTTGTTGTTGTCTGAATGATTCATTTCAGAGCGAAGCCCATATCAAAGGGATCGCATTTGACACTTTTCCGGTCAACTGGTCAAGAAATGAATGCCCAGGGTCTATGGTAAAATGATAAAGTAAGAGGAGGCACATAGAAGCAGACAGACAGATCGGGGAGGGGCCTGGGTGGCAACGAACGTAATGTTCCATTATCGTTACAAAAAGACTTTGTGTGTCCAGACAGGTTGTGTATCCGGATAATTGATTTAAAACAGCAATTTTGTTTGATGAATAATTTTCGTTAAATCCGAAAGCAAAAGAAAAGGCTTTAAGTTTGTTAAGTGTCCGGACACCCAGCCACCCAGCATATAATATATTACTTTGTCAAAAATAATCCGTTTTATTTTCTAGATATGGAGATTCGTCTGATGTATGGCATGAATTCAGCTGAAGGAGCTGTTGTTATGTACAAGGACAATCGCTGGTGGCCGATCTGTGGCGAATCGTGGACACACACGGAAGCTAAGATTGTTTGTAAACAATTAGGCTTCCCCTATCCCTATGCCGAATCACATTCTCTTCCAGTAAGTTTTTGTTTTAATAATAACTTTATAAAATACTTTACTGTATAAAATTGAAGAAAATACCAGTCATACTGCCGGCAATGATATGTATTCAATGTAGGCCTACATTCTCAAGTTTTTTCTTCTTCTGTGGTCTTTAGAAAGGGTATAAACATTACATGGCAAGAGAGCCATGTATTACACAATAATAATAATAATAATAATAGTTAGCTCTTATATAGCGCATTTAATTACCGGAGGTAATACCAATGCGCTTTACAAATGTAGAAGACAATAGAAATAAAGACATATATAGAAATACTTACATATAATTATAATCAAAACTTACAAGTAGGCAATACAATACAATACAATACAATACAATACAATACAATACAATCAAAATACAATGTAAAACAAAAATGAAGGACTAATAAAATGAATGAGTGATAAAATACTACAATACATATCAAAACAAAACAAGACCAACAAAAATATAGACTGATAATGGAAAAAAATACCACAAAGGGCCAATATTTTTTGATCAGTTTCCATTCCCTATTCCCTTTCCCATTAGTATTTCAGCATATACATGTATTGCCATAAATGACTATACCCCCCCCCCCCCCCCCCCCCCCCCCCCCCACCCCCGCACAAACCCTTCATCGTAGTAATTAAGTTAGGTACAAAATAAAACAATTGTAGAAAGTTGAAGTTCATTTTATTCAATTCTTTCATTAAAAATATACAAAAGGAAGAAACATATGAAAGTTTATCATCGCTGCCCTTCTCTCTCTCTCTCTCTCTCTCTCTCTCTCTCTCTCCTCTCTCTCTCTCTCTCTCCCTCCCTCCCTCCCTCCCTTCCTCCCTCTCTATCTCTCTCCTTTACATCAATTTGAGTAAGTAAATCCCACAGGTGCCTAGCCTGTCATTCTGCGGCAAGATACTGGAGATTAGACTACACCCCTCCCCTCTCCCCTTCCTATTCCCTTTCAGTCTCATTATGTATGATCAAACATAATAATTTACTGATCTCTGAGAAGTGTCTAACTTTTGTTTTTATGAGGCCCAAAGCCCCAAACATTGTGGAGCGTGTGTGCATCGCTTTGTAACTGCAAGGAAAAGGCGCTATATCAAATATCTTTCGGATTGGATTGGAAGAACAGTAGTGATTCCATGCAGTAGCAGAATATAGAGTTCATATATTAATTTTGTCTTCGTTGCGTGTTCCTTTTTTTCCTTTTCATTTCCATCCACGCATCTTCTTCTTTCTTCTTCTCGATATATATCCCAGGCTTATATTGACATGAATGTAAGTCGAGGGATGAATTGGTTGGATGGATTCCAATGCGGTGGCCATGAGTCTCAGTTAAAATGGTGCAGGTATGCAGGATGGGGTTACTGTACCAGCAGGTTAGCTGCAGGTGTGACGTGTCATAGGCCTACAGGTAATGATCATGCTGTGCAGCTGAAGCGTCTAAACCCATACCCACTTTTAAGGGTCCTTTTGGCATAAAATACCCGTAATTAGGAACTTCCATTCAAAACGCAACACATGTTTAAGGTTTTGCCGTATTCTATTTACATTAATGATTTACACTTTCAAACACCCCGGCATTGCATCTGGAATTTTCACTTTAGCGAGATTATGGGTGAGATATTATCCTAAATAAAATATAGTAACCCATGTTTAAGGCCAATATCTGAAAAGTGGGGGCACTTTTAGGAATTTAGCAGTACAAAATCATACCGGCATATTGTAGGGATTTTTTTGCAGAACAAGCAGCTCATTAGAGCGGCACATCCCTATATCCCGTATAAGGCGATTACCATCAACGCCCCCCCCCCCGGCGGGGGGGGGGGGGGGGGGGTCCTAGGACTCTTTAACCTTCGGGTAACAATCGCCTCATATTTGACGGGGGGCTGACGTTGCATGTCCAAATATTCAGTGCAGGCCGGAGTAAGCAAAAAATTGTTGACATTTCAGTGAAGAGAAAATAAGTATACAAAAATAGAATATAGAAGCTAGAAATAGATATACAGGCACCCAAATATATGAAGTGTCAGGTAGAAGTATTCTACCTAAAATAAATATTTGACATTTTCAAACTTCTGAGGGCGTACGCCTTTGTCGGCCTTGGCCCATATTTGTTTTAAGTTTTCATAGGGCACATGCACAAACGCAATTCCACTCTCGCGAGTATGACGCTATTGTTCTTTTATAATTTTATCTACAAAATATAAGCATTACTTTTATCCATAGTTAAGTAATTCAGTTAGCCTACGGTTCTGAAAATTAAAGAATAATTCTTGTTTGAGCCAATCATTGCACGTAATCTTTCAGCAACAACAGAGTTGAATCTTTAATCAACTAAAAAATTCATTTCCATATCCTCTCAATATTTACTATAATTTCTTTAACATTTTTCAGTTTCAGAAAGCAGTATATTCGAATCGAATTATCTATGGCCGCTTGCTATGGTGATGTTCGGTGGTTTCACGATCTTCGTTTGTTACAAAAAAGCACGTGAGCAACATAATATGCAGACAACAACTCTACATCAACATACCTTAAGCCTTGAAGAATCTGATGATGAGAATCCTCCTGAAACGGGAAACCAAGTCTACCCCGACTCGGTGATCCATCATCATAACGCTGCATTCAATGGCGGGAACTTGAAGACCACCTACACAACACGACCGCTATCCAGGACCTACAAGGGCACCTATCCATGGCCGATGTGCAAGGGGAATCTTCTAACTTGACTGGATTACACGGGGACCTTCCAAGAAATCAAGAATGGGTTGTATCCGCCCCTCCATCAGCCCCTCAACCAGAGGGCTTTGCATCCTCCCACGCCTACCAGATGATAGATTCATCACCCCAACAAGGATTGCCGCCTTACCCCTCAGAAGACTCACAATCTCATGACATACCTCCTCCCCCTCCTCCTCCCTCCTATGAGGAAGCAACACGATCAAACCGATGAGGGCATATTTGTTTTTAGATCAACGGGGAACTGAGATGAGCAATTTCAATTATTTCAAGTTGTATGTATTTGAGATAAGGAATTTAAACACTGCAAATCAAGAAATCTTATAAGCACTTTTTGTTGTTAAAATAACAGACAATGTTTCCCTGTTTACCAGTTGTTTTCAAGAAAGTTAACTGAAATTATTATGATCTTGATTCCTAAAGTGTGCAACTGTGTATTTTGCCATACCTTAGTCTGTAAGATTGTTGTTTACTTGACAACAAATATGAAATAAGTACTGGTCTTATATAAAGAATAGTAATGAAAAAATGAAGAAAAAAAGTTATCCAAAGCGAACATACATGTATGTGTATCAAGTAGAGGTTCAAATCCAGTACTTTAAGTATAGCCTAAGAGTAAATTAGTTATATCTAAGATCGAATACAGGGGCTTATTGATTTGAAGAATAACAAATGGTGAAAATGCACTTTCTGTATTGTGTTTCCTCTCTTTATCTCTCCCTGCCTTTTGAACTACCAGTACCATTATGTATCTGTCTCTATTCTATATATCTTCTCTTTCTCTCTCTCTCTCTCTCTCTCTCTCTCTCTCTCTCTCTCTCCCTTCCACCTCCCCCTCCTCCTCCTCTCTGGTTCTCTGGCACCGTTTCCCGTGATGTCTCTTTTTCTTTTGCTGTAGGATGCAAATGAAGCCTAGAGAAATGATCCTTTTATCTTCTAAATTAAACCAAGAGCCAGTACACATAAAATCATATCATATAACAATCTGCATTTATTAAATATAATTTCTATTGTAACAATTACACCCGTTATCAAAATTGAAACTCACAAGATAAAATTATCACATAAATCGCTAAAACATAAACAGCATTCAGACACCTGGGCCCTGTCTTACAAAGAGTTGATATCAATCGTAACTTAATTGCGATTGATATCAATCGTAACTATGTACATAAGAGATAGGAGACTGCAAACTTGCGATTGATTGGAGGGCTTACAATTGATTTGGATCGATCGTAACTCTTTGTAAGACGGGGCCTAGGTTTTCACTTCCAAGCAATTAATGAAGCATAAGATTTACCAGGGGGGTGTTTCACAAAGATTCCAAGTTGAAATTATCTCTAAGTTGGACTTAACAATTATGGAAAGCTGTTAGCACCTATGAAAATATAAAGGCATCTAAATCCTTCATGTTTTCTATTATCAAGGAGATGTCATGTTCTTGATGTGGAATTTTAAAAAAGTATAAAATACTTGAATTTTCGCTTTTGAATATACTTAATTTTAAGACTACAAATGGCTCTCCATAATTTTTAAGTCCAACTTATAGTTAAGTTCGACTTAGGATCTTTGTGAAACACACCCCAGTACAGCTAGCTTTCCAGGCCAAATAAGGGCCCTTCTTCTTTTCCATTGAAATGAGTTCATGAATTCAAACAACGCACCTGTCTAGAGTTTGATTTCATCATTTTGAGAATTCGAAAAACTCATTTCGCTTGATAAGGCTAGTGACAAATGCAGCAAAATATTGTTTTTCTCTTTGTTTTTGGTTTGTTTCTTTATATCAAAAGATACTGAAATGAAGTTTACAATAGGATTGATTTTGCCTAAAGAGAAGAGTTTTATACTGCTATCAAGTCTACATAGCTGCCATGAATATTGGAAATATTGACTATAAATAAGCTGCTACAATTCTTTGGCATGATCCATATTTCATTCTGTATCAAATAATTCTCAACAAATAACTTTTAATAGACAAAACTTGTTGAACTTTTGTTGAACTTTTGAAACCCTTTCTTTCAGGTAGATTCCTTTACATCTTACAAACTACGCTGTTTTTGTCAGTATGATAGCGATTAATTTCACAATTTCATTTTGAACATAATCCTTTTCATTTGTGGCATTAAGATTGCAAGGTGACTACACGTTGTCAACTTTATTCCCATCTATAAAGAGAATGCCACTGTGTTGGTTTTATCCACCTAATAACTACTTACATGATCATATATTATGGATCATTATACACCATTATAATATTCATGTACAAAATAATGAAGAGACAAAAGGGGAAATAATTTACCAAAAGTTACATATTATACATTCGTGTTGAATATTTTGTGTTGCAGCAGTGCACACATTCATGAAATATGATAGTATTGATTTGGAAGTAATGTTAATTATTAGTATAATCCAAACAATGCACAGGCATCTGCCATTATGGAGTAGAAGTCCAATAACAAGTTGTCTGTTTAGCACTCTGCCTTTTTGACACATCTCATATTTTTGATGAACATCCCTCTTCATCTTCATTATTATTATCATTAAGTTCATTTGAAAGATTACTTCAAGCTAACACTTCTTATGTTTGTTTAATATAGAATGTTCTAAAGACAAGTACATTCATAATTCTTTGAAAAATATAAAACATGATATCGAACAAAAAGATTTGATGCATATATGGTATCTGCAACAATTGGAATCTATAACAGCATAACAATTCACACATTTTTTTTCTCCTTCTAATTTAATAGCTTGTACTGAGTTATTGGTAACTTAAATAGAAACATTGTCATTGCACTTTATTACAGGCAAATCTTTTTAGAATCATATGACCTCAGACTCTAGATGATTTCAGAAAAGAGATTGTAATCAAACATATTTTTTTACACATTCAAATCAACTTTTAGAATACATAATACGAGTTAAAGCATGATACTATTTCAGTTCAATATAAATCTCAATGTAATAATCTCAAACAAAAAGTACATGTACACATAAAACAGAACATACAGATTTACATACCGGTAATGAGTTTTGAAATTTCTCACAATTAAACATGTACTATATCAGTGCAATAATCCTCTAATATAATTGATAATGCCCTGGATGAATGGTATAAGCTTGCTAGATATATGAATACAATATGAGAGATTTTATTGAGAGTTAATAATCATTAACACAAATAAATGTTTGAAATATAGCCCTACTTTTTTTTAACCAAATGGTTTTGGATCCATGTAAATGTGGATAATTCCTGAGAAGGCAAGGGTAACAATGTATACATTTTGAATTAAAGTTGTGATGCTGCTTCATGGTGTTACTCTCAGGAGTCGAAGAGAAATATCCAATTCAATAATAAAGCAAGCAATATGAACATTTATTGATATACCTGTAAGCAAGGGGATCAGATATGTCTATCAATGCCCTTATCAATTTATTTATTTTTTGCTTTGTTCCCCCCCCCCTCATTTTTTAACAAAAGGCTTTTGACCGACTTTCACCATAATGACCCAAAATTAGGAATATACTCTACCTGGCAAAAGCAATAATGTATAAAACAGCTGTCATTACTATCATATTACATACAATTGTGTACTCACCTTGAAATTGTCTAAATAGGACATAGCAAATATACTAAATACTTTGGTGTATGCAAATTGGCTATGATGGAATTTGCAGTTCACATCCGTCAGATTTATGCTCGAGTGGGATTTCTGTTTGAGTTACGGTAGGTGTTACAAGGCAAGAAACATGATGAAATCCACAGTCATCATAGCTTGGGTCTGAGGAGAGCTTCTTGGGCCACAGTCACTGCAAGGACACCATCACGCCTCCAGAATCGGCCTAAGGTCATACCACGCCCATGACCTGTACAAGACGATAAAAAACAGGTCCTCTTACTGTTAAAGGGATCGTTTAACAATGATAAATCTAAGATGCACGGCCCTACATATTATTGGTGTCTGTGATATGGTGTAATAATGAAGCCCTAAAAAAAATGCGCTTCAAAATGATCAAGAAGTGCCTCAAAATCATAAATAAATCTTGATAATCAGACAGGCGATCGGCTTTTAAAAGTCAGGGGGTTTCTGACTGACCTAAAGGTTTATAATTATCATTGCAGCACGAGCTAAATCCAGGATTTTGTTTCAGAATCTGAGACAAAGTTACCGGATCCCTTTAAGAACTAATAGTACAACCCTTCTCTGACTATGTATACTTGTACATTCAAATAATGCCTGTAGACTATTATTCAATTGCATTCATGATAAGGTTAGTAGTTTGTGCTGCTCCAAACATGGCACACTGATGATTGGTGTGGCACCCCCCCCCCCCCAGAAAAAAAGAATGATATATGAATTTTAAATTTAAATAAAGCCTACAATGTACTAGCATTACCTTTGCTTTTAATATCACCACTGCATCCAAAAGAATTCTTTAAATTCTTCTTTCTAAATCATTTTCATACAAAAACAAATCTCTCATTGACAAATTTGAGTATTTTGATATGCACCATCTTTCTGCTATTATGAGGCCTACTGCATGCTATATCTTTATTTCATTTCAATCCATGACTCGACACTACACCTTATCATGAAATTGTATTGCTTCACACTACTTGTATATAATGACCCTTAACTCTGTTCAGATGCCCCAGTATAGAGGTGTCAAGGTTGCATGGTGTGTTTGCCTGACCTGGGGGATGTTTCTCAAAGATTCTAAGTCGAACTTTACTCTAAGTTGGACTTAAATATTATGGAGAGCCATTTGTAGCCTTAAAATGAAATATATTCAAAAGAAAACATTCAAGTATTTTAGACTTTTCATAAATTCCACATCAAGAACATGAAATCTTCCACGATAATAGAAAATATGAATGATTTGAATCAACATTTTATGCCTTTTAAAATAACTTTGACAAAATATTTTCAAGGATGGTAATGGCTTTCCATAATTATTAAGTCCAACTTAGAGATAAGTTCAACTTAGGATCTTTGTGAAACACCCCCAGGGGTGCAGAGGTTGCAGGATCAAGTCCCTGTTCACTTACTCGATTGTGGGCTTTCACACTCGTAGAGCATCCACTCGTCAATGCGACAAGGTGTATGAAACCAGATAGAATGATCCAATGAGCACATCATTCCAAGAGGTTTATCTCGGTTAGGAAGATAGGTCAAACCAGCAAGAAAGAGGTCAGAGATGTAGGCTAGGCAGCAATGCTGCAGGTCCATGCCATCTTCACCTGTATTGAGAGAGGGAAAGTGAGAATGCTGACTATGAGAAATTGAGGAAGAAAGAGAAAGAATCGATAATGGCACAGAAAGCAGAGATTTTTCTGGATCAAAATACTTTTTTTTTTCCAGAGAGAAACACAACTAGCTCTGAATATATTCAGTCTACTCCCAAAGAATACAGATCAAAATTATATGAAAACAATAATGAAAAGGAAAATATAAATAAACATCTTGCTTCTCGTGCTTCTCATACCTGCCACAACACAAACATTACATGAAAAGGAGAAATGTGCATAAGGAACATCAAATATAATGCTAACAAGAGGTACAATGCCTTTAGTATAATCTAATCCATCTTGTTCTATTTACTTCATAAGCTTCTTCACTTTACCACTGTGTGTATGAATTCTGCAAGTTCTATTCTGTTCAATGAAAAGGTAATTATTTGATAATTGAGCATTTATTATTCTAGATGTACCTGTATTTTCTCCTATGTCTCCTTTGACCTTGACCCAAATCATGAGTTTAGGTTCAGTAGGCTGATCAAAACCCTTGCTGAAAAAATCTGCTCTGTCTACTCGCTTAGTTTCAAAAGTGATTTCTTGTGCAAGCTGTTTCTGAGCCCATTTACGGAGCTTCTCTGGAATATCTGGGTTCCTGTAAGAAATAAATATACTATTTAAAATTTTCAAGTAGAAACAGGTAATTATTATTAAATCTATACATGTACAAATGATCGTGGAATATCTTAAGCAAGCTGGTTATTGTTTTCTGTCAATAGAGTATAATTCTCTCTTTGTTTACAGGCATGCAAACAAAAGTACTTAGAATTTTATGGAAAGAGTGACCTAACTTTAGAGCCTCCAAAGACCAAGTATCATCTGCTAAGAGCTTGAAGGGTGTTACTCTACATTAAAGTATACAAGATAACAACCTTTATTTTGATATTTGTAAAAGGACTTCAATTGTCATTACATATCCAAATTGCATTTGTGTTTGCACAGATGTCATCTGCTTTCTCAGCCACCCAAAAGCAGTCATGAACCAATGGCATGCCGTAAGTTTAGATTGGTTATGACAATTAAAATCATTGCACTAAAATACAGATAAAATAATTTTCAGATCCACTCCTGGCTCTCAACAGATGCTAATATATGATTGAAATGAAAGGATCTCAAGACATAGGAATAGACTTACTGTACAAACTGTTTGAGTTCCTCCATATCAGTCGTCATGGTATCAGGATCAGGTACATCCGGCATGGTGTATTGATGATTGTACGGAGATTCCTCAAATCTATGATAAGAAGCCATCATGGTGAGGATGATACGACCGTTCTGAATGGCTTCCACTGAGCGCGTGCAGAAGCTGTTTCCATCACGCTGGTTCTCTACCCGATAGAGAACAGGTAAGGTAGAATCTCCTAAAAAAGGAAATAAAGTACAAGAAGAACAAAAACGACATGACCCATAGGCAGTGTTAATCAACATTAACAAAATTACATGGGCTTAGGAGATGATTATCACCACATTGTACCATTATATAAAGCTCATCCTGAGTTGATGGTAAACAAATTCTTATGAACCGAACTGATACTGAATGTTCAATACATGATAGCTCAGGGGCCCGTTTCACAAAGCATTTTTTCAATGACAAATTACAAAAATCAGTGACAAATCTGTCGATAACCAATCAGAAGCAAGCATTTCAGACGTAGCTTATAACAAAAACTGTCATTTGTCACTGATGACAAGTTTTGTGAAACGCCTCCCTGGTTTTTGATACAAGCTATACGAAGGCTGATTTATTGGATTAGTAAACAAAGATATGATGATGTCAAGCTCGACCCAGAAGCATAGCACAAATTACTTTTTGGGGTTAGTTTACATACATTTTGTTAGACCAGATAACTCACTTAAACATGTACCATCTGCTATATGATATACATGAGAAACACTTGAAGTTAACATCTCAGGAATTACTGAATTTAAAATAAATCAAAATTATATTACGAATCTATCTCAAAACAATGTGTTAAATAATTGTTTTGCTTTTCAAAAATGATACAACTCTGCACATATATCAGTGATGGCTTACATATATGATACTGGATTAAATCATCTAAACTCTTTGCAGATACATAATGCTTGTATATTATTGCTTATTGGTCAAAATTACCTGCTTTTACAAAGTATGAGTGGAGCGAGTGAATGGAAAGTTCAGGATTGACCGTCCTTCCAGCAGCTACCATTGCTTGACCGATGATCTGCCCTCCAAACAATCTCTTTCCTGGTCCATATGCATGCCACATATTCTTTGCCCTTAGGGTTAAGAAACAGAGAACAGAAGATCGATTCAAGGCCAAAATACATCCTGGCCAAATAATATGAGTTAGAGTCATCACAAAATATAGAAGAAATTTAAACACAACAAATCGTGTCTTCATACTCATAGTCACACTCATAGGTTATCAAACAACAAAACAAATTAGACTAGTAACAATTGATTTTGACCTCAAATTGCATAGGATAAAAATTAGATAAAAATATTTAAACATGAGAATTGTCAAGAATTTTTAATACATTTTATTTCCTTTATAAAACATGACAACAACGACAAAATGTCACAGAATTCATTCTATCTTAGAAATTCTTACTGACGTTGTCAGTTGGCAATATTGAAAAAATATATTTTGACCTATTTGTTCTATTCATTGGACCAAATGCAAAGACACATCAGTTCACTCCAGCTAATGCGTGATCTCAGCTCTTGCATGCAGCTAATAGCGGCGCTTGCGCGTAGCTAACTCCAGGGAGCTCTGACGCCGAAGGCGTCGGCGTCGGATCTCCCTGGAGTTAGCGCCTAGCTAGCTGCATGCTGCACAGAGAGGCCACACCAATCACAACGAATGGGCCAACACTCACCTGAACAGATACGGGTCCAATGTTTCCAAGTCGAGGACAGTGCTGACAAGAACGCTCCGCAAATCAGTCTCAGATTGCTCCTTATCATCTGTCGTCGATGGAGTAGCCATTCTACTGGAACTAGTGATCGACAGCAACTTTCGATGGTTTACAAGCTTATCTCTGCGGCTTACCAAGCTTTGTAAATTAGACAATAACCGTCTACCGTTACTTCTCAACATTTTGATTATGCAATATCCCGGAACAACAATAATTAATAGGATCCGTATCGTTGATGTGTATGCTACGCAGCTAGCTCGCTGCAGAGTTCATTCACTGGGATCATCTCGTACTCGGAGAAGCTAGAGCTAGAGGCAAGCGCAAGCAAAGAGTCTACTGCTTTGTACGCTAGGTTCATAAATCACTCATTCATTTGTGCCAGCATCCCTTATTCTGCGACTTGTACATGTATATCAGGATTGTTGTGACTTCGAGCTGAGTTCAAGGTAGAACCATATGGCTGCTTAAAATTATAATATTTATAAATGAACGAATCAATTACAATTATCTGATCATATGATTCTATATCTCTTCTTTGGTATAAATAACATACATAAAAATGAGCTGTAAAGGGTACATGAGCATTTGTCTACATCAATAACCCACTTCTTGTAATGGCCATTAAACTGATTGAATCTTTAATTGCGCAGCACAAAATGTACGACCATTACTAAAATGATTGCAATCACTAAAGTCGATTCGACCAGTTACGATCGTTATTTTCCCACGAAAAGACATAGCGCTTCAACAACAACAAAAAGAGAGGGTTTTGGAATGTGACAGCTAGAGGTATAGGCTTCATGTATAATGATGAACCACGCTGAGATTGTTGCTATTCTATTTCTACTTTCCCCAGGGCCGAAAGCACAGATTCTAAGATGGGACAGTCAGAGAGTACAGATAAATCCAGGAGTACACAGGATACAGGAATGAGGGCGGAATACCAAACTTATCATTCTCTCTTCTCATCGGATGAGCAAGAAGAACTCCAGAATGTTTTTGAGAGGATATGTCAGAGCAACCAACGCCAAGCTGATGGACAGAGTTCAGCAACATTCACAAAGGAGCAGTTCATGGTACTGTATAATTGGATACAGAACTACAATTTGAAAATAACTTTGGTTAAAAACAAATTATAGCTCTGAATCTGTCTTTGAAGAGTAGGCCTGTGAAGAACAATAAGGATTATGAAGAATAATAATGATGATAAAAGGGAATAAGATCAGGCAATGACAGGAAAGATATAAGAATAAAGCATGACATTCATTCCCATTCTGTAAAGCTTACACATAATAATCTATCATTTTATTTACAAATCAGGGCCCATATTCATAAAACCTTACTATGCCGAGTTGTCAACTAACTATGTACTATAGCCTATGTAATGAGTTGGCAACTAGCTAAGTAAGGTTTTATGAATAAGATAATAGATAATGTGATCGCCCTATGATGATAAGATAATCAGACAGTTACAGGTAGTTAGGTCACCTGTTGATTTAATAACACTATTCTATGTACTTTGATTTATATTTCGAGGAAATAATCACTTTTTATAAACCAATACACTATGTACATGAAGTTTGCTGAACAATTTTGATACCGATGTGCTTGTATTTTCTTGATCAGGGCTGTTTATGTGAGATACTGTCAGAGACAACGGCTGAACGTCTTTACTCTGAGATGCGTCAAGTCCAGGGGGTTATCTCTTCGATAACCTCCATCTCTCAGGAAGCTTTTATCATCACTCTAGCCAAGCTACTTAAGGGAACCATGGAAGAAACTAGTCTAATGGTCTGTGGACTGGCAGCAAATATGGCTGAAAGGTTAACCAAAGAGGAACTCTCTCAGGTAATTAGCAGATCATTAAGTGCTTAAACTATCCTTTTCCGGTAGTATCATAATAATGATGATAATAATGATAGCCTAATAGTCCACTCCAATTTTATTAAACCGAAACATAAATTCTTTTTGCCCAATAGATCGTGAGCCCGGCAGCCACTGACAGGCCTGATAAAAACCCGATTTAAATCGGTTTCCCGATTTTTTCCGATTTTTTTTTCTTCCTGATTTAAAAAAAAAAAAAAAAAAAAAAAAAAAAAAAAATCCGGTTTCTTCTTCCCTATTTTGTCCTGATTTTGCCGATTTCCCTCTTATTTTCTCTATTTCTCTCTTATTTTCTCTATTCTTCCCTATTTTTCCCTATTTTTTCCCTAACTTTGTCCTAATTTTCGTACTCGAAAGGGGGGAATGTTGTTAGATGCCATTTTCCCCCCGCGAATCCTCTTTTTTTTGTTTTACTCAAGGGGGGCGTGGTTGAGGGGAAAACAAAAAACCTATTTTTTTTTAGTGCTCACTATCACCCCTGCACTGAGCAGCGCCAGATCGACGTTGCTCTATCCCTTATTGTTGAACGCCAAACAAGGTAGCAACAACTCCCATCTTTTATTATCTTCATTAAGTTTGGATCTGATCCCGCTCTATATAGCTCCTATACATGTGTTTTTTCTTCTCAAAATTTATGATTTCACTATCTTCAATCATGTTTTATGAAAATGTTTTAAAGTTTTCATCGTACAAGTTTGATTTGCAAAAGTTTATTCTTTTACAAAAAAAATACAAATTAGAAGATACCATGTTTGATTGATTTAGCATTTTAAATCTGTGTAATCAGAGGTATTCTGATAAATCATTTTTATTGATTTTCACTCTTCTTTTGAATTTCAGTTCATCGCAGATATCCTGTCCTCGTATGAGAAAGCTTTGAAGGCTGCAGATAAGATGGGTGGCTGGAAGATTGGGGCTGATGCTGACTCCAAACATAGATTTGTACAATTCACTTTACAGGGCATGGATGAAGGTGAGGGGATCAGCAAAGAGAAATATATCACATAGAACCAAAATGTGGCCAACTGCTGGAAAGTTGAATACAATTTGTATAGAATTACCGTACTGATAATAATAATAAAACAGTAGCTTCGCCTCGGGGGTGATAGAAGGGCCGGTATGAACACCACCTTAGGAGTGATAATTCCCACCATCATCCTCCTGAGCAGTCAAAATTTGTATATTATGAATAGCACTTACATCAGAAATTATTGCTTTATACAGTGCTAAAATGCATAAACACACTTGTTGCACCAGTAGTTAATATTACAGCATGTTTATTCTTCTCTTATTTGGAAAGCTGTGCCTGATTTTGATACTACTGAATTGTGATATTGACCTGTTCATTATCTTTGGTGATATATAGCAAAATTGCCATAAAATTGAAGATGTCCCTTTTCACTTTGTCAAATCTACACCTATTTTGCTTGTAATCCTACAGCCGAAGGAGAGTACTTGAGTGTAGATCAGGTGCAGTCTTGGTTAGAGAAGACAAGAGTCTTTTATTCTCTCTTCACGGATGTCTTTCAAGTCTGCTTTCATCCAGGAAACACAATGCTAAAGGTATTATTGTATCATCTTTCTTTTAGTTTGTTCTATCTCTACTGCCCAAACCATCCCTTCTTCCCTCCCTGCTTTACCTCTCTCTCTGTCTCTCCCTACATATACCTCCCCTCCCTCACCCTCTCTCCACCCCCCCCCCCCCCCCTCTTTCCCTCCCCTGCATTTTATTTATCTGAAAATGTATTTCATAATATGATCAACTGATTAAAGAATATTCTTAGCAGCAATATTAATATATTTAATAATTTTAGCTATTGAATATTCTGAAATAAGAGTAAAAATGTAATTGGTAAATGAGATAAAGCAATAATGTAAGAAACTCTCCCGATAAACTACAAATCATGTCTTCAAACAATTGTTTTAGAAAGAACATTTTTTAATTCCCTTTGATATTAAAATGTAAGTAAAATATTTTTAGAAATTATTCTTTTGTTCAATCCGTTTTCTCACAGTTTAGAGTCAACACAATTTTGTTTTATTTTACATATTTATATGAATCAATTTTTTTTGTAGGATGACGGTGCCGCTTCTGCAGCGGCATATGTGGATGAGGCCGACACCATCACCGATGACATCATACACCATGTACCTACGCTGCCTCTCTGTAAGGATGCACCATGGTCAAAGTTCACGACCTTACTTGACCTCCCAAGCCTGCTGACCATCAACTATCACCTCCCCCATGAGCTGAGACGTGAATGGAGATTCCTCTATTCATCGTCCATCCATGGATCAAGCTTCTCTACATTCCTAGCTCACATTCAGAACAAAGGACCTACAGTTTTAGTGGTTCGAGATACCGATGGAAAGGTCTTTGGGGGATTTGGGTCAGAGAGCTGGCATCTAGGACCAAATTTCATAGGTAGGCCTACCTCCCTTTCTCTTATATTTAACTTCCATCGTTCGTTCATTCGTTCGTTCGTACAAAGAATATCAGGGAGTACATCATCTAGATAGAAAGATCCTTATTTAACCAACTGAATGTCTCATCATCAAGCTCTCGAAGTCCAGAAGCACCTTGAGGGGATTTTTAGATAAGACAGTCATCGATGATATGATCCATAGTTTGGATCACTCCGCAGGCACAGTTTGGTGATGATTCAGCTCCATTTTTTTTGCAGGAAATATATATATATATCTCCAGTTCCATGAGATTGTATACGGTAGGAAGGAATTCCTTAAATGATGTGAGCGTCAAAATCGGCAGCCTAGCATAGCCGGGTAATGTTGGAGCGCCTTGAGGACCTTGCAAGGACGATATGTGCGCTATATAAAAATTCAATATTATTATTATTATTATTATAATTAATTTTCAGTTATTCTTTAGCCTGAATTTCTGTGAAGTTTTTAATCTACACAACTGTATATGATTTCTTAGACTTTTCTCCCAGGCAGGTATCCATATGAATTGACCAGATGCATTTCATCAGATCCTGTGTGAAGGTTTTCTATCATCACTTTGGTAGATGCATCTTTCTACTTTAACCTGTTGACCACTGAATTCTCTTATTCCCAAAAGGAACACTCGGTTCCAGTAGGGAATGGGTCAAAATAAATGACACCCATTCATTAGCTTGCCATTTCCAATATCACTTCTCTAATTTTCAATCATAATCTCCTCCCATGTTTCTTGTGAACCTAGGAAATACTCACTGTTTCCTGTTCAGTTTGACCTCTGACCTTGGTGTATACGAGACGACAGCCCACAATGATCATTACATGTATCTCAACATTGATCAGCAAACAATGCCAAATGGTCTGGTGAGTAGTCCATTTACTTTATCGTAAAAATTTTCCAAATTACGGATTTATAATCATATAATTATTCTGCCACTTTTTGGTAATCTATGTATATATATTTTTTTCTTTTCAAGTCAATATATTTACATGTTACAAAAAATTTTGTTTCCATTATTTTGAGGGATCCACATTTTACAAGCTCTGCTTTTCAGTGGATCCCTCCATTTCCACAGGTTTATCTTAACAAAAACTTTTAAAAAAAACCATTATACTGGATAATTATGTATAGGCCTACTATCTATTTCACAACTTTAAACCATGTAAAATGTATTATATTATTTAATGTTGAACTGTATATCTGATTACTTGTAAAAATTACTGTTCTGTTGGAAATAAAAAATAAAACTGAAACTGAAACTTAGGAGAAATGATTCTACTATTACTAATCAAATGTAAAATTTGCATTTTTAATTCATGTTAAGATTATGCAGTCAATCTGAATACTACATGTTATAGCAGTCTTTTCTTGATAAACAAAGAGCAGTTGTTGCCTGTAATGTACATGTAGTTGCGTTTATGATACAGGTTAGTTTCTACAAAGTATGTATTTTACCCCCTTATCTTTACTAAACGATGCACACATTACTATATTACGATTTTGCAAATGACAAGCTAGAATTGGTAATACAGGAACTAGTGAATAAAGTCTCTCAATCAATAATTAAATCAGTCGTAAGAAAGACTATTCATTTGTAACTTGTATTTTGATTATTTGCTCAAGTGAAATGTTAATGGTTTCTATATGGAATTTCTATCACACGAGAAACATTTTTTTGTTTTTTTACTCCAACACAGGGTATGGGAGGACAGTTTGATTACTTTGGACTATGGTTAGACCAGGACTATGGTAAAGGCCATAGCAGGGCCAAGCCTAAGTGTACTACCTACGACAGTCCCCAGCTGTCTGGGTCTGAGAACTTTGTTATCGACTGCGTAGAAGTCTGGGCAGTTGGGCCACTACCAAAGAAAGATACTGAGGTAAGACCGATTTTGATTTTGATTGTGCGGAATCTTTAATAAGTTAGGTCAAGGAGCTTGTATTAGTGTAAGCAGTTGTATACATGTGTATTTGGTATTTAGACTATAAGTGCTTTGATAGGGGTGATGTTGTATCATGTTGAAGGAAGAGAGCTTCTTCATCTAAAAGAATACTTTTCATATGATCACTCTGAGTCTGGGTCATGACGGTAATGCAACAGGGCATTTTCAGCTACATGAGTCTACTGTTAGGCAGATATGGCAAGCTATAATTGAAGTACCGGTAAATTAAATGCAAGCAGTTTTTGTATAATAGTTATATTTTATCCAAATTGACATTGAGCAATTCTCAATATTTATCTTCCTAACATCCACCACCTTGTGCAAAGCTAGAAGCAAGGCCGTAGAACATTATGATTCTGATATACATTTATCTGCTGACAGCTAGAAGGGTTTTAATGTATATACTCTTAAGTAGATTTAAATGTCGGTGGGGCTCGGGAAGGGGGGGGCAGGGGCCCTACTTTTTTTCAAAAAGTATGTTTAAGTGAAATAAAAGGAAAAAAAGAAAGAATAGTGACCTGCCAGTGTCACAAATGAGGTATCAAAATATACTCATCTGATCGTAATTGAATGCCCAAAACCCCCCTGGATGCTCATCTGACCGTAATTGAATGCCTAAAACCCCTGACCTTCCAGGGGCTCCGCCCTTGACCCCTTTCAATTTACGCTATGCACTACCTGATCGTAAATACTTTAGCCCATCCCCATACCAACGAAATACAGATATTCCCTTGCATTTCGTCTTCCCCCCCCCCCCCCCCCCGATCGTGAAAAGAAATCGCCACCCCTGACCGTTGCTGTGTGTTTTGATTGTAGGATGATGAAGAGGGAGGTCACAAGAGTATCCTAGACAAGGACGCAGCGGCCACTGCCCTCCTGGAGCTCATAGGAAAGGCAAGAAAGAGCGAAGGATTGAGGGAGATTGATGAAGATGCAATGGCAGACATACCTGAGGTTCATGAACTACATGTACCACACCCAGTATCCTGAATGATGACGCTGGTCTACGGGTACCACTGGATCATATCAACTCAGGCTGAAGAAAGAGTACTGTCAAGAGGTCGGATCATATAGACACGAAACAATGAGGTCATGGCTTGGTCTCAACTATAAAATCAACTTGCCCATTGCTAATTGGTCCAATCCTTCTGCTATTTAAGTCTCAATGAGTTTAATATTGTTACTAGGGGATTTATTTACATTTTTGTAATTATGAGAAAATCTGGACTTATAATCATGAGATTGCAGGTGCATGAAAAATTATAATTAAAGTACTATACAGGTGTGCAAGTTTGAATCAATTACTTCCACTTTCTTAAAATCTATCTTTCATAGATTTCTTCTTGTCAACTTTAGCAGTGGCAAAACAAAAGCAGAAACAATACAGTACAAAAAATTCATATAAATCTCAAGGTGGTTGACAGATTTTTCTGATAAGCAGAAAAGAAAACATTGATAATGTTGAATTAAATTAAAATAGATTGTCATCAAATCATGTCTCTTTCTATATTACAGCACGATACAAATGGTCCGAGAGAGGCATTCTCAGTTTCTCACACATCTAATCCTTGCCATTTGTGATTACTGAAATTTGGTTAATATGTGTTTGATCATGTATGCACGTTCTCTCTCTCTCTCTCTCTCTTTCTCTCTCTTCCAATTATGTCTTTCTCTCTACATTCCCCTGGTTTCCCTTCTTGAATTTACTCAACCAACATGTTTGTCTTCTTCTTTTTGTCATACTTTTTTTCTTTAATCCCAAGATATATTGCTTTCAAACAATGTATCTATTTAAGCTTACTGAATGACGTGTTCACTTTTTTATGACTACTTGTTTATTATTATTCAATTACATTACTACGGTATGAATTACATTGTACTTTAGGTGGTGGGATTTCATGGGATTTTGGGTGTCATAAATTTTGAAATAATCTGTATTTACCTATTGTCATTTGATGTGTTCATGATTACATGTTATTGTTTCAGTGATTATCATATATATTTTATGTTTCAAGCCACATTAATGTGAACAGGAGGCTCTGCTTGTCTTATGTGAAGATGATCTTTCCTCATTCTTAATGTTAATGTGTTTTTTTTGCCAAATTTGATGATGAAAATATCAAAATTGATGATTACTTGTTCTCCAGAATCATGTCAGCTATGGGCCTTTTACATGCATCACTTCACACTTGTTTCGTTATGAAAGTCACAAAGTACATCTGCGATGTCATAGAACATTCAAATATTTATTATGGCAATAGATGAAATGTCTGTATTGAATTTGAACTTAAATACTGATATTTACAGGAACATTTTCAATGAATAAGTACAGTTCTTTAAACAAACATGGCCATACACAATAATGATAATCAAAAATAAAAAGAATAATAGATTAGTTAAGCAGCTCATAATAAACTGGAATCAATCTATTTGAATGTAGCAGGGCTCATCGTACAAGAAATATTCAGAATAATATCATCTTATCCACTATCTTTGAATCTAAAGTGAGCCCCTTGAAATCACCCAAATGAAATGGATCCAACAAACTAAATTATATTATATGCCATGTGCAATAGAAGGTAAAATGAGTTGTAAGTAATTTCATGCAATTTACTGTTCTATAAGAATACAACAAGAACTGCAGTAGCAGAATAATGCCAAATTTCTATGTTCTTCAAAATGCTTTACTAGTATGATAAGCTTTTGCTCAGCCCTGAACATTACAAGAAAGTAAGCTTTGTCATTTTAAAAAGCACCAATGTTATGTTTAGACTTTGGATATGTTTAAATATGAAATAGAAACACCAGTATGTAACATAAAATATAATATATTTGAAGGGATGAATCTACCTCATAGTTCCATCAAATATATTGCAATTCTTTCCAGATGCAAGGTAGTAGTTACAAGTCCATTAAATCATATTACATGTATATATATTATATATATTTTATTCTTGAGATTACATATTGTAACATTTAAAGTATATTTAATCAACTTATTTTGTTACGACTTTTAAAATATAGTCAAATTTGCATGGCGCTTATTTGATATGTTTTGAATTGCTTTACATGGTGATTATTATAACCCCTGTAATTGGTTTCTAATGTCAATCCACACATTATAAAGCACAATTTCCAGCCAGGTGCCAGTTTACAAGGGCACACGTGCCAATTCAACCACATAAACGTTTGCATCCTACAGGGTACCCATTTAACACCTGGGTTTAGAGTGGCAAATGTAGATTAATGTCGTGCCAAAGGACATTAGTGCTGCGGTGGGTCTCGAACCACAAACCTCATGATGAACAGTAGGTTGATGTTTCCACTAGACCACGACACCTCTTATTATCTACTCATTTGGAAAGATGGTAACGAATTGTAGAAATAGATCAAGACTATCTAACATAAGATGTATGGAATAACACATAATAAAAAAATGTTTTGCAATCAATGGTTTACAATATAGCCTTTTGTAACAGTACAACTCAAACTTTATCAAATAAAAGTTAATTCTGCTTTAGTATTTGTTTAGTATGCTGGATAGCTTTATAAGTGTTTAACATGTACATGTGTTTATATACAATTTTTTGATGTTGGAATGTATCATTACCATTGGTCTTGCAAATAAAATCAAAGATCTATATTTACTTTGTACAAACAGACTAAAGTGCCTTTAATTTTCATGTTCATTGCATTCAAGATAAATCATAAACTCTGGGAAAAGTGGCCTTCATTTTTATCCCACATTACAGTTAAAAAGGACTTCCATCTTGTTTTAGAGCTAACACACTCCACATGTATATCATTATGGAAAGATTATATAAATACAATGCATCACAAAACAAAATAAGATGTATTTATGTACATCTACATGAGCACATTCAAACCTTACAGAGACTATCTGCCTGTCCAGCAGTCGATTGAAAAACATCAAATCATGCAATACACACTCAATTTGATAAAACAAATACATGTAGTGCAATACTCGCTTTACAATCCTTTTCCAAATTGTCTAAATACGGTGGGCATATAATGTACATAATCCTGTTTAAACAAAGGTAGCTACAATGGTTTGCAAAGCCTGCAGGAATGCTGTGTTTTATTTATTCTGATACATTTTTGAAGACGAGAGCTTATAGATCATTCTTTCACTCCTTAAAAATTGTCAAAGTGGCCAAGAAAGTGATGAAACCCACCTATGTGCTGAAGCCTTCCAATTAAAACCATTAACATTGTGAACAAACTCACAGGAACCTGGAAATACAACCTGAACACATATTTAAGCACATTTCCAAAGTATACCGGATAGTGACTACGGTATTATTTATGTGCCCATGATAGTTTGATGCACCCTCCATTTATCCAGATATAACTGAAAAGTATTAAAAAGAAATACAATATCAGTGTGACATTAGTATTAAAGTGTAATAGTCTTTCAATCCACTTTTATAGTAAATCATTGTAGCTACCTCTGGAAATATAGAATAACTACTTTCGATAATGAATGAAACATCACAGAATGTAATTTAAATGCTTAAACTTCACCTAAGTGCATAGAACCTTTGAGTTGCAGATATTTGTATAATACAGTGCGGATAATCTGGTACACTTTCTTTGTTCAAAACAAGTAATTCATTACTCCGTTGCTGTACATGCCATTTTGCAATTAATGCAATCATTCAACAAAAAGTGGTGACAGAGAAAGAAGACATTTGCTGAAAGAGAAAGGAAGATTTCTTTAAAGATTTCAATTATCATAATCAAAGATCACAGTTAACTTCTGACCACTATCAAAGACCACATGTGACTTCCATGGCTCATGCTACACAGTTGTACATATTTCTAGACATGGTATTTTTGAATTAATCTTCTATTTAATGCCATTATTTAAAATTCAAGTAATCAATTGTTCAAGTCCACAACCCAACCTAAGAAAAGCATCAACTATGTAGATTATCATAGTTTCACAGTCGTAACCAATTCATGTTTAAGAAAACATTTTGAGGAAACAATCTACATTATTTTTAAGACATTATCTAATCATTCATTTCATAAATGTTCATGTTTACGTACATGCTCATGAATAGACAATAAATTCAGTCGCCTCAACATGCAGGTTGGCCCAAGACTACTTAAAAACTAATCAAAGTTATATCAAGAACTTACTAACCTATAGGCAATGACATAATATTAGATTTGACTCAGTTCAAAAGGCTAGTTAACTGTGTTGCATCTGAAGGTCACTTTCACTTATTAGACAGGTATTTGAAATGGCTTCCATCAGATTGAAAGCCCCTTCGTAACTAAATTACGCAATTTTCCCTTGCTCAGGCATGCATGCATTGAAAAACTTGATGATCACTGAAGCATTCAAGAATAGAGAAGCAATAATGATGCGCTAAGATGCACCTGCCATATGGAATTCAGTCGAAATATTCTGTATATCTAGAGTTTAGGAATACATAGGTCTTTATCGGCAGCCTAGCATAGCCGGGTAATGTTGGAGCGCCTTGAGGACCTTGCAAGGTCGATACGTGCGCTATATAAGAATCCAATATTATTATTATTATAATTATCAGGTAAGTTGATAATCGGAATTTCCATTTTTAAAATGTTCTTTTTTATGTTTGTTATTAAAATATATATCGCAAAAAGGATTACACAAATCATGTAAAATTAAATGAAATAAATCTTAGGACGGTTGGAAAATTTTCTGGAATACGGTTCATGTATGATTTATCCCATCCAATAATGGGATAAGTCATTATAAATTCACAAGAACAAGAGAAAGGGGCGTATGATAGAGGCCATTAAATCAAATATTCTATCATACACAAATTATGAACTACATTTTGAGCTGACAGCAAAGGAGCAAACTTTTCAATAAGTTTTAATATGTACATACATATAATTCTTATATCATTTAAAACAAAGCATATATTTATAACAACTTTTTAAATTTCAATTGATGTCCCCGTCATTTGGGGGTACATAAGTTATTGCACCAAAGACAGCTTTAAAAATGTGTTCTTCAAACACTTCACAGCAATCCAAGTACTGTCTACGACATATGGCATAAATACACATTCAACATTTGTTTCAGAACATTCTGGCTTTTGACCATATACGGTAGTACATAGATATGCACATTGGACATCCTTTTGATGGCAGCTGGTAATATCTCCTAGAATACTGGTGATAGTATAAATGTGCAATTCAATATTCAAAAAATTAAATATATATTTTTAATCTCCTGCACAAGACTGATACTCCTACTGCTTTTTCTCATTCTAATGTTGTTCTTGGCACTACATGAAGGTTCCTCATTAATCCCAAGAGTTGAACGCTTTTTTCTTGAGCATCACACTTAAAAATGAATTCTATATAAACTACTTGAGGTCTATACCATGCCTTTGTGACAAAATACACTCACACAAATCTGAAAAACAGAGTAATACTTGTCAAAGATGAATTTGTGCTCAGCATATCGACTCCATATTCAGTTTAAAATCAAAACTGGAAGTTTTCCAGCAGATATAAAGTTTGCCTCTTTCCAACTAGATGCTTGATGGTTATTTGCATAGCTCACTCACAAAATACTTGAAGATACTTGATTCTGATCTCCTTGTGATGTGATCTTACTCACTCCAGCAAAGCATACAGTCAATGCAAATGCATATTGACCTCTAGCGCTGTACTACGTGCTGAGAGGCAGCAATTGCACACAATGCACACATCGCACACAATTGCACACTAATGCACGCATTGCATACAAAGTGGCTGCTTGGCAAGTTTGACAGTAGACTCACGATTAGATTGTACTTAACTGCTATTTAGGTGTCATCAATTGTCACTAAAATATCGATTTTGAGTGAACTCAGTTGAGTTTTGTACAGTGATGTTTGAAATGTTGGGAATCAACAGAGGATGTCTAAACAGTTTTTAATACACAGCCAGGATAGTAATGCAGCTATGTGTGATCTTACTATGATGTAAGATCTCATCGAGTCCACTTCAAACATCTACTCTAATCCAAACTCCAATCAACTAGTCTAGGCTAGGAATCTACACGACACACCACAGACAGGAGATTCAGTCCTGGAGATAGCTTGGTCTTTAATACTAGGCTTCAAGATACATCATCCACCATACAGCTTATTTCAAATCAAATTCCTCGTCATTGTCCTCATCGACCAGCTCTTCACCTCCTTCTGCTCCTCCTACTGGCCCCATCTCACCCATCGGTGCTACTGCTTTCTGCTTCGGTCTGCTTCCTCCCGGTAACCGTAAACTCCTTGCCAATTTGACATACTGCATCACGATGGAAGATGAAAAGAGCAGAGATGTAAATAAATCAAATTTATTCTGGTCAGGCGACCTTATGTAGAACACATACACTCAAATGACACAATGAAAGCACTGACAAGGATTTAAAAAATTAAAAAGGTATAGACGTTGTAGCGCAATTATACAAAACAAAGTGGATTGAGTAATAAATACCTTTATTGACCAGGACAATGATTATTGAAGAAGGTTATTTTTCTTGAATGAATTTTATTGATTTGTTCCTTTCTTTCTTTTTCACATTGTTGTTCATTTTGTTCATTTAAAACACCTAAGAAAAATACAAGTAGTGTAAACAATTTTAAAGTTTACAATCAGTTCTTATTCTCATCTTTCTGAAAATATCCTTTTTTAGAAAAACCCAGTATCCAATCTCTGGTAGACATGTATGTTAGCATCAAAGTACCTGCTTCAGTGACCACCTGTCTACAAAGACCACATTTTTTGTTTCCCTTGAAAATGGTTTCTCATTGAAACATGAACTAAAGGAACCTGTCTTCAAAGACCACTTTTTGTGTTTCCCTTGGGTGGTCGCTATAGACAGGTTTGACTGTACTACTACTCACATCATTATCCATGTATCTGAAGAGTGGAAGGTTTAACATCTGGTGAAAAGTATCTTCATCCTGTTTATCATAGGCATCTAAGAGACACGCCAGTGCTGATGCAACATCACTCTCAGCATAACCTTCAAACTAAACAAAGGAAGTAGAGTTGTAAATTATGATTGACCTTTGAAATTCATTCCAATTTTCTCATGCATATGTGTCGGATCCTAGCAGACACAAGACATTCATTTGTAAGGAATAACACTTCCTGTTTAAAGATAAAGTTGAGTTCTAGTCTTGCGATTGCATTGTGAAAGATACGGTGTGGAATCGATCAGAAAAGGTTGATCATCTAGTATATAAGTTTTTGTGTGTATTGCAAGGTTCTGGAATCATCAAAATGATAAGAAATTTGGCCAAGTCTTGGTAAAGTTACAAGAAATGTACACAGAAAGATGCAGATGGGACTACACGAACATGTGGCATAAAAAATCTGTCCCGATTTTTACGATGTTACATGCCATATTTAGAATATGAAAGCATTTGAAGAGCCATGCTTTTCAGGGAACATGTTTTATCTAATGTTCTCCCACACTTGCATAATAACAATGATAACGCTCACCAATTATTTGTCACCTCTTCCCAGAACTCAACCTTCTCTTTAAATGACCAACATTCTTGGAGTAGTCATTAGAGTATAGAATATGAAAAATAATCTTACAGCCAACTGACACAATCTGAATTACTAAGCATCAATGTTTTACAATGAGTGCACTTTGTCAAGAGTGACCAAACAACAGTGGCCATTCCTAATGCAATTAGATTGTACTAACCACTACTGGTATAACAACAAGATGTGAGGAAATACACATATGAATAAGCAAACATAGAGTAATAGACTCATTTGCTATTTTTTTTAAAGCCATGAATGTAGGGGCTGCAATTCAACACAAACTGCTTACCGGTACATTAATCACTTGAATAACAATTTGTGTCAAAATAACTCTTTTTATGATACACTGATGGCATTTTGTTTGCCCTTCATATTTCTTGCATTCCCACCAAGAATCGCTATCTTTACCTACCCCATTGCTATGCCACACATTTTATCGGCTGCTACATAATCTCCTCTCTTTAGATGGACCAGGACCAGCGCTGACACCGTCTGCAAGACAATAAAAAGTCATGGAATTTATGTCTATCATTGACAATAAAGCATTGGGCGATACCACATCAGTATTAGAAAATTTTGGAGAAACACCACAATGTTCATATGAATAACTTTAAAAAGTACATTACAACCAGCGTGATTGTCACTAGGAGTAGTTAGAATACAAATACCGGTAATATAAAAAACATTTAGGCTAATATTATGTTACATAAATAATTGCGGGCACAATGATCAGAGTTAAAATTTTCAAATTTAGAAAGAGATTTGACTACAAAATCGCCTCTTGTACTCTAGCTTTAACATTTTAAAAGTTAGATTTTTTTTAAAACAAATTTTGCAAAATGTTGTGATTTCTAGGCGTTCAAATCATGTATGTAAGTCACACTTCAGATTGTATCTTTAGATGGCTGATACCTTATTAATATCAAGTAAGTTGAAAGCTTAATGACTAATGGCTGTAATACTCACCCTATTCGTAGCATCAATGTCTCCTAGATCATGCCTGAGATCTCTCTCTTTGGAGAGTACCTTCGATGCTTCATCGTAATCCTGAATCCTAACAAGAATGCGTGCTGATTTCCCCAAGTAGTCTACGATCTGACGCGGTCTGTCTTCCAACTGTACAGGAAGATGATGGTAACTAAGCATAACATTCCATGTTGGTATGGCCCAACCAAATACAAACTAATAAATTGCATATAAAAATGGTTTATAATATAACATGAATTTCTAATCATTCTAAATATTTGAAAAAATTCTTGTTTGTTTGCAATCTCAACAATTTACACTTAACAGGGCCAAAGAAAGGGTAATAGTTTTTAAAGCAATAGACAAAAACCCATATGGACATTACATCATAATGAAAATTAGTACTGTTAATATCATTATCAACATGAAAGAAGATTCTTCCCTCAAACCTTACTTGTTATTAGTCCAGGAAGACGCAAAAAAATATATTTGGTTATATTTACCTCTACAACATCACAAGCCTTTTGAAAGAATTCCAATGACATCCTTGGGTTGACTGTTTCCATCATTCTGTGCAAGAAATTTGGAAAATAAAGTCATCAAAAATAAATAAGGCACAAATAACAGATTATGAGAGTCTAGAAACAGTGAAAATGTAAGTAGTTTGTAATTATATTTAGTCATCCTTTGTGTAATATGGTATATTTACATTCCTGTTTCTTGTAAATAAAAATTCTTTGTTCCATAATACGTGCCATGAAAATCACTTTCTTACCCAGTACATTATAATATACTCAGCGCTATAAAAATTGACAGAATTATCTCTGAATTTCCATCTAGGACCTCCTGTTTGGCAGAGAATACAAAGCCCTCTACCAAAGAAACCAACCCTGATACATGTGGGAACATTCAATAACTTGCAACGTTTCAAGTCAGATGATTACATTATCTGGTGTTTGAACCCTTGCTCTTTTTAGAGGGGAAATCACAAACCACTACCAGTATACCAAATTACAACAAATCATATGGAAAATAAATATCTTACTTAGCAGCCTTTTCCAGGCAGATAGCAGCTGTATCTGGGGTTCCATGCTCTGAGTATAGACTTGCTGCTTTATCAAATAATCCCATCACTTCACCCCAGTCTTTCTGATCCTATAGACAAAAAGTAAAAGGGTTCTAGTTACTTCAGTAAAATTCATTTGATGTATTTCATATGCATTTGTAAGTTTGTATGGTATAAAAAGCCATCAGTCTCATGCCAAGATCATGCTTACTAATGTCAAATACATAAAATCAAAATGTTATGAACAAATACTGCTGAAATCTGGGAAATGGGTTACGGTAAGCATTTTCATGACTTGATTTATAACAAGAACATAGTTACTAATTACGTTTATCATAAATTAATTACTGAATTAGGGAAAATATGAATAATTACATAAAAGAGCAGCTGTCACACAGATTGACACATATTACTATACTTACCCTCATGAGGAAAGCTGCTTGTTCATATTGCTTTGCTGCATGAAACAAACTGTATAATGGATCTGTGTTCAGGAAAAGTAAGCTTACCAGTAGACTATGCTCTCAAATTCATGAATGCCAATAAATTGTAAAAAGATGCTTTCATTTTTTTTGTTTTAATACATAGGGAGATTCCTTTTCTTCAACATGCACCCATCCTAAATGCACATAATTTAGATTTTGATAAACACTCTGAATTCAATAATAATTCTAATAATTGTAACATCTATATAGAAGGTTGAGTTCTGGGAAGAGGTGAAAAATAATTTGTGAGTGTTATCATTGTATGATAATGCAAACATTAGATAAAAATGTTCCCTGAAATTGATGAATTGATCTTTAGATGCCTCAATATTCAAAATATGGCATGATGTAACATCATAACAATTGGGGACGGATTTTTATGCCACAAGTTTGCATAGTCCTATATACATCTGTTTGTGTACAGTGCTTGTAACTTTACCAAGACTGGACCAAATTTCTTATCATTTTGATGATTCCAGAACCTTGCAGAGTGCAGTACACACCAATACTTACAGTATATGCTAGATGATCAACCTTTTTCTGATTGATTCCACAACGTTTCTTTCACAATGCAATCGCATGACCAGAACTCAATTTTATCTTTATGTTTTTAATTATAATTTGTATACTAAAATAACTAAATCTGTTACATCTCCTGACCGAGCCAGGCTGAACCACACATTTTGATTTGTATGGCCAGGTAAAAAGGATACGCGTCATTGTTTCTGTGAGCCCCCGCAGCATTGATATAAGCCCTTTTAGCTTCCAGGGGCTGCTTAGCATTCTTGAAACATACAGCTATTTAGAGTGGGAAAGAGAGAGAGAAAGGTAAAAATGTCAACTCTTCAATGCTCAATCAATGTTCTTAAAATTTGCTGCTACAGACAAGTGCAAGTTAATTCCAAGAAAAATATGAAGTGTCTTGTTGTAGCTCTTGTTTTCATTCTATTGCATCATAGCCCTGTTATTAATCATTCAAACCCATATATATACTGAAATGATTGGGCAATTTCCAAGTAACTTCCAGTATTTTTTTTCATCAGTTTAAAGAGCATCTAAATTGTATGTAACGAGTACATAATCTAGGAGCCGGTTATGATACATAAGTACACAAAATATTACATTAAAATGATAACGTGTAAAGTAAAGAACATAATATCGTCGGCCTTATGCCAAAAGGGCCTTAACTGCTTTTGGCCATTCCGAGATAATCGCGTTTAAAGGTTTTGGCCTCTCTAATAATCAAAAGTTTGTGGTCGTTTTTTTGCTTTTGAAGCCAATTTCGATAAATGTGTTAAGTTATTAAGTTTTACATGAAATGTGTTAAATTTGTTATAAAATATTCAGAATTGTACATGCTATGTGCAAAAAACATGTTAGGGCCTTTTTGGCATAAGGCTTGAATGTAGCGTATTTATGCCAGAAGGGCCGTAACCTACTCGGCATTATGCCAAAAGGGGCGTAACCTTCGCGGCGTTATGCCAAAAGGGCCGTTAGCGCCCTTTTGGCATAATGAAATTTTCTTGTTTCGCAACACCTTTGGTTTGCCAGAAAGGCCCTCCTAACGCAAATGGATCATCCGTGTAGGTTAAGGCCCTTTTGGCGTAAGGAAAAAGATGAGATACGCGTTAAGGCCCTTTTGAAATTCATAATTATCTTCATAAATAAATCGAATTTCAACAAGTGAAGCACATCATTTTAAAGAGAATGATGAAATCTACAAGGTGATGTTAATAACTCAATAACCCCCAAAATTGGGTTACGGCCCTTTTGGCATAAGGCCGACAATATACTGTTTTACTCTTACATTTTGCCCCCCCCCCCCAGAAAAAAAGAAACAAAAATGAATAATACTTTAAGATAAACCAAACAAAAGCAACCAAGAAAAACATATTAGACTTACCAGCTTGCTCATATTCATGGGCTGCACTGCCAAAATCTGGTTTCCATTTGAAGAAGGATGTCTTCAAGCTAGTAGAAGTAGAATAAAATAAATCAAGAATAAATACCGGTAGATATATGAAGGGGTGACCAAAGTTCGCAGACACTTTAGAACATATTACAAAATGTGATATTCGATATATGATTTCTCATATTCTACACAAATTTATTTATTTCAACTATTACCAAATGGACAGCAAAGTTTTTAACTACAAAATGGTTCATTAACTTGAAAATGTTATTGCCAAAGTATTTCGGATATATCGCGATCTAAAAATTCGATGTCCGATTGTGCATGCGCGCTGCATCTAAAAAAGTCTTAAAAACAACGAGACCTAACTTCACGCACAGGATTTACAGCTGATTTATACAAAAATGTGATCCAACAAAATAAGGTAATTTCACAATTTGCATGGTAATTTATCATACAATCAGTCGATACCACTTATTACTTACAATGTCGAGGGTGTCTGCTCGATCTCAAAATGAAGATTTCCAGACCCTTTTGTCAATATTTTCAAAAAATTTCACACCTGATTCCAGAGAAAATTTCCATCTCTGGGTAATTTTATGTTCACTCTTTCCAATAGTGATATCAGATTTTTGAAATATTACCCATTTTTTGAGACAGCGAACTTAGGTCTTGCTCAAACTATATGGTCACACCACCATACATGTACATGTAATGTATGTCAAAACAAGGACAAGATTACTTGTTCCGAGCCCCCCCCCCCCCCCCCCCCCACCTCAGAAGAAAAAAAACTTTGATTCTAGACAAAAAGAAATAATAATGTTATGGTTGCATCCAATGAAATGCAATGAATTTATCTGCATGAGTGAGTATACTCATTATACTCTAAGTCTAAGTCTCAGTTTGGGCATGAATCATATCCTTCCTGACTCTATAGTAATTAGTATTAGTAACAATTCAGTTTACTCACAATTTTTGGGAACACTAATTTCAGCTTGCCTCAAACTATTGACTAATTGCCAATAACATTAACATTTATATTATTTTAAACAACACAACTGGCATTCTCGCAATTAGATCTAGATCTTTTTCTTTCCTTCTTTTATTTCTTCTTCTTCTTCTCAAATATATATTTTTTTCTGAGATTTTTGCTTGACTCACGATCACAATTATCTTTTTTCTCTTTAGATCGTAAGTTCTTATATCCTTCTTTTTTTCTTCTTCTTCTTCTCTTTATGTATTTTTTTTCTGAGATTTTTGATTGAAGAGAGAGTCTTGTTTTCCCTTTGAACTTGAAGATCAAATATGGCAATGTAGATGATCAAAATGATATTTACTACACATGCAACCAGGCTTTTTTACTCCCCGACCCGGCCCGACCGTCAGCGACGCCGCGGGCCGACATTAGTTACGACCGCAGATCTACTCTTTGCAAGCTCAATCGAATATCGTTATTAACTTCGCCGAGGCCGCGAGTAGGCGTAGGCGCAGGCGCTCGCGCTCACAAGTCATTCCTTTCACGGGGAGCCGTGGCGGTAGTATACGGCCGAAGCTCCCTATCGCACAGGCACAGCTAAGTAATGAATGAAAATGCTCGCAGGCAAGAAGTGAAATCGGCTCTTCCATAATTAACATTACCCTCCAAATCCATAGTGAACTATTCACAAAATAAAATAATATTTATCCGAATTAAATACATTTTCAATAGCGTACGTTGAGGATAGACTTAAAGACAAATTACAAGCAATTACCTCTTTTCGGCTGCCGCAATATGTTCTTTTGCCTCGGAGATCCTTCTAGCATCCGCCATGATTGTAATGATTGTTTTTATTAGTCTAAGGTCAAGACCGATTAGAGGGGAAGATGCTATTAATATTTGGGTGTGACACCGTGCATGATCAGGGTTGTTGTTTTACGAGCGATGCATATTCCACATCGATTCTCCGTGGTTCATCATGCGTAGCTGATGACGTGGGGGGTTACGACTGGAGCTGAAAGATCAACTTGATGTCCACGTAATATCTTCCAACCCATCATACTATATAAACACAAGTCATCTTTGATCTACAACGGGGAATCCTAGTCAGTAGGAGAGGTGCGGGGATCGGAGGAGGGGAGGGGGTGGTTTTCTGTATGTGATTACCAATGGAAAAGGAAACAATTTAATTATCATTTTGGGGAAAGGAATCGAGACAAAGAATAACTGCAGGCCTATATTCTTGCTGGGATATCAGGGAAATATTTAGGTAGACTGTATAATTATCACTTCGGGCTTCATCGAGGCGGAACCGAGGAGATCGAAGGCAAAGAGGACCCCCCCCCCCCCCACCCACCCCCTGGCACTGAAAATATAGGTTGATCCCTTTCTTACCCCGCCCCCCCCCCTCTCTCTCTCTCTCTCTCTCTCCCTCTCTATCTCTCTATCTCTCTCCCTCTCCCTCTCTTCCCCTCTCTATCTCCCCCTCTCGACTCTATCTATCTCAAAGTATCTATTTATCTATTTTCTCTCTCAGTACTCAACCCCTCTGAAATGGTAATGATAAGTGGCGGTGCGGCGATCTCGGGGGATGGGGGGGGGGTGGGACACGTCCCCCTTAATTTGTTTAGGGGGATCGTCTCCCCGGCCGTAAAAATATTTTAAAAAGTGCCCCAAAATGTATAGAAAATACTGACTAAAGACACTGTTAGGCTATGGAGGGCCCAAGAGTGCAGAGTTTAGACAATACAAATGCAAAAATCTTCTCGCTTGGTAGCTAAGCTCCCTCACATAACATTCCTTAAAATGTACATGTAAATATTAAAGTGTGAAAAAGTATATCACTTGTTTTTATACTATAGTTTTGCTAAGGAATGTAACTTTTTAATACAACAAAACTTCAAAATCCTGTGAGGGGGTATACTTCCGTCACCTTCACCCCTCTCATTCACTATGCTCCCTTGCACTGGAGTACTGATGGAGGGGGCTGGGGCAGTTATCTCCCCCCCCCCCCCCCAAAAAAAAAAAAAAAAAAAAAAAAAAACTTATATCGTTGTTTATTTCTAATTCGATACCAGTGAATTAACAATTGTTGCTGAAATGGCTTAGTTTTTCTCTGAGCTTCCGGGGCTCTGCCCCCTGAACCCCACCAAGGGCCCTAATTAGGCGGGCCTCTGGATGCTCATCTGACCGAAAAACCCCTGAGCTTCTGGGGGCGGAGTGACCTGCGTGTCATTGTAGGATTTAGCACCGGTGATTTTCTTTTGACCGAATGGTCAAACATTTATCTAATGATATTCATTGTTGATAAACAAGTTCCTTATTTTAAGTTCATCGATTTACCTAAGCAAAAAAATAATTAAGCTTTTATATGCATGATATACGAACAATTTATTGAATTAATGGAGTTCAACAGATTAATGATGAATGAGCAATCGAACGATGTGAATTCTGCTAGCAAGAGAAAGATAAATCAATTCAGGTTGGAAAGGGAGATATTTTGGTATAAACCAAAGGCGTATCTAGGGGGGGGGGGTGGGGTGTTTTGGGTGTTTTAGAATGTTAAAGACATCCCCGCCCTTTATTAGATTTTGGTTGGTTGAGAGCTCGTCACATTACCAGAAATATTTGAACTATTTTAAGGTTGCTCTAAAAAAAGTACTATTTGGGAATAAACTATTTGGAAGTTAACACTTTTTTCTTCTTCAAATCTTGATTTAATAATTTGTTTGTTCGGTTTGTTTGTTGTCAGACATGTCAGACTCAACTAATATTATAGAATAGACAATGGTATGTAATTTCCCCCAGCTTAGCTCACGTTCATAACAGAATTGCATGTTACATAATTATAACGTATTGTAACAGGTGGTTGACAGATGATGTCACAAGGGGAACGAGATGTGGAGGTTTTTGGGGTGGAGCTTAGCAAGTTTGAAAAACAAATATTTCAAAAAATATTTTAAAATTTACTCTCTTAAAAAAAAAGTGAATTTTCACTCTATTTTCACTTTCTTGGGAGTGACGTCCGTGATCACTTGTTTAGAAGTGAAAATCGATTGATTTTAGAGTGCTCTCTAACAGTGGCGGATCCAGGGGGGGGCCCGGGCCCCCCCCCTCCCCCCTTGAGAAAAAAATCATGTAAAATCACGTGATTTTTACCTTTTTTGGGGGTTGGGCCCCCCCCCTGGCGCTCAAGGGGGGGGGGGGTGCAAATTGAATTTTTTTTTGAGGATCAAAAAAAAAAAAATGTGCTCACTACCCCCCCCCCCCCCCCCCCCCCCCCCCCCCCCCCCCCCCCCCCCACTGAGCGAATTTTTGGCCGGCGCGTTTTTCAAATTTTCGGGAGCGAAAAAAAAGAAAAAAAAAAAATTGTGCTCTTTACCCCCCCCCCCCCCCCCCCCCCCCCCCCCCCCCCCCCCACTGAGCGACTTTTCGGCCGGCGCGATTTTCAAATTTTCGGGAGCAAAAAAATAAAAAGTTGGGCCCCCTCCCCTAAGAAATCCTGGATCCGCGCCTGCTCTCTAAGAAGAAAAGAGTGAATGTTCACTCTATTTTCACTACATTTTCACTCTCCAGAGGAGTGACGTCCGTGATCACTCGATTTTTTTTTAGAGAGTATGAAACAAATTCAGAAGTTTAAATATCAAAATATGAGATGTATACAGGACTGCACACCAACAGGAATACACTTGTATTTCGATGTCATGGGCTATGGAGCCAGTAAGTAATAGTCAGATTTTCATACCATTGTCCCGAATGGTCGTACGTTTTGTGCTGCGCAAAGATTCAATCAGTTTAATTTTGGCCATTACAAGAAGAAGGTTATTGATGTAGACATGCTCATGTACCCTTTACAGCTCGTTTTATGTATGTTATTACCAAAGAAGCAAGCGCGTAGCCAGGATTTCATTTTAGGGGGGCGGTAGTGAGCATCTTTGGTGAGCATGCGAAGCGTGCGAATAACTTAAAGAGCGCGCGTAGCGCGCTCCCTAGGGGGTGGGTGCAGGGAGGGGGGAGTTTCCCCCTCCCTTTGCGAAGCGCGGAAGCTTTGAAAGAAGACGATTCGTTGTACCTTTCTCGACTCATTATCCTTGTCTGAATTCAGTCCGCCCCTCCTGCGCATAGCGCGGAAGCTTTGACGTATTATTAGACAAAGAAGACGATTCGTTGTACCTTTCTCGACCCTTAATCCTTATCTGTATTCAGTCCCCCTCACGCGCAAAGCGCGGAAGTTTTGACGTTTCACTAATTTATTAGAGAAAGAAGACGATTCGATGTACCGTTCTCGACTCTTAATCCTTATCTGAATTCAGTTTCCTCCCCTCCCGCGCAAAGCGCGGAAACTTTGAAGTTTCTTTAAATTATTAGAGAAAGAAGACGACTCGAAGTGTCGTTCTCGACTCTTAATCCTTGTCTGAATTCAGTCCGCCCCTCCTGCGCATAGCGCGGAAGCTTTGACGTATTATTAGAGAAAGAAGACGATTTGATGTACCGTTCTCGACTCTTAATCCTTATCTTCTACCAGTCAAATTCATAGCTGTCTTGGTTGGCACATGATACGTGAAAGGCAACAAATCCATTTATTACTCCTAACTTACAAAACATTACATAACATGACCCCTGAATATTTGAAAGACATATTTGAGTTTAAACCCTCTCCATACTCCCTCCGTAATGCACATAATCTCTCTTTACCTAAGCCAAGAACTAATTATTGTAAAAGAACTTTTGTGTACAGAGCTTCTTTTCAATATAATAAATTATCCCTTGATTTGCGTCAACTACCCACTTTTGCCACTTTAAGACTAACCTAAACAGACTATAATCACCTTGTTGTAGTACCTCTTTATGTATGTTTATATGATGTTTGTTTTGTTTGTTTGTTTGTTTGTTTGTTTGTTTTTTTGTTTTTTTTTTTCCTTTAAGTATTATTATGTATTAAGTTTTCGACTGATACTTTGTAATTATTTATTTTTTTAATTTGTAATATTATGTATATTTTGTATATTGTAAACTGGCCCCATGGAAGACCAGCAGCAACAATTATCGTTGCAGCTGAATATGGGCAACCAGCCGTATATTTGTATTTGTATATGATTATTTTTATACGGAAATAAAAACAACAACAACATCTGAATTCAGTTTCCTCCCCTCCCGCGCGAAGCGCGGAAGATTTTACGTATTATTAGACAAAGAAGACGATTCGTTGTACCGTTCTCGACTCCTTTCCCTTTTTCTTCCTACGTCCTCTTCCTTTTTTTCTTCTCTTTCTCTCTCTCTTTTATTTTTTGGCCGGCGTTTTTTTTTGGGGGGGGGGGGGGCGACCGCCCCCACCGCCCCCCTGGCTACGCGCCTGCAAAGAAGAAAAAAAGCCAGTCAGTCACTCAATAGTGTCTGACAGTGAAGTCTAGCAAGTAAACTGGTTTCCTTGCATAATTTAAATATAGGACACTAGCGTTTAAAATTCACAGATAGGACATAATATACATGACATCTTCATAACTCCTCATACGTTCTACAAAATCTGATGTTGGCTGCAAAAGGGACATAGTAACTTTAATAAATTGATTTTTCTGTATGTTTTTGTTTGGTTTCAATTTTTAGGAAGGGGGGAATTTTCTGTTAAACGACAGCCAATGAGGAGAGCCCTACAATAGACAATTTTTTTTTATTTTTGGGCATTGTTGTTAGTTTTGTTTTTATTAATTATTACATGTAGACCCCTAGGCCCTATGCTTTCATTGTCTATGTACGTTATCGTTTCCTGGAAATTAAATTAAAAAGAAAAACAAACAAAATTTGTTCGAATGATTAATGCAGCTCAATGAAAAGTTTATTAGTGTGTACACATTGACAATATCATTCGTCACGGTCAGGGACAAATAAAACTATTATTAGGTAATGGTGTGACCCTCGAATATGTTGATGCCCTGTATAATACAAGTTAAACAATTGTCGTCGCAGATGGCGCTACATATTTTCGTATGAAATTCAGTTGCGTTCTAGCTTCTGATTGGTTGACACGCAGCGGCGAAATCAAAAACTGGGAAATACAACAATGCTATTGCGTTCGTGAGCCTCTGCTGTTTTGGACTTGAAAATCGTATTTTAGACGTTTGGTCATAGGTATTTTAATATTTCACAATGGAGCCAGAAAAAGCTTTCGATGAGAATTATGAGTACAACTGCCCAAGATTTGTAGATTTCTCTGTACCTCACGTAATCGACGACAACGCAGACGAATATTTTGGTAAGCAATCCATTCATTCACACATTATGCACAGCACCGCACTGTGCTGTGTTGTGTCCGTGCAACTGTCGTGCAAGTCAGAAGTGCTTGTTGCAGCAAATTGCAAAACCGTTTTGCCATGCATGTTCAGATGTCGGAAAAGAAAGCTATGCTAGATTTTTTTAAATTTTATTTTGTAAATTAACTAAAAGGAATTAATGGTTACTTTTTGGATATGATTCTGAATTAGTACCAAAAAATATTCTATTAATAGTCTAAGTCTAAGTTAGACTTCTTCTAGATCTAGAGTCTACAAACTAAAAAATATCAGCCCAAAGCAGAGGGAGTTTTTAAAAAAAAAGTTTTAAAAAAAGTTAAAAAAAGAATTCCTAGTCTGACTGACCAACCCATGTTTTGGCACCTAAACCTAAAGGGCAATACTAGGTCTACAACATATTTTTTTTATAGGCCTAACTAACTGTATTACGGTGAATGGGTGAAGTATTTCATTTTATTTGATCAATTGACATGATTGATTGACTGAGTGACTGGTGAAAGGAGAAGAGAAAGTGAAAATGATGAGGAACTGCATTGTGACTGAGATTAAGTGAGAGTAAAGAGGTGACATTTTGACAATGATTTTTGAGAAGTTGGGCAAATCAATAAAATAATGTAAGACTTTTTTGATTTTTGGTTATCGATTCATCCCTTACCGAAAAGGCAGGCCTGCTTATAGCCTGCATCAAGCCTGCATAGCTGCTAAAAAGCAGGCTAATTCCTTAGCAAGCACTGACCTGCAAAAACGCCGAAATATGCAAATTAGGCAGGCTTAATTTAGCCTGTACATTTTAAAAGCAGGCTTATTTTAGCCTGCAAAATCATATTAACCTGGCTCAATTAGCCTGCAAAATTGCCCTGCTTTTTTAGTATGCAAATTAACCTGCTTTGTTAGCCTGCAAAAACGCTGAAATATGTAAGTTAATTGCAGGTTAATTTTAGCATGCTAATCTAAAAAGCAGGCTAACAAAAATGAAGATATTCGATTAATTGCCATCACTATTGGTACAAGACTTCTATTGGTATATCGACTCGGGTAGAGGAACGAGGCATAAATTGATACATCATAATCAATATTTGCAAGTGTCCACCAATAGGAATATTCTAACCTCAATCGCATTAGACTAACTCCATCACAAAGATCATTTGAAGTTAATACAAGATTGACTATTGTAAAAGAACAGGCTCATACACCTATATATAGAAAACATACATGCTATTTAAATTGGTTAGTAATCGTATAATCAATATATCTATTGCTAAAACGTGAATGTAAGTGTGATCAGACAAATAATCTATTGGTCAATAATTTCCAAAGAAAAATACAATCACAAAACTGATATGTGCATTAATTGTCATAATTTGCTTAACAATTAATCATGATAAATGTATTTTTCTGTGAGACGTGTAAAGTAATAATGAATATTCATGAGATACGTACAGTATTGCAGGTTAATTTTAGCCTGCTAATCGAAAAGGCAGGCTAACATAAATGAAGGTTTCTATTGGTTTCTATTGGTCCCATATTGGGTTCAATTAGTCTTATTGGTTTATATTGGTCGTATTGTTCCTATTGGTAGATCTATTGGTCTTATTGGTTTCAATTGGACCAATTGGCCCCATTTGACTCTAATCGGGATTTCAATTGGTTTCAGTTGGACCAATTGGCCCCATTAGATATTTCAAATGGTTTCTATTGGACCAATTGGCCCCATTAGACTTAAATGGGACTTCAATTGGACCAATCAGCCCCATAGACTGTAAGGTTTTCAATTGGTTTCAAATATATCTTTTCTTCATACTGTATAAGTTGCAATTTAATCCAATTACGATATTTAATAAACACAAGACTATATCAATGTTATAACTACGGCCTAAAAACATTGCTCTCTCTTTAGGCTCCATCATATTTCTTCCTTTATTTAACTTAGTCTTATGTATTATTCTGTTCGTTTGTATAAATGCATCCCCCCAAAAAAATGATTACAAAAAATGTAACATGCCAAATGTAATGAAATAAACATGTGAAATATGAAAATAAAATGAAATTGAAACTGAATTGGACCAATTGAAGTCCAAAATAGGGCCAATTGGTCCAATTGAAACCAATTGAGTTCCCATTAAAGTCTAATAGGGCCTAGGCCAATTGGTCCAATAGGGCCAATCTGGACCAACTGAAACCAACTGAAGTCCTATTAAAGTCCCAATGAGACCAATTAAAATCAACTGAAAAAATGAAAATTAAATTGGTGTTCAATTGGTTTCAATTGGATTTTTGTCTTGGGATGCCTCCCCAAGCGCTTGAAACCTCGCTTGCTCGGCTTTCTATGAACCTATTTTTGTTTAAACTCTCGAATCACCCCTGATATATAACATTAAACGTGCATGTGAAAAATAACCTGTAAAAAGCAATAACAGGTTAAATTTGTGTTTTAAACCTGCTCAGAGGACATTTCTTCAGATTGCAGGTTTAACAAATTATGATACAAATTTACATGCTAAAGATTAAACTGCATCTCATCTGGCATGCTAAAGATTTAACCTGCTAAAACTGTATTTTGCAAAACGCATGCTAATTTTAAACTGCAGGCTGAGATTTAGCCTGCTAAAAACTGTTAGACTGTGTTTTGCAAAATGCATGCTAATAACAGGCTAAAATTTAACCTGCTAAAACATGTAAGACTGATTTTGCAAAATGCAGGCTAAAATTTAACCTGCTAAAACATGTAAGACTGATTTTGCAAAATACAGGCTAAAATTTAACATGCAATAGAATAATTAGCATGTATTTAAGAATGCAGGCCAGACGCAGGTTCAAAGCAGGCTAAATAAGCCTGCGTTTTCGGTAAGGGATGGCAATAAAATTTGAATAAAAATTCAGAAATCAGAATTTTGATAACAACAAAATGTAAGATAATGCAGCTAGCTAGGTCCCAGCTGAAATGCTGAATCCAGGTGAACTCGGACCAAAGACAACTCGGCCCAGCTGCAAAAACGGTCAGTTTTTGTCATTTTACCCCAACTCTAGACCCAACCCCTAAAGTCCTAAACCTGTAAAAACTGACGCTTTTGCAGCTTGGCCGAGTTGTCTTTGGTGAGTTTGGTCTGAGACAAGTTAGCCAGACTCCGTCCCAGCTAGACCTAAGTAAGTTATGTTTTTTTAGTTTTTAAATTTTAATCATAAAATCTATTCTTTAAAATAAATGGTGAAAAAGTCAAGAGCTGATCTGGCCATAAGCTCTTTTGAAATCCTCTATCACGAAATCATGTGTTATAGAAGATAAAGTCTGCAACATTCCTGGGTTGTCAAGCTGTAGCTGGTGGGCGTTTCACAAAACTTGTCAAGTTGTCATCATGTGAAAAATTACACAAAATGTGAAAAAAATAAGCTACTGAAATCCTTGCTTCTGATTGGTTATCAGCAGATTTGTCATTTGACATTGAAAAAAGTCTTTGCGAAACGCCCCCCCCCCCCCCCCCCCGATCTTCGTCCGATGATTTTGGCAAGTGGCAACGTCATTGGATGAATTCTGAATTTTAGAATTCCATTTCCCGCAGCTAGAAACTATTCCCCCCAAAAAAAATCAAATATGATATAGACTACATGCACAGATATTTTTGCAGAACATGCAAACCAGAGTCAAAGCTAAACAAGTTTATTGATTCAAGTGATTCATAGAATGAATAAGGTAATAAATAATTAAATACTAACAAAAAAAGGTAACATGATGATTTCATCCTGTTTGCAATCATCCATTCTTTATATTGATAACAATACTATTCACATTGACAGACATTGCTCATGAGGGGAAAGATGGCCAGTATGATTTCATGGCTGAGGCAGACGGCCAAATCCCAGAAGAATTTGAAAATCCTGGACCCCCATCGGATTGTAGAAGCCAAGAAAGCAGAGGAGAAGGTAATTTGAATAAATATATTTTGCTTAATTTTTTTAAAATCATGACATGCACTGATGCAAATAAAGCTGAACATGTATAGCTACTTTGATGTGCAGTTTTCAACAGCTCATAACTGAGTCATAAGATCTTGATTAAACTGTTTTTGTGAAAAATGCAGTCAGATATTATTGTACATATACATGTAGTTTACGTTAAAACTCAAAAGTAAATCTGGATTTGACAATTAGAAAAAAGATAAATTTGATTTTTAACACTGCTGTGACTGAGGTTTTGGGGCATTTTAAAAATCATATTCAGAATATGTTTACCAATATTACAGACATACAGTATGAATTATATTCATAATGCTCTGTAAAACATTTTGCTAGTGAAAGTCAACTTTTTAATAGAAGATCGCCTAAATGCTCATGTGAAAAAATAATTTTTGCACTTGTGAAATTAATTTTGACATGATTGATAGGATTATATTTTATCATGGCAGTTTTTTTATTACCTAAAATAATCTGCTCTTTCTGACACCAAGGAAATCAATTTCCTATTCAAATGTATTCTACTGAATCCATTCCTTTGTGCAGAGAGGATCTCTGAAGTACCACCTCCATGTCAGAAGGAGACAGAATCAGTTGAGCATCTGCAAGAAACAACAACAAACTCGATACAAGATACAGAGGGTGAACATGAGTATCAAACAAAAAACAATGAGACTGGACACATAGATCAAAATGTAGAGCACATAACAGACAATGAAAACACAGTTGTGGAAGCAGCAGCCCCAATGAGGGAAGAAGATGATGACAGGGTAGATCAACCGGTCCAAGATGAAATCCCAAGCCCAGAGGTCAAGGAGATGATGGAACATGTGCAAGAACCAGTCTGTGAAGACTCACCTATGAACACCGAGGTGGAGAACCCAATGACAGAAGCTCCGGAGGAGAGTACAGACCAGGAGATGCCTGTGCTGGAGCTGAATACAGCGCCAGCGGTTGAGGAGGAGGAGGAGGAAAGTGAAATGATGTATACCCAAGAGAAGCCATTGGTGAAGGAAGAAGAAACACATGTGGAAGAGAAGCAGATGGAGGTTGTTGATGAGACATCAGTTACGAGGGATAGCCCAGAGAGCCCGCAGGTGGAAACACATGATGCAGGTAACGTAGAAGACAGTTGTATCAATTTGACTTTCCCACATGGTATGTAGCTTGATTTATGTTTGCTTTTACAGTTAATGGCTATCACCACCAATCATTCACATGCTTTAGGACTTGTTTCTTGTTTTAGATACAGGGACTGTTACTGCATTAAGGCTCGTTCAGATATGGCGCGGTAAACTGCTGCCAAAAAAAAATGCTGCGTGGAACAGAAGACTTCTGCGTGTTCACTGAGCTCTGTGTTAGAAGAATATACAGAAATGTCATACGTAATACACTAATACCTTACTGACGCAGTTTTGCTCCGTCATATCTGAACAAGTCTTTATGTCTGGCCTCTATGATTTACTTTAGAGGACAGAATTAACTTAATTACATGCATCTGCAGTAGTTCGGGAATCAGTGCTAGTAGTCTAACACAAGTGGTCTAACACTTGAAAAACCAATGAAAACAACACTCAATTGACAAATCGGAGGGGGGGAAAAGATTTATTCGTGGCTCAGCTGCATCATCTTAATTTGCTTTCTTGTTTTTATTTCCAACAGAAATTCCTCCTGCAGTCATTCCAAGCAATATTGCACCAGTAGTCAAACCTAAGAACCTGGTAACATCGTGGGGAAACAGTAACACAGATAAAACTACTGGTGCTAAGGAGACGAGGTAAGTTTTACCAAGCCTTTCAGATGTTGATTTGACTTTGTTGTTATGCTTGGCAATATAGAGGATGTAAATTACTTCAAATTAAAAGAAATAAAAAAAAAGGTTGTCTTTGAATGAGGGGGGGGGGGGGGGGGGTAATTAAATTAAGTGCAGATTTTCTTTGAACAAGGTTAATCTTGAGTCTCATTAAATTCTGTTCGCGGAGAGTAACTAGTCTCAAGCAAGCTTTTCAGACTATAAAGTTACATAGACAGTGGAAGTTTGTAATTCTCTCCATAACTTTATTGAATTTTCATATCGAAAATATATTCTTATTTGGTTCTTATCGGAACTGTTATTCAGGCATTGTAATTTGTCAATTAATTTGGATACTTTTTTACTTCTCCATTTTGTAATAATTTTGTTTATGGAACAACGCCAAATGTTCAATGTAGATGGGTAGTGGCTAACTCAACTGAAATAACCCATTTGCTGCTTATTGTGATTCATCCACAGATCGAGACGATCCACACGGAGATCAACTCGTTCTCTGAACAGTGATGTGAGTCAGTTGAAGAGAGCGTCTGCTGGCAGCAACATGCAGCGAAGATCGCTCCGTGTCCACAATAAATCCAGCCAATCACCAGCTTTGAAGAAGAGGCGTGTTTCTGACAGGGCTCAGAGCGGCGGCAAGAAGAACACACCAGTGACTACAGCAAAACTTGTCTCCAAGTCTTTCATCCCTAAACTGACTTTACCTTCTACTCCCACATTCATGAAGTAAGTAATAAACTCTGAATATTAATGCTTCAAAATGTATGAGTGGCATTGTTCACTGTTACAATATTTCCAATTCTGTTCATGGTCATTTGTCTATATTTAAAAAAAAAAATTAAATCAGAATTCAGTAGAGATGGCCTTCTGCATGTATGTTAAGTTGTTACATAGTGAAAGAAACAATCATCCTCAATTCATCATTCACATTTGAATATTCATGTTAAAGCAATAGTAAAACTTCTTCAGAATGTTATTGAGATGTCCAAAAAGTAATGCCTGACATCACTGAAAATACACCAAACAAAAATGATGTTACCCAGATTTGTTGGTAATAAGTCAGTTTAGCAGTGTGACTGTGTATAACCTTTTGCATTATCCTTTAAAGTGTAAGAAACTTAGAATGTGCAAGATCTAAATTCTGTTCAAATTGAAATCTATCTTGTTTCAGGCGTAACAACACCAAACCTGGTGCCCAGTTCAAGACCGCAGAGCAGATAGAGATGGAGAAAATTGCAGGATTCCGCAAGCAGCTAGCAGCTCGTAAGAAGCAATCCCAGGCCTCCTATAAGATGGTACAGGGATCTAGTGCTTACCATGCAGTCAAGGCTGTTGTCCCAACCACCAAGCCTGTAGGATTCACGTTTGAGACAGATCAGAGGATCAAAGAACATCCTATGGCCACCCGGCAAGATGCTAAAACCTTTGAGAGTGATCTACGTGGAAAAATATCACCGGTATGTCATATCATCAGCTAAGAGCCAGAAGAACATTAACTCCTATCATTACACAGGCAGTTAATTTCCTTATGGGGCTCATGATCTCATCAGGCAGTGATTATCAGTTCAATTCTAATGACTATAGTGTGTATAATATAGTAACCTGTGCTGAGGGGTTCATTTTTATTTGACAATCAGATGTTTGTTCTTCTCTGATGATGCTTTTGTGCTTAAATGTTGATTTGTTATGAAAAATCTTCTCTTCATTAATTTTTTTACCACTGTTTGTATAGTAGCCACCGACTGGCACAGCTCATTTCCTGCATTATATTACCATTTTGATTCTTGATTCTATTCCAGGCCAAGGTCCCCCATGGTCCCACTGTTCCTAAACCATTCAAGCTCACAGACAACAGGAAACGAAAGCTTGGGGAGGGAGGAGAGGGAAGCAAGAACTCACCCTACTGCTCCATGGCAACGAGGATCCAACAATTCCACAACAAGACTCCGCAACGTTTTCACACCAGACGCAGTGGGGATCACAGAGGTATGTATGCTAACACCTTGAGCTTTGCTCACAGTCACAATATAAATGGATGGTGTTTTAAAAGTAGATGTAAACATGTTTATGAAAGGATCTCTTTTGCTTCACTTGATTGTGATACTATTGTTCGGGTGTAGAAGGACCTTAATGTCTGTGCCTATAAAGATACACAATTCCAGTTTCAGAACAAAATGTAACCTTTAGCTCTTGAAGGTATGTTCCAACAGAAACCAGTCAAACCACAGAGAAGCCATTTTTGAAGTACAAGTTGGGACCTTTGTATTCATGTGAGAAACCTTGCGCCATTCCTCTAACTCATCTGAGCCTTCTTTTTTTTTTACTCAGATAATTCCATGCATAAAGAGGAAGTGCCGAAGCCCAGGCTGACCCACCCTAAGACCCCCAACTTGGAATGCAGGAATCGGAAGCGTGTCATCACTGTACAGAGCACAGCGGAGAGGGAAGAACAAGAGCTACAAGAAATGCAAAGGTAATATACGTCCCCGGCTTTGAAAGCCATGTGGTTATTACACATACACATGTACATTTAACTAGGATCGATCACCATCTGGATGTTATCTATTGCAATAAAGTTGATGGAACTTCAGGGAAGTAAAAATGATTCCTGGGAGATTCATTGCGATGTGATAAAATATTTTCATCAGCTGCTACAGGCCAGGTAAGACTACTATAGATAAAGTCATTCCATCACAAGATTTCTCCTAAAAAATCACATGTTCATGCCTCACAGAAGGCAATACATTAAAAGTCTTCTCATTTCTCTTTGTTTTGGATTAAGATTGCTTCCTGTCATTCTGTCTTTCTTGATTAGTGATTAAAAATAAATTGTTGACTGGTGAGTGAGCTATAGCCCAGCTTGAGGGTCAGTACTGAACTACAACTTCAGTCATGACCCCTGGTAGTACGTACAGGCAATGTGAATAACACAAGACAACTTTTTCTCTGCAGTTATAAATTCAAGGCCAAGCCAGTGAACCCCAAAGTGATGAGCAATCTGAACATTGGACTTAAGATGCCTACCCACAAGGAACCTACCAAGGCTATAGGATTCAACCTGGAGAGTGAGAGACTGATGAAGGAACGAGCTACAAAGAAAGCTCAAGAGGAAGAGCAGAAAGAAGAGGAACATTATGAATTCCACGCCAGACCAGTGTCCACTAAGATGCTAGAAGGACCAGTGGTAAGTTCATTAAATCCTTGTCAACTTTAAGTTTTTTGATTTGTGTAAGGTCATATTTAGAAGTATACTTTCTTCAATCTTCATAAAAATATATGAGCATCTATTCACAGCATAATTATGGAGCAATGTATATTTGCTATCATGTGCTAGGGGGAAAGGTCTTGAGAGTTAGTTACTAGGTATACTGCTGATGTTCTCCGGGGCACACACATTGTATACTGACAACAACTGACAAGCAATAACATCGCAATATGATTAATGATTTTGAAATTAGAACCATTCACCATTGCATGACAATCATCTGTATGCACAGATTTGGGAACGATTTCAATTGTCATTATCAAAATTCTCTTCTAAATGACAGATTTAATTGTTCCTTTAATAATAATAATAATAATATTGGATTCTTATATAGCGCACGTATCGACCTTGCAAGGTCCTCAAGGCGCTCCAACATTACCCGGCTATGCTAGGCTGCCGATTTCGACGCTCACAGCATTCATAAAGCATCATTCATGACAAGGAGTTCTAACTTCTAACTTTTTTATGTTTAGGGTATTGGTGCAGCCAAGCCACGCTCACTGACTTGCCCCAAGTCTCCTGCCTTTGCTTTGAAGAACAGGGTCAGGGTTAAGGAGGACGTCATCGTCGAACCCGAGGTAGGTCATTATGCTACTAGTAAAGGTTGAAAGAATCATAAACAATGCTCTTGACTTGTCTGTTTCTAACCTATGTAGGATCGAAATCATGAATGTTTATTATTCATGTTGCAGTTGTAAATGTCAGTATCCATTAGTGATCCTCATATGCTTTGACTTTAACTTTAACTTTAACAAAACGCATTTGGAGCTGCAAAAACAGGGAAGGAAGATGGATGTACATGAACATGCAATCACGTAACAGAAAATCAAATTGCTGTATGAAATGTTAACTTTTTCCACAAATGAACGAGACAGGTTAACTTTGATTAGAATTGTCATGATAAGAGAATGTCCATGTATTGCCACGTGGGCACAATTGCATGCACCTTCTTTTGCTCCGAATACATCGTGTAATGATAATCCACACCTGTTCCTGTTTGTCAGCCGGCTTATGATCTCTCGCTCCTTTCATGTTTGCTTCACCATGCAGGAGCCCAAATCTCGTATCATCCATGCCAAGCCAATCCTCCATGTAGGAGTACCCTTCAAGCCTCAGACCACCCATAAGACGACTGAGATTCAACCGTTCTCCTTTGAGCAGCGTGATAAAGAGACCCAAGCTCGCAAGGAAGCCAAGATACAGGAGATCTATCAGGAAGAGGAGAAGGTATGTAAACCTATTCAATCTCAATCAAGATAAAGCTACAGTCATACCTGCTTTAGTGACCACCTGTCTGCAAAGGCCACATTTGTTGTTTCCCTTGAAAATGGTTTCTCCTTGAATCATGTACTAAAGGAACCTGTCTACAAAGGCCACTTTTTGTGTTTCCCTTGGGTGGTCGCTATAGACAGGTTTGACTGTATTATGTGTTGCATCTGTTCATTTTTTTTCTTCTTTAAATTAAATAGATACAGATTGTTATGCTTGAATCAAGTGTGAATATCATATTACTCCTTTGTTTTCTAAAGCTCATTTGAAGAAAATATATATGGACAACAGACTTCCAAGTTATAAATAATTTTGTAAGTTTTCCTGATATTTTTTTGAATTTTTCCAGAGCTGCTTTGCTCTGTGTTCCGCTCTTTATTCATGGCAAGTTTCGATTTCTATGCCTCCGCTACAGAGTGGCTGGAGGCATTATGTTTTCTTTAATACCTAAATACTATACTGGCTTTCCTAGCAGTCATGTAAATAGACCATCATCACTGTATTCAAACTGTTCTTGGGCAGGCTCGTCTATTCAAAGCTTAGCCAATCACTGTATTCAAACTGTTCTTGTGCATGTAGGCTCGTCTATTCAAAGCTAAGCCCATCCTTGAGCCAGTGTCTATGCCTGAGAAGAAGGTCAAACCTGTGACCAAGCTTGAACCATTCCAGCTTGGTAACGAAGAGAAGGGAGCTAAGAGGGCCGAGATGTGGAGCAAGAAGGTCAGTATGTTGTGGAGTTCAAGGGGGTTCTGGATGGACAGGGCCAAACATTGACATTTTGATGTACGTAAGAGATATGAGACTGCAAACTTGCTATTGATTGGAGGACTTACGATAGATTTGGATCAATCGTAACTTTTTGTAATCAGGGCCTGGTCACTAATTCAGTTTCTAGGAGAAATAATCATCATTAACTTGCCATAATTATTGGTCATTGAGTGCGATTCATCATTTTGGGATGAAATAGATAGAAAGTAGACATGTGTCATACAGCACCTGTTTGTGTCGTGTAAGACAAGCAACTAGTTTTATGAAAAAAGTTCTAATTTATATGACTGATGTATGTTTGTTAATGAATTTGAAATCAGTATGATAAGGTTTTTTATCTCTTTGCTTGTTTGTATGTAGATTGAGGAGGAGCTGAATGAGCAGAGAGCTATGGCTAATGCATTCAAAGCTAAACCAGCTGATGTGGTGTATAATCAACCGTTTGTACCCCAGAAACCAAACAAACCTCTAACAGGTAAGTCGATGCATCCAACAATACTGCTGCAGCAAAAGTTTACTTGTAAATGGATGGTAAGAGGCAATAATTAGAAGGTAAAATGTGTACTTCAATGGCTTCAATACTTAATCAGTGATCTGTGTGTCATAATATGCAGAATGGGAAGTGTGTTATGCCTATCTCAATCACTTATGCTGCAGCAGGTTATTTTAATGAGTTTTACGGCCTTGTATCTGAGTGGGCCCAGCCCTTACACTTTCAGAGTATACTTGTAATAGTGTCAATACTGTAGTAGAATATGAATAGTGAAATGATCGTTTCCTGGTCTCACTTCCCAATTGTTTTACCCCATACAAGGACATAATGAAATCATAAAGTCGAGATACTGACAAAGTGTCAAGTGTATTCGATCACGTTGCATCTATTAACTGAATATTAGCTTATATTTGGGATAGTACGATGACTGCTTTCTACCAATTGAAAGATTTTCTGACCTAATGCTGCTGCAATTTGTGAATATTGATGAAAGCCAGACCATTATACATGTATCTCTATTTGCATTGCTACAGAGATCGATGCCTTTGACCTGAACACTGACCGACGTGCCGTGGAACGGGAGGGATTCGAGCAGTGGAAGATGAAGAAAGATCTCGATGAACGAGAGAGTCGTTGTCAGCTAGAGAAGCTTAAAGAGGAGGAGGAGAGAAAGGAGATAGAGAGGATGAGACGGGAGGACATGCACCATAAAGCCCAGCCTGTCAAGCATTATAAACCAGTCCATGTCATGCCTAGTCTAAAACCGCTTACTGATGCGTGTAGTCCTAACTTCTCTGATAGGTTCCAAAAGTAGATTAGGACTCAGTACCCCACAGTCCTTCTCTTGAAACACTATAAACCAGTCCATGTCATGCCTAGTCTAAAACTGCTCACTGATGCATGTAGTCCTAACTTCTCTGATAGGTTCCAAAAGTAGATAAGGACTCAGTACCTTCCACAACCCCCCCTCTTCAAACACTATAAACCAGTCTATGCCATGCCTAGTCAAAAACTACTTACTGATTTTGCAGTCCAAACTTCTTCCAAAGGTATAGAGATCCCTGTTTCTGGCTTGCATATGAATAAACTGTTTTGTTCTGGATGGATTGTGTAATCTTTGCTCCTTTACCCAATGGTCTGCATTGGCTTTAGATACCATGTTTTAATATCCTCTTGTGTGTATACATGTATGTCAACAAGAGAGAGTCATAATTATATCTGAATTACTATAATCTAGACTATGTTTGGATGTGCTTCTTCTCTTAAAAGAACATGAACTAACAGCAGTTTTATATCTATAAGTCACATTAATGGAATTTATAACCGTTTAGGTACTTTAACAATTACTTGATGTAAATGAGCCTGGTTCTGGAGTATGTTTAATTATTTGAAGTGTAACATTGTGGAAAATATAATTCAGATTTGAGCTGTTTATAGAGTGTACATAGTGATATTGATTGCAGACCTAACTTTGAAGACCAGTTTACTAATTGTTACTTGTAATAGAGTTACATTGGGTGACTTTTGGGTCATACAGTTATAACAATATTTTCCCCCCTTTTTTTTTTGTTTTAAAATTCTACTATCTTGTAAATAATGAGAGAAGTGTGTGTGGTCAATGAAGAAACACTGTTTTGATTGCAAAGATTAAAATTGAATTGACATTGAGAAGAATCACACAGTTGGGTGAACACATGATCTGTAGGCATTCTCAAGAGATTACCAATGGACAAGAATTACCATTGCTAATCAAGAATTACATTGAGCCATAGTGCCTACAGATGCCATTTCTATGTTTACTTTTATGTGTATATTGTATTTTTAACAAGAAAAACAGCAATTATTAGACCATTCATTTGAAAATGACTGCGGTTCAGCAACAAACAAGTGTAATGAGACTAATCTAAAGCTAATCTGTATCTGGTGCAAGATGGAAAGGTGTTGCATGAAAAGAAAGAATGTATGGCCTTACAATTATATGGTCTTTTCTTACTGTGTAAGCAAATACATATATGTATATATTCACACAAGTCTGTATCTAAATGAGAAAAAGAAAATATTGTGTTATTGAATATTTCTTCATTGTATTATAGGCTGTTATTATCAAAGTGAACCAAACTTATCCTAACATATTTGCCATCAGTTTGTGTGAACAAAATACAGTGGAACTTTATTATAACAAACTTCTTGTTGAATTAATACTTGTTTTGGACAGGAGTTTATAAAAACAATATAATATTTAGTAGTTTGACTGGCAAAATTATCTTTTCTTCACTAAAGTTTGTTATTGGAGTGTATATAACAAGTTTTTAATTGAATTTTTTTAAATAGAAATATTGATATGTCGTAGATCTATTCAGCCTCCATTTAGCTAAACCTGTTAAGTCTAAGGTCTCACCCTGATTTATTCCTATGTAAATGACTTAAAAGCTTTCCATTATATCTGTAGATGAAGTCTTATAGAACCTGCTTGTGAATATGAGCTAAATCAAAGGTAGTTTAGTTTAAATTAAAATTTGCAGTAAAGAATGTTGTTTGAATAGTCTCAAGTAGAACATTCATGCTTACAGGTTATATCATTCATTTTCTAATGTATGTGTAAAAGGGGATAACAGTGAGTTCTGGACATGCTTTTTGCCACTTGTTATTCAATGATTTTTACCTACAAATTTGGATGTAGCCTTTTCGAAGCATTTTGTAGTCTTAAAATTAAAAGAAGAATTGTTTATGTGTGTTAATTTATCAGAAATACCTAATGCGTATGGTGTGGAAACGTGAAGTCTTGTTCAAACCTGAGAAGAACAACGGGGAGATTTTTTGTAATTACATGTACATCTACTTGCAGACATTTATTTTACGAAAATGTGTACAAAGCATTTAGATAATGAATATTTTCACTAAAAGCTGAACTTCTCTGTAATGACCTGAATTATTCCTGTGTACAGTATGAAAATATTTCACAATCCAATCCTGTTTTGTACAAAAGAGTGGAGAGACATTTTATTATTTTTTTGTTCTTCTTCTTTTTCTTTATTTATCATCGATCTTGCTGTGTTTGAGGAAAAATTTAATGGTGATGATTGCACATAATATACAAATGCCCTATTAGTAAGTTAGCAGTTTTCACTAGATCCTAACGGAGAAATCATTGTATTTAATCTTGACATGTATTGGCCGAGTTCAGACATACTTGCACTTTAAGTTGTTGTGTTCAATTCCTCTTTTGCAGGATTTTATGTGAACACGTCTGACAGGTTCATGTAACATTGATGTTATTTTTAAAACTATCTTTGGCATGATTTTTAAATAGTTTTTAAAACTGAGTCAAATACATGAATTGAGGAGACAAAGGGATAACAGACAAGCGAGGAAAATGACAGCTTTAACATAACATTTGAAATCAAAGCCTCATGAAGTCCATATTTTAGGTTGTGGTTTGTGTATAAAGAAGAATTAGACTTAAAAATAAAAACTGATCTTTTCATGTACATATGAATAATTTAGTGTCTTCATTTGTGTGAAAATCAATGTATCTATAAAGCTGAATCGGCATGTGTAACCAAAAGCCAGCTATTTACTGACTTCATACAACATTAGGCATGTTATAGCCTTGTATATGTAATCTTGATCAAGGAAAACATTTATCCTAACTATGTTATATCTAAGAATTCACACAAATTAAAGAGGGAGGTAAAAATCAACCAAATTTACCCTTACTATATAGGTAAACAACTCAAAGCAGATAGGATTTTTATATCAAAGTGATTTTACTGTCGTGCATGGGTGAAAATAATTGGAGCAATGCTTGCCTATTTACATGTAGCTATTACGGGTGATATATATATATATATAAAACATAATGATAATAATAATGGCATTGATGATGGTGATGATGATAATAATAATGGTGTTGATGATGGTGGTGATGGTGATGATGATAATAATAATTGCATTGATGATGGTGATGATGATAATAATAATGGTGATGGTGATGATGATAATAATAATGGCATTGATGATGGTGATGATGATAATAATAATTGCATTGATGATGGTGATGATGATAATAATAATGGTGATGATGATGATGATAATAATAATGGTGTTGATGATGGTGATGATGATAATAATAATGGTGATGGTGATGATGTTTTGTTCCTCGTGCCTATATAACTTTAATCCTGAATTCCACTGGCTGAACTGTTTCCGTGTCGCTCGCTCCAGTACAGCACTGGCTCGCCCAAAATAACACATCCTCAACGCTGAACCGAAGACAGCCCTCTTGCCTTTCATTATAGGGTCGACACTATATGGGCTCCAAGATTCATGAGCTTACATGCGATCGAGCGCTTTCTCTATGCCATACCATGATACTGCAATGCTCACCAGAGTTACGAGTAACTGTACATCTCTCTGGCAGAACGCCTAACTCTGTGCATAACGCACAGTTACGGTTATGTTAGCAGAGCGCCTAACTCTATGACAGGCAATTCATTATCAGTATCCCCTGTAAGTACCCAAAGTTTGAGGAGGAGGAAAGGACCAAAAGTTCAAATTGTCTTTTAGCTGTGAAGAACAGTTATGAAGGTTTATAAAAAGATTTTTCTTTCTTACCGAATTGACCTTTGAGCCCGTGTTTAGAAATAAATGAACGCTATAAAGTATCAGGTTCCTACTTCTATAATTGTTATAATGATTAACTATTAAAATAATCATAATGATGAGGAGGAGTGAAATTACGAAATGTTCAAATTGAGGTTTCAGAAGATAATTAGAGTTTATAGATTACTCTCGATTATTCTTATTATGAATAATAACTCGTACAGCTAAATAAAGCGGGCTCTGAAACTCTATGACGGGCTCCAATCCTCTGCGAAGTATTAAAATAGCCATAGAGATGATGAAAAAAGAAAAGAAAGTGACGATGTGTTCTAATTGATGTTATATAAATGTGTTGTAGTTGATGTTATATAAATTATGTAGTGTTCTGAGATAAAATGTAGTACAATATACCCCTAAAATACTTGGAATCGCCAGGCTTAATACCTGTATTGATCTACGTACAACTAAAGCGGGCTCCGAAACTCTATGACGGGCTCCAATCCTCTGCGAAGTATTAAAATAATCATATAAAATGATGAAAAGAGCAAAATGAGGTGACAAATTGTTGCAACTGTTGTTATATAAATTATGTAGTGTCGTGAGATAAAATGTGGTACAAATATACCCCTAAAGTACTTGGAATCGCCAGGCTTAAAACCTGTATTGATCTACGTACAGCTAAAGCGGGCTCCGAAACTCTATGACGGGCTCCAATCCTCTGCGAAGTATTAAAATAATATCATAGGGTGATAGGGATGATGAAAAAAGGAAAAGAAAGTGACGATGTGTTGTAATTGATGTTATATAATTGTGTCGTAGTTGATGTTATATAAATAATGTAGTGTTTTGAGATTAATGTAGTACAAAATACCCCTAAAATACTCGTCATCGCCAGGCTTAAACAGTATTAATGTACGTACAACTAAAGCGGGCTCCGAAACTTTATGACGAGCTTCAATCCTCTGCGAAGTATTAAAATAATCATATAAATGATGAAAAGAGGGAAATGAGATGACGATTTGTTAAAACTGATGTTATACAAATTATGTAGTGTTGTGAGATAAAATGTAGTACAAACATACCCCTAAAATACTTAAAATCTCCAGGCTTAAAACCTGTATTGATCTACGTATACAGCTAAAGCGGGCTCCGAAACTCTATGACGGGCTATGATGGACTATACTTTTCATTAAAATAACTAATTAATATGCAACTTCTAAAGAAGTGGTATCTGGTAATTTAGTAATTAGGTATACCTTAGCTTCATTTTTATCAATATTTCATCTTCTGCCCGGAGATGGACTACAAGAATCACTTTCTGAAGGAGTTAGCAAGTCTCGTCTTGTATAGTCTAGTACCGTTGTTTTGGGAATCGCGGGATCATCGCAATGAGTCTGGAGTGGGTGGAGCATAAAAACGTCTTTGGGGGTGGAGTATTTAAACGTCTTTGGGGTGGAGCATTTAAACGTCTTTGGGGGTGGAGCATTTAAACGTCTTTGGGGGTGGAGCATTTAAACGTCTTTGGGGTGGAGCATTTAAACGTCTTTGGGGTGGAGCATTTAAACGTCTTTGGGGGTGGAGCATTTAAACGTCTTTGGGAGTGGAGCATTTAAACGTCTTTGGGGGTGGAGCATTTCAACGTCTTTGGGGTGGAGCATTTCAACGTCTTTGGGGTGGAGCATTTAAACGTCTTTGGGGTGGAGCATTTAAACGTCTTTGGGGGTGGAGTATTTAAACGTCTTTGGGGGTGGAGCATTTAAACGTCTTTGGGGGTGGAGCATTTCAACGTCTTTGGGGGGGAGCATTTAAACGTCTTTGGGGGTGGAGCATTTAAACGTCTTTGGGGGTGGAGCATTTAAACGTCTTTGGGGTGGAGCATTTAAACGTCTTTGGGGTGGAGCATTTCAACGTCTTTGGGGTGGAGCATTTAAACGTCTTTGGGGGTGGAGCATTTAAACGTCTTTGGGAGTGGAGCATTTAAACGTCTTTGGGGGTGGAGCATTTCAACGTCTTTGGGGTGGAGCATTTCAACGTCTTTGGGGTGGAGCATTTAAACGTCTTTGGGGGTGGAGCATTTAAACGTCTTTGGGGGTGGAGTATTTAAACGTCTTTGGGGGTGGAGCATTTAAACGTCTTTGGGGGTGGAGCATTTCAACGTCTTTGGGGTGGAGCATTTAAACGTCTTTGGGGGTGGAGCATTTAAACGTCTTTGGGGTGGAGCATTTAAACGTCTTTGGGAGTGGAGCATTTAAACGTCTTTGGGAGTGGAGCATTTAAACGTCTTTGGGAGTGGAGCATTTAAACGTCTTTGGGAGTGGAGCATTTAAACGTCTTTGGGAGTGGAGCATAAAGAAATCAAATAGTAGGGCGGAGACACCGCGCTGTGTGTGGGATGGGTGTACGGGAGGAGGATAAATAAGATGATTGAAGAATACAAAATATATCAGCACTGACAGAATCTGGACTTATTGTTCTGATGCTATACATCTTTCTTGACAAGTAAGCATCCAGCACTCGTTTTCCCATTCATTACCAATCCTTTCTCGCTCTTGCTCCTTCCGTCTTATTTACCTTCTTCCTCCTCACTTCTTCAATTCATTCCTTGCAATTATGTATGACAAGGGGAAAATAAGTACAACAGAGGTTATTAGGTGACTGACTATCGTCGTTACCCCCTGTAAGCCCTTGAAAAACACCAACAATATCAACCCACATCGTAAAAATCTTTTGTATATTTCACAATAGACATTACTTGGACTACTGGATTGCAGTGCTACTATTATGCACAACTACTCTTCTTCGAGAATCAGATTCTATAAATATAATGAACTCCGACCTATTATTTTTCAATAATAGATAAAGTTATGTCGGTTTTTGATGGGGCATGGGGTCGAGCAAAATGTTCACTAACTAATATTTCAAAAGCAATGACGTTGACAAAAGTGATTTTTTAGTACATAAAAGTGAATATATATTTCTTAGAATATCAAAAGGTCCACATGCGAGAAAAAATTATAAAAAGACGTCTGTGTTTAGTATTGTGTGTAGTTGTATTATATTACTATGCACTTTGGGCTGGCACGGACAAACTGTTGAATCAGAAACAACCCCCCCCCCCCAACCGGTCCCCACCCCGAACAAAAGTCTTTAGACTAATATTTGCACGACACGGGTTACAGCATCTGCATAAAATGCTGTAAGAGTTTATTAGGTCCCGATATAAGAATAAAAGACATTCATAGAAAATGGTTTTGCGGATTTTTTTGTGGTATTGTTTGCTTTCGCTCTGTTCTCACAACAAAACCAAAATTTCTATTGCGATCAAATATATTTCATATTCTATATGCTTTTACAGTTTTGACATTTTTGCAATGGCGCTCTATAATATAGCTTATACACATGAAGTTGAAAGCAAGGTGATGGTGAAGCTAACGCAGTCTTTGCATTATCCTAATTTTCAATAATGTACAATACGATTGGTGTTATAGGAACAAAATATATACAGGGTAGAAGTTACGAGGACCAATGGTGACTTATTTACAATAGATGTTCTTCGTTTGCAATGAAAGTATTTTAGTATAGTGTTGTATATCGATTGGACCAGCCCCGGGGACCAGCTTCATATTTGGACAACGGATTCTACACCTTTGTCCATCGATGGCATTGTCAATGGTACAGCTTCATTCAGTCCTGCTATCTTGCTAACCGTTGAAAGGAGACTCCGTCAACATCAACTTTATTTCAACTATCCCTCTTGAGCAAAATCTCTCTAGAGCAAATACATGGACAAGGGGTCCTAAAAAGTGTTCCATTCAACAGTTGACCTAAAATTACTGGCCTTAATCAATACAGGCAGATTACAGGTGACACAAATGGAGGAGGTGCCCCGGGGCGGGGGGGGGGGGGGGAGGGGGGGGGCTCAACATTATTGTTTGTATGTGGAAAAACTCTTAACTAACCCTGTCACAATTTGTTAGATTGTAATTTAATGTTTAAGAAGGATCGACAATAATATTACTTTTATTCGAGGTCGTGTATAATGATAGGCGCGATCATCAATTATACTTTCTGTAGGGCGTATCATAAAACGGTCAACATTACTGTTCGAAGGTGGTCGTGTATGATTGTTGTGGACATGCAAGCAAGCACGTATCTGATTGGTCCACCAAACTTCACATCTTCATGTTGATTCACAGGACCTTCTTTTGTTAAGTGTCGGCTTGTTGGTTTCATCTTATATTTCAGATCAAACAAACCGATTCTCTATAAATAAGCCCGAGAGTTTAAAAGTGAGTGTTTAGAGAGCGAATCGAGTCATCTGCGTTGCGTCATTGCTTGATGCAGGTGTCTAACGGTTGATTGTCCCCGCTGTGAAACATCTCTGGAAGATTGTATACCCTCATCAGCATCTGGTCAGATGCGGTAAGTAGCTTTCACTTTGCTCATGTTACATGACAGTACAAGGAACTTAAAGAATATGAATTGAAGAATTAACTCAGTGTTTTTTTTAATACAGGAATGGGGATTCATTTTCACTACTTTTGACTATGATAATCAATATTTCCTGTTTTCGCTTTTCATATAATTTGTGAGAAGAGATATCCTGTTACTTTGACAGATTTACATTGCAACACAAACCTCATAGAATGCCATTTCATTGATTGTATACCAATGAGACACACTAAAACTAGAACTAGAATATACATGCTGCATATTTGGTAATTTGGTAAATTGGGTGTGATTGTAAGAGTTTTCTTGTCGACTATTACACATTTTGCAGTGGTATAAATAACATGTATGATATGGAGAGTATTGTTGATGGAATAAGTTCAATTCACTAGAACTAGTTACAATGATATTAAGTTCTAGATCGTCACAACTACATTAAATTCAGATCGTAACTTGTCACGCTATAGGTTGCAGCGGCATTCCATCTGTATAAAATTTCATTCTACACCAATGTTTTTTTTTTTATAGATTAACATTTCAATATAAATTTTTCTCTAAATATATATCAAGACAACGTTTTGATAATAATCATACTCTCGTAATTTCGAAAGATAAGAAGATATGTTTTTATACTACCAAACTATACACTGTAAATTTACGCAAACAAATATAAATATTAGCTAAATATTGTTTGTCAATTTTTTAAAATATTTTTTTGGATACATACATAAAGATAAAATGACAATATCAAGTATAATGATGATACACATCAATGCATATTCGCAAGTGTCGATATAGCATTTTAGCGTCTCTCTTGAGATTCAAACCATAGAAAAATCAAGGTAATGCACTTTCTGTAGCCCTGTACGTCACCTATAATATGACAATGGGGTATTACGTAATTCGCACAAGATTTGAATGGAACATTGAACAGGGTATTGAAATTGATTTTCGAAAATAGTTTCGATCGTGTTTGCACAGAGTATTGTGGTGAATGAGTAATGTATCGGAATGTAATGTGGTCAGGTAGACATCATCATCTTGTAGATTTGTCAAAGAAAATTACTTTTTTGTTGTTAAAGATATTGGGTATATTATCAATGCCTTGCTATAACCGTCATTAGAACATTCTCTTTCTGTAACGACTAGCAACACCTCAGTAAGTTCATTACTGCTATATCTCAAACATGAAATAATGGGATATTACGAATGAAGACCCACCTTTTGGGGGGGGGGGAGGGCGAGTCGGAAAAGATATACGTATTAAAAAAATCGAGAGACAGTTAAAATTAAGTGTAAGAAAAAGAAAAAAATTCAAAGTAAAGAACGGCTAAAGTTTAAAAGACATAGGCGTACAGGGCACGACTAATAAGTCCAAACTTGATTACAGATTGTTGACACTGTGGGTATTTGACGACCCTCTTTTACGAACTTCTAACGGTATCCATTGCCCCCTACACAATGGCATCCAGTAACTTTTATTGTTATGAACAATAAAAAGTACTGGCCCCAGTGACCCTTTCTCTATGCTTGTGACGCACTAAACTTTGTTGAAAGACCAATTTATCACATAACGGTTCAAATGGGTGATTGCAAGATCGTGTGGTGTTTGTGAAACCAGAATTGTATTGCCAACGAAGAAAAGATAAAAATTTCGCTCCTGGATGTGAAAAAGCACTAGAAATAGTAAAGATCACTGGAGCAATAAGACGAATCCTTTCACAAGATTGGGAATTTTGTATTACCAGTTAAGGAGTTTGAGTATACCCCGGCCCCCCCCCCCACTCAGTGTTATTTAGGGTACGCATATGCTCGTACCCTCTTTTTGAAAGCACCCCCTATCTGAGGACTGCCAACATTTCCGAACCCCCCTTTCGCGGGCTTTTCGCGGGCTTTTCGCGGGCTTTTCCTGCCTTGGAGACCCCCCTAAATCAGGAAAAATGCTCAATGTACCCCCCTAAATTCGGAATAATTTCTCAGGAGTCCAAAGAGATAAGAGAGAAAAAGAAAAACACCCCCTTTTTAAAGAAATCTCCGGGTGAAAAGTCAAATACACCCCTTTTTTCACAAATCTCGGGCCGGACTTTGTCGCACGAAAAGTACCCCTTTACCGGACATTTTGGCAACACGCATGCGGTCATTCCGACCTCTGAGTGGGGGGGCCGGGGAGTATACCACCCTAAACGATCAAATAAAACCGAATTTAGTTGTACAAAACATATAAAAGTTGTCGAATTTGGTCATTCATCCGTTCGAATCTTATTTGGAAAACATATTTAAAAAGTTCCAAGAGAAAAGTATCATTTTATTTCACAAGACAAAATCATCTCGTTGAGTATTTTTGTGGGATCTGAATAAATACAAAACTTTCTTGATGAGGGATGTCAGACTTACGCAAAATCTTTATAAAGAACTCTTTAGAGAGAAACATATTATTTTACTCTGTGTTTGCTTTCCTTGAAATGTCTTGTTCTTTGATATTTGTCCTGACCCCCCCCCCCCCCGTCCAGAGTGTATTGTCGCACGTATTATGTAGATTATATTAACAATTAATTATATTCATGTACATTCATCGGACTCATTTTCTATCAAGGTTCAACTCCCAGTCTTTTTAATATATTAATTATGATAGTTATGCCAGGGAGGTGTCGGTTATAAGTTTTAACTGACACCTCCCTGGTTATGCATTGCAATACGTGTATATAATATTAGGTAATTTATATTTTTATTGATATTTACTGGTCTACACCCTTCAGAAAGCGAGATTTATGGATTTACATCTTTAAGTGTTATCCAACGGACAGGCCTACCCCCCCCCCCCCCCTCACTCAGTGCTATTTAGCGTACGCGTATGCATGTTCACTCCTTTTAAAAACACTCCCTAAGTCCGGTGTGTAAAGTCAATACGGGCCGGATTTTTGTGTACTACGAGCCGGACTTTGGTGTGTAGTAAGTACAATTGGAAACACGCATGCGGTCCCTCCGACCCCGGAGTGGGTGGGGGGGGGGGGCGGGGCCTATCATTCCAATTAACATGTACTACATCAATTAGTTGAATAATAATGGTTTCAGATACATCGTCGCCAACATCAGATTCTAGCAAGGCACCTGGAGAAAAAGCAGATAATAATAATAAATAGATCATCAAACCAACACTTCACTGTAAAGATAATGACCGGATTAACCGCAGGGTATCACGATAATAAACGATTTGAAATGAATAAATACCATTACAGTCTTCTCTTAGGTGTTGTACGTCCATCTAAAGATATACATAAGGGTTAGGGGAGGGGTGTGTGACGAGAGGGGAGGAGAAGGAGGGAGAAGGGAGAAAGAGGAGGAGGAGGTGGAGGTGGGAGGAAGAAATGGAGGGAAGGGGAGGAGGTTGGGAAGAAGGGGCCCCGGCCGCGAAATTTTTATTCCCAAACAGGTTTGCAACTGAATTTCTTATATTTCCGTTCTTCTCAATGGCTGATATGTTCTACGTCATTAGCAGCTTGGAAAGAGGTCACAAACAATTAGACTTTGATTCTTTATTGCTTTGCCTCACTATTTATAAAGGAAAAAAACTGAATAAACTGAGACTTGAACCCACAACTCTGAGATAGTATTACGCTGACCTTACCGATTGAGCCGACGATGGGTTGATGAAAAGTGATTCTGCATGATTTCTATAACCCTATCACTCACCATAACGGTTACGTCATTGCTAATGACGTAACATATCAGCCAATCAGATGACCGGAAATATTAGCATTGGCAAACCTGTTTGGGGAAGAAAAAAAATTAGCGCCCCCCCCCCCCAACTCCGAGAACGGACGGACCCCATGCGTGTTACCAAAATGTCCGGTAAAGGGGTACTTTTCGTGCGACAAAGTCCGGCCCGAGAATTGTAAAAAAGGGGGTGTATTAACTTTTCACCCGGAGATTTCTTTAAAAAGGGGATGTTTTTTCTTTTTTCTCTCATCTCTTTGGGCTCCTGAGAAATTATTCCGAATTTAGGGGGGTACATTGAGCATTTTTCATGATTTAGGGGGGTCTCCAAGGCAGGAAAAGCCCGCGAAAAGCCCGCGAAAGGGGAGTTCTGAAATGTTGGCAGTCCTCAGATAGGGGGTGCTTTCAAAAAGAGGGAACAAGCATATGCGTACCCTAAATAACACTGAGTGGGGGGGGGGGGAGGGGCAGAGGAAATGAAGAGGGGAAAGAGTGGGGAAGGGAAAGGATGGGGAAGGGGAAGACTTGATTCCATTATTTCTGCAACTTCAATGATAAATTCACCTTCTCATAACATAGTAATTTTATGTATCCTGTCTGAGTCTATGGACTGGGTACGTTAGAATAACCAGCTGTTCTGGAATAAGTTTCTGCTATCACCATCTCTTTAACTTTCCGTGTTCAGCTAGTGTCGTTAGCATGACATTGATGAAAACGTAATGGATAGTTGAGTTTTACTGCAGAGGAGCTACACAAAATAAGTTGTTGGTGAGATAATGAAAAACTGAGTGTCAAATTTGAAAGGACATACAATTCATATATCAAAATCATCTCTGTTTGATCAAAATCGGTTCAGAGACGGCTGAAAGATCCATAAATATAACGATTTCTAATATTTGTGATGACTCTCAAAGAGATAATCATAAGAAACCTGCCCCCCCCCCTCATTTTAGGGTACGCGTATGCATGCATGTTCCTACTTTTGAATGCACATCTATCTCCGGTGTGTAAAGTCGATACGGGCCGGATTTTTGTGTATTACGGGCCGGACTTTAATTGCTGCGTGAAAAGTACCCCTTTATCCAGAGATTTTGGGAACTCGAATGCAGTCCCTCCGACCCCGGAGTTGGGGGGGGGGCGGACCTGCCCACGTGCAATTATGTTTGTTGAGAGCCAAAAAGGCATCATATTTGTGTACTATAGATACTGATTTGGCGAATTAAAAGACATTTTCACGAGCTGCTAAAATTAGCATGAACTTTCTTTGTATTAAACTGTTCATACACCAACCAGGAAAGATCTGAAATCTCCCACTTGAAATCAAGGGAAACTGGTCAACGCAACAATTTCCTCGTTCTGTATTTTCCCTATCAAATTAAAGCTTTTTCAAAATGTTGCAGAGCACAACGTAATCTACAGAATAGAAGAATGCACAAACCCTGTACACTGTACTCGTCACGCTTTAAGGCATGAGAAGAAAAACTGTATTCATTCAATAGTTTTTCTCTGACAAAAGCCTCGATGATGCAACAAAAGAACTTCCCCCTTCCCCGTCTCTGATCCTGGGACTTCGCTTTGTATCCTCGCTTTGTATTCATTTTGAGAGAAGACGTACATGTACAACATATCAGGCCTACGTATACAACTGTAAGGAGTCTCTCTAGTAACCGCTTATTATAGTTAACGCCCATCCTGCTCTCAACACTCTCTACAACGACGCCACTTGTCAACTACTACTGTTTAACTCTTGCGTTTTTAACACATAAAATAAACACACTCAGGACTTTGTGTACTATTTTGAAAGTATACTCTCTACCATTCTTCAGTGTATTTAGAAGATTGAGTCAACAACTGTTGGACATTGTTTATGGTATATTTGAACAAAGTATTGTGTTCCCATCGCAGAAACCACAGCTAGCTCTGTTCAAGCATATCGTATTAAATTCGATCGAAATGGAATTAATTTCATCGCACGATCTACTGGTAATTGTACCGTGGTTGTAAAGTGAAGGCTCATTGAAATCGCGCCATGACAGTATCAAAAGATAATTTATGCACGTGTTGGAATCTTTTATTCAATTAACATTCCTGAAACACTCGGAAATGAATGAGGTGATTGACCGGCGGTTATGATCATTATTATTGGCAGCAGTGTTGAGTCCTGGATCAGGAAATCATTCTTAACGTCTTTTTCTTCAGCGCTCATCTAAAGGTTTCATATTCCAGCACATGAAATGGTTCGATAACTTGATAGGATGATGAGCTGATCTTAAAAGACCAATAACCAGGATGACGACAAAGCTGCTCATGAAGGAAGGAGTGTCTTATTACAAGTATTAGGCGGAAGCAGCTTGTGAGCTAGCTTTGTAATTATATTGGTTGTGTTATTGCGGATGAAAGTTTGCTTTCGAAACCATATTAGCGTGAACGTGAACTATGATAACAATAATTCTACCTCATTTTACCGAATAAAGAATGGATTCTCTGGTCATCACGGTAATCGAAACTCGTTTTATTGCACGTAAGCAGTTAATGTTGTAAACATTTTCAAGAGCCTGTATAAGATCTCTATTCAACCGTTTGAAGAATATTAAAGACTTTTATTGACTACCATGACGATGAAGTTGTCATCAACGTCGCAACGATAAACATTAGCCTTTTGATAATAATACAGTCCAGTTGTTAAAGCACAATACACGTGAGCATGAAAGGCGTCGCCATAATGTCGCTGAAATCCTCATCATATCGTGGTATATTAGTGCTCCCCATCACCTTAATGCTGATGGGCGTGGTCAGGGCGGAGTTTAATTACACCACGCTACCAGTAAACTTTGTCACGGTGGAAGAGGGAGAAGGGGCCAATCTGCAAGTGAACCTCACCGGTATAACGAAAACTTTTCAAATTGAAACGTTGAGTAGTGATATACAAAAGTTTACTCTTGAACAAGCCATCTTTCAGGTTAACCCCATCTATGAAACGATTCTGCATCCTAATGGTTCGACCGGTCAAAGACTTCGAACGGACGGAATACATACTATAACCATTGCAATAAGAGGTATTTCATTTGGTATTAGACAAATTGACTTTGATGTGAGAGATGAAATGGGTTTAGTGGATCCTAGTCTTCAAATCCAGCCGTTTACTGTCAAAGTGATCCGACAACCGAGCTCCGTGGGGACTATTTTCACCTATGTCTTGTTGGTATGGCTCATGGTGAGTTATGTTACCATGGGAGTAAAGTTGGAATGGACTGTCATCAAGCAAAAGATAAGGAGACCCTTTGGAGTAGTGATTGGTGCGATATGTCAGTTTATTGTGATGCCCGGTGTGGCTGCACTCCTAGCAAGGGTGTTGAACCTGGAACCTACAGCAGCTGTGGCTCTGATCATCGTTGGTTCATGTCCAGGAGGATGGCTAAGTAATATCTTTACTCTTCTGCTTGATTGTGACTTGGTGTTGAGCCTAACAATGACGTTCTGCTCCACGGTGATAGCGCTAGGTATGATGCCTCTGAATCTATTCATCTATGCCACTCCATACGCCGGTAACAACAGTGATATCAGTATTCCCTTCGTGCAGATCTTCATCCAACTCATTACATTAGTGGTACCTCTTTTCATCGGAACATTCATCGCTCATCGGTACCCTCGAGCTGCTAAATGGTTCAACCGTCTCCTGAAACCACTGGCTGTTATCCTTGTCATGGTAGGGTTCGCTGCAGGACTCTGGGCCAACTACTTCGCCTTCCAGTCGCCTGCAGAGCTCTATCTCAGTGCGATTATCCTACCCTGTGTAGCCGGTCTTCTAGGTTTCTTCGTGGGTAAACTCACTTGCTTGTCTAACCGTTCTGCCATCACCATCGCAATTGAAACAGGGTCCCAAAATAGTCTCTTGGCAACCTCTGTCATAGGACTATCGTTTCCTCAACCTGAAGCCGATCTAATGACGAGAGTCCCTGTCCTCTTCGTTACCTTCACTTTCATCCAAGGCTTCTGTTTGACGTCCATCTACGTCATCACGAAACGATTTCCTGGTCGATTTGAGCTACCAAATGATGACGACGATGATAACCAGGATGATAATAATAAAGCAATTAATCTTGAACAATCGCGAGGTAATGAAGATACGAAGCTCGATATTTCCTCAAGAATATTCGGCATCGGTCCCAAGCATCTTGAGCAATCGTCCAAATCAAGAACGAATAGAAAGCAATCGTGGACGGCCTCGAAGTCGACACAGGTCGACCTTGAAGAGATTCGTCGCAGTTCAAAGACCACGTCGAACGTCATGTCCCACATCGGGCCCAACGTCAACCACGCTTTCTCTTATGAGTCTGAGGGTAATGCACCAAGGCCTGTCTATAGCATTAGTACTGCCACCATGAATGATAGCGATACTATCAACAAGAGATCAAGACAGGTCTATTTATGATTGTTTCAATATCGATGAAAGTGAGACTAAATTAACAAAGGGCCTTATATACCGTAGCCAACTTTGTAATGTGGGCGATAATGGGAAGGCAATGCGCACGAACGTACAGAAAATTGGACAGAAATACTGGAAACTCGGTCATCCCATTCACGTTTGCTGGTCAGTGGCGGACTTAAGGAGGAGGGGGGGGGCATGTCCGATTTGTCCATAGTCCTCTTGACACTGTCCCTGGTTAAATAATACACCTATGACTACTAAGGTGAATTCTAAATCTAATCTAAACGATAACTAAGATCATTGACTGTCATATGCACACGATTCAAGTTGGTAACTGTTTGATGCGAAATGTAAAAAACAAGGATTTATGCACCATACTAAACCATCTTTTTTGAGAAGCTTATTGGAAATTTTCGAAGCAAATATTTGTTGTAGTTTCCGCCCATGCAAGCAGCCAAATGCGTGTAAGAACAGCACTGAGAAAAAATCTATTAATGATATTCTTTGGCCTGAAACTTCCAATATGTTTCTCAAAACAGTTTTATAACAACGACTTTCATTTTTATTGAAACAATATTCAATTTATTGGACACACATTAACTAGTGCTACATGTATTTTGATCATGTTGATTTAAGAACAAAGCAACAATGTATTATCTTTTTATTTTTATGAAATGAAAATCATAGTTATACAACATTACGTTTATACTTGAACGTTGCTACTAATAAAAGTAAAATCCACACATTTCAAATTGCCACAGGAGGTCAATGTGCGAAAAATGAAAAAAGACAACGACATTTTTTATCTTTTTACACTAAAAAAAATAAAATGACAATGAATTACTCGTACATTTATTATATCCTATAAGATTCACGTCACACGTACTTTTTAACTTTTAAGTTCATATTTTGTATATTTGTATAAATGTTATACCTCAATATCAATCCATTCTTTCATTTCCCCTCATTTCTAGATTTCATTTGTTGTTATTGTGGTCAGTATTCGTGTTCTGCATCATACAAATGAGGGCATTTACCCTATTTCGTAACCTCTTATGTAAAAACAGGTTCATTTATTGTATGTTGATCATGTTTTATGTTGTACAGTTGACATTTTATTCCACATTGTTTTAGAATTCTCTTATGGCTAGTTTTGACTTTCTATCAATGTTACATAGGATACATTCACGGTTGTACCTCCCTTTGGCAGCCTTTAAAGAACGTTTTGTCTTGTACGAAATTCTGCAAACACCGCTCACAATTATTGTTAGATAATTTCTCTCAAACTCACTCAAAGAAACTGCATACTACAATGTATATGCACTAGACTGTTTACATGTAATTTAATGTTTCCATATTATACTTTATGATCACGATGAACTTACTCGACAATGAACTCTTGTATATGTTGCAATTGGTTCGTCGCTCGCAGCTAGTTCCCACGATTAATTCAATACCAAATCAATTTTATCATATTTAGTGATGCTCCTCCTTCCAAATTGATGGCTTGTATTTTAACTCTGAGTCTGATTTCTTCACATTCATTGCATCTTATACAGCATTTCATTCGAATGTGTAATTTACATTATAAAAGTGTGCATAAACTGGTACAAACAGTAATCGTTTATTGTTAAGAAAATATTGTTAAAATGTAAAGTATTCTTTCAAAATTAAAACTGAAAGCACATCATAATGTGTTTTATGACAATCAATGCGGTGTAAACTGTCCAGTACAATAACTTCCACCTTTGTTCCCTCTCTCTGCCTCTCTGTCTCTCTGTCTCTCTTTCTCTCTCCCTCTCCCTTCTTTCTCTTTGTCCATATCACCTCTCATCCTTTGTTTCTCGCTCCCTCTCTCATCTTTTCCTCACTCCTCTCCCCTTTCTCTTTCTCGCTCCCTTTCACCTTTTTCTCTTTCTCTTATGTATTTAACCTTTTAGACGTGAGTTACATTCTCTCTTTCTTCTACCTTTCTCTTTCAATCCGTATAAGAAAGCTTGGTCAATTCGTATAATACCTGTGCCCAAAGTGATAACCATTTTTCTTTCTTCCACACATGTAACTCACAATGATTAATTCCTGTATGTATTGTGTTACTTATAGTTTAACGGATAGCGAATATGTTACTTTTTTACGGGAGGCAGATAGGCACGCGTGTTCCTTAAGAATGGCAAGTGGGGGTGAAATGGGAGAGAGAAAGAGAGAGAGAGAAAGAGAGAGAAGGAGAGAAGGGAAGAAAGAGAGAGGGAGAGAGAGAGAGAGAGAGAGAGAGAAGGGAAGAAAGAGAGAGAGAGAGAGAGGCATGTGGAAAATGTTCATGTGAAACTTTGCATGACCCGTTCCCATATCACTATCCGCTCGATGGCGCCACCCGCTTGATATTATTTCACCCAGCGTCAACCTTAAACGCCAATGCTAGAAAAACAATATTCCACTGTCATAAACATGATATTGAATATGTAAAATGTTCTTATTAAAGGTACCGTCTATTTCCCATTTACAGGCCCAAAAAATGAAAGGTTAAATTCCACCGGCAATTGGAAGATAATACTAATTTAGAACTTCCCTCAAAACAAAAGGGCTCGAAAATGTCTTTTTGTGGGAAAAAAAACGGCCATTAGCTGTCGAATCGACTTTAGTGATTGCAATCATTTTAGTAATAGTCTGATTTTCAGACCCCTGTACGGAATGGTCGTACGTTTTGTACTGCGTAAAGATTCAATCAGTTTAATTTGGGCCATTTCAAATGCGCATGTACCCTTTACAGCTCATTTTATGTATGTTATTACCAAAGAAAAGAAAAAGTCAATCAGTCACTCAATAGTGTCTGACAGTGAAGTCTAGCAAGTAAACGGGTTTCCTTCCACAATTTGAATACCAGGACACTGCTAACGTTTAAACTTCCCAGATAGGACATATACTTCTACGTGACATATTCATAATTCTTGCCAAGTTCTACATAATTTGATGTTGGCTGCAAATGGGACATAGTACCTTTAAAAGGCGAAGTTTGGAATCGCCATTTTACGGACAAAGTACTAACAATGATGGGGCTTTACCTGTTACGACGTTTCGTTTACTTCTTTAGATACTGAGAAGAACAAGATAATTATTATCAGTTTCATAGCGAAATTACGACTGCTGTTTAGATATACATGTAGTGACACTGTTTCCTTTCTCTGCAGAACAAAGTCTTACTCACTGGATGTAGTTAGTTAGTTAGTTTATTTCTTTATTAAAAAATCACACCGTCATCAGACGGCCTATGAGTGATACATCAAAATTAACAGTCATAAACAATTTGACATGGTAACATAATATAAATATAACATAATCATAAACACAGAAAAAGAATATTCATGCATTACAGTGTAATTGAAAGTTGGTTGGCATGCACCAAAAACATACCAACAACAACAACAAAAGACAGGGGAAAAAAAGAAGAAAACAAATATTATTCATTTAAGTAGTACAAACATTCTTTGCGAGTTGTTAGGATTCGGTTTGCAAAACTGGCTATTAAACTGCTTATTGAGTCAGAAAATTTGATAATATACAAGAAAGATTAAATATTAATCTTGATAATTATTAGAGTTGTGTTTTTGATATCGCATTATAAAACATGCGACCTCCTTATCAAGGTATCGAGACCCTCCCCCTTATTAGACAGTTTGACTTCGCTGTATGTTTACCGATTTCCTTAGTCATTCATGTTTTTGCCTGCATGCTCTCTAACCCAGTAAGCAATCATGTTTGATTTGAAGTGTTGCCAAATCGATAACACGACACACCGCCTTCATTCAATTTGTTTGATAGAATGATCTACATCTCATTATTACATTCCAAGCTGCATCAAGGAGAACGTTTTGCCAATCAATCTCCTTTGAAGGTTTAACATCTTTAGAGTCATGATACTTACTCTATCCAGGGTTTCATGACCAGCATGATTCAGTCAAAACATGTAAACACCTATACAGTATGTTTGCAGGTGCACCATGTGAGAGAGCGGGAAGATTGAGGAGTCCTGTAAACACCTAGTACCTAATGAAATAATTCTCCAAGAAGAGAACGATTTACACAATTACATTCATTTCATCTGTGTATGTTTGAAACATAAGATATAAGGCAAACTGTTTTAAAACATACTAAACAATTATTTGCCATATTTTTAATAATAAAAGTGCCCATGGAAAAGAGACAAAATTCCCCACCATTCTCTTATGATAAGGCTAAACAGGCAAATATCTGTGTCGGGCCAGAGCCCCCGGTCGCGTTATTTTCTTCTGCGACACAGATTGGGGCTTTTTTTTTAAAGAGGTCTTGATTTAACACTTACCCTAACCCTAACCCTAACCCTAAACGCACCTAACCCGAATCTGTGCCACAGAAAAAAATAACGCCCCCCGGCCCTATCCTACCTTGGATCGTTGGTGGGTTTTAAATAGCAAATCCCTTGGTTTGTCTCGTCATTGGAGGCTGGTATTATAAGATCTGATGAATGCTCGCTCTGTCAGAAGATCGTGTCAGCACATTCTCACTTTTCATTTTCTCTCATCCTTTTTTCCCCTTCTCATGCTTTACCTCACCCCTTCTCTCTCTCTCTCTCTCTCTCTCTCTCTCTCTCTATTTATCTCTCTATCTATCTATATGTCTATATTGCCCTCTCCATTTGAATATTGATTGATTGATTGAATATCTATTGATTGATTTATTGATTTCTATAACATATTTCAAACATATATATTTCTGTGTCTTTCCCTTTCCCGTTCAACCGAAGGGCAATTAACCCAAGCCACTCGAGTTGCTTGATTTTTTTTATTGGTTTGTCTGATTTTTTGCTTCTATTGAAAGTAAGTTAGTTTTGGAGTGGACTTGCCCTTTAAATGGCCTAAAATTAATTATGAGTTACATAAAATATCTACTTTCAGATTGACCGACATGAATACCTCAAATATGCTTCTCATCTCGTTGCTGACGATGGCAGCGATGACCACCGCTCATGCTCAGTGCGGATCTATCACCGCCATCAACATCAGCTACGTTGAAGACTTCGTCTATGTTTTCGAAGGACGCGATACCAACTTCACCTTGACTATTGACGACGTAGTTAGTGATGGGATCTTGTCTTTCCGTTCAGCTAGCCCTTTTCACTTCGAGTTGAAGGACCCGGATGTGACCTTTAACCTTACGGTTGGCGGGAATTATCCAATGAACATTACCACAGCTATCATGGGCAACGTGATTTCAATCAAGGTAATAATGTTTTATTCAAGGCAAGACTTGTGTGGTTTAAACATGATATCAGTGACCATCTCTTTCCGTGTAATTACTGGTCTAAACTCAGAGGAAGACTCTTGTTATTTCAATACAATAGCTTCATCGAAAGTATCTTGTTTATAAGCACGGTGCTATTTTTTGTAAGCGCCAATATAATAGTTGTTATTAGCGCTCCCAAATGATCGATATTATTGTTATATTTATTAATTGGCAACTGATTAAGATTGACATGTTAATCCAATGTCATCTACTGTGAAATCTCCAATATGCCTATCCATTCAGACTGGTTTATTGATCTTCTTTTTCATATTCAACTTATGTGTGGCGAATCAAACAAATTTAGCCTGAAGTGCCAAGAAAATAAACTTGAAGATTGAAATTTAATCTCGTCACCAATTGATGATTAATTTGAGCCTCAAGAATACCTGAATTTTATTTTACAAATGGAAAAACAGTCACAATAGTTGATAAAGGAAAGATACCCAAATCACTGAAACTAGGCGATGGTGCAAAAGAGAGATAAAGATGCGCCTTTTAATGCAAGATTAATTCGGCAGAGAACGGACGCAGAGCGTCTTTTATGCGCCGAAACTCTGTAGAGATAATGCAAGACATATAAATCCATTTCCGTATGTTGATAGCTAAAATTGAAAAGATAAGTATCCATTAACTTAATGAGACATTCTGAAATAATTTTTGTCATGCTAATGATCGTTTCTTTCCAGGAACTGGAACTATTATTCACCCCTGATGAATCAGAGGACACCCTTGTCGTTGGTTCTCAAAGCGTAGGTGTCCGTCGTGTTCCACAGCTTCTTTCGGTAGTCTACATCTATGTACTCCTGGTATGGGTGGTACTCAGCTACATATCTATGGGTGGTAGCATGGATCTCAAAGCTATATGGCAGAAAATTCGACGACCTTATGGTATCCTGATTGGTCTGTTTTGTCAGTTTATCATCATGCCTGCTCTTACCTTCGCCATTGCCCAACTCATCACCGGTAAGGAGCGTCAACGATGGATTATTATCATTGTAATATTCAATATTCATTTAATGATTATTTTTGGTGAAAAATGATGACCAATATAATGTAATATATGCTATCTTGTCAACTGAATCAATTGATGGAATATGGATGTTTTGAAAATTTGCAATTATTACTTAATTATGTTTATTGCGTTTATTTACATCGACATCATCAATATCACTCTCAGAGCTATCCATCATTTTCATCCTGTAAATCTTCAGATGAGCCAGAAGCACAGATCGGTATTGTTTTAGTTGGTACATGTCCTGGTGGTTGGTTGAGTAACATCTTCAGCGTCCTTCTCGATGTCGATTTCACCTTGAGTATAACGATGACGTTCTTCTCATCCATCATCGCACTCGGGATGATGCCCCTGAATCTCCTCATCTATGCTTCACCTTTCACTGGAGATGATTCCAGGCTTGGCACTCCGTTTGTCGATCTCATTCAACAGCTCGTCATCCTCATCCTTCCTGTCTTCCTCGGTATAGGACTCTCATATAAGTTCAAGAAGTGAGTCTGTCTCTTTAAATTAAATACACACCAATGAATATACTTTAATTAATGATCCTGTTCTAAATCCCATATAAAATCATATTCGGATTACGCCATTATGTAATGGTAATATTCGCTCTTTTCAAAAGGCGATGTACAACGCCTTTAAGATAACCTAAGGTTAGTTTTTCGAAAATAGTTTGCGATCGTGATTTGATTGGTTGGTTATCTGATATAAAGGATTCAACTCGGTAATTCGAATTAGCTCCGACACAAGGATTCGCCCATCCTGTAGAATAACCTGATTGTAAGGGCATCACAAATCAATCATCTTTTGCTTGGACTTTTATGATAATCGTTACAATTGGTTGAAAATGTATTGTCAGTTAGTAAGCAATCCATTTTTTCATTATGTGTATGGTGTCGAAATTTCACTGGACTCTTTCGCACGTTTCATCGATATTAATGCTAATTGATTTTGTGACAATAATGTCAGGTAAATCTCCCGATATCTTCCTCTCAACTTCAATTAGACTAACGACATTTCCTATTATTCACTATGCTTTGTCTGTTTTGCTGTCTGAAAAAAGGTAACCTAAAATATCAATAATATTTTAACTCGTCCATGATACAGGTTCAAGAAGTTTTGTGAAAAAGTAATCAAGCCCATATCAGCTCTTCTGATCATCGTTGGTCTATCCCTGGGCATCCCAGCAGACCTCTATGCCTACACCACGTCACCAATTAATGTGAGTTATATCTGATACTCAGATAGGAGTAGCAATATCTTCTTTGTCTCTCTCTCTCTCTTCTGCTCATTCACTCTTCCTTGTAATATTTTCTCCATTTTCTTTTTACTCCCCCGCCCCCCGCAGCTCGAGAATTCTGTTTATCAAACTGTCATCTTACCATTTTTATCCGCCTTCTTACCCTTTACTCCTTTTCATTCTATTATTCTTACTTATCTTGATACAATACCTTTGCTTATGCCTCATTCTCGACATAATACTTCATCACGAGTAAATTCTCATAATCACGAACTCTTCATTTCAGTTTATGTTAAATAAGGAAAAATAGTTATAACAACATTTTCATGGATTTCATTCAGAAAATTTGTCTACTTTTCGAGCGAAATCTAATTAATAATAAGAAGCGAGATACTGCAGTTTAATTTGCGCATTTCCATGATTTCCACCCATATTCAGAATTGGATAGCGAGTATCATCACCCCAATCTTCGGAGCTTTCTTCGGCCTCTCCTTCGCTCGTATCTTCGGTCGTGATCTCCGTACCTCGATCACCATCTCGTTAGAGACCGGAGTGCAGAACGCTCTCCTTGGTCGTACCATCGTAGCTCTCTTCTACCCTCAACCCGAAGCTGATCTCATTGCTCGCGTTCAAGTCACCTTCGTCTTAGTGACGCTCATAGAGGGAACGGTAGCTTCATTAATCTACTCTTTATTCAGGTAGGCCTTCGATAAAAGAACGAGTGAGACCCCTTGAAGAATAAGATAAATAATATGTGACCCATGAGAAAATCTCTTTCCAAGCAATGAAATATAGGCTCACTATGTTGGAGCGCCTTGAGGACCTTGCGCTATATAAGAATCCAATAGTATTATTATTATTATTACAAACATTATGAAAGTGACATTAAAGTTAACAATCTGACAGTTTCAATTGTTAGAAACGATAAATGCCTAATGATAACGTAGCCTTTTAAGAGTGTATAATATTATATATAATGTACATGTATGCATGGAGGTGTTGTTGATGTTGTCAATTATAATTATGTCCATAGGTGTTTGGTCGGTAGAGGGTAAGGGGGTAGAGGGTAAGGGGGTCATACAGCCCAGCCTTAGAGAATTCTGACGATATTAATATTTGGCAACCATCACCTGATAATGATTTCGTTTTAAATTCACGTATATGTGTTCATTTTGTATCCATATTTTGTATATTTCTGTACACAGGTATATATGTTCACTTTCTATCCATATTCTGTATGTTTCTGTACACAGGTATATATGTTGTCGCAAGCAATGCGATAAGATCATGCCGAAGGACGAAGAGAAGAATGACGAGGAGGTTGTGGTAGTCGATGACATCGAACCTAATATTGGTTATGAGAGCAATGGAAATACGACCAACCCAAGCGGAGCCGAGAATGCAGGGTTTGAGATGCATGAGGATTAGGATGATCGAGGCTATATGCCAATCGATAATACATCGATAAGACATCGATGGGCATATAGCAGTTATGACCACGAGACCGAGACGAGACCGATAAGACATCGATGGACATATAGCAGTTATGACCACGAGACCGAGACGAGACCGATAAGACATCGATGGGCATATAGCAGTTATGACCACGAGACCGAGACGAGACCGATAAAACATCGATGGGCATATAGCAGTTATGCCCACGAGACCGAGACGAGACCGATAAGACATCGACGGGCATATAGCAGTTATGCCCACGAGACCGAGACGAGACCGATAAGACATCGATGGGCATACACCAGTTATGCCCACGAGACCAAGACGAGACCGATAAGACATCGATGGGCATATAGCAGTTATGCCCACGAGACCGAGACGAGACCGATAAGACATCGATGGGCATACACCAGTTATGCCCACGAGACCAAGACGAGACCGATAAGACATCGATGGGCATATAGCAGTTATGCCCACGAGACCGAGACGAGACCGATAAGACATCGATGGGCATACACCAGTTATGCCCACGAGACCAAGACGAGACCGAATACAACATTATAGATATCCAGGGTGTTAATTATGGTACATTATATTACTATATGCATTATGTCATGTTATTACTAAAAAAAAAAGAGTGTTTCTGCTGGATATAATTTTCCTTCTGTTTTGCTATAAACACTGCATTGTAAATTGATTTATACCGTATATATGTTTACAGAATATTGATATGTTACATTACATTGTAAATTGATTATATGTTGATAAACAGAATATTGATGTACATCAATGAAGTTTAATAAGTACAATACAATACAGGATAGGATGGAGCCGGTCTATTATATGTCCCCCTTCCTTTTGAAAGTTGTAGAATCAAATTTAGCTGAATTACACTGGGTTAAAAAGCTTATCTGCCGTAGTTTACAGGAGGGATTAGACTGCCCTGCAAGGTCACAGGACAGGTGGTTATCTCATCAACTCAGCTCTCAGTTAACATAAGAAAAAGAGGATCATGGGGGACCAATGGTCACCGATTAGGCATTGTTTGTTGTATAGAGGGCGCAAGTAGCTACAAGTAGTGCAGTGGACCTTTAATTATGTAAGGTCTTAGCCCCTTTCCTGACCCCACCCACCCCTTCTGTTTGTCTATATCTAGATACGTCACTATTTTTGATTGGTTAGTTTTTCATTCGTCCATTTCTGTTCATCCAAACAAAATGAATACATGTCTTATCACCTTATAGTGTGATGGGATTTCTAAAAGTATATAACTTACCAAATATCATTTAAAACGCTTACTCTAAGGGTTGAGTATGGGATTACATTTGACATCATTTAAAGACAGATATTTATCTTTGGTTGGTCTACTAGTTGATGATTCGTCTCCGAAAATACTTCCCCGCAAATTCTCAACGCTGGTATTCAGATAAACTCGTAAATACTGACCCCCAAAGTCATGTTTTACAGTACTAGAGTGTGCTATATAGTCATGCATGTCTCTTTTAAATTCATTGTACAGTGTATATATGAAAGTTTTTGTTAACAATCAACTCGTAAGGGATACAATTGTGGCTAATTTCAATGTGAAATATATTGTATGATTTTGTTAAGATGGGTGTTTGCATGAATATTAATATGAAACAAAATTGTCGTGTACACTAATTTTTGTATTCCTTTTGTTTAGGGGTTAGGATGTTGGATTTGAACCTGCATATGGTAATTTGTTATTCATTGTTTTATGGAGGGGGTATCTGGAAGGAAACGTTGTATATAATGCATCTCGTTAACTCCACATGCTTATGTCGACTTAGTAATTCCTTGTTTCCATTAACAAAAGTCTACCCATTTATAGTCTTTCACATATCTGTGCAAGTTTTCTGTTTCTACGGAGACTGTGTGTTTGATGAAAAGGTTTCTGGTGACTGATGAGAAAGTGCTTAACTTCATTCAGAATTAGTGACCCCACCCTTTAAACAAAAATGTGAAATGATTGTGTATAAATTAATTTCAGTGTTCGCATTCTTCGTAGAGTTTTAGTACGCCTCAAGTGTTGTTGAAGCATACTTACTATTTATAAGTATTTTTCGTTATTTGAAAGTGGAACCACGAAGTGGCACGAACAAGTATATCATGTATCAAGGCGAATATAACAATTTGAAGAAGAAAAAAAAATTGTTTGTGTTGTACATTATTTTAATAAACGAAAAGTATGAAAAGAAAAGAAGTGCCTCATTACATTATGTCTTTGCAGTTCATAGATTTCACAAAATATACAGTATAATGCCCCATATCCCTGACTCCCCATCACTCAGCCCCTTCTCTCTCTCTCTCTCTCTCTCTTTCTCTCTCTTTCTCTCTCGCTCCTACTTTTTTTTTGCTATCTTCCAATCTTCTTCCATTTTCACTTTATTCTTTATTAATTTCCAGTTTTTATTTAAGTATTACCTCTTCATTTCAGTTATATAATACTTGCACATTCAAATTCAAGGTCATTTCTTATTCTTCCATATTCTTCCATTCTTCAATGTTGATAGATATTGGAACAAAACAAACTAACACAAATAAGAGGAAGGGTTATACAGTCACAAATAACTTATAGGATCGAACAAAGAGATATAACTTCCAGATAGAAAGAAAAGTAATGTCATTCCAGGTTATAGACTTGTCAATATTTGCTTCATTAAATTAGACAATGCCCATTTAAGGCCACCAGTTCAAATAACCAAACTGTGGAATAATTTGTCATAGGTTTAGATAATTCAAATATATTTTCTTAATGAAGGTCCCTAATATTCATATGTATAGTGAAATATATTAAGTTACAGGCTTCCGTGGTAGAATGAAATTAAATGGTTCAAGGAGCTTCATTTAATCTAGGGGGGCCGTGCGACTGGTCTGAAGTCAGAATGTAATTGAAAGGCTCAAGAAAATGCCATAAATTTTGTGATTTTGATTTTACTACTCATATCGCCACTTCGAATTTTAGTCAAGAACTCGAACCTTTACATTTTCATAATCTTAAATGAGAAATTTCTTTCAAATTTTGATCGAAGTAGAATCTTAGCCAAAATTGTCTCGATATATCGCAATTTTCAGAATACGAAAATTGCCTGTATCACGAAAAAAGAAAAGAAAAGAACAAAACAAAAAATAGGTAGTGAGAGAACTCTCTTTTTTTTTTTGCCCCCGCAAATGTGAAAATCGTGCCAACCGATATTTCGCTCAGTAGGGGGGGGGGGGTGGGGGTCGGGGGATAGGGAGTATTCATATTTTTTCTACAAAGAAAAAAATAGAAAATTGAGGGGGAGGGGCGTTAACCCCCAAATCACCCAATGTGCACGCGCCTGCGTATTACCATTGTTTCATTACGGAAGGTTTTTTCTTTTCTTTTAAAAGTATACACTAACTAGGTTCTGCACCTTGTTTCTATAGGAAATTATGCCTATAAGGTTTTTGCACATGTTAGCCGTTTTTCTATTTATGTTATAAATTAAAAAGTGCAGTAGGAGGTTGATTAGGTTACTCTGTATAATCATTACGAGTAAGCCGTGTAATTGAACATCATTACCATCACTATCACAGTCATGAATATATACCTAGTTTGCAATCAGGGCCGAACCCGTCATTGTGAGAAATATTGCAAAAGTGCCCCCCCCCCCTCCCCTCCTCTCCAAATTTCAAAATTCCAGTCGACTTTCTCAGACTCACTTAGTGTGTATGTGGTGATGTTTTCATCTCTGCAATGGTTTGTTTTGTTCTCCCAAGGGTGAGTGGGGGCGGGGGGGGGGGGGGGGCTTGCCCAATCCGTCTACCCCTGGAAACCCCTTTTCGAAACAAGATTTCACCATATGCTCCTCATTAAGCTATTAAGGACTATCTAATACAGATTAGAGCTCCATTGTTTAAATAGAACATTCATTTAACAAAATGGTGGAATATTGCACGCGGCGCCTCATTATCATAAAATCTGCGTTCTTTATGACCATTCGATCACCTGGATTATATTTAGTAATTCAATATTGTCACACGTCCTCATGACCGTAATCTTTTTAGATATTATGTTGTGTTAACATGATAACCTTCTACTATGACATGTATGATATGCTATTTCCCTTAATTTTTGCTGCATTTTCGTCTTGGTCAGATTATAAATAATTTCCTGGTTGTTATCCTTTTCCGTGGTCTTCTTCACATCAATATTTTGTACAACATGAATAAATAATTACCAGTACCGAAACGCTGAAACAACATCACGCATTACCATACTATTAAGAACATATTTCAAAGCAATATACATGTATCTGTATATTGAAAGAGGGTTTCCTTGTCAGCGTATTAGTACATACTATCGCCGAGTGACTGATGCGTTTTGATTAACAAAAATAATTCTAACATATAACGATCAATTTCTTTTGGAATCTCTTTTCCGTGTTTGTATGTTGTGTCTCGATATTGTTTCATTAAAATGTTGCTCGTCATTTTTTGATACAGGTGAGATTTACCAAATCGGTTTATTTCAATCGAAAAGGATAAAACTATTTAGTACCCTTCTTTTTCTATTTTAGAAAGCTTGACACGATCGGCTTGCATCATTCAATCGTTACTATAAATACCCCTCACTATGACTATAATTATACATGACAAGTACATGTAGGCCCTATAAGGTTTTCGTTTGATAATATGTTCATTAGAACATAAAATACCTGTTTTCTCAACAGACCATCCGGGGTACTACGAACAGAGTTCATCGTTATTGCATGCTTTGGTAGTTTTTTTATGACGGTACGACGTTGATAAATGACAAATGAATTGTTTTTTATCGCATCGGCATCTCAATTTTATTACTGATATTATAAGCAAAGTGTACCTTGCACTCAACGACAGACCTCTAACGGAATTCTGTGGTAAGACTGTTAACCCTCATATCATTTTATCATCACTACATTTTTTCCCTTCCAAATTATGGTTTCACTTCTACTGAGTGGATTTTCTCTTAGGGGTAAGTAGTAAAAGATGTGCAAATAATTATTAAAACCAATCCACAATCAATTAAAATATTCATCACCCAAACATTTTTCTCGACAGTGTTTGTCCATCAATAAACAAGATCGGGATATTTTCCTTTTTAAGAATCACCGATGATATGATTTCTTCTTTTTTTTCTTCTCGCAATTCCAAGGGGAGATCATGCCCCCTCCCTCGTATGAGGATGCCACTGTGCCCTTGATACACGTATCACCATGAACAGACACCATGCACAGTTCTTCCAAACAGACACACGTGAATAACCAGTGACGATAACCTTCTTTATAAGATGATGACGTAGATCCTAATCAAATGATTGGTTGAAAGCGTACACGTGACCAGGCATTTATTTTGCCTAACGCGTAATTTGGGTAATGACCGGTCATTACCCAGTGGTAATGACCGGTCATTACCACATCTAGCTAAAATTAAGTCAGGGGTCTAATATTAGACGCGCGCAAGGCATGGTATGCCTCAATTAGCGCTTATTTTAAACCATGGGTTATGTAAATGAGAATTTAAACCATGGGCTAGATTTAAACCTCCTTTGTGAATTCGGGCCTTTGGTTTGAGATGAGGGCGATTGATCAAATAACAAGGATCCACGTTATAATTTTATAAAACAAATAATACACATCATTTTGTTCGGGCATTAATTAGTACAATTTCCCACACTCGGTACCTTTGAAAAAGTCTAACACGCCCTCGGCTATCGCCTCGGGCGTGTTAGACTTTTCCAAAGGTACCTTGTGTGGGTAATTCTTACTAATGCCCTCACTGGTGTGTATTATTTGTATATTATTAGTGGGTTCCCTATGTCTGGTTGCATGGCGACCATTTCGTCACACTTTGCCCCGCCTGTAGTTATCCATCCAAACGATTAATTCGGTACACCATGAACAATATCGACGATGAAATACCCTAAGCACATATCATAAAAATGCAAAATTTGGCCCTATAAATACTCCTACTTGGTAAACAAATTCAAATATAAGTATTGTCGTAGAATTTTGGAATAAAAGAGAGAGACGCGGTAATGACGAAACCATTCATTGACTCTGCAGACCCCTCAAGCCTTGGCATTTAATTCGAAAACTTATCAAGCGAAAATTGTTTTCATAATTTGTAATTGAAGAAGGAATCGTAATAGTAATCGACAACATTCTGAACTTGAATTTTCATTTCTTTTCGCAAAGGAATATCGTTGCTCCTTGTGGCCGTCGTTACTTGTTATCAAGTTTATATGAGAAAAGGTTGACATTATAGGAAGGTGTAGTAACATTCTAATGAACGTCTTCCAACATACTCATCACCAGTCAAGACGGATATTTGTTAGAAGTTACTATTAAAAAGTAGAATATCCTTAAGAACAAGCATGAAGTCGGTTACATTCATCATAATTTTGGTAACCTTTGTCCAAACTTGGACGTCTGTCCGAGGTGAGTGCGGTCTTACGAGTGCAGCCAATGTATCCTGTCCTCTCGACACATACTACGTCTTTGAAGGTGATGAAATCAATGTGACCATATCGGTCGTAGCCGTCACAACTAGAGGTATCATCACCTTCGATACCGAGAATCAAGCCAACTTTGAACTGGTGGTTGATGAATCCTTCCCGGTGACCACCGAAGATGACTTCCCTACAAACCTGACTGTGACGCTCCATGCCAAACTGATATCCATCAGCAAGCTTCAGGTCAAGTTCATAGCAGATACCTCTGAAGATGTCCTCATGGTGGGTTCTCAAACCATTGCGGTCAAGCGTATCCCATCCATCCTGCAGACCATCTACATATACGTGTTGATGGTATGGATTGTCTTGAGCTATCTGTCCATGGGAGGTACCATGGACATGCAGGTCATCTGGGCGAGGGTAAGGAGACCATGGGGTGTGCTCATCGGTATCTTCTGCCAGTTCATCATTATGCCTGCCTTGACATTTTACATCGCTAAGGTGGCTGCAGGTTAGTGCTGAAACTATCTGGTTGTTATATCGGATTACTAGCATAAATTTCCCAAATAGGAGCATGGTACTGAGCTATAGTCTTAGAATACCAAACAAAGTAGGTTCAATTACAACTTCAAAACCTTGATATTATTTTAGGTTTTAAACGAAATTAGAGAAGAGTTGGTGTATATCATAATAGAAAGTTTTGAATAATCAATAATAACGAAAAAATGCATCGCCATACCTTCCACCATAAGATAGACACGGATATTAAAGGCCTAGTTGTATTACTGTTAACTTGAATTGAATTGAATGTATTAATTGTCCATATAACGGAAACGTTTTGTCCAATGCACGAAAAATAAAAAATACAAACATTCAAAAGAACAGTAACATCATAAGAAATCAACCTACTTCATAAGGCACACAAACAATGGTAGGAATATATTCTAGCTTTTCATACATTATCATTGATTAAGTTTATCAACACTCATCTATTTTGCGGCAAGATATAAGGTTTTGGAAAATTTTGTTGGTGGAACCATTATGTTAATTACCTAGATAAATGATCTAATAAAAGTCATTACGATCATGTCACTCCAGCTGACGATCCAACTACGGCTCTCGGCATCGTCATTATCGGCACCTGCCCCGGTGGCTGGCTCAGCAACGTATTCAGTGTCCTTCTCGATGTCGACTTCGTCCTAAGCTTGACGATGACGTTCTTTTCATCCATCATCGCCCTGGGAATGATGCCTCTCAATCTGTTCATCTACGCCACACCTTTCGCCGAAGACAACGCCAGATTGGAAACACCGTACGGTGAGATGGCTCAGCAGCTAGCACTGCTCGTCGTTCCGTGCTTCATCGGCATAGGATTGTCACATAAATTCCCCAAGTATGTCTACTTGAATCATGTTCACTCTTTGAATTTTATCATCATTAGCAATGTAAGCGTTTGATCGTGGTTCTGTCTATCGACTTTGAGGAAAAAAATAGGTACAAACAAACTATCACATACAAGTTTTCTGAGATGGATAATAACGAACATTTTGGACACAAATGTACGCATAGAAAAACATTGCGATGTGGTGTTATCCATTTCAAATTTTATTTGTTTTAATTATTATCAACATTAACACATGTAAAAAGGAAAATGAATAGAGTATGTTATGAAACTGTGAAAGACAGTAAATGACGTGTCTCAAACTGATTTTGTCCCCGTCTCCCCATTCTATTTTTTTTTCAGGTTCAAAACATTCTGCAGTAAAATTATGAAGCCTGTTGGTACACTGCTGATCATCATTGGTATTTCACTAGCTGTCCCAGCCGATCTCTATGCCTTCACTACTGCATCGGTTAAGGTATGTACAATACACTATTAAGATCTTTCCCCCCCTTTTTTTTTTTGGTAAGGATCATATATAAATTAAGGGCTATACTGAGGGGATAAATGAGAACCTGTTGGAATCCATAAAGACAATTGAAATAAATTGTCATAATAATATGCTTTCGCGAATGTCATTATTGTATGACTAGCTGAGAACGATGGGTAATACTCAAGGCAAAGTCTCACTAATGAGACCGACACCCAACTGACATGAGTCACCTGACACAGTAGCGTACGCAGGATTTTTTCAAGGGGGGGGGGGGTTATATATTTTTTAAATCGGTCCGAAAATTTCGCAACGACTCAGCCAGCCGCTGAATAAGCGGGGGGGGGGGGGGGGGGGGAGGACACTTTTTTTTTTGGGGGGGGGGGTCCCAAAAAATCGCAACCAGCCGCTTAGCCGCTGAATAGTGAATAAGGGGGGGGGGAGGGGTAAGAGGATATTTTTTTTCTTTTTGGTCTCGAAATTTGAACATTTGACATTTAGCTCCGTTGGGGAGGGGAGGGGGGGGGGGTAAGGTCACCTTTTTTAGGTCAGCTATTGGCATAATTAAAAATTTTAAAAAAATAACAAAGGGGGAGGGGTTGGTCGAAAATATATACATAACAAAATCTGAAGGGGGGTTCAACCCCCAACCCCCCCCCCCCCCTCCCCTGCGTACGCGCCTGACCTGACAATAGATCAATGAAACAAGTAAGTCGCTTTACAGGTGATAGTATCAGGGTTTATTCGTCGCGCCTCTCAAAAATGGGAACGGGTGGTAAGGAGGGGCTTGACACAAAGATTAAACATTTTAGTTGGCAAATTTGAACCTTTCCGAGCTTCGTCGCCGAATCTAAAATTTGATCACTTTTTCTTCATTGTTTAGCTTGTTGAAAAAAAATCAATCTCTATCGATAGAATAGAAAATCCAAGGACCTATAGTTTTTCCTTGTCGCCACATTATAAATCGGAAAAGCATCTTCATGCTTTAGTATACGATAGCAGTGCAACATAATTTAGAGACAAAAAGAAACAGAACTGTCAAGATTCTTAGACCTATACTCTGATATGCACAGAAAAATGAAATTTCAGTCTTCCTCCTTATACCTAATTGTATTGGATAAGTTGCATCGAATGGAAGTTGAAGTATTGAAAATTTACTGTTGTATTCTATATTATGCCTCTTCTTTTTTTCTTTCAATTTTACGTGATGGGATTTATCATTGACACAAGACTGATATCTTTCTATTGGAAGACAGCCATTGGTGTAGGATTTGTTAATTAAATCTTGCAAGAATGAAAAACGAAATGTGCCTTTTAGACATAGAAACAGTTTTCTTTCTTTCTTGTCATCGCGTCAGATTTGGGCAGTATCTCTCATCACACCGGCATTTGGAGCGTTCTTCGGCCTGTCCTTCGCCCGTATCTTCGCTCGGGACATTCGTACCTCCATCACCATCGCCTTGGAGACCGGAATCCAGAACGCTCTCCTTGGTCGTACCATCATCGGTCTCTTCTATCCTCAACCCGAAGCCGATCTCATCGCCCGTGTCATGCTCGTCAACGTGCTCGTCACCCTCATCGAAGGCATCGTCGCCGTGATCATCTACTCAGTCATACGTTACCTGCTGTGTAAGTCACGCTGTGATGATGTCCTAGGAGGAGGAGGCGAGGTAGAAGATGATGAAGAGAAGATAATCCAGGATGGGGCTTCTAAACCATCTGCTGTGTACTCTGTGAATGGTAACATGAAGGAGACGAGATATTCGCAGGCAGGGGACGGGGCCATTGATAACCCATGTGTTGAGATAACACCTTAAACAAATAAGATTTAAACATGAACTTTAATGACAAATCTTCTAATACGCATTCGAGTGGAGTGATTTTTTTTTAGAAAGAGGGCGTTTGACTTACGATTGCGGTTGTCTCCATTGATTGTACGGTTAATGAACTGCAGTTTTATGCTTCTCGTATCCATAAATATCATTCGAACATTTGAATTTGAATGATTCACTTGGTATTGAAATTAAATGTGTGCACTCGAATGTTAGGTAACTATATAAGGTTTACGATTTGTTGGTTATACAATAGATAACAAACCTTGATCCGTGCTTAGTGTAGGTATCAGCCGCATCACAGTTTACAACTGTCGTCATAGAAGTATAAGCTTTACAGACGATCATCGTTTTCAATCACACGTGTTAATTTGAGATTTTTAATGCATTAACTAATCTTTTGGTCATGGTGAGAGTCATCCCATATGTCAACAAGGATATAATATGTACATAATTATCTTCGTGTATCCATTAAATACGTAGCGTTCTAAAAAGAAAGTATTAACAAAAACCGACTAAACAGTACAGAGTATAGCAGGCTGGAGTAAACGTTAGTTATTTTCAAACACTAGCTAATTTTAGTAGCATTTTTATTTCTTGAGCATTTGTGTGTGAGGATGATTATTCAATCATATAGAATCATTTTATAGGCTAACACTAGCAAAAAAAAGTGATGGTAATACTTTAAACATTAAACATTGATGCTCCAATGGTCATTGATGCATTCGAATCTGATGGGTTTATCGTTCAAAACGACATAAACATAGACGGACAGTAGGAAATGCAAAGAACTTCATTATGTTACACAATCACAAGTTTGGCAAAACAAAATAAATAGTTTAATGATAATAGCCTAGATTTTAAAAGTTTGGGTTTGGTTCAATATTCCACCGTAGCAACCTGTTTTGTAGTGCACCAGCAAGTAGTGCTCCCTGTTCAATATTGCATCCGAAACGTGCTAATTCTAGTATTTGAGACAGTGTGTAGGGTCCAAAGTCGAACCATTCATAATTAAACAAAAAGCAATATAGTCTTACATGCATATATAGGCATGCAGGCACTAACTCCATGGTGAAGGTTAACGCAATACAAGGGTGGGGTACTCTGCAGCCCCATCCCTCCACCTGTTACGTCTAAGATGCTTACAAAGATGTAATAATTGTCTTTGCACCACATCATTTCGAAATAATTGTTGTTAATCAATTTAAGTTTATAATTATAATCACGTTTGATTGTGGGAAATTTGTCAGGCAAAATTCTAAGGCTGCAAGATTGCTTTTATTAAAATCATCATGATTACATTATCTTATTTTATTATGATTTCTCCTCCTCAATTTACTTGATCTGTAAATTAACTTTGTAGAAGAGGCGTATATATTGAATTAATAGAGCAAAAGGTTCTATTCTGGCAGTAAATAAAGCATTGTATTTGTCTAGAGAATATCATTGTATGTCCAAGGTTGCTGAGCCGCACTGTGCAGCATGATGCATTGTTATCAATACAATTGGTGCATATGGATTTATTCCTTACAAATTAACACGTATTTTCCACACATCTGAACAATAGAAATTATTGCGCGGGAAATATCCACAAACGGAGTCTTGTTCAAAGACCATTTTAATAATAGTAATATGGTTATTTATATAGCGCCGGTATCCACTGAAACGAAGAGAATGTATTGTTATATTTGCTTTCCAGTTTTCAAAAGAATCCTGTACCACTTTGAGCCACTCCGCCAATTCAGTGGCGAAAGAGCGAAAACATTAAGGGGGCTGAGCCAGTATTATCTGAATGTCCACAAACGCAATACATATTATCAATCCCTTGAATCTGGGGGGGGGGGGCGTTCTCTGCTTCCCCTACAAAAGAAAAGACTTTGCATTTTCCTCTTTAGAGCTCCATTAAATGGGGATTTTGTTTTTCTTTCTTTCTTTTTGTTGGCCTCGATTTTCTTCACTTCACTTTGGGTCTGGATCTTTCTTTCTCTCTCTCTCTCTCTCTCTCTCTTCTTTAGGGATGGGGCTGGAGGCAGTAGCCCCCAATCCCCCTGCCTCCCATAGCAGTACGCTAGTGCTTCGATGTAATACTTACGAACTGCAACTTTACGAATTAGAAATGATACTATTTACGTCTACAATCATAGACTAAGAGACCCATCTGCTTCAGTCTGCTGCAGTCTTGTTTACAGACAGTCTTGCTCCATTTCTGAACACTCCATATTTTAAAATGAACCAGGGGGCTTCACTTTCCACAATGTGGCGTAGCAGCGCAATTAAGTGCGATCAGGAGAGGGGCACTTATTAGACTTATTAGACTGGATGGGTCTTATTAGAATGGACTACAAGGTGGGTAAGGTAGGGTGCGAGGAAGGGTCATGTCAATTTTCCCCTGGGGAAAAAACATGTAAAAATTAACTTTAATTTTACCTTTTTTTTGGAGATGCCCTTTCCCTTTTTCAATTTTCTCTCTCTCTATTTATCTCTCCCCTCCCTTCTCTCTCTCTCTCTCTCTCTCTCTCTCTCTCACTATTTCTCTATTTCTATCTGTCTATCTATCCACCCATCTATCTATCCATCCATCTTTCCATCCATCTATCTATCTAGCTATAATTATGTTCCCTATATTTCCATTTGAAGAGTTGGAGGCACATCCCCCGTGCCCTCTCATGCTACTGTACATACACCCATTCAACGCGCGTGGCATAGAAATAGTGACTAGTCTCGATACGATTATAGAACCATTGTGCACGATCCGGATCGATCCCTTGTCATAACATTACCAGCAAATGATAAAGGGGTGTATTCTGGATTGTACGAGAATTAGACATCGCTGAGAAGAGTGATCTATTTACAAGGTAAGACAATATTTATTATCAAGAGTTGATACATCGCACACACAGATATATAGAGAGGGTGGCAGAGAAGAGGAAGAGAGAGAGAGAAAGAGAGAGAGAGAGAGAGAGAGAGAGAGAGAAAGATGATGGGTTAATATATTTTTTTATAACGTATTTTGTAAGGTGTTATCTCAACCCATGGGTTATCAATGCCCTCGTCACCTGCCTGCATGTGAATATCATTTTTGCATTATATTTAGTGTTCAAGGCATTCCATGTCCCTTTCATAATGCTATGTTATTCTCAATGGTTCATAACACTCTTATTGCAACCACTCAGCATGAGTAAGATGAACATTTAACCAAATTTAAACGCTATAATGAGACCCTATATATACACGGCAAATGAAATGAATTTTTTCCTGTTCGCGACAATCATCAAATCATAAGTTACTGATTTCAATGCAATGTGTATATACCCCCACACAGAGATTGTATGGTATTCATACCGGACTTCAAAGCGGTTTCAACAATAACTGAGTCAGAAACCGCCGCCAAGCTAGGCTTGTTTGACAATGGTTCGCAATAGATCATGAGAAAAGTTATTATCTGCGAATATAGACGTGCATGGGGTTCAAAACCAAGGGGAAAATAACCTGAACCTTTGTAATCTTGTAAACCGTTAGAAACCTTGTTAAAATGGAGAGATATACAGTTCAAAGGTTTGGAACTGACAGCAATATTGTGCAGAACAGAACAAGATTAGAGAGATAATGATTTAGGAATACATAGGTATTTCACATTCTTCGGAATAAAAACTATAGATAAAATGAGTGAACGGTCGCACGGATCAAGGGTCTATTTTCGCAATGGTAACCAATTTCATGCACATGTCTTGTGAAGTGCTTCAATTTCATGTAAACAAAACAAAGTCCCCGCATATTCTCTCACTCACAACCCTTAAGGTTTGTGCACAATTATTATTTGAACGAAACTTTAAATAAACAGGATACAGTCAAGAGCCGGAAACCAGAATAACATGATAAATGCGATATTGATAATATTCATTCTGATGGTATTCATTATTTGCACTTGTTTGCATGATAAGATATGTATTAGATGTTAATCTAATACGCCCCAAGGTCCTGTCTGCCTTCTGATTTGTGGCTCGGGGGGAGGGGGCCGGGGGGGGGGGGTCTGTTGCCACCCACCTCCTTAAAGGGATCCGGTAACTTTGTCTCAGATTCTGAAACAAAATCCTGGATTTAGCTCATGCTGCAATGATAATTATAAACCTTTATGTCAGTCAGGAACCCTATGACTTTTACAAGCCGATCGCCTGTCTGATTGGAAATTGAAACCAAATTTTGCGTTTCCCTAACGGTTTTCATTACACTACAGTCTATTGGTAAAAAAAAAGAGTATAGTAAAACCGGTCACTCAAAGATTTATATATTTTTGAGGCACTTCTTGATCATTTTGAAGCACGATTTTTTAAAGGCTTCAATATTACACCATATCACAGACACTGATAACACGTAGGGCCGCGTGCATCTCAGATTTAACATTGTTAAACGATGCCTTTAAGGAAAAGAAAAGAGAGAAAAAGAAGACGGAGGAAAATTAAGAAGTGGACGACGACGACGAGAAGAAGAAGAAGAAGAAGATGCTGAGGAGAAGGAGGGGGAGAAGAGGAAGAAGATGAAGAAGAAAAAGAAGGAGAATAAGAACATCAATAACCAATTCTCCTACCGGAGGGAGGGGAAGGGGGGGGGGGGGGGTCAAATCTACGAATCAGCCCGCACCCTTTCTAGCAGTCTTGGTTCCGCCCCATATATACTCTTCTAGTGATCTTACTCAGCTTTGTCAGTTTAAATGCTCTCTTGCAGAGTCATACACTCTAAAAAAAAAAACTGCTCAATTTGAGTCAAAATGTTACTCTTTTGGGTGGTCAAAAGGAAACCACCCGACTTTTGAGTAAACTTTACTCAGCATGTGTTGAGTAACAAATCTACCCATCTGTTGAGTAAAAATATTACTCAATAAAAGACTAAATCTCTACTCAGTTTGAATGAGTCAACCTTTACTTAATATTTACTCTTTGTTTAGCGGTTTCCTTTTTTACTCAGTACTGGGTAGAAACGTAATCAACTCATGTCGAGTAAGAAACTGCTCATGAGTTGAGCCAAATTTTACTAAATTAACGAGTACATGTTTTGACTCAAATTGTTTGAGCGATTTTTTTGCTCTAATATTGAGTATGTTTTCTGGGTAACGCTTAGTTGCTCAATCAATATTGAGTAAAAACATGTACTAAGTTAAGTACATGTTTTTACTCCATTAGGGGTGCAAACCGATGCAATAGCAGTACCTTTAGGGGTTCAATCCTGCAAGGTGCAATCCTGCACCCATCATCGAGGAATACTGGTAAAATTTGCTCGTACACAAATACATATTAAACATGCATGATGTTTCTTGGTTAGTAATCATATAATCAATATATCTATTGCTAAAACGTGAATGTAATTGTAACATGATCAGACAAAATAATATATTGGTTAATGATTGCCAAAGGAAAATACAAAATCAAAAAATTGATGTGCATTGTCATAATTTGCTTAACAAATCATGATAAATGTATTTTTATGTGAACACGTGGAAAGTAATCATGAATATGCATGCAATATGCAAACTTTTATTTTGCACCCTCTTTTGGTCGATAGGGTTCATTTTTGTGGGAAGGGTGCAAAATCTTATATTGCACCCTTTTTTTAACCCCTTTTCCTTCAATAGGGTTCATTTTTATGTAAAGGGTGCAAACTCTTATTTTGCACCCTTTTTGCACCCTTTTTTCTAAGAGTGTATCTCAGTTCTTTCGCATCTTTCTGCACGCGCACATGCATGCACGAGACATGCACATGACGGACAATGAAAGAGTACAAAATATCCAGTTCCTTAGGTAGACAAAGGAACATACAGCTGCTATTATGTAAAATTGTGTAGAACAGGTGTCACATGCATATTGACAGCTAGTTGCACTTTCCATCGATCCAACTTTCACTCGCACCCGAGGTAAATTCGGGTAAGAGATCAATGTTGATTTATTTATCACCTGCCGCAGCGTAATACCCAACCGTAGTTTACTCAAAATTGATACAAACGAAATTCGTACTCGATGTTGAGTCATTGATTTACTCTTTATCGAAGGTAACAAATTACTCGGGTGACGAGTACCACTAAAATCAAGGTCTTACTCCAGCTTGAGTACTGAATTGCTCATTTTGTTACTCAACTTGTTTTACTCGGCACAATTTACTCGCTGACATTAAGAGTGTAAGACGCAGTCTTGATGTTTGATTCTTCATCGTAGCCTGGACAAAGGAAAACTATATAATAACAAAAAAACATTCCTTGATTTCAGTTGTCTATTAGTAATATAGTGTTCATGTATTTCAAGTAGTTATTCAGTTAGTTTATTAGGTAAGCCACATATCTTGAATCATGGAATTTGAACGGGATTAAATAATGGCAACTTTCGAATCCATAAAAAATGCTCTTCATTTATATTTCGTATCTTAAATCCTACAGGAAGACATTTTATGTACGTGGCCGACAATCGTTATCATCGAGAGATAAAGAGAGAGAACATTACAGTATCACCACCTCTACCACCATCAATACCACCACCACCACCACCACCAACACCAACACCACCACGCTACCAACAACAACAACAGCGAGAAGAGGAACAGTAACACAGGACATGGGTAACAAACCGAGCAACGACTTAAAACCAGAGACTCTCTCCGATTTATGCAAACAAACGGAGTTTACAGAAGAAGAGCTTCAACAATGGTATGCCGATTTCAAAAAAGGTAAACATTATTTCATATAGAATAATTAGCATTCAACAGATGAAGTTTATCGAACCACGGGTTGTTTAATTAGTACATTAGTACAGCCGTCCATTAGGGACCCTGACACGACCACGCAGAAAGAGAAAGATTCCTTCCTTATAATTTGTCAAGTTTTAGCTATCCGATTTTTGTACTAAATGGTTATTCAATTGGTACAAAAGACCAAGCATGAGAAAGAATATAATCCCTCTTAATAATTTTGTCCAGTTTCTATCCGATTTTGAAGTTGGTACAAAATTGTTACGAGCCTAGGACATTAATTTTGAAAGACTCGTGAAGCTGTCCATACGTTGGCATAATTTTGACTAACATGAAAAATGGTATCTTAAAGGATTACAAGCAAAAATATCATCACTTTGTTCTATTATCACCCAAACAACAGAAACATTGGTGCAGCATGTGTCTAGCTATCGAAGGGGGGGGGGGGCAGTCTTATTCCATAAATGACTTTCGATTTAGCAATGCTAACCTATATGAATGCTTAAAAGTGTCGACGAGATGAAGAGATAATTCCGGACAAGTAAAGACGATAATAACGTGTTGTTAGAACTGGGAACCCATAGCAGTTCAGAGTAATCTAAAGCTCCAATTGAATCAGCTTTTCCTCCTCAAATTAGTAATTATTATTTCAATTTTCTACTTTTCAACATAGTCTAAAAAGTAGAAATGTATAATTGTTGTAATTTTCCGGGGGCGGGTAATTGTCCTAGGAGGTAATGTTCAGGGATGGGGGGTAATTGTCCGGGGTGGTAATGTTCCACGGGGGTAATTATCATCGGAGGGTAATTTTCCGGGATGATTGTCCAGGGGGCAATTGTCCTGATACAGACTTGGCAGTAGTTAGGCATCGTATTCTCTAGTCTACAATGATTAAAACCCCCAAGTTACGATTTTGGGGGAGTCAGGGGATTTGGCTTCTATTTCTTTCACTTTATCTTGAACAAGCTGTGGTTCTTCATTTTTTTATTAGCATCGGGAGCGATGTAGACCTGAAATAAAAGAACTTGGTTAAATTCTCGGGGCAAGTAAATGGGCGTTACGACACACATAACATTTCCAGATCTTTTCGTTGCATGTAGAGTATTTGACAGTGAAGTTCGTACAACATATTTTACTTACGTAAAGACATATCCCACCACCCGGGGCGGATCGATCCAGCCGGCGGCGAGGGAGGGGCGCAATTCGTGAGAAATTACTTAGCCTTCGCCCCCCCCCCCCCTCTGGATACGCCCCTGCCCAACACCGCGTCTTTTCTTGTTCTATTAAAGGCATCGTTTAGCAATGTTAAATCTGAGATGCATGGCCCTATACGTGTTATCAGTGTCTGTGATATGGTGTTATATCGAAGCCCTAAACAAATTGCGCTTCAAAATGATCATGAAGTGCCTCAAAAGAGCAAACATCTTTGAGTGACCGGTTTCACAATACCCATTTCCCCCAATAGACTGTAGTGTTATAAAAACCGTTAGGAAAAAAAAAAAAATGAAATTTTGATTTCCAATCATAAATATCTTGATAATCAGACGGGCGATTGGCTTGTAAAAGTCACGGGGTTCCCGACTGACCTAAAGCTTTATATTATGATTGCAGCATGAGCTAAATCCAGGATTTTGTTTCAGAATCTGAGGCAATGATACCGATTCACTTTAAACATTGCAACGTAAAAACCTTCAACAAGTATATTTTCGTTAGTTATGTCAGGATTTAGCCATGATTCAGTTAAGCAAAAAATACTCGAATTTCGAAAATTACTTGTTTGAGCTCGAAATCTCATCCGTTTTATTGTAAAGTGAACGAACGTTGCTCAGGTTAATCGCTGGTAATGGAGGTCGATTTCCTCTTTTCTGCATTCTGCATTCGGACTCCGCGACTTGTCGAGTTCCAACAAATCGTCATCTCGTATTTTTGTTCTAAATCAACTTGTCATCTCGTCGGCAATTTTAAGCTGCCATACTCAGTACTAGTAGGAGGGTGCGAGAAAGGTATCATGTATTCTCATTCATCTAATTATATAAGGGAATAATCTATCTAAAACAACTGTTCCCCCCCCCCTCCTCTCTCTCTATATCTCTCTCTCTCCCTCCCCCCATCTCCCTCTCTCTCTTTTCTCGTACACACTTCATGCAACTGTGTATTTATATCCTAACAGCCAGCTCAAAGGATTACCTCACAAAATCGGACTTCAAAAAGGTGTATGCCCAATACTTCCCTACTGGTGATGCTACGAAGTTTACCGAACATGTATATCGTACGTTCGACAGTAACGGAGACGGTACGATCTCTTTCCGAGAGTTCATGTGTGGTATGAGTGTGTTAGCTCGGGGTACGGTTGAACAGAAGTTAAGTTGGATCTTCAGTATGTATGATATTAACAAGGATGGATACATCTCCAGACCAGAGATGTTGGAAATACTTCAGGTAATACATCGGGCAACTCATTTATTCATTAATACTTATTAATGCCCCACCCCGGTCGTCTGTGTCCTACCTATTGAACAATGGTGTGGTTAAAAACCTTAATAATTTTAACTGAGGGAAACTGCCACGTACATGTAGGCCTATGATCTTACCATGGACCTATAACCTTTAATTTGAACAGTATACATGGTAAATGAGATTAGAATCGGAGGTTGAAAAAACAAGGCCAAGAGAATTCATACAATTTGCAAAATTAATTTACTACTGTTTCCAATACAACGCATATAGGCTATGCTTCAAATAAGTTTTTTGACCCATCCCAAATCAAGATTCAAGACTCAAGATCTAAACAAAAACATTCATTTCCTTCTAATAATTAATGCAAACGTAATGAAATAAGTATATACAAGGTTGGAAGGAGGCGAAATTCCCTGAAACCTCCCGACTTGTGATGATGTCACCATAAGTTACATACTTATTGTAAGAGAGAGGGAGAGAGAAGAAGAAGAAGGAAAAGAAGATGAAGATGAAAGCAAACAAACAATACCGAAAAGGGGAAAAAATCTAAAATGATTATTTATGAGGATTATATTTCAAACAAATGATTTTTTTTGGACAAAAGTCATAGCAATAGAAATAGTTATAGAAATTTGTTGCTCCCCCCCCCCACATACACACGTTCACATAATTATAAACGCTTCCGCACTATATGTAGTGATGTGATGTGATGTTTATGGCCATAATAATCACAAAAGAATCATCATTCGCTATTTATTATTTGATGTTAATCTTGTTGCTTTCTTGCAGTCATTGTACAGGATGGTCGGTGAGATGAATGACGAGGCCACACGGTATGAAGAAGATACACCAGAGAACAAACTAGAGATGATATTCCGAAATGTAGATAGGGATTGTGATAATAGGCTCTCACTCAATGAATTCCTAGATGCAGCATCGAACGACCCGGGGATCAAGACCATGTTGCAGATTTAATTAATAATAATAATAATACTCAGTTTTTATATATCGCTTATTACAATCACGAAGCGCTTCCAAACTTGGAGATTATTACCCCGGCTTTAGCTGTGCTGCCGTTACGGCGCTCTAGCATTTCAAAGAATTAATTCCTGCCTGGTACACAGCCTATTGTCCCGTGCCGTTAGACCGGTTTGATAACATATTCAAATTCATGGATTTTTCTTTATAGTGACGAGTTATTCCATTAACCTGATATTTATGAACTACAATACTCGGAATCCAGTCTACATTCATTACTTGTTGCTATGTCGGAAAAGCTTGGATAAGTTTTCAGGTTGTCAAGAACAACCTTTGTTTAAAAAATATGCATAACATTTGAATATGTTATTAAACCGGTCTATTTATTGCTCCACAGTTCAAATAACCAATTGTATTAAAGAATAATTTTGCTCTATAAAACTGAAACATAGCTGGCCAAACTCTGTGTATAGATGGCACCTTCTAATTCAAAATGTCTAACGGTAAAATATTTATTTGTTTATATCGGCAAAAAAGAGAAAATCTTATAATAGGCATAGTAAGGTTTGATAAGTTTGAGCCCAGACCTTTCGACAGTGCAAGATTGTATATTATCTCTTTGTATCCGTACATTGCAGGAAATTAATGTACTGATAGAAATGGCTGTAGACCTAGCAATACTTTATGTAGTTTTATTTAGTATTATATTTACCGTTACTGATGTTTGTATATATCACCCATTTTAGGCCTGGGATATTTCTTTGGAATACAGTGAAGGAATGGGATTTATTGATTATAATACACTGTCGCTCATAAAGGTGGAATATTTTTTTTTATCCCAATTTATGGAATTATTTTAAAAATGATTTAAAAATAATAGATCTAGATAATAGTATACATTCTCAGATTTTATTGAACAATAACTTGCGAATGTGTGCTTTGCGTGACTGCTAAAGCATATGTATGCTACTATGCTTATCAACTAGGGGACCTATGCCCTTAAGTCATAAATGACAGTAATGAGGATTAATGCACCACAAAAGGGCACTAATATAGCACATCGACACGGTTTTGATCCTGCGGCCTCACAGTTACGAGGCCATTGCTTTGTCACTGAACCATGACTGTACGCAGCGGGGGCTAGGGTAGGGGGCAGTTTCCATAAATTTAAAAAAAAACACAGAAAATGCAATAAATTTTCAATAATTTATTGTTCCGGTTCCGGTTCCCAACATAAAAAAATCTTCTGTGTGCCAATGCCTTGAGCCATAATGCATGGCAGTCTAGAGGATTTTTTTATGTTGGGGACCGGGGTAAAATGCAATAAATTATTGCAAATTTTTTGCATTTTCTGTTTTTTTTTTAATTTATGGAAACTGCCCCCTACCCTAGCCCCCGCTGCGAACAGTCATGGTTCAGTGACAGAGCAATGGCCTCGTAACTGTGAGGCCCCAGGATCAAAACCGTGTCGATGTGCTATATTAGTGCCCTTTTGTGGTGCATTAATCCTCATTACTGTCATTTATGACTTGAGGGCGTAAGTCCCCTAGTTAATAAGCATAGTAGCATACACATGCTTTAGCAGTCCCGCAAAACACACATTAGCAAATTATTATTCAATCAAATCTGAAAATGTATACTATTATCTAAATCTATTATTTTTAAATAATTTTTTTAATAATTCCATAAATTGGGGTAAAACTAAATATTCCACCTTTATGAGCGACAGTGTAGTCATCAAGCATGGTTTATAGAAGTAGTAAAATTCAAATGTTTCTATTTCAATTGTCGAATACCGATGACGAAAAATAATTGATGTTGAAGAATGAAGTAAAGTTTGAACACAGAATTTTGTTGATTTTCTTAATCCATTCACTCTTACAATAATTATGAAACATTAACATGTAAGAAATAACAAATCTAATGGTAAAGGTCTATTTACATGCATTTTGAAAAATAAATACAGAGATGCAAAAGAAACAAAGGAAGATATAAAGAGGGGTAGAGATTGTTTGAAAAATAGAAAGTAAGATGAAAGGTGGAGAACGAGACAGAGTGAGAGAGAGAGAGAGAGAGAGAGAGAGACGGAGAAAGGGGGAGGGGCGTAAGAAGAAAGAGGGGAAGGAGAAGAGAAAGGAAAAGAGAAGAGAGAAAGAGGAGAGAGAGAGAGAGAGAGAGACGGAGAAAGAGGGAGGGGGCGTGAGAAGAGAGAGGGGATGGAGATGAGAAAGGAAAAGAGAAAAGAAAAGAGAGAAAGAGGAGAGAGAGAGAGAGAGAGAATGAGAGGAAAAGAAATAGGCCCCAGTATAAGTATTATTATTAGCCCACGCCAATTTGCGCTACGCTGTACCTGATCATTAATATAATTAGTAGTTGTTGTAGAAGTAGTAGTAGTAGTAGTAGTAGTAGTAGCAGTAGTAGTAGTAGAAGTAGTAGTAGTAGTAGTAGTAGTAGTAGTAGCAGTAGTAGTAGTAGTAGTAGTAGTAGTAGTAGTATAGTAGCAGTAGAAGTAGTAGTAGTAGTAGTAGCAGTAGTAGTAGTAGTAGTAGTAGTAGTAGCAGTAGTAGTAGTAGTAGTAGTAGTAGTAGTAGCAGTAGTAGTAGTAGTAGTAGTAGTAGTAGTAGTAGTATTAGTAGCAGCAGTAGTAGTAGTAGTAGTAGTAGTAGTAGTAGTAGCAGTAGTAGTAGTAGTAGTAGTAGTAGTAGTAGTAGCAGTAGTAGTAGTAGTAGTAGTAGTAGCAGTAGTAGTAGTAGTAGTAGTAGTAGTAGTAGCAGTAGTAGTAGTAGTAGAAGTAGTAGAAGTAGTAGTAGTAGTAGTAGTAGGGGTGTAACAGTAATCAACTCGTTTGCTATTTTCCGTTGTTCACACTAAAAACGTGTTTTTGTTAAAATCCTAATAGACCGGTTTACTAAGTTATTCTAATGTTAAAGTTAAAGACCAGTATTGGAAACGCCCCAATTTCAAAAAATGAAATGGAAGCTCTCATTACCAATCATGTGAAAGAATATGTTTTGACTAATACATGATGATAACAAATTTGCTGGGAAACCGCCTTCTAATTCATATATTTGGTAAATTTGTTTCTCTCATGGTCTGTGAGAGATATAGGGTAGTCCCATATACATCTTTCTGTGTATAGTGCTTGTAACTTCACGAAGAATGGGCCAAATTTCTTATCATTTTGATGATTCCAGAACCTTGCAGATGCTAGATGCTAGATGATCAACCTTTTCTGATCGATTCCACTACGTTTCTTTCACAATGCAATCGCATGACCATAACTGGTCTTTACCTTTAACCATATACTGTTTAAAGAAAAGTCGTACTTGACAACCCGAAAGCTCGCCTGAGGCTTGACCGACATGGCAACAAGAAATGCATGCTGACTGGATTTCAAGTGTTGCAGACCCTTCATTAAAAGGACTTGGTGCTAAGGTAGTGACCCTCAATGCCAGATGTACAATTAAAGATAATCTGAAAGTTTGAGTGAAAATAATGATAAAAACTGATTTGATCGATTTCTTAATTCTCCCAACTACATTATTGCAATTATTTACATTTTAGGTGAATGTAACATTGTCACAAAGCAATGCATTGGCTCTATATACCATTCCAGACATTAATTTTAAGTGTTTAAACATTTTTAAAGCCTGTCTTACGTCTTATTTTCATGAAAAAACGGTTCGGAAAATTCAAAAATGGTTGGGAGAATTTACTGTTAGATAACGCCTTCAAAGAAATTTGAGAATTTTTCAGGATTCTTTGCATGTTAGAGAGTAAGTACGAGAGAAGGAATACAATAAGTCACATTTCGTACAAAAACTACGCAGTTTTTTCATCAACCTTTAACAATGTTTGACCGATTCACTTTAATAACAGGTTAATGCAATCTGGAATGCAATACATCGTGTCCAGGTCCCCAGGAAAGAAACATCCATCATTTTGAATGTGTTAATAAACCGGTCTATTAAACACCTGAATCGAAAAAGACAGAGCAGACTGACACTGAGAACAATTACATTACAACACTGATTGCTTGTGAACAGCATGTGAATTATTTTCCTTTGTCGTATCCTACAAGCATTGAGACATAACGATACACAAGAGTGATTTATGGTATTCATAAACATTCCAATATTGACATACACAGCCTAATGTAAACTACGCGCGTTTCGAGGATTAACATTTATTCATTGTTGAACATTATATTTGTACTATTCAACTGTATTTGTTCCATGCCCCAGAAGGGGTCGTTAAAGAAATACAAAATCATTGTCATTGTCATATAGTCAAGCCGCTATTTAAGGGTGCACCGTGCACCTAGGTCCAAGGGTGCACCGTGCACCCCATATGCCCTACCTCTTGCTGGAGCGCTGCCCTAGCTATTGCGAAGTACATTTCCTCCAGCATTTCCGCATTCTTTAGTTTGCCTTTCTTTCAGAAAAGATTCTCATTAAAATATGATTCCAATCCATGAGAGACGAAGTAAATCTACCATGCGTCATATTTCCGCACATGCTAATCCATTCTGATGAACTTGATTGATAGCCGAGTAGCCGACTGCTGGAGAATTTACAGGAATAATCAGTAAGTGCTTGTATTGCTATCTTTCAAAGTAGGAAGATAACTGGATAATGTTTGAATAATCAACAGTGTGGATTATATTATAGTACCAAGGCCGGAGGATCTTTTATTTCAAGGCGCGGTGATACTCGCTGGTTCGTCAAAGATGAAACACATTTGATCTAGAACCGATTGTTATGAACTTTATTCTGATGTCATATTCGTTGTTTCTAGCAGTGATGAATTACCCGCTGTAGCCTACTTCTTGGAACAATACCGATTAAGAAGACAACAAAAAGTATCAACGTTTCCATGCGACAACGCCAACGCATGTTTGTGTGTCATACTCAATTATTCTAACATGTTCATGTACCACCATATTAAAAGTGCAAATATTTGTTTTGAATTAATTGTCTTCTATTTTCACATTGTTAAAGTGAAAAGAAGAAGGACACAAATATTATCAATATATATATATATATATATATATATTTTTTTTATAGCAATCAAGGGAACGATGGGTAAAAAGTCCTCGAAGCATTCATTGGACACACAGGCTCTATCGGATCTCCAAAACACACATCCTTCAGTGTAGAAGAACTACAACAATGGTTCCAAGATTTCAAAAAGGTGAGTTATTATGTTTCATATTTCATATTCTTGAAACACAACAATCTTGATTATTTGTAACAGACTTGAAGTCATAATTAGATAAAGTAAACAAACGACTTTTAGCCAATAAATTAGTTCTAAATGTTCAAAAAAATAATTTTATGGTATTTGGAAATAAAGATATTGATAATAATCATATACATTATGCACAATGCACCGATTTAAGAAGTCAAAACAGTTCAATTTTAGGGAATTGTTATTGACGAAGATATAAATCACATGTTAAAAAGATATCTAATGTAATACCCAGCCGCATCGGAGCTATAAACAGATTGAGCGATACTGCACCTAAATATGTTTTATTGATGTTGTACAATACAATGATTTAATCTTGTTTGAACTATGGTAACTTTATGAGGATCGTGCAATAAATATCCGCTAGATAAATCATTGAAACTACAAAAAAAGAGTCGTCAGAGTATGTTCATCACGTTCTAGTTTGGCAGGCTAATAGTAACACTTCCTTCCTCACGTAGCATTATTCGGTGTAGAGGTCCCATATTATTGATTGAATTGCCAACATTTATAAGAATATTTGTATTTGTATTTATTAACATTTATTTCCTTCTCAACAGCACAATATAAAACACAATGTTTATATACATGATATATGTAACAATTATTTCAACATAGAGTATACAGTAATTAATTCAGATACGGAAGGAGGCGAAAACCCGGAAAGCGTAGCTTGAGTTGGGAACGCCCATAATAAATTAACACAGTTACCGAAAGAACATTATAGATATTATTATGAAAATTACATTGTATATAACAGAACGTTGATAGGAAAGAAAAAATAGTGAAAGGAAGAGAGGAGAGAATTAAGTATAGGAAGGCATGTTCACTTATAAAGAGAAAGTTACATCAATTGGGCTGTACATGTGTCTGCGATTACATCATAAAGATAACGAAGTACAATTGTAAAATAGACAGCGGGTACATAATCATTACAAACAAGCAAAATCATCAAACAGACAACAGCTTTATCCGACAGTATTGTCCTGGGAATATACAGATGGTATTAGCAACAAGTTATCAAAGTAAATAAATAATCGGTCATACAAACATGTTATTAAATTCCACAAAAGATCATTTCACACATAAATACAAGAGAGGGTATCAATATCGAGCAATTAAATACATTTTTGCCTTACGGGAAAAAGTCTGCAAGGAGAGCGATTTGTGTAGAATAGATGGTAAGGTGTTCCAAAATTTTGGCCCAGAGTATCGAATGTCAAATTGAAATCTTCGGGTTCTATATTTATGGAGACGAATGTTGGCAGCGCTTCCCGTATTATACGTATGGGTTTCCGAGTTGCATTTAAAATTGATAAAATCACTAAATTGTGATGGGAAGATGTTATTCATGCTTTTATACATGAAAATACCCTGTTGGTGCAAGTTAATATCACTGAATCTCAAGAAAATAATTTGTTTAAAGATGGGACCAGTATGGGAACGATAGTGCATTCCGGATATTATACGAATAATCTTCTTCTGCAATAGTATAAGCTTTTGTATTTTGTACTTGCAGGAATTCGCCCAAACAAGATTACAGTAAGAAAAATATGGAAGTATAAGAGCACAATATAACATACGTAGAATGTGATTGGGCAAGAGATGTTTGAGTCTGGATATAATGCCAATGTTTTTGGACACCTTACTTTCAACTTCGTGAATATGGTATTTCCAAGACAAGGAACTATCTAAATAAACGCCAAGAAATTTGACTTTATCTACCCTTGGCAATATGACATTATCAAGAACAATATTGAAATCATTTAAATCTACATTCTTTCCATTGTGAAAAATCAAAGAATTACATTTCTTTACATTTATAGATAATTTATTAGATTTGAACCATTCACATATATATGTAAGACCTGCATTTACTGCATCCATAAGAGACTTCAAGTTTGAATCTCTGTGAAATATGTTTGTGTCGTCTGCATACAGTATAAAAGACAATTCATCAGCAGATTTATAAATATCATTCACATATAATATAAATAACAATGGCCCAAGCAGGCTACCCTGTGGAATTCCGCATGTTATTGTTCTAAACTCCGAAATAGAAGATTGATATTTGGTACATTGTAATCGATTGTTAAGATAACTGGTGAAAAATTTAAGAGCTACACCACGTATTCCATAACGATATAGTTTAGATAGTAAAATATTGTGATTAATTGTGTCAAATGCCTTAGACAGATCTATAAAAACTCCAATTGCAAATTCGTTCGCCTCAAAGGCGTCTATGACTTTAATAGAAAGACTGGTAAGAGCCATACATGTTGAATAATCCCTACGGAAACCATATTGATGTTTATTGAGAATAGAATGTTTGTCAAGGAATTCAATAGTTCTTTTATAAACAATTAATGCGCTCGAATAATTTAGAGAAGACTGACAGTACAGAAATGGGCCTATAGTTTGTAAATTCACGATTGTCACCAGATTTAAACACTGGTGTTACTTTAGCTTTCTTTAGCTCATTTGGAAAAACTCCGTTTAATAATGAAAGGTTGAATACATGGCATAGTGGTCTACATTATGTACATAATGACCTGTTTAATGCCTCTTGGACTGTATTCGTCCAAACCTGCAGCTTTATTGTTTCCAAAGGTACTAACAATGTTACAAATTTCGTTTTCCCTAGTAGGATACAAATACAAAGAGTCAACAGGTGGATCATTCATATACTGTAAATAATTCGTTTGGGTACCTGGGATTTTATTTGCTAAAGATGGACCAATGCTTGTAAAGAAGTCATTAAAGGAGTTCGAAATAATGTCCGGTTCTGTAGCGATGTCCCCGTTATAATTAAATACAGAATTCTCAGCTGGCTTACTTTTGTTAAGTAGTGAATTGATCGTTTGCCACGTACGATTTACATTAGATTTATTAAGTACAAATTTGTCATGGAAATACTGAGATTTTGCTTTACGAATTAATCCTGTGACTACAAGAGTATATAATGAGTTATTATTTTAATAGATAGTGAAACAATAACATTCTTGCTTTTTATTTATATTGATATATTGTGTTATTGCTTAGTGTGCTTTATGTTGTCTTTAGGTATGAATGCATTTAAACAACACGGGATCATGTACATAAGTTTTACATAAACCTTTTTTGATTCCGCCTTATTTATTTTCAAGGCGTGTAGATTTGTCCTTTTATCTTCTTTATGTGAGAAATCCAACCTTGATAGCAAACTAATCTAGAGGAAAGCAGAAAAATCAGAGAAGTATAGGCTGGTTAAAGTAAAAGTGAAATCAGAAAACAAATCAGAAAGGGTTCTAGGACAATTACCCACTGGGCAATCACCCTCGGCCAATTACCAGCGGGACAATTACCCCCCTCCCCCACCCCAGTTAGAATTAATCCCGAAAAAAACCCCAGAAAATTATCACCTAGCCCCTAGGACAATCCCCCAACCCCGAAAAGATTTTTGCTTTTATTAAAACCAACTTATTATCAGGGTGCATTTCCCCTTTAATGAACAGGGGCTAAAATTGTCTTCTGGGGTGGTTGTCCTTGGTTGTCCTGGGGGCGGGGGAGGGGGGGGGGGTGAGTAATGTATAGGGGGTAATTTTCAGGGGTGGGGGTAAATGTCTTTGGGGGTAATTGTCCACGTGGGTAATTTTCCGGGGGTTAATTTTTTCCGGCGCTAGTTCAGAATCATATCCAGACTTTGACCCGTAACTCCGGCGTGGAGATACCCTACTAAAATATTTCATAAAAATAAACTAAATCTTCATTTCACGAAGTGACGGACCTAGTGAATGAAAATCGTATACAATTTGCGTGAGGATTTTCCTCACTACCGTCAATTCGTGAAAATAGGAAGTTAGGAACGAATTATTGTTGAAATAATGGTCATGATTTAAAATTCGTTATGTTTCTTACCTGTTGTGTGTCAATTTTCTTATCTTTTTGGAGAATATATTTCTAAAAACGAAGACATTATAATATACACTGTTGATCGTCCTCTGGGGGTAATTTTCCGAGGGGTATTTGTCCTTGGGGGTAGTTTTTCGGGGATGATCGTCCATGAGGTAATTGCCCCGATACGATTAAAAAGTTAAGATGATTTTTGTTGAAAGTTGTAATCACTATAGGTATTGGCTCTTCAGATTGGCCGAATCGGTAATGTATCTGTAGTGTAGTGGCCGACATCTTTCCCATTTGTTCCAAAAATAAACCCCCAAAAGGTCATTTCATTTTCAAAAATTGATGAATCAGAAGGGTCTTTTCTCGTTAGCGGATCAATGGTAATTATCCATATTATATTATGAATAGTGCTCCAAGGGAAAAGGCACCTAAAGAGAAACAGAAATTAATTACATTTTTGTGTACACCACAACCGATTGATTTATCAGCAACTACCGGTACGTCACAATCCCCTGACCAAACTCCCAATTATTACTGGTCCGATTTATTTCAAAAATGTCGCCATTCTGTCTATCTTAATTGTTCTGCTTTCATACAAATGAACTTAATATGTAAGGATGGGGATAAAGATCTTTAATTTTACACAATGAACATTGATATCTTTGGGCGAAACAATAATCCGTTTGAGGCAAGTCACGTGCTATCAAAATCTACATCTTGTCTTTTGTAGCAACTGTTCTATAAATATTTTCTTTTCTGTACATCTTAGTTTCTATTGCTGGGGTCTATTATCTTCGTTTACAAACTCCAATAACGCACACAAAATGTAACGTAAATAACCTAGTATCATGCTCTCTCTCTCTCTCTCTCTCTCTCTCTCTCTCTCTCTCCCTCCCCTCTCTCTAGACTGTCCCAAAGGTAGTCTTTCACAGCCAGACTTCCAACGAGTCTACACTAAATTCTTCCCAAAAGGAGATCCCACGAAATTTACCGAACATGTGTTTCGGACGTTCGACAGCGATCAGAACGGGACGATTGATTTCCGAGAGTTCATGTGTGGGATGAGTACACTGATGAAGGGTTCGGCTTCTGATAAACTAAGCTGGATATTCAATCTCTTTGATGTAGATGGGAATGGATTCATCTCAAGAGTGGAAATGGTAGAAATTCTAAAGGTAAAGAAACGAATATCAGTCTACAAAAACTGACAAAATAAATAATCTTTGAAGCTTAATACAGGTCCAATCAGCAGGCACGTAGCCAGAGTTTGATGTTTTTTTTTTTTGTTTTTTTTTTTTTGGGGGGGGGCACCTACATGTAATCGATCAAGGTAAAAAAAAAAGGGGTCTAAAAAAGTTCAACCGATCTTGCTCCCCCCCCCCCCCCCCGTGGCTACGTGCCTGCCAATCAGCAGCACCTCTATAGGTTCAGAAATTTTAACTCCTTTGGATGCATACCTTTTGATCTATGAGCCTGTGAGAAGTTTAATAGCGCAGGTGTAAGGCCAAGTAAAACCGATTCCTAGTTTCTCATCCGGATTTTCGAAAATATTGGAGATCCAGTAGTCGATCTAGAGAGGGGCCTTTAGGGGCAACGAGGCCCGTGATTAAGGATGTAAAACCAAAGAGGTCATAAAATGCTATTAGTAGTCCTATGAATGTCGATGAAAAAGGGAATATTAACTTGTGATCATCCTCTCAATTTTTATCACACGTTTTTCTTTGAAAATTAGGCGATAGATGGGATGATCGGGGAAGATACGCATCGCCAGTCGTTTCATGAGTCGACCAGCTCACCAGAGGAAAGAACCGAGATCATCTTTGACAGGGCCGATGAGAATAGTGACGGCATGTTATCGAAAGAGGAGTTTTTGGATGCAGCTAGAACAGACCCGGCTGTCATGGCAATGTTACAGATAGCAGTTTGATGATGTCCACATTAAGAACTTCGTAAGTGTGTGCATGCTACATAGTATAAGATCGGGTAGAATGTAAAGCTAGTCGTTCGAGTACCCTAATCAAGACAATAGACGGACAGCATGAGTCGTTTACTCCAAATAAAATCAGAGAAAACTATACGTTAGACCAGAAGAAATTTGGTTTATCATATTTTCATTTATGTGTGACATGTGACATGTACTCATTCTCGGTCTCGATACTTGTATTAACTATTTGATTCTCCTCTCTCTCTCTCTCATCTCCATCCGGCCTCTATCTCGTCCTCTCTTTCACTACCCTCTTCCCCCTCTCTTTCTCTCTCTCTCCCTCTCGAGCTATCATCTTTTACTTTGACTATACTTACTCTTCCTTTCTCTCCCATGTATATGATTTGTTAAGCGCACCTTAGAATATGATTGGGAAAATAAGAAATGAGGAGAAACATCATAATATAGAGAAAGTTCCTTTGAATGAAAGCAGATACCTTTGAGTAAATGTGAAGTATCTGAGAACAAAAACGGGAAATAACAAAAGATTGTATAATTCTGCTTGATTTCTGTTTTTTGTTGTTGAATAAAACACCCTTTCCTACGAGATAATGAAGTTATGATACAAACTGTAATGACATTAATTTTGTTTAGAAAAGGAAGGGGGGGGGGGGTCCTTTACGGTCCAAAAAATAAGGGCTATACAACTTGTGTAATCTTAATAATTGTCTGTGTTTCTTGTAAATTCGGGAATTGTAAATCTGTAAATTATACATAGATATCATATTTGACATTACCTCTTACGTCGCAGAGTGCCATATTTTAATCCATTATAAGAAAAGCATTCTTTCTATCTCGACCTGTTTTCTAGTTATTTACCCGCTTTTGTTCAGAGCATTCTGCTAACATGGTTTTGGTTGTGATGTTGAGTAGCGCAAACAAGGAAGTGCTTTGTTTGATGAAAAAAAAAAATCATGCATTAATTCTTTCTATCCAGAAAGCACTGGCATGGGTGACAAAATAAAACGAAAAGGTAGGAGAAGAAAATTATCATGTGCTAAAGATAAAGTCGAGTATTGGTTAATATAGAAGAAGAAAAAAAAATCACCGAATCCAAAGAAACTTACACAGAATGTTCAAGAATTAAAAATAAATGGAATGTGAAAACTATTTTGGTAGATAATGTAAAGTGGCCAAGTAATGAGCATATATTGAAAGATAAGGAAATCCGGGTACCGGTAAGTAGGCCCGAAACCATGTCAAGGGTCACTATGTGCAAATGGGAGTTGTGTTTTTTTTTATCAAAGATGATGCCCAGTGAGTTGTTGTGGTTTTGTTTTTATTTCACTGGTTCAAACAACCAATCTACTGCAGGATAAACAATCCAGAATAAACCATAGCAATTTGTCTCTCAAAATACGATTCCCATGCCAGAGCTCAAGATTTGCTTTAAGTCATTTCTTCAAACGAGGATATTTTTCTCAGACGAATGATATAGCCCTAACTTTTTAAATCATTTATTCTCATACATAATTGTCATGTATGTAAATTATTTATTTAGGAAAGAAACCGATCAAATGTATGCTTTATGCTACAAACAAATAACGAGTTACATTCACTGTAAGTTTCGTTGGATTCGGTGATATTTGTTTTTCTATATTTATCAATACTCGAGTTTATCGTGGTCATGAACAATTACTTCTCATAGTACATGATAATTTTCTTCTCCTACTTTTTTTTATTTTATTTGTCATTCATGCCTGTGCTTTCTGATTAGAATGAATTTATGCATGTTTTTTTTAAAACAAAACATTTCCTTGTTTGTGCTACTTGAGTTGTGCTACTTGAATTCTGCCTGCCCTATGTGTGTATGTCTCAGTTAATGTAATGTCTATATTGCCAATATTTGCTTTACTGAAGATTTTACTTATGGGTTTGTAGAAAAAGGGGACCAGCCTAGATAGGTCAATGGCCTTTTCTGGTCCCTCACATCCCTACTCTACCCATTAATTATTTTTAGTGTTACCATTGTTGTTGTATTTGTTCTTATCTCATTACATGTTTTATTTTTGTACCCAAGACAGTTGTCAGTCTTTGGACTGTTTGCTCTTGGTTTTTTATGTTTTGATTTCAATACAATCATATATATATTATATATATTGCATTTTATATTATTGTATTTGAATGTTATATTGTTGTAATTTTTTTTATTGGATGTGAAATAAACTGAACTTGAACTTGAACATCAAATATCATAAAAATGGCAGACCTTTCACAGATTGCAACTCTATATAATATGCTCCTGAAATGACATAAGTACGTACATGTATCACCAGATTCAATTCCGATTTAAGGGGGGAAATAAATATTACAAAAAACATGAATAAAGAATGAGAAAATTTAGATACTTTATAAATTTAGAAATGATAACCATGAAATGGTGTACTAAATGGACGAGCAACATGAAACGGAACCATTTTAATTATGGCTCTGAATAGAATATTTCAGCCGTTTATAATTCTTGATTTGTATTATATTTGTTATTGTATTTTTGTATATATTTGAATTATTATACGGAAAATAAAACCAAACCAATGGCATCATGGTCACATGGCTAATACAGTCATACCATGAATCACCTTTGTTGTGTTGGATATATTTTATATATTAAGGTTTTACTTTCTACTGTAAAGTTAACACTTTGGCTACGGGAACCGGGTGGTCCCTGTGTTAACTACATGGGAATGAGAAAATTCAGTTGTTAACGGGTTAATAATTGTTTTGAATCGACATTGTACAATATCGCCTGTCGGGTTGTGATGTACGGCTATGCATTGAAATAAAAGCTCTTTGATATTCATACTGACATTTTTTCTAATAAATCCAAGGCAATGCAAAACTTCACATCTAGACTCTCTGTGTGTGTGTGTGCGTGTTTTTTTTTTTTTTTTTTTTTTTTTGGGGGGGGGGGGGGGGGGGGGGGGGGGGGTTATGGTTAAAGCCCCGGCTCTAATTAGTGTAGCGAGCCCCAAATTCGCCAAAAACTTGATGGCAACATTTCATTTAAATTGTATCATAATGTGAAAGAGGATGTCATTTACGACACACTTCTGCAAAAAAAAGAAAAAAAAAGAAAAAAAAAAGACAAATGTTGATAAAAGAATAAATAATTTGGGTTTTCTGTTGTTTGCAGCAAACCTAAATTTTGTATGCGTTTATCCATATTTGACTTCAAACACAATTGCAGAAGTTGCCTTAAATGACATCCTTTTTTACATTATGATACAATTTAAGTGAAATTTTGCCATCAAATTTTGGGGGCTCCCGACACTTTAAAGGGACTATGTCCCATTTGCAGGCCAACAAAATGAAAAGGTTAAATTCCAACGGCATTTGAAAGATAATACTAATTTAGAACTTCCCTAAAAAAATTCAGACTTGAAAATGTCTTCAAGTGGGAAAATAACGACTATTAGTTGTCAAATAGACTTAGGAGCTATAGAGCCAATAAGTAATAGTCTTGATTTTCAGACCATTGTACCGAATGGTCGTACGTTTTATGCTGCGCAAGGTTTCGATCAGTTTAATTTTGGCCATCACAAGAAGTGGGTTATAGACAAGTGCTCATGTACCCTTTACAGCTCATTTTATGTATGCTATAACGAAAGAAGAAAAAAGCCAGTCAGTCACTCAATAGTGTCTGACAGTGAGGTCTAGCAAGTAAACAGGTTTCCTTGCATAATTTGAATATAAGGACACTGCTAACGTTTAAATTTAACAGATAGGACATACACGACATATTCATAATTCCTGTAAAGTTCTACAGAATTTGAGGTTGGCTGCAAAGGGGACATAGTACCTTTAAAGGGCCTTGAAAGGGATAGTTGAGTTTCGTTGCAGAGGTCGCTACACGAAATAATTTTTGTTGTGAGATAATGAAAAACTGAGTTTCAAATTTGAAAGAACGTACAATTTAAATGACAAAATCGGTTAAGACGGCTGAAATATCCATGAATATAATGATTTCTAATATTTGTGGTTCTCAACAAAATAATATACAATAATTTGACCCAGCCGTTGAAAAAGCGCCTTACATGTTTTATTCCAGCCAATGCCGATGTTGGCTTTTTATTGGCGGCCTGTGTATTGTTATCATTAATTAATTAACGGTCACCATATTTTTTTTAACTGGAGCGGAATTGGTATGATTGTTTTGGCTAAATTTCACACATTTTGGGGTCTAAAATTAGCTTCATTGGAATTTTTAAGTCCTAAAAGAGCACTAAAAATGTCATAAATAAGAATAAGAGCTATAACCATGCACTTTGAAGGCATTTGCGGTCTGAAACAAAAACTCAACTATCCCTTTAATATCACACCTTAACCCTATTTAGCCCGGGCTATTATTTTGAAACTGCATAGCCCGGGGGGGGGGGGGGTTCTAAGACCCCCCCCCTATGATCTCGGCCGTGAAACGCCCGATCGCCGCGAAAATTTGCATACATGTCAAGTGAAGTGTATAGAATACTATGGTAATTTTAATTTTTTGAAAAATTCACTCATTTGCATATTTATGGCAATTTATGCAAATAAGGTCATAAAATTCACATTTTTGCCCATAAATCAGACATTATCCATATTTAAGCATTCTTTCTCACTACATATATTTGTTAGACCATTTGGAATAATAATACAACACAAAAAATTGAAAAACCAGGGTTATTCCTTATGTTATCTATTGTTGTGATAATTTCTTATGTATTTCTTTGTTTTTTTTAACTTATGTATTTTATTGTTTTTGTTGTTTTATTTCATTTCCAACTATAATTCAACTATTTTGACCCCAAAATAAACACCTAAACTATAAACAAGACCAAATAACCAATGTTTTATTTCTTTATTTGAAAAATGAGATTTCCATATGTTTTGTACACATATCACAAAAATGAGCGATTTTCGGGCTGACATGCAAAGACAAAACGACACGTGACTTCATTATGGTAGGTCCAATTTTTGAAAAATTTCTTTCAAAAGATGCGCAAGACTCGAAAGAAAAAAGTCACAAAATTTCAGTGCAAGATTTTCTTGCGTTAAAAAATTAACGTGTAAAATGTTGAGGGGGGGCTTCTAAAGCCCCCCCCCCCCCCTGGGCTAAATAGGGTCAAGATCAATGACAGAAGCAGTAAGATGTATGTGAATGTACTTTGTTTAAAAGGGTATGTGTGTTGAGAATTTGCACACTATCTACAGGACAAAACAAATACATGTACCTGTTATTGAATTCTGGAACAAGAAAATATCTATATGACAAAATACAAATATGGGACTGGATAACAAGTTTGCAAGACCAATTTGTTGCAACTTTGTAACACATATCTCTCTCCAATTTCTTTCGCTTTCTTTCAAAACTTCTCTCTTTCTTGCATCATTCACTCAAGAAATCTTGAATCTTTGAACCAAATAATGAAGCCATCAAGACCTACATTATCATACATGTATATTATATACAAATCCAAATTTAATGTGCCAAGTGGTTTAATTTCATTACTAAATCTTCACATGAAAAGAGCATAACTTTAAAATATAAAGTAGTTATTATTTCTTGCTTCTAAGTCTGAAATGGGTATTTTACACCTATTTTGACATTGCCCTCCCACGCATAGTCAATCACAAATGCCAGATGAAAGAGGAAGTTAAAATCACTTTGCATTTCTTAATCGGTACAGATGAAAACACAATTGTTCAAGCACAAAGAATTAGGTAATGACAGACTGACTTTAATACCCGAATGGAAACTTAACATGTCAATTCCATCATAATTCTGATGTGCTGGACTACCTACCCAAGTCCCATTTCAAAACTATAAGCCAAGATACAAGTGAGTACTATGTATGATGAATCTTGTCTATCAAACATTCTGTTTCATAAAATAATGAAATGCATGTACAACAACTTTCATATCCTCTGTAAAGTGGAAATCACCGCAATCATTGCTATAGGTAGATTTACCATGTAAGAGAGTCAGTTGGATATGAAGATTATTGTTACAACTGATAATCACTGACACAACTAATGATGGATTATTCATTTCAATTCATAACTGTACACACAATTAATAAAATTATCTTTATATAGCGCCATCTCTTGTCAATGGTGTCCGGCAGCGACGTATCTCAGTCCACAGTATCCACAGGGGTGAGGTCCAGATGGATCCTGAACAAAACACAAATAAAATCATAAGTAAGTGTTCTTCTATATATTTAGAAAAATGTAAATATAAAGGTAACATTTCCCTATGGGCCATGCTAAAATATGTCATGGGTGACACATGGATGCATGTATTATGCTCTCCACTGAAGAAGAAAAGAAAAACAAATGAGTCTGCTCAGTCACAAAAAAAGAGAAAAGAAATCTTTTCAGTTCATTAGTGTACAAAAATTACTTGAACAATGCAGTGATTACTAGTCATCTTGACTTTCAAAATGTTATAGCTAGCAGAGCAAAATGAATTGGCATGAATAGAGTGGTTAAGTGTGACGTCATCAACAAAATTTTATTTTTAGAATGGTCAATTTTTTCTTCATTTTCTGAAAGAGCATCAAAAATAATGTCCGAATGTTGAAAACCAATTGAATATGTTGAGTATTGGCTGAGATATGACAATCTGAATGAATATATATATCCTATTGGAACTCAGTGTTATATGCTCTGGTTCATACCATCACGAGCCAGAGCAATATAACACTGAATTCCTGTAGGAAATCTATTTATTCAGATGGTCATATGCCAATACTTAAAATATTGGTTTTCGACAATCAGACATTATTTTTGATGCTCTTTCGGAAAATGAAGAAAAAATTGAGAAATTCTAAAAATAGATTTTTATGATGTCACAGCTTCAGTACTCTATAGAAGCATCCCTAACGCAGAATGCATAATTGTTGACAATCATCATTGTATCAGCGACAGAACCACATTGATAGGATATTAAGCTGGTAAATATATGTACTACCTTGATGAGGCTAAATACTGCCAAAACTTTCATTCGGATATATGTCAAAAAACAACCTTTAATTCACTGACAACACCTATTAATGCCAAAATGTTTTGCTAAGCTACCGATACCTTATCTGATTAACTTCTTGAACTATTTTGTTTGGCTGATGAATCTGCTGTTATTCAATATAACTTGCATTCAAGGATAAATCATCCTTTGAAATGATCAATGACCTGCAGACAAGCTACAATGAGGTGTAGTATGCAGTAGGCTTGCGGTTGCACCATGTGAGAGAGAGAGGGTGGATTGAGGAGTCTTGAAAAGGTGTGGTATGTTGCCTCGTGAAACTTACCAAGTTGATGTAGACTTTAGGATGACCTAATGGACCCCCACCTCCATCACAATGAACACTCCTACCATTGATTTCTATGGGTGGTTCTTCATGGACCAGATCTATTGCAAACTGTTCATTCACCTATCACAAACAAAGAAAGAAATATTCTTGTCATTGGTCAGGGTGCAATTAGTTTTAGGCAACAGGGGCCAGTTTCTCGAAACCGTCATAATGTGTTTGTGGACATCCCATAGAAACGTGTGTTAATTATATAAGACACCTTTTAGTGGGATGTCCAAGAAGTTAGACGTGCGACGGTTTCGAGAAACGCTCCCCAGGCTACTTCTGTCAAACATTTAAAGCTGAGCATGTTTCTTAACTTGAATGGTGGGACAAAGCATTATAAATGTACACACATTCACCTGCAAAAAGTTATTGTATTCCAAAAGATGCTGGAAGTGTAATGTATTAAGTATAAACATTTGAAAAGCCATTGTTGTCTGAATTTGTACAAAATAATCTTTCCAATCTGTATTTTGATAGCGACATACATTTGTAAATATGAACACACAACCAAATGGAAATCTAGCTAGTCTTTGCAATCGCTCTGTATATTATGGGAATTTCAAATTAGCTGAATCAGTAATGTCACTTGGATGTAACTTGGATGTAGTGCCGGACAACTCTCCCATTTTTTCTATAAACTCAATTCACTAATACAATGTATGTCAATTTTTCAAATTCAATTTATCAGGAGAATTGTTTCTTTTTAGAAGACCTATGCCAATTTGCTCTCCATAACTTATTTTGAGTAGTGCTCCAAAGCAATTTCTGTATATCAGTACACAAAAATGATGAAGTGGACTGTTTTGTTGCCATTCTGTCTCTCTTCACACAAACAATCATATTACAACGGTTGGATTGTCCTTTATTCCACATCGAGTAATAATTGAATATGAAAATCATAGAATATGAATTTAAATCAAGATGTTTCATTAGTTATCCAGGTTTCATGTATAAAGGACTTACTTCTTTCTCTCTATCAACAAATCTAACTTTCCTGTAGTCCCCTTCATCATAGACCTGGAGAGAAAGAAGAAAGAAAAAAATAAATAGTGAAAGACAAAGATTCAAATACATGTACATGTATATTATTAGATAAGAGTTATCCCCCCCCCCACCAAAAAAAAAAAATCTAAATGGTTTCTACAAAAAATAATGATTCCATGTAAATAAAATTTCTGTAGTTAGACTACCGATACACTTTAAATCTTACTGTTGTTTTTATATTCACCGTTTTCATCATTTTTCTCTGCCAATGAATAATAATATTAATGATAATAATAATGAATAATAATTCAAAAAGATAATTATTACAATAAATAATACCAATAACAATAACAATAAAGGTAATAATAATAAATGGGATTGATATGTTATCAATTACAAAAAAGTGTTAAAAAATGAAAAGGAGTATTCGATTCCCCACCCCCCCCCCCCCCCCCCCCCCCCCGTACGTTTCTCAAATTTTATTATATAATAACTTTCGATACAATATTTATTTATTTACCTGCACATAAAATATCTACCGGTAGGTTTAATTGATTACCAGATTACCGAAACAATTTTTTTTAGCTCCGAAGCTTACTAACTTAGGTCTACATGTGTGCAAAGAAAAAATTGGTTGCAACACTTTCGCACATAGTGCAGTGGCAAGTTTTCACAGGGCTGCGCTGGCGTCGTGTATGACTACCAGATGACTACGAGTGTATCGTAGCCGCCAGCTGCGCATTTTGCTGCTTGCTGATGCGGTTAATAAAAAAGGTCACAAGTTGTCACACAACCATCCATTGACTTGTGTTTTTTAAAAAAAATTAAAGTAGGTCCTAGGGGTCTAAATAAAACATTAAACCATCGTTATTTCGCCATATGTTGCCCTAGGGCGTTGATCTTGGTATTAATTTCGATGTATTTTTCATGCTGTTTCGAATGGTACTATTGTTAGGAAATTCAAAGAATTCTATTTTTTTTTTACACGTCCCTATTACAATAGTAACCTTACCAATACAATGGCAATATCCTATTCGTAGTCCGACTCTGACTCTAGCGCGTCAAGCGCACCCATTTGTGTTTCAAATAAGCTGTAATTGTAGGGTATTGTACGATATGTTTCATATATTTACCTGTCCTGTATGTGTGACTTTCTCCCCTGAGCAAAACAATCTCGTTGAAGTCACAATGGGCTGCCTTACAGCTGAAAAACGGACCAAATTGGACGAGCTTGCTCGCCGGAAAAGTAGCCTGAGCGCCGCCATTTTGATTATTTGTCATCCTTGTTCGAGATGCATTTAAAAACATTATATTTCAACGTGAGACCATCTTATTAAAATATGATTTAAATGGTCTTAATTAAAGTGCTTAATTCAAAATATTATCCATGAATAATCATTAAGAATGACGTATGATAATTTGTTAGGAATTTATCTCGATAATTTCAACCGATCATTGGCATTGCCAAACAGACTCTACCTGCAAGCAAGCCAGCCGTGTAGATGACTATTTCGTCCATAAATAATATTAATAAGCTATTGTATTGGTTCGTACCACTGATCTCTACGGAAACCGTACCCGACTTTAAACTGCTGACTTCTGATCTTCTGTTGGGTGAGAAAACCGTATTAAACCTTTTTTGTGAGGGGGAGAGGGGGAGGGGGAGAGGGGAAGGGGGAGAGGGGGAGAGGGGGAGAGGGAGAGGGAGAGGGAGAGCTAGTGCAGTAGGGGAGGGGTATTTGTTTTTCTTTCCCTTTCCTTCCTTTTCTCTTATTTCTGTGATGAGGGGGGGGGGGGGGGGGGCAATTAGGCCCATTCGCCTTCCCGATCTCCTTTCCCCCCCTTTTCTTCTCTTCCTCTTTTTTCTTTCCCTTTCTGAGTTTCTCTCCTCTTTCCCTCTCCCTTCTTTTCCTTCTCTCTTCTTTTCCTTCTCTCTTCTTTTCCTTCTCTCTCTCTCTCTCTCTCTACTTTTTTTTTGCGGGTAGAGGGGGAGGGCAAGGCCCGCTCGCGGTCGGCCCCGCGCCTGGGTCACACCACCATACTAGTACTATAAGAGACTAGAGTCCGAGAGGTGCCAACTAGGCCAGGGGCCGCCGGGTCGAGTTGTCTATATATCTTGGGGTCTAACTTGCCCGTCAGTTTGCAACCATTACTCATAGCAAGGAAAACAATTGCAAACTCTACACAAGACCACAGTTTGAAGTTTCCTTGCTATCCATTTTTCCATGGGCAGTGATGGGAGCTGCCATTTTGATTGAACTTCTGATTAGACCCCTACTGTTAAAAATTAGGTCACTGGAAAGAAGAATTGGACAATTTAATTGCCAAGTTATATTCAGCTATGTTAAAAGATGTTAAACTTGTCTTCTACATATGTTTCTTGTTTTTCTTACAGATATAGATCTCATTCTCGAGGAGAAGTAAATCCAAAACGGCTTATAAATCATCATGGCCAGTGCTGCTCAAAGCCTCTCTGGATTCCTGAGAACTTTGAGCAAAGTTAGTACCAGGTGTTACAGAATAACTTATCCTCTACTGCAAAGTCCAATTTCACGTTGCCTTGGAACCTGGAATCTGACAAGAAGACATGGCAAGTTGACTGCACAGTCTTGGACCAAGAGATTATCAGCTTCGGATAGCCCAAGTGGTTTGGGCTCTGCTCACATCACAACCCCAGTACCACTTCTCCAGCTTGTCAACACTATGAAGAAGAAGTCTGCTATCAAACGACGATGTAAAGATTGCAAGGTAGTTATTAAGGACAAGAGAGCATACGTCATATGCAAGACGTCACCGAGACACAACCAAGTCCAGGGATAGTGAAAAATGCATCATGAAAAGAAATGGACTTCAGCCGTTACATACATGTCATTTCAGTAAGAGATTTGAGAAGAAAACATGTGCAGGTGTTATAATCAAGGCTTTATCTATGTTGATCACAAGTTGGTTGGATGAAATAATCATCAAAAACTCTTGGATATGTGATCCAACAAACAGTAATTGATGTACACGCAGATGCAATGATTTAAGATTTGAACAGATGAGTGTGCAAATGCAATTATTTTTCTTTAAATGATCTGTATTTGACTATTTGTAAATGATTGTACTACTGTTATGATTGAATTGTTGTCTAGGGATGCATTATGAATGTGCAGAAGGGGTCAGATATATCCAATCAATCATCAACTATGTCCAGAATTTGACACTGAACAAATTACCAAAAGACGTCTAATAGCATTTGTTTACTCTAAAAAAAGAAGGAAAAATAGAGAGGCAGACTGGTGAGAGTTTGAACAAACTGGACAAAAAATAAGGAAGTTATGAATTTTTGGACAAAATGATGTACATGTTGTTGCATTCATTGCCATTAAGTAAACATCATTTCCCTTGGCCTACATTTATTGATGCTAGTTTCACTTTTGCTTTCATAACATGATTTCCAAGATTACAAACTGGAGTGTTTAGAGGTTTTCATTGAAAATGTGCATATCTACATGTAGTTTATACATTGTGTATGTTGGAATGTCCAATACTGTATATCTTGTCCAATAAATTACCATGTATGCTAAAACAATCTTTGGTTTACCAGACTACAGCTTATAGTGCTACTACAGTGTGGATCACACCAATATGAATACAAATTGAACTATTGATGTTAATTATGTAGCTAATTAGATTTTACTTTGTTAATTGTGGAACTTAACATATAAATTACTTTTAAATGGCCCTTGTAGATCACTACTAGCTGTTCTTATGTTAACACTGTTGATCCCACCACCCTCACAACACATTTGTAGTCGATTACATGATTCCCAAAACAAAAGCAAAAGAGCAAAACATCCCAATTTTAGAAGAAATACCTGTCAATGTGCACTCAGTGATGGTAGGGAAGTTATTGCTCATCTATGAGACACTCATTCATCATATTATGTTTGAAAAATTATTTATCAGACATACTAGATATCATTTCTTTATCGATCTTGTAGATTGTATATCTTCTGCAAAACACATGTATTCTTTGGAACAATAAAGTGATATGATTCATTTGTCTACATTTTAAAAGAATATATTTATTTCATCATTTTATGTACACTATATGACAAAGAAATCATAATTAGATGAACAGCATGAGTTTTCAATGTTTCATTATTGGAAATTGAAATTTCATCCAGGTACAAACATGTATAGTGGAAAATCAGGTCCAATCAGGATACATGTTTACATAATGTACAAAAAAGAAGCTCAATTCATGAGGGGGTCAGTGACTCAAAGACATAACTCCATTTTGAGAACAAGTGGTTTAAATATAGAGGTCCACTTGGGCCTTAAGGAGTTAAGTCTAGGTTTCACTAGCCATTGACTTCAATGGGGGGGGGGGGGGGGGGGGGGTTGGGTGGAGTTAAAGTCTTGGTGTTTCCTGGAAAGCCCACATTTTTCTGAACATTTTGGCAAAATATGGAGTTACGTCTTTGAGTCACTGAACCATCAAATTTATTTTCTACATTACACTATCGATAAATGTGGCAAGTTTGAACACATACATATTTCCAAATTTTGTAGTTCAGCATTCAATTCATGATTTTTCATTTGCATGTAATTTTAAGTCCATGGCTGTCGACACTATTCAATTAAGGAATATCATTTGATAAAAGTCAATTTCCCCTCATAAAATTTCAAGCATGTGTTGAAAAGATCAGAGAGAGAAAGAGAAAATGATAACAAATGCGATGTACATATGAAACTCTTGTTTGCTTTTACCCTTATCAAAAAGCAAATTTATGTAGATATTTCTTTTTTCTCTAATGAGGGGGGGGGGGGGGGGGGCTTTCTTATAAAAAAAGGAATAGATTAGATTTAATTTGGAAACGTACACATACATGTACTGATGCATTTCACAATCAGAATATTTCACAAAGAGCACAGATTAATGGCACAATCAAGAAAACTTCACATTTTAACAAACGTAAATGTACATAGATGAATAACATATAGCACTATGGGATGATTTGACAGCATATTTTGGGGAATACATGTATCCAAAAAAATTAAGCTGCTAAAAATCAATCATAATTTCATGAAAAAAGTATAATTATACCAGAAAAAAAATGACTTAAAGGCCATCTTGCATGACATATTTTTAAATTAAATTAATTAAATTAGAAAATACTCCCATGTTATACAGCACAGATTAGTTAATTATGACATTATTTCATGACATATATTTACTACAAAGTATTTTATCCAAAATGATTACACTCAACACAATCATTGCATTGATAAATTTGGCTCCCTGTTAGTATGTTTATTATTCAAATGATTATCAGGCTGGAAGCTTTGTGTCAAAATGTACCACTTTTTTTTTACTGTAAAATTGCCATTTTTTATGTTGGTTTTCATGATTTACAATAGCATGTCATCTCATCCTAAATGACAGCTTACACAAAGATAACACACAGTAGCTATAATGGTTTTCATTTCTTCATCATCCAAAAGAACTGATGTTTCTTTGTTATGTATCAACTGATAAAGTCATTTTAAATATTCTTCAAGCCAAGCCTACTTATTTGAACACAATTATTTTGACTATTTAGAGCGAGAAGCAAGCTAATTCCTGTACTTAAACATAGTGACATCATTCTGACTCCATGCAGGAGCAAATGTGATAGATGAATTGCTGATAGAGAGAACAAGTCTGAAGAATTGGAGCTTGAAAATATGTAATTCATTAAGACCTCTTTTGCCCCAATTAGATAATATCTTAATTAGCTTAATTAATATAAGAAACAAGTAACAGTAATAATAATAAAAAACCAGACATGAGATAAATCTAGGGATGAACTTGCAGCATACAAATATATTTCATTACCCGTTAAATATGGAAAAACTAAATACAAGTATAGTGTAATGACTTTGTTATCAATATACCATTAAATAAAATATAATGATTATAGGTACAATTATTTTAAAAATAACAATAACATGTTTGATCTTGATTCAACTCTATGTGACCCTAAAACTGAATCAATATATCAATATACATCTCTTTGTATAATAATGACAAAGCTTGTACTTTTTCATATGCAGATTCTTTATTTATCATCACAAAGCAAGTCTACAATCTACTCAGATTGACTTCTCATATAATTGTTTGTATTTGTAAGTGTTTAAATCAAATCATATCAGAATAGTACTAACAAAAATAAGGCAATACATACAGACACAAACAATATAGATAGCTTCATTGCAATACAGCAATTTTGGGAGGTTATTGTGACCTATTCTCTGTACATCAAGATATCTGTTTGGGACAAGAACAGTTTAACTCATATACTTTAACACAGAGTTAACACCCTTCTGGCTCTATAACAGACAAAATAGTGTGTACCTCTCACAATATTTTATCTGCTTTCAAAGAGTGCTGATAGATCACTTTCATGGCGGGGACTTCCAATAATCAAAATCTGTTCACTCCCCCAAACATGTAGCATAAAACTATTTACTTTGACACCCCTCCCCCTACATTCGGTGACACTAATCCCCATCACTAATGGCACTGACTGGGTTGGTATGGCACTGAATGGGTCGCAGGGGTGATGGTGAGCACTACAAAAAGAAAATTCTTCAACCACCTCCCCCTTGAGTAACAAAGCAAAAAAAGATTCAGGAAAAAATGGCATCTAACAACAATCCCCGCCTTTTGAGTAAGAAAATTGGGGAAAAATAGAAAAAGAAAGGGAAAAATAGAGAAAATAAGGGAAAAATCGGGAAGAAAAAAAAAAAATCTGGAAAAAAATTAAGGAAAAAATCAGGTAATTATAAGGCCTGTTCCTTTAAAGCCTCTGTTGTCGTGAATTTTGATGAGAGATAGGGTGTAATCTGCTTGGTCTGGTTGACTATCTATGCTACACCTGAAGCCTGTCTTCCTTTAGCCATCACCTCCTCTATAGCTTCCACAGTCCTGGGTACATCATTGAGAAGCTCAGTGCCATCAGCAGTGATCAACACATCATCCTCAATACGAACCTAGGTATGCAAGATGGATGGATAAGCATTGGCTTTACTGTATTGTCAAAGGCTTGAGGATATAATATACTACTGGGGGTGTTTCACAAAGATCTTAAGTTGAACTTATCTCTAAGTTGGACTCAACAATTATGGAAAGCCGTTAGCAACTTTGAAATATTTTGTAAAAACTATTTTAAAAGGCATAAATTCATAAGTTCATATTTTCTATTATGAAGGAGATTTCATGTTCTTGATGAGGAATTTATAAAAAGTCTAAAATAATTGATTTTTCACTCTTGAATACATTTTATTTTTAGGCTACAAATGGCTCTCCCTAGTTTTTAAGTCCAACTAAGAGTTAAGTTTGACTTAGGGTCTTTGTGAAATACCCCCCTGGGCTTGACTGCCAGGCAACAGAAGTGAGCCCAAGTGGACAACATGGTTGCATGATATTGGTAAACCTAAAATGAGTAAAAATTATCAAGATTAATAGAGACAAATACAATGACCTAGTCTGCCCCATTGTCTTTGTATGGAATACAAGAGAGGGATGACAGATGAGAACTTTAAAATACAAACATACAGAAAGTTACTTTGTATGTTGATGTCTACTTTTTAGCAAACCAGATTTTTACCCAGTGTGACATCCCAACACCTAATGTTGATTGTGGTGTTGAGTCTTATAAAAGGCTCATGTCATCCCTCTTTGCTGATATACTGACTGACCACAGACTACTGGCTAGTTTTATATCAATGAGATGTAATACTGTAATTCAATCATAATGCACACTAAATCTATCACATTTTGTAAATGTCTCAGATGGTTCATCTTAAGAAAGACAACTGCAGAGAACTTACTCCTCCGAATCCTCTGAAACGTTGCAAGACTTCAGGTACAATGAATCGAGACCTTGCTGGGTCATTCAGGGCTTCATCCAGCAGCTAGAATATGACAAATAAACCAAAAAACAACAACTACAAATTACACATCATGTCACCTGATGCAACTGTAGAGGTAAGAATACACAAACAACTGGAAACATAATCCCTGTAAAATACTACATTAGCTACTCTATAGCTAATTGTGAAACATCCAGAGTGAACCTTTCTACACATTTTAATAAATTGTTCCATACTTTTTTTTTCCAAATAAAAACAAAAATGAAAATAGAAAATAGGCATAATTACTAAATGCAGAGGTGAAAGTGAGCACTAAAAAAAAAGGGGGGGGGGGGGAGGGGGTTTTCCCTCTTAACCACGCCCCCCATGAGTAAAAAAAAGAAGAGGATTCGAGGGGGAAAAATGGCATCCTACAACATTTCCCCCTTTTGAGTAAGGAAATTGGGGAAAAATAGGGATAAAATCAGGAAGAAGAAAAAAAATCTGGGAAAAAAAGAAAACAAAAATTATCAGGCCTGTAGATGTAGCAATGTACAAAGAGCTTGCATTTGTTTTTTAAGCATTTAAGGACTGATTCATTGAACTGCATTCATTTTTAACTTGTAAATGTTCAATCATAATATTAAATTGATTCCTCTCTCTCTGCATATGACTCACCACATCAATGAAATATATGCCTGGCTCTATGGTGAGAACCATTCCCTCTTCTAGCGTACGAGCTGTACGCAGGGATCGGAGTCCAGGCGCTGTGCTTCTTTCCACGCCCTGTATTAGAAAAGTACCATCAGATTGATATAAAAAGCACTTAATTCCATGATGCAACAATAATCTTAAACAGACTTCAATCCGATAAGATCAAGCTTGAAATATAAATTCATATGTGCATCAATTTTGTCTGAAGTTGGAACAACCGGAATTTTTTATTCAGTGCCAACTATGTATAATTAGATAAGGAAATCAACTCAGATTTGGATATGGTAAGTAAACTTTCCAGTCATTAAACATATTTTTCACATTAGGGGAAAGCAAAATCAATGAATGGGCATGTGCAGTAAATTTTTTTTATATACTTCTCAACTCGTGTAAATAGTGATTGAGCTCCTCTAGGATTTCCTACATCCTTTCAATATCACAAAGAGAGAACCGATATCATGGCTTAGAAATGAGAAGGTGCCTATGTGCCACTGACCACCCAACATCGTCAATGGCAACTAAAAAGCACAGTCTTTGACGCTTAGTTTAACACTTAACCTAAATACTGATAATCCCGGTGCTCCAGAATTCATTAATACCCTTGCTTTCGCAAGACTGCTAAAACAAAAATCAAACATTCACAAACTTTTTCCCCATTTAGTATCCATCTACCACTTTTGACTAAAGTGTATCAAATGCAGATGTAAAGCTATATACCTCAGGATATCCATTGACATCATGTGTGTCGATCCCCATAAAGTGACCTAGACCATGAGGCATAAACACAGCTCCAAGATGTACAGCCATCATCTCATCTACATCACCTTGAAGCAAGCCATGAGTTACCAGCTCAGCTAGGAATGTACGCTCAGCGAGACGATGCATGTCAGGCCACGACACACCTGTATTAAACACAGTCAATAGAGCAAGGTAGAAAATAATGAACTTCTTCTGTACCATATATTCATTGAAGAATATATATATATTATAGAATTTGTGTTGAGTTTGTAAGCATTAATTTCTACAGGGGGTAGCACATTGGACTTGACTCCAAATTTTATAGGTACTATGTCCCATTTGCAGGCCAAACAAATGAAAAAGTTAAATTCCAACTGCATTTGAAAGATAATACTTATTTAGAACTTCCCTAAAAAGGTGGGGCTTGAAAATGTCTTCAAGTGGGAAAATAATGACAATTAGTTGTCAAATCGAATTTGAGGTTGGCTGCAAAAGGGACATAGTACCTTTAACGACTGCATGGTAGATAATCTTTGGAGGGGCAATGGTTGGGGAGGAGCATTAAGATTGTCTCCTGCTCCTAACCTAGCATGAAGCACAGCCCTGTTGGCTTTCAAGTCAGCATGACCCTTTGATTTACAGGGGCAAGGGGGGGGGGGGGGTAGAGTTATTTAACTAAGCTGATCTACTTGCATTGAGCACAGCACGGTTGGCTTTCAAGACAGCATTGTAGATGATCTATTGATCAGGAGAGAAAGAGTGACGGGACGGGGAGGGGGAGGGGAGGGGGAGGGGGAGGGGGAGGGGGAGGGGGAGGGGGAGGGGGAGGGGGAGGGGGAGGGGGAGGGGGAGGGGGAGGGGGGGGAGGGGGAGGGGGAGGGGAGGCTCACCTGGTCGGCTGGCATTGAGCACAGCTCGGTTGGCTTTCAAGACAGCATTGTAGATGATCTTCTGATCTGGGGTGAACTTTCCATTGGCAGGGAAGGAACAGGTGATGTCAGAAGTGTAGCAGTAGTACTCTCCTCCCATGTCAAAAGAGCTGAACGACGGAACAGGGTTAGATTCATCATTGATGGGTCAGTATCACACATATATACAGTCAAACCTGCTTTAGTGACCACCTGTCTAAAAAAACCACCTATCTACAACAAACACATTTTTGGTTTCCCTTGGAAATGGTTTCTCATTGAAACATGTACTAAAGGAATCTGTCTACAAAGACCACCTGTCTACAAAGACCACTTTTAGTGTTTCCCTTGGGCGGTCACTATAGACAGGTTTGACTGTATATGTTGATGGGTTATTTTGTGTATATCATACTGGACATTCATCATAGTCTTTATCATTGTATGACCACTGCAGCCAAGATGGAGTTCACTCTGCAAAACCACTCCCTCTTTACCAAAAGAACACACACTTTATGGAATATTGTTTTATGATAGTGATTCTACCAGGGAGTGGGAATGGACACTCCCTGATTCTACAAGAATTTCATGTCAATGGTGATATTAAGTTATACTTCATTTTTTAATGAATGATATAGAAACTTGGCCTTGATGCTACGTGACACAGAAATGCTTAAAGGGGCTGTAGCATGACAAAACTATGCGTCTTTCCTGAGGCCCACTTGCGGAAAATTGGGTATAATACGACTGCGGACTACACGACCGCAGTAGGCCTTTGTATTCACGTGCATGCAACATACGCGAAAACCGAAGCGTGAGGAGAACTTTGGTCTGTTTCGCGAACGCTAGCGCGCTGACCCAGTTAACCAAGTCCATTTGTTAGGGTGCAGTTGTCCAAAAGAAGACGTAGATGGCGCCAACCAGTATTTCCCATGCTACAGCCCCTTTAAGATGACAGGTACAACATTCCCTCACCCCCCACACCCCATAATGAATCACTTCAAGTAATGAGAAATTAACATGCCACTCTGAGGGTGCTTTGTGACTGCCAACAAAACATTTTTCTTGTTATCAAAATACATTTCATTAATATCACTTAGAATTACATTTAATAAACATAGTTCCAAGCAGCTGGAAGTTATTTAAAAAATGGTATATTTGTAGCTTATACTTACATATGTCTCCATCTTGTATCTGTTTGTCATTAGGAGCTCCTGAATGACCATAGTGAAGAATAGCACCGCTGCATCCACTTTAACATAAATATAGAGAAATATATAGAAGTATAACATTCAGTCAGTAAGGTAGGGTCCAGTTATTAAACCAAAACCTGAAGAGACTGGCACCACTACATCCACTGTTATACAAATAGAATAATATCATTCAGTTATAAACAGAATGATAGAGTAAGCTTCAGTTAAAAACTTATACATTAACAAGAGAATAGCAGAATTACATCCACTTATTATACATGTATACAGTTATTATTTAATGATAAGAGTACGGTCGAGTCGAATACAAACTTATAATTTACTAAAAACAGACATTATCCACTAACCATGTATTCTCAATATATCCTTGGATATATTGTTGATTATCCTTGAAGAGAGAGAGGGAGGGAGGGAGAGAGCAAGAGAGAAAGGGAGAGAGGGAGAGAGAGAGAAAGGAAGAGAGGGAGAGAGAAAGGAAAGAGGGAGAAAGGAAGAGAGGGAGATAGAGAGAGAGAGAAACAGAGAGAGAGAGAGAGGGAGAGAGAGGGAGAGTGGTGAGAGAGAGGGAGAGGGGTGTGAGGGAGGGAGGGAGGGAGGGAGAGGGAGGGAGGGAGGGAGGGAGGGAGAGGGAGATGGGACGTAGGTCTAACATTCATCTTACCTGGCAGCTACACATGACCAAGATGTGAACCTACAGCCACCTTGAGAGTAACAGTAATGTCTGAACAAACTGAAAGGAATAAAACAATATCATTATGATATATATCTCACCTGGCCGCAATACAGGCATAGGACAAGAAGCGACAGCCCCCTTCTGAATGGCAGTAGTTTCTAAACAAGCTGCAAAGCATACAGACAGAACAGAGTTGACAATGCTAAATGCTATTACCAAGTTAGTATGAGTTGATCAATGACTGACAACGTTTACCTACAGTACTTTCCTTGAAAAATGTTCAACATGAACAAGAATTCTTTCAAGCATTTTAAAGAATAAAATATATATCTATACTTCCTCAACTTTTAAACATCATTCTTCTTTTACACAATTTGTCTTAAATGAATATTCAATATAACTACAGTTTTAATATACTTTCAATGATCTATTCAATAATGGACCAATAAACCTTGAAGAAAGAAGCAAGATGCATGACTGGAGAACAGAAGAAGACAGGGTTAAATGCATAAGCCATAGACAAGGTTACCGGTACATGCAGAAGAGATAGATATGATTAAATGCAAAAGAAATAGATGTAAAAGCAATACCGTAACTGCAAAACATGATGAACTTACACTACATAAATCTAGCACATTATATTTTGCTATCATTATCACACAACCCAGTCCAGAGGTTTACACAAACATTTTTCTTCACTTATCCTTCTTCCCCCTCTTATTGAACATCCACTCCAAGCCTGAATATCTTTTCCCCAGTTATATCCTTTTAGTTATGTTGTTGTTGTTGTTGTTGTTGTTGTTGTTGTTGTTGTTGTTGTATCTCTCCCTCCAGTCTAGCTCCATCAAGTTTACCTCCTACACTGTAGCATATCTTTCAAGAAACTATACCTTTAGGTGTGACCAGAGTAATTGCTTATCTTTGACTGACTAGTTCTGCCAAATAACTTGTGAAGTGAATATGTCTGAATGACTGCTATTTGACTAACCTTTCTAGTTGGTATTCATACATGCCAGGTCTGATATTTTTCATGACTTCGATGTGAGCACGGCTAGAAACCTGACAAACGTAACGCAGGACTTTCAGCTCCTCTGGGGTCTTGAACACTCGGCTAAAAGATGATAATAAAAGTAAGACATGATGTGGTCCCTGTCACAATAAATCTTGAAGTACAGTGTAATCCATAGTTCAAAGAATTTTACACCATCCTAATACTGGTACTTGTCTAGAAACTAAGAATATGAACTTTGTGAGGCATATAGTAAGATGAATAAATTATGTATCGGGAACAAAATACTCTGTAGCAAAATATTTTAGTCTCTACATCTTTATTTCCAATAATTCAAATGTGAAGTTGAAATGTGAAGTTAAATGCATAGTTTTACTATGACTGCACTCATTTTGAATTTTGCTACTTTTCATTAAAAAATAAAATTTGATTATATTTATTAATGTTTTTCCTCACCATTCTGCAATGCTAGGGTGAAGAATGTAGTTGTTCACTCGAAACCTGAAATGAGAAAATATTGAAACTATAATAGATTGCAACTAAGACAAAGGACATTTTCAATTTGTGAATGATTAAATTCTGATAGATTTCAACTCTTTACATGACAAAGAAACATGGTGGTAAGAAATGAGTCACAATAATATCTGTTTTAAATGATCCTGTCCTAAACATCAAACAGAGACTTCCAACATTTGAATTGTTTTGTTCCCTCTATCAATCTTTATTCATATGGTTGAAGATACAATTCCCCTGAGTGAGGCATCAATGTTCATTCAAATACATTGCACGTTTCTTTTCTCTTGGGGTGGGGCAAATATCAAAAATATTGATTCAAGGTACAAATATCAAATAAAAGAATATAATCCTTTAAAAATATCTTCATAAACATCAGATAAGACGTGTGTACCCAACAAGGCGTCTGCAGTTGTATCTTCCGGTCTTCATATTGCATAAAATGCAAACATGTATATTTTGAAATAGTGGTAGAAATGCGTCCACCTACTTTTCAATGCCAGCAAATGTTGCCTCTTTGCATGTGCTTCCGCTATCTGTGTTCAGCCCTCTCTGGAAAATGTACACAAAAATAAGTAGATAAATTCATGGAGTGTCCATACTAAAACAAAATGTCATGGTGAAAACTTGTTACATTACTACACTGCAGTTCTCTTAGATGAAAAATGGTTTATCATGTAATCTATCACTCAAGTCATATAAAGATCGTCAAACAAATCCAAGTGAATTCATAAGTGAGAATTTCAACATTGCCAAGTGAACCAAACACAAATTAAAAAAAATTACACAAGCTCTTGGCTTTATAAAAAGATGGGCTTCAAATACAGTACTTGGACAAGAGTCAAACAATGGTCTCAAATCATGCTTTCGTGCGGCAATTTTTTTTGGGAGGACGAGGGGCAAAAAAGTTTGTACAGCAACATTACAATTAGAAATTACACTCAATTTAAGCGGACAGAATAAATATTAATGCTCATATTTGTTCTAAACCAATATATTCATTCATGATCCCAGTTTCCAACATCCCATCTGATAAACCTCCTTTCTCTAATTTTCCGTGGTGACTACCTTGCAGGCCAAACTAAATTGCCCACAAGCTCCTTTAGATTTAAACCCAAAGCGAGCTCGTTCTGAAGTCAAGTTCCAACAACAGAAGCTATAACAAGGTCTATGTTTTCCTTTTATTAAACTTAACTTTGTCCCAACATTGGGGTTTAAATGAATATGGACATGCATCCAATATGCGGCACATCTTTTTAATCAGAATGGGTTCACCCGTGTCAGACTCTGACCCTTGCAATTAGAAAATTAGAATATGCTGTGGATCTGAGCTGCGCCTTCTGTACCAAATCATTTAAAGCCTCTCTAAAGTGTTGGGAGTCTCAAAAATTTGACGGCCAAATTTCACTAAAATTGTTTCAGAATTTATGAAAGAGGATGTCATTTGAGACACATTTCAGCAAGGGTTTTTAAAAAAAAATGTGTTCACATCATGATACAATTTAAGTACCATTTTGCCATCAAATTGTTGGCAAATTTGGGGCTCCCAACACTTTAGAGGGGCTTTAACTAAATAAAATTAGGAAAAGAAAACTTGGATAGACAATAGAGAGAAGCGAGAGACGAATGGGTGGGTAGAGGAGGGTGGGGGACAGAGAGAGAGAGAGAGAGATAGGGAGAGAGCTTGCTTTACCAATGTGAGCAGAACAGATGGCTTGTAAAGATGCAAGGGCTGAGGAATCTGTGGAGGAAGAAGAGAAATAGAGTTTTAATGAGAATATTGATTCTTAACTTCATAATTTACAAGTTATATATGATTCATTCATTACAAGTTATTCCAAATCATTAACATATAACAATTCATATTTGATTAAAGCCAGACATATACTGTTCTAAGAGATATTTACTTTTGGTAAGACTCTCTATAAACAACATACCGTTACATAACATAATCATAATTGAAATGAAAACAAGAAAAAGTAATATATCATTCAGGAGTGTCTAAATTATGATCTTAACCAAGCAAACACTGATCTATTCATATTCTCTTTCTATAGTAACTGAATGACATACATAGCACCACAGAAACACAGTTTTCACCAAGATGTTTATACCATGCATCAGACATGACAGTGTATTTTAAACAAAACACATTTATCCTTACATCTTGTGAGTAATGTGCCTCATCCACTGCATACTTCTCTTTGTAGAATTCTTTTAGGTTGGATTCTGCAGTGGAGAGAAAGGCAGGGGTGATAGTGAGCACTAAAAAAAAAAGAAGTTTTTGTCCCCCTCAACCACGCCGCCCCCCCCCCTTGAGTAAAAAAAGAAAAGAAGAGGATTCAGGGGGAAATGGCATCTAATAACATTCCCCCCCCCCCCCATTTCAAGTCATAAAAATGGAAGAATAGACAAAATAAGGAAAAATCTGGAAAAATCTGAAAGAAAAAAAATCTGGAAAAAATAAAAAATCTGGTTTTTATCAGGCTTGGAAAGGGGCAGATCATCATACACCATCATCACTAGATTGCAAACCTCCAACACAGTCCTTACCCCACTTCTATTTTCCAGGGGATAGGTTATCCGGGGGTCAATCAAATTACTTTTGGCAACCTGTGTATTTTTGAAAGTCATTTTCCAGGTGTTTACAAAACTTTGACACTTCCTTATGTGCTGTACAGGCAGGAAGCTGAATAAAATCAAGAGGTCATCAGGTCACGGCTTCACTTCCTAGACTAGCACCACATGACCATCGTCCTAGATATAATAACTGGATTGAGATCATACATAAAGGCTTTCTTTTAGCGTACATGATACTGTAAGTTTATCAAAAAGAAGACTGACGAACAGAAGATGGGCTAGCGAAGAAGTTTCTAGAGGTTGTTATTTGTCATAATCCCTCTTGATAATGATTATGAAGATATCTACGTAGAGAAGTGCGATTTTGCTTTTAAACCTAAATCAATATTTCTACACTTCATTGCAATATCATTCAGCATTTTCACCTCTTTGAATAACTGTTCTCAGCATTTCTATGAAATTTCATAAACAAGGGCATCTTGAATAAAGTTGTGATTAAACGCAATTCTAAGCACCAAACGCAACCTCGGCTTTCAGCTAATCACAGTGCATTTATGACTTGTGTTAGATCTTTTGAGTTGTAATTTCCTCCATTTTTTGTTTTTCATGCACTAGGCCCCTATTCATTCATCACCGTAGCTACAGGTATATATGAACTGTTCCTGCGAAATAGCCTACCTTAAAAAACTCTATGATATGTGTACAGAATTTACAGAATATGATAAATCTTTGGAAACTTCTTTTGAATAAAAAGAAAAGAGAGTCAGTGAAAATTAATATCAAGTCTTACTTTCCCATCCATACAGCATATGCTTCAGGCAGCCTAGGAGGAAGAGAATTGCTTTCCCAGTATCTACAATGATAGCTCCAGAGAATGATGATTCAGTCACACCAAAGGCCCAGTGGAAGTAGGATTCCTAAAATAACCACAACATAAAGTTCTTGTCAACAGCCTACTTACAAATAATAGAAAATCATTATTTGTTTTAGTTAGTTTTTTTTATATGCACATTTGTGATATTGTACACCTCATCTTCACATGAAGGGATCTGAATGCAAAGTAGAACCCTGCACTTAGTAGGATCCTCAATTCTCAGACATTTGGCTACATACTCAGATTTCCTGGCAGATAAACATGTACCTGTTTATCGTTTGGTCCCAAAATGTCCAAGGAGGTGGATTGGGTGGATCAAAGAACATGTGCCTGCTCAGGACCTAATAATATGTAAGCACCGCTGTACATTATTGAAGCCTCAAGTGACTCTCATTTGAAAGGTCCCAGATTCGTTCTTGCTCAGTGTTTACATCCTTGGGCAAGTTGTTTTGCCCAGGTGTATTAATGGCTAACTATCAATGCTGGGGGGAATGATGATTGCAAAGCCAACAGGAGAGCAGTATCAATAATGACAAACCACCCTGGGTAGTAATAATAATAATATGTCTTGTTTACCCAGGGTAGCCTCATCACAGCATTCATACTGTTCTCCCTGAGGGCCCTGCAACCATATTATTAACCCGGCTTTAACCGAGCTACCATTAAAAGGTGCTCAAGCATTCAAGGAATTTCTTCATACAGGGTACCCATTTACTTCACCTGGGTAGAGTATGGCAAATGTAGTTCAATGTCTTGCCAAAGGACATTAGAGCCACGGTGGGACTCGATCCGGGAACCATGCGATCCACAATCCGGGGACGTATCCACTAGACCACAACACCTTCACAAATAAATAGAATTCTAATTACCTGTCTGAAGAGCGGTTCATGGTCTGAGCAGTTCCTCATCTGCTGCTCACCTCCTTGCAGTAGAACAATAGCACCTGCTGGTAGCTGAGGGTCAGACTTGAGCCGTTTGCACAGACTCTCACGGTTGATGGCATGGAGACTACGCGGAACGGAAAGGGTGTGGTCTCCAAGACAAAAGGCAGGACTGTAATAACAAGAAAAATAGTATGAATAGGTATGATTTATTTGTTTGTAACTCTGCTTTGTCTTGTCTGTAAGTATCAATACCCTAACATTTTTATTACTGTATACAGTGTTTCAACGTTTTGTAAATCCTTCTTTCTTCACTTGCACAGGAGCAGTTATCCTCAAGATAAATTAACCACAAACTACATTGATTATTTTCAAAGCAAGATGAGATGAGCATTGGTGGTCTGAACTATTTAATATTTTATGATTGAAACCATCTCAATCCCCTGCGCATATAAAGCAAAGCAAAGACACTGATTTCCCATTGATCGGAGACCGCAGAACCTAGCAAACTCTAAAGAGGTGACTGAGGATCGCAGGATCTAGCTCTCGCTCTCCTCATATCTAGCTTATAAATGATGATGATGATGTACTGTATGACTATCACTGCTTGCTAGAAGATGAATAGGTAGAGAGAAGATGCTGATGGAGGGATCAAATATGATTTCTGTTAACAAAAGATGTTACAAATTTTTCTGCATCTGACTATGTTTGTGAATTTTTACAAAGGTATCCCACAGAATGTTTCTACTACTAACCAGTTAAAAGTAATGCAAAGTTCTGGGAAATTTCAAAAATTGGATGCATATTAATTCTTTCAAATTTTGATATATTTGGATGCCCCTGTGGATGTTTTATAACCACTAGAAGATTAGCCCCTAAACAGTTCTGCCTTTTGAGAAATTGAATAATCAAAATTTACAGGTGCTCCCGGTAAATTTCAAATAGTGCCAAAGGCCATTCCATGGTAGCTGCGACCATGAAAATCTCAGAATATGCAGTTAATTTCCAGACGGGAATAGCAAATCGTTTGATTGTAGTAAAGAAACATTATTTTAAAGCTAAAGTAATATCAGTCTTGAGAGGGCGCTATACAACATGAAGAGTTTATCATTTACAATTTCATCACTTTAGGTTTGATTTCAACCGCGACTACGATCATTGAATATATAGTAAACGGGTTTCCTTGCATAATTTGAATAGTAGGACACTGCTAACGTTTAAATTTCACAGATAGGACAAACATTACATAAATTCCTGCAAAGTTCTACAGAATTTGATGTTGGCTGCAAAAGGGACATAGTATCTTTAATATATATGTAACTGATCGGAATCTTGTGCTGTGTTTAAAATGTGATGTGGCATCAATTATGAATAACTTATTTCAACCATACCTTTTCCACAGGACTTCCCACTCTCCCTCTCTCTCTCGCTCTTTCTCTCCCTAACTCTTTCATCTCTCGCTCTCCATCTCCCTACTCTCTTTCTGTCCTCTTATTTCTATGATTCCCTCTATCTATCTCCATCTCTGCCCCCTCATCTCTCTCTCGCTCTCTCTCTCTGACCTCCTCCCATCTCTCCCTCTCTCTCTTTCCCTTTCTCTCCCTTGCCTTTTTCTTTCCTTCTTCCGTGTTCGACTCCTCCCTTGTCCGCTTAAGTTTATCTTTCACCTTCTTCAGTAAGATAACCAATATTCAAGTTCCACAATACGTGTCCAAAGTCTGTTGTTTGAAATATAGTATGTAAATGTTTAGTGTGATATTTTTATAGTTTACGCATTACTCACAATGTCCGAATGCGCATTCCCATTTCCTAAAAGTATAACTTCATTTATTTTCTTTTAACTTGTTTAATCTGTATGAATAACTGGCACTATAAACTGTAATTTTGCATACACAGTAAATATTCTGAAATAAAATGAAAGAGCTATTTGACTTTCAAGAGAGAAATTTGTCTTGAAGAGAGAAAGAGAGGTTATTTCTAAAATGAAAAGAAAGGGCTCTTTCAAGTCAAATAGTTTTTTCATTTCATTTTAGAAATAACCTCTCTTTTTCTCTTAAAGGCAATTTCATGAGATGGAATGTTCAATCTGAGGGCTTTTTGTGGTCTTTGAAAAGACCACACAATGGGGGCAGTGCAATTTAAATTCAAGTTCAAATTCAAGGGATGGATTAGAGTTTGTATTGCTCTTGAAAGTGAAAATAGCCAATTTATTTCTTTTCAGAAATAAACCGTAATCCATCCCTTGATATTTAAGTTGCACTGCCCCAGTGCCTCCATTGTGTGCTCTTTTAAAGAGCACAACAAACCCTCGGATTAGGCAGCAGAACACACCCTTAATACTGGACACAACATTCAATGGGATGATACCCACATCATTAAGTTTGAAACGCACTTTTGGTCAAGAATGGTAGAAGAATCCATCTGCATAAAAAGGATAAATCCTTCACTGAATAAGGATTCTTGTTATACACTGTTACCTTCCTTTGCTCCAGTGATCTTGAGGCAGCATAGAGCAAGAAATTGGTAAATAATAAAAGGGCAACGGAAGTATTTGTTAGAAGCTTTAACTACATAAAACTCACACTCTCTCCAATTTTATACAACAAAAGGTTGCCTTGAGAACCACTTCTATCTTTACGGACAGGATTGCAGGGGGAGAGTCTTTGCCGGTAGACTTGGGGAGGGAAGCCCCAGGAAGTTCTTGAATTTAAAAAAAATAGGAAGTTCCAAATAGTTGTCATGAGCTATATAAATTGTAATTAATTCCTCCTTGAAACTCACATATCATTCTATTTTAGAAATAACCTCTCTTTCTCTCTTAAAGACAATTTTATAGAACTTCTGTTTTCGTTATTGTACTTCCGTTCGCAAACTTCTTAGGCACATGTCGAGCCAACTCATTGGAAATGTAATCTGTCTCTCTCCTTTTCCTCCATCCTCTATCTTCTTCTCTTTTTACATTATTCTCTCTTTATCTAATTCTGATGTTTTCTTTTCATCGTTTTCTTTTTTTCCTTTTTCCATTTTGTTAGGTCGCCTAAAAGAGGAGGGGATTTGGTTTCCATCTTATCTAATACATTGCCGATATGTTGAGTGACAGGTTTATATTTGTTCAGCATCCGGAAATAGACCCTAGCCTAAGCCGGACACACAAACCCAACCCCCCCCCCCACAACTAATTAACCAATTACGGCTAGGTGATATCAATATCATATTTCAAATTAACACTTAGCTCTTGAGGCTAGATAAGCCTCAGCATAGCCTTTGGCATAACTTAGGTCTGAGTGCATGCAAGTGGAAGCAATTTGCAACCTAGACCGAAAGCTTCAGTCTCTATAATCGTCGGTTGTTCCACTGAGACTACGTCTGGCTCCACTAGACCTCCGGTTATAGAGACTGAACGACTGCCTATGCCAGCCTGTGTTGAACTTATTCCGCTAGATTTTAGCCGCTAGGCCCCTCCCACAAACTTGCCACGGCCGTATTGTTATGCCCCCAAATCCCCCAAAATGTCATTTTACCTCGTTCATTTCCAATTTTAAATTAGGCCTAGGCTATAATACATCGGTTCCACTTACTAACTTGATTGATATAATCCGTTTAATGGTCCCTTTTAAGGAAATTATCGGTCAAAATCGACATCCATGTTGAAAATCTTGCAAGCCGTGTTAAACTCTCGCTGCCGTCAATCTCATCCCTTCTAGTCTACGCCGAAGGCAAAATGATTATGAAGGAAAAACTGTGATAACGCCATTACGAACGTGTAGATGGCGCACAGTTTTTCCTTCATAATCATTTTGCCTTCGGCGTAGACTAGAAGGGATGAGATTGACGGCAGCGAGAGTTTAACACGGCTTGCAAGATTTTCAACATGGATGTCGATTTTGACCGATAATTTCCTTAAAAGGGACCATTAAACGGATTATATCAATCAAGTTAGTAAGTGGAACCGATGTATTATAGCCTAGGCCTAATTTAAAATTGGAAATGAACGAGGTAAAATGACATTTTGGGGGATTTTGGGGGCATAACAATACGGCCGTGGCAAGTTTGTGGGAGGGGCCTAGCGGCTAAAATCTAGCGGAATAAGTTCAACACAGGCTGGCATAGGCAGTCGTTCAGTCTCTATAACCGGAGGTCTAGTGGAGCCAGACGTAGTCTCAGTGGAACAACCGACGATTATAGAGACTGAAGCTTTCGGTCTATTTGCAACCTAGCTGGAAATGGCTAGACGAGGGCTCCACCTCTTGCATCGCATCGGGAAGAGGCTCCGCTGCTGCGCGAGCGCCGCACTGGAAGGGCATCGGCACCGGCAGGTGAGAATGTGATGTGTGTACATGCATACAGCTAGGAGTAGGAGTAGGAAAACGCGATGTTGAAACAATAAAAACAGTATTTTACATCCACAAATATTTAAAATTAATTATTGAATACTTACACAGCTTTAGCCATATTGAAAAAGGGGTCTTTTATCAGTTTCTCTAAGTCTAATGACCGAGAGCGGTGCAGCTACCAGTGCAGTGTGTTACTTTTCGTTATCCTTGAAATAGTGTTGTTCTGATTTGGACTTGTGTTCCAGACGTGGCATATTATAGTGATTATGGTATATAGGTTTCAAGGAGAAAGATTCAAGATTCATTTCATTTTTTTTCAGTGTATATCACACACACAAAAATTAGTTTCAATGTAATGATATAACACACATAGGATATATGCAGGCGCGAATCTTACCTTGCCTTACCTTGCCTTGCCCCCCCCCCCCCCCTTCCCGGCAAAAAAAAATAATAATAAAAAATTACCTTTTCTTTATTGCTCAAGGGGGGGGGGGTGTTTAGTAAAAAAAAAAAAAAAGTGCTCATTATGCCCCCCCCCCCTAAATTTCTGAGATCGGTTGAACTTTTTTAGACCCCTTTTTTTTACCTCGATCGATTACATGTATGTGCCCCCCTAACATCAAATTCTGGCAACGTGCCCGCCCCCCCCCCCCCCCCCCCACTTAGCAAAATATTGGCCGGCACGATTTTCAAATTTCGAGTCAAAATAGAAAAGAAATTGAGTGCTCACTAAAGTCTAAACCCCCCCCCCCTCCCCTCACCCCCACTGAGCGAAATATCGGTCGGAACGATTTTCACAATTTTAGCACATTAAATTTCAAATTGATTTCAAATTTGGGTCTCCCCCCCCCCCCCCCCTAAGAAATCCTTGATATATACATTAAATGGTATTTAATGAGTAAACAGTTTTGAGAGAGGAATGCGAATAAATTAGATTAGCGATCTCTATAACTAAGATCTACTACTCCAGTATTCGGACCCAAAGGGCCTGCAGAGAAAGTAAAAATGTTGGGTCAATTCAGAGTACGAAGAGGTAATAAGGCGCAATGAAAGAGAGAGAGAGAGAGAGAGAGAGAGAGAGGTAGAGAGAGAGAGAGAGAGGGGGGGAGAGAGAGAGAGAGAGAGAGAGAGAGAGAGAGAGACTGAGAGAGAGAAAAGAGAGAGAGGTTCATGTTTTTTAATAACTTTTTTTAATTAATATACTTTTTATATTTTTTATTTTTTAAATAAATAATATATTTATTTTCCTTTTTCGGGAATGACCTCCCTCTCTAGCTCGCTATAATTGACATTAGATTTTGGAGGAGATTTAAATTCGCCCTTATGATTCTCATTGCACATAGTTGCAAAGTTTGGAGAAAACATCAAATTTGCTCATAGACTCTATCTCCTTGCCCAGAGTATGATACACAAAATATGCAATAAACATCTAAATTCCCAAATGACTGGTAAAAAGACTAATCTACCTCATTTTGAGAGGAACGATAATATCGTGTATCATGTGATAGCTCACATGACTTTCGTGTGACAGCTAGCAGTTAAAAATAACTTAAAATTGAGCACAATCTCTCCTCTCTCCTGCAAAAGAATATGAATCATAATGAACTCTTGTAATTATCAGTGAGACCTATGAAGGCGATCTTCATATCAATCTTGGCCCTACTTAAAAGTACAAATTTATTCAGTATAGCTAGCTAGGCCTATATATAAATTGAACATTTTTGGCCTTCGATCTTTTGGAAAAAGACCAACATACATCATAAAATGCTCCTGGTCTCTCTCTCTCTCCCTCACCCTCTCTCTCTCTCTCTCTCTCTCTCTCTCCCTTCTCTCTTTCTCTCTCATCAACCCTCGCTCTCTCCGTCAAATTTCCCTCATTTGGTTTAGGGAGAAATTAAACAACACAAACATAATGTGCATTTATGATATTCTAGTTTATTGTCCCTATTTTCTCATTTAATGTTCCTTAAATTTATTTAAATACAAAGTAACCGAGAAATTGTCTATAACGGTTCTAATCGCAATTGCATCCATGATATCTGTTATGCAAATAAATACAAGGGTTCAAGCACTTTACCATCAAAACATGATTAAATAACATGTGTTTACAACCAAGGAATGTCTAAAATCACTGACTAACTTAATGAAACAAATATCATTGTTATCACAGTCCTTGCAGCTGAATGAAGCACTATAGTCTGCATGAAATACGACCTTGTCTTCGAGAGTTTCTTACCAAAGTCAACAACAACTGAATTATTATTTCATGTCCGGTATTATAAAACCAAAGTGTATAATAATACCTATATTTTACCCTGGATGTATACACTGTAAATACTAGCATGTTTTACATCTTGTACATTGTATCTTTTACTTTCAGCCTCGGATATCACCAGGACATCACTAAATAACCAACATATTGAAAGGAATATCGCCTTATAATCTTTTTATACCATGTGTGTTACAAATTGTTATAAATTCATTCTTGTATGTCCTGCATGATCAAATACATCTTGCCAACAGTTACCAATTGCTCTACACTTAAACCTTGGATTTATACAACAATAAAATATAATATTTACCAAATATGAGGCAGGGTTATTATGATTTGAGCAGTAGCAGCACCAAATATGCATTGTTCTCGACACATTTTTATTACTAAAGTAATATATTACAGGACATATGAAGTGCTTCTAGTTCCTTTCCACACAAAATATTAAACCATGCATGATCTCAAATACATAATATATTGGTTTGAAAATAGATGTGATATTGTATGGTTCAGAAAAAATATATATCTATTCAACTTCTCATAGTTAATAAAGACTCTGGTTAAATCTATATATCTGAAAATCATTTCTCTTTCCATTACATAATTTCATCTTCAAATGTATCTGCATGATTACAAGAACAAAATAAAAATAGCAAGAAATAGATGTGACTATTTCTAATATGATAAGTAATATTTGTATATCAGTCTTGTCATATTTGGTGAGTATTTGATGAGTAGCAATAAAAATAGAATTGGTCATTTCTACAGCACTTTTACTTTAGATTTGATGGGAAACCCCATTGATAAAAAGAAAAGAAACTGTTTGTTGTTGTCTGCAGCCATGATTTTTAAGCTTTATAAATTGTCATTTATCATCAGAGTGTTTCATACAATAATTCTATATCTGTCATAAGAAAATATTCATCTATAAATAAATAAACTACTGATCTGTTTGCATCCACAATTCATTTATACAACCCAACATCACTTCAACAATAAATGCATATAATATGATATACAAATTTACACCATCCACTCTAAACACTACTATTATCTAACCACTTATCATGATCATTTTTTCATCTATTAATATCGTTGATTTTACTATCTAAACTGCATGGATAGTTTCGCAAGGTTTCAGGGTTTTATTGCATGGTAAATATGTGCACCGTTTATATATTTTATAATATAAATTCATATTTTATATCATATCAAAACTAGAAGCTCCTTATAGTCCTAGGTACAATGAGAATCTCTACTATTGAGTGTCTTTGCTACAAGGTGGTGCATAGGGAAGACAATGTTTTGGTTACACACGACTAAGTAGATATGAAGGTTCCACATCACGCAAAGCATCATTAATAATAACAATATTCAGTTCTTGTATAGCGCATATCACATTATATAAAATCCCTATTAGCGAAGCTTCGAGTATCTACCATGTTGATCTCTTCTCGTATCTGAATGAAACCTTCATCTTTCAAATGACATAAAGTGCATGATTATTATATTTCTAATTAAGAGAAAACATTGATATATATATATATATATATATATACTCTCTGTAAAGATGATTGTCAAAACCACAGGGTGAGGTTCAATATCAAATGAGAATTTCATAAAAACGTTACAAACAAAATATCTGTTCACTTACATTTTTTGTGTTAACAAAATGCTACTGTGCTTTAGAGTTCGTCCTTTCCCCCCCCCCCCCCATGTTTGAGGATAAATATATCTGAGACCAAAATTTACAAATTTGCAGAAAAAAGTGAAAGAGATATGGACATGCAGCTAAGATTTCATCCATCTGTAAGTATAACTAGCATACATTACACTCCAAATATAACACATATAGGTAGAAATAAAGAAATGACCAGTAACATCAATCAATGAAGGTATAATAGCATCTAGAGCTCCGGCCATCATGTCATCTGTGAGGGGGTCTAGTTCTCGAAGGTAGCCCTGACCACTCGGCCGTTGAGATCACAGAGTGGACGATAGTTGTTGACCAGCTTACCACGACCCTCGAAAGACTCACCATCACAATGATCTTGAAGGTTACGAAGGACTTGAAGCTGAAAGATTACAAGATGAAAGAAAAGATTGTGAATGAAACATTCTGGTTTGGATGAAACAGCGCCATCTATAGTTCTATGACGCATTCTAAAATGTGTGTGGTATGGAAATGATGTCACAAGATCATTTGCTTGTCATTGTTTCAATACCAATGTTCATTCGTAGCACACAACTATTGTATGCTACGTACAGTATGAAACATTTCATCATCAAAATTTAGGGTAAAAATGGTAAAACATTGAAACTTAATGTACAGTGTAAACCTCATCAAAGAAGTGGAAGGTATATTGGAATTACCTCTTGGAAAAAAAGGTTTCTGTAATTTGATAATCTCCTCAGTAGGTGAGTATTAGGTGATAATTACATTAAAAAAAAACATAACTGACAAATTGATTTGGGGGCTAGTTACACTGGATGCCTGCATACCTAAGATATTGCATATTTAGTCATTACATATATGCAGCAGTAAAGGGGAACCAATGCATGGAGAAAGAGTTACTGGAGAAATATATTCAAGGTGACCCTTTTCCTCTAAAAAAAGTGCTGTAACAGCAGAAAATAGGGAGGCATTGATTCTTAATTTCTATTTTGTTTACCTATTGTATGCAAAATAGGGAAAAATTGATTCTTAATTTCTATTTTGTTCACCTATTGTATTCAAAATAGGGAAACGTTGATTCTTAATTTTTATTTTGTTCACCTATTGTATGCAAAATAAAGTATTTGTAATGGGTATCCTGCTTGAATATCCAAATTACAATACTGGTAGTGTCATATATTAAGGGTTTTAGAAATTAATTACTTGGACTTTATCCTGGTAACAGAGCTACCAGTATAATCAACAGAAAAACTGAATTAGGGGTTGCTTACTACCGGTAATTAAGATTTAGTAATGTTTCCTCTACGAGATTGATCGTTTCAGCTACTCCATCCAAATTGTTAATCATTGACATGTAGTTTGAGATTTCAATATCTCTGGGTAGAATAAATATATACAAGAACCCTGCTGTGAATACAGAAAATGACAAGATTTTGTCTTTCATCTGCTCTAAATCTAGATAAATTTACCAACCAGTGCTGATGAAAACCTTTAAGTAAAATACCTTGAATATTTTTTCTAGAAATTATAGTAATCCTTACAAGGACTACCGGTATTTATAAACACAATGTACAAACTCCTTCAATTTTGAAAGTAGAAAGATTACTGGTACTGATATTTTAGACTTGTTTATGAATTTCACAGCAAAAAAAAACTAATGTTGCATTTAAAAGAGGAAAGGTAATATAGTAAATGAATGAATGGTGGAATCATTGGCAAATGCTTTTTATTGCTACTCTATACAAAATTCATTAAAACCCTATTTACAAGAAATAGAATGGTTTCTTTCTAACCTGTTCTTCGGAGACTTCTATGGCGTCTTTGAAGAGAATAAAAGAGACACTCTCATAGCAGGGTGGTGTAGTGAGGGAGCCCTCGTATGTCCAGTAGTCCTTCTTATTTTCTGTAATATCAACAAATCATAGGCAAGTGACTAATAATTATCTGTAACTTAGGTTTTGCCAGTAGTTCATCATTAAAGATAATTCCATTACAAAAAAACAAATAATTCTAATTGAGCTCTTGAACTGCTAATATCATCTATGGAAGAGAAATAATCATCAGATCAGATAATATATGCTACACAGTGTGTCAAATGTTGATTCTTTTGCTTGATTCTTTCCTCACAAAAAGGAATGATCTATTAGAAAAACCTTGGTGTTAGTCCGTTGTTGTACCTGAGGAAGTATATGAGATGTTCAGATATTTCTAGCCAGAAGAGAAATTCATATCATTGCCTAACCTACGTATGTGACCTACATTCAACTTGTAACACAACGGTCTCATCCAGCTGTACCAATAACAGCCTTCTTCTGTTTGCAATTTAGAAATTAAAAAAATAAAAAAATATCTCAAAAAAAAAATCAAGGGTACAGTGTCAAGGTGCACTTATAAACCTTCTAAATTCCAGATAACAGCTTCTTCTGTTTGCGATTTTCTATTGGCTTTATAAGTTTCTAACAGATGAAATGTTTGCTCTTGATGATTGCATAGCCAACAACAGGTAAATCAAACAATTATGAGAAAATGATCTCATCAGCTTAGCCAAACATATCTTTATGAAACAGAATCTGTCCGGGACACACCCAACAGCTACGTATATTTGATAACATTTTGAATGTAGTACAAAAAACTATGTACCATTCAGTATTTCTTTTGCTTGTTCACAGGTATCTTTTATTTTATTTTTTTAATTTAAGGGGAGGTGTGTTCTGTGAAGGAAATTTGAGGCAGCACATTATATTTGGCAGCCAGGCTTTAAACCACCCATTAGCCACAATCCAAGCCAATCCAAAATGTATTTGATATAGCGCCTTTTCCTTGCAGTTACAAAGCGCTGCACACACGCTCCACAATGTTTGGGCCACTTAAAAACAAAAGTTAGACACTTCTCAGAGATCAGTCAAGTATATGTAGCCTGTGATAAAGTAATTTTTAGCAGAATAGATTTTAGTTACTTGAGCAGTTTCTTGAACTGGCTAAGCAAAATAGCAAATGTAGGGAAGATTTATTTGTGTTGAAGCAATCAGTATTCTCTTTTTAATATGTAAGTATTAAACAACTCTATCATATCCCAATCATGGAATCAAAACATCTATGATAAATTATATTTTAGGGGGGGGGGGGGAGGAATGAGGAGCAAGACAGTCAGATTCTCAAAAAATCAGTTCACCATATATTGTTGCAGTATCTCTCTAATAAATAATGCTATTGCAAATGAATCTCTTAAAAAGAAATCAAAAGTACAGTGTCAGGGTGCATTTCCAATTTTAGCTTGCACTTTAATATAATCCTTCCAAATTCCAGATAACAGCTCTCTTCTGTTGCTACTGATATCTAAATCCGTTCCAAGGAGAGATTAGCCTGTATGCTCTACTGTCAGTTCCAACCCTGTTTGTCAAGAGAGTCTTGAATACTCTTGATCCCTATTTACATGATATGATATATAAGTGGCTTCTACTAAAGCTCACAAGGAAGCTAGTTTACCAGACTGTACATGCAATCATAAAGCAAAGAATCTCTCTAGTATATGATGAAAAATACATTGATGGAAACTTGATCTGTGTGATGGTTTTGCAGTGATTGTAAGTGATGTATGACGTGCGAATGTCTAAAAGTTCTCTAGTATATGATGAAAAATACATTGATGGAAACTTGATCTGTGTGATGGTTTTGCAGTGATTGTAAGCGATGTATGACGTGCGAATGTCTAAAAGTGCCAAGTCAGTGTTGACATTATGCAGAAATATATGTACCAGCAACAATTGCTCTGCACTTTGGTTGTAACTCTCTCATTTGCCATCACTAGCTGCCAATCACAATTACTAAAAGATTATGTACTGTCCATTACAACAGCTTTGCACTGATAATAATCTATTTCTGGGCTACTTTATAGTCCCTTTATCCCTGGTGTGAAGTAATTTTATACTGGAAAATTGGAAGTTGTAAAAAAAAAAAAAAAAACATTAAAAGACCCTACCCCCTGAGAAATATAATGGGTCACATTCAGGAAAAGTATAGGGTTATGATAGTGTTTGGTCTAGAGGTTAAGTTAAGAATTCAGTTAGTGTAAGAAATAAAACTGGAGCATGTGTCATAAACATAAGTTTCACTGGTTATGTGATAACAAGGAGTTGTTGGTGTACAATCATATAGTTATCATAGAGCTCTGTGTTATACCCTTGATATGATAGTATTTCATATTGTACTATACCTGGCAGAAGACAGCTGGGGTCAAATCCACCCTCCACAGGTGCAGTACAGTTCTGTACACACAAGAAGAAAACAATAACAATCACAACATTTTCAAACAATTGTATCAGACTGATGCTATGCAGTTAATTATTAGCTATCCAAAGAGATAAAATGTGTAACAGAAGTCCTCTCGACTTATCAAACTATAGAGATATTTATAGCACACCCTACAAGAATCCTTACTCCAATCAACTAACAAGTCCCTGCTCCAATCGGACCGTCCGGTATTTGGACATACAAGGGGCTCAGAGAACAAACAAACTGCCTTAACAAGTAATGCAGACCCTTGAAAAAGGTCCCCAAAGTAAAACATTATTAGTGAGCCCTGGACATACAACTATCTCCCAAACAACTTCCCCTTTGGTAAAACCACCTCAACATACATTGGCCCCTTGTTTAATATTGCCCAAACTCAGAGATGTTTATCAAGGATTACCTTTGGATGTCTGGGACAGTTAACCTAGTTTGCTCTAAATACAATTATCTCAAATTGGACATCTAGGATTTCTTCCGATCTCTTTTTTTAAATAAATAAATCATGTATAACCTTGACATCTTTTTGTGTAACACACATTTCCTATAAGGCCCAAAAAAAAGATACGTATCATGAAATCTACAGTCGGCTTTTAAAAAAAGTTTTTTTAATTTTTTTACCGATTTTCAGGAAAAATATGTATTAAAGGATTCAAAACTGAGAAATATCAGCCCAAAGAGGGAGTTAAAAAAAAGAAGATTTCTGACTGACCGACTCATGTTTTGGCACCTAAAGGGCAATACAACATTTTTTTTTTAGGCCTATTAAGTTTCATACCATATTATTCCAAACTCTGTGAGGAGTTTATTCTTTTATACTAGATGAGATAAGATAAAATAATTTTATGATGATATTAATAATTCTCACCTTGTTCAGAGCCTTCTTCAGGCAGGGTACCAGCTTTTCAAACCCAACATGAGGTTTCCCAACCTGAAAAAATAATACATTTTGACAAATAATCAGAGATATTCTGGGATTACATGCTAATCAACCAGATTAGCATCAAACATGACGTATCATATGACCCTAGCCACACACAAAAAGTTCAAAAACGGGTCATGCTCAGTAAACTCATAATTCCTGTCCTAAATCCTGAGGAAAGTGTAGCCTACATATCCTTGTTATCTGGGGTCACTATCATTTACAATTTTGTAAGGGAATAATTTCTCTACTTTACTTCAGCATTCTCTATTTTGCTAAATGAATAATAAAGATGATAGTATGTGATAGAATATACAGTGAGGAAGATGACGGTAGTCATGTTTTCTTGCAACGTTATATCCACTGTGTGAGAACAAAACCAACAGGACAAGATAAAAATCAGACATTTTCACCATTGCTTGAATGATGCATTCTAATGATATGCAATCTACTCTATGAACATGACAGACAAAGAAAGCAGACAAAATATACAGTTCCTCAGGTAGACAAAGGAACATCATTTCACTGCTATTATGTAAAAAGGTGAATATGCATATGTGACACCTGTTCTACACATTTTTACATAATAGCAGTGAAGGGATGTTCCTTTGTCTACCTGAGGAACTGTATATTTTGTCCGCTTTCTTTGTCAGTCATTTTCATAGTGCTATTAAATGATGATGAGTTGTACTAAATGAGACATACTCCTATTAAAATACAAAGTATATTGAAAAACAATATCAAAGTGTTTATTCAATGCCTACCATAGTAACAAAATCAATTAAAGCTATTCTTGAGCATAAAACAAATTCAAATCGCAGTCAAATCTCATTGACATCATACAAGTAGAATAGAAAATAACTTTATTTAGTGATGTTACGACAATCACTCCATCTCCTAATACATTTACAGTGTAAGTATCTGTGTAATTTTTCATTAATTTAGCACAAATTTCATATCAAAAAGTATTTAGTGAGTGTATCATTCATTAAATCAATGACCCATACCATATCTTTAAAACAGTTAGTACTGAAAAAAACATCGAGTTCCTAAAAGGTGAAACTAAGGTACTAATTGTTAAAATTCTGTTGTCATAAAAGGAACTTTCCATTTAAACATAATAACGACACTTCAATTTAGTATTTGAGAGTGTGTAGAATACATTATATGGCTTGGCTATTCAGTGACCAATCCAAATTCAAAAGGTGCTTGATCATTTCAAGGTTTACACTGCCTTTTGGGGGATGAATAATATCCCTATAATATCCTCATAATATCCTCTAATTTTGCTGAAACCCTGGACATTAATTCTTTTAAATATATATTTTTTTTTAACTTTGTAAATTGAAGTTATGTAATACTCGTTGAGGAAATATCTATTGAGTTTTATTACAATGTCTTTTTCATTAGCAATTCCATCAACATTCATCAGGATTTTCCATCAGTCTCCCAGACATGGCCTTTACAGTCTGAGAGACAACGAGCCTCTAGAGAGTCTTACCTTAATGAATGAGCCAAGAACAGCAATACCCTTATCACACTTGATGGCATCGCTCACTGCCTTAAACTGTCCAGTGTTCCAGTGAACCAGATGAATCTAAATTGGGAGCAAGATGAGATGAAATTCTCATGATCAATTCACATTTTACTATGTAGTCCACATGAAATTTACTTCAATAATGCAAATATGTTTTTTTATTTATTTTTTATTTTTAAGAAAGCCTAATGTCAAAACAGCCAAGCCATGTTTCAACATATATTGTAACAGCAGAATTGAATGACAGGAATATGGAGAAATTGTATACCAGAGCAAAATATAAGCCCTTCTCATTTGAAATTAGGGAAACCTGGGAAGTGACAATATTTTCATTTGAGATACTTTGTCTCCTCATTTCAATTACAGCCAATCATGGAAGCAGTCATTATTTTGGTTTTCAACGAGTCATCATATTTTGTCCATCACTTGCTGAGTGAGTGATAAAGATTATTTTTAGATAATAGGACCTCTAGCTGGCAATGTCCTGAAACCTAGAGTGTGACCTGTCTTGCAAGGCAGTTAAAAGAATGTATAAAGAAAGAGGTCTTCATGAGCTGCAGGTCCCAGGTCCCTACATTTCAATGTAAAGAGGAATTTTAAAAACATTGACTACGGTAGGTTTATGGTTTCACGATGCAGGGAGTCCTGTAGTCCCATAGTGAGAGAGAGAGGTGTTGATTTGGTTTCATCCAATGGAAGACTACTTGACACCATGGGAGAGTAGAAATTAGGAGAGAGTCAGAGAGAATGTTTACCTGTAAATCTTTTATAGACAGGTCACCTGCTGAGACTAGCAAGAAGTACCGGTATATTAACTGTGAGATACATGATATGATTTAATGCCCCTATTGGGGGGGGGGGGGGGTGACCTGACATTTGCTCCTTGAACATTGCCCCTGGCTTTTTTTCATCAAAGATACAGGGATAGGGTTAGGGTTGCAATCAGGTTTTAGGTTAAGTTTAGGTTTAATGTTAGGGTTATGTGTATATTATTGGGTCTAACTTGGTTGAAGGTAAGAATTTGGTTCATGTAGAAAATAGTTGTTAGACAATCATCACATTGAGCAAGTGTGGTACAACCCCAAGGCTCTAAGAATACAAAGTGGTCTTTCTAAAGATACAGGTAGTTGCTATAGAGGGGTTGACTGTTCAGGAGGGCGTTTCACAAAACCTTTTTTCAATGACAAATGACAAAAATCAGTGACAACTCTGCTGATAACCAATCAGAAGCAAGGATTTCAGTAGCTTATAACAAAAACTGTCATTTGTCATTGAAAAAAGGCTTTGTGAAACAGGTCCCTGGAGAGCTAGGTACTCACCTCTGCTGCATACTGCTTTCCATTGATGGTATGTTCTGCTCCTTCCTTGTCTTCTTTGCCCCAGTGAGCATGGAACTGAACAAGCTGATAGTTGTCTTCTAGAGGACCCCCGCTTAGATCTATCAGCAAGAAATCATTATACTAATTGGATGAGGTGATCAATGAGCATGCTTCAAAGGCGAGTTTACATCACTCTCAATACCAATTGTCAAATTATATAGCTCAATCGGACATGCTTCCAATTGTACAACATTTAATTCACATATTATTATATGAGGGATGGACTCTAGCATAAGGACCATACTCCTTTTTTGCTCATCCCTTCACTCTCAATATGTTATGTTTTTTGTTTGGATGTATGATATTTACGTATGTTTATTCTATATTTGTAAATGTGACTATTGTATATATTCTGTATATTTAATGATGAGTGTAAATAAATGAACTTGAACTTGAATGAAGAAGAATAGTATATACTTCACTGAAGGGCAATCCAACCCATGTAGCTAACATATGAATGCAGACAAATCAGAGAAACATATTGTGAAAGTTTGTTTTAAAAAAATGGACAGATAACATGAACATTTGCATGTGGATATTAATTGATGACATGGTTAATTGACCCTGACATACTAAGGAGATTAGAAAACAAGGAAATATAGCTCTCTGATGACACTAGAGTGTTAACCTTGGGGTAATGTTGATGAAACAAGACAAAAATATTGATTGAAGTAATTTTGTGTGTAGGAGGAAATAAAAGAAAATGATCCAACATTTATAGCAAGTGACATTTTCAGAGCACCAATTCAGAATTCGTTCTCAGATTCGAAATAGACATAACTTCCCAAATTGTTAATCTGATTTCCCTGAAATGCTTGTAAGTTGCAGTTTTCAGCTTTCCAAATAATCCTGCTATTAAAGTTGAATTACCCTTTAATCAAATCACTCATTTCCCTACCACATCTGGAGAGTTTCTATTAACACAAACACTTGAGAAAAATGATATAATGCAACTCTGTACATATTTAAAAGGGAAGACTACCCTAGCATTAGCTGGATATGAACAAAAGCAAGGCAAAAATCATCATCATACACTGATTAAAATGTTATCATATATTCAAATAAAGAATACATAGATGAATATGTATGGTAGTGGAGATCACTACAGATTGGCAACTTCAAGTCTTAGAAATCTGTGGTTTCTTTATCTCTTTATCAGATTTACGAGATCCTGATATTTTTCTGATCAGTTCAAATCTACTTGATATCCGGGTTATATTTCCCCTTTAACATAGCCTGTCTTATCTCACTTTTCTCCTAAAATTATGAGTTTGAGGTGCTCCATGTAGAATGTATATTCCTGTCTCTAGGAGGGAACACACACTCACCCTAGGAACTACCCTAGGAAGGCCCGTTGTCATTAGCCTGAGTTATCAAATTAGCCTGCTAATCGTAATCCAAGGAAATTACCCTGTCACTTCTAGCTTGAGCTAATTTGTAGTAAAAATGAAAATAGTGGGCTATATGTCACGCTTGCACCTGGGAGTTTAGCTCAAGCTAATATCCTACAAAGCAAACCAGGGTTTGTTCATGTATGAAACAGCCAGCTATTTGGACAACTAACCATGAATTGCAAGCTGAGACATACTTAAACTAGAGCACGCTCTATAGCACTAGCTAGTTCCTCGAGCAAGCAAGTGAAGATGGGTTGACTCTGGCTAATGGAAACAGGGAATTTCTAACTCTATTAGCTTGAGTTTGTTAAACTCTATTTTCTAGAGAAGTATTGGCTGGTTTGAAGCCTGGGTTTGTTAAACTCTATTTTCTAGAGAAGTATCAAATGGTTTAAAGCTTTCAAACTCTATTTTCTAGAGAAGTATTGAATGGTTTAAAGCTTGAGTTTGTTAAACTCTATTTTCTAGAGAAGTATTGAATGGTATAAAGCTTGAGTTTGTTTAATTCTATTTTCTAGAGAAGTATTGAATGGTATAAAGTTGGAGTTTGTTAAGGCTAATGAAAATGCACCTGGAGCATATTCAACCACTCACTAAATCAAAAAGTTGGAACAAGCAGCAGGAACATCTTTCCTCTCACCATAATTAATTCCTGTTGTGCCCTTCCACTTGCAATTAATACCACAAGGATATGGGAATTATTTATTCATGAATGCCAATTAATTAGAAAGCTCTGGAATATAAATTTAAGTGGTTTTCACTGCTGCCTTATTGTTAGCTTCTTTACAAATATGAAAAAAAGTAATTGTTACATCATTGACTTTGGTCATGATTGAAAAGGATGAAAGAAAAATTTCCTAACCACTATCACTTATTGATTGGTTTTATCTTCCCATGCATAACGGTGTGACGCACAGAGAAATGATAAAAACAATAAACATCTACTTTTGCATGTACTCTGATAGAAATTGTCAAGTGTTGGCGAACTTTTAGTTTTACTTGTTTACAAGATGAGCTTTCTTACTATCTCTCTGTTAATAGGTCAGTCATATATAAACTAATTACATGAACATTTATATAAAAAGACTCACTGAATGGATATAATCAAAGAATTAGCATAAATGAAAGAAGAAAAAGCTCAGGGATATGATAACCCTTTCATTTGATTATATTCTTTTCTTTTTTATTTCTATTTTTTTTTAGACTTAAGTTTCACCCCTGATTTAAAAGAGTCAGAATTATACAAAAATTCTGTATGATCACTGATCCAGTTTATCTTTGAAAACAACATTAAACATCCATCGGTTTTGTGATAATATCCAATTTGTAAAGATTTGACATGCAAGGGCGACAAAAAACCATGTGAAAATGACAATGTGTTATGATTATTAAATCATTTAAAACTTTAAAGAGGGTAATAGGGAGCTGGGGACTGATTTTCTTTCAAATTATAAAATGTGCACTTTCCACCATTAGTAAGATCTATTACAGTACTGGGGGGGGTGGGGGTGTTTCACAAAGATCCTAACTCTAAGTTGGACTTTAAAATTATGGAGAGCCATTTGTAGCCTTAAAAAAAAATATATTCAAAAGCAAAATCAAATATTTTAGACTTTTTATAAATTCCACATCAAGAACATGAAATCTCCTGGATAATAAAAAATATGAAGAATTTGAATCAACATTTTATGCCTTTTAAAATAACTTTTACAAAATATTTTCATAGATGCTAACAGCTTTCCATAATTGTTAAGTCCAACTTAGGATCTTTGTGAAACACCCCCAGGTCAGGCAGGTGAGTGATCCATCTAAACCTCTCCAACTATCTCACTTGTTTTGTTTTATGTTTTTTTTAAAACAACAAATTGTCCAATTTTCTTCTTGATGATGACCTTAAGACCTTTTATACTTACTATAGTCACAGGCATCGATGTCGACTCTGAAGGTATGCCCATTATTGACGAGAGCCTTGGTACGGCTAGGGTCATAGCTGATCTTCAATGGTCTATCAACAAGCGCAGTATCAAAGCGAGCATCTGTGGTATTGATATCAATAGGAGATTGCCTCTTTCCACCGGCTTGCGGGAAGCTCTCGTGCCAGTGAGCCGGGCCTATATGAGTCAAAGAGATCAAAGAGAGAACACAAATTAAGCACTCAAAATATACAACTGATTAAGCTCTAGAAATGATAGAACTGTTTACTTCATGTATTTCAATTCAAGCATGTTTCTCTCCGTCACTCTCCCGAACCCTTGGTTACCAACTATTTGACTCGCTTCAATATCATTCGCGAATTAACCTGGACCACTTCAAAGCTTCACTCAAAACTCACATCTTCCTTCAGACATTTAAATGCTATATTGGAGGAGCTCGCGCCTCTGAATGTTTTTTTGAAACAGATACCGGTATATGGCGCCATACAAATGGTGTGAATCATCGTCATCATCACCTGCTATGCATTTATAACGCATTTCTATGAATGTAGTTCACTTTATTTGTTTGTATGTTGGGCAAGCCTCTGGCAATCTTTTCAGTTGTCAAAAGAAACTTTTAGCCAAAAAGGCATGCACAAAATTATTCAAGAGGTGTATTGCTCCACTGTCAAATTCTTAACACTACTGTAATGAAAGTCCTACCTTTGCCCTGAAACTAAACACTAAACCTAACTGGAACCCTAACCCTAACCCTAAACCTAACCATATACTAACTCACGGTCGTAATATCACAAATGCTGAGGGATGAAGATAGGATCAAATGTTATTGGAGCAGATATTTGATTGAATGTATCTTGTCATACTAGTGCCCTGGGCCTCAGCCGTCAAAGAAATCAGAGATAGAGAGCTTGACAACAAATTTGGCGATGAAGCTGGTGTGGACATATCACAGCTCAGTCAAACCAATGTTTCCTGAGAAAAGATACTGTACATTGGAAGTAGCAAAGCCTCACAGAAAAGCCATCTGTCTTTACATCCTTTATTTCAATTGATTGATTAATGTTGATTGCACCTTCTGTGTATCACAATACAAAATATAAATTAATCTAGCTATTTCAGACTTTAGATGGCAATAAGGAGCTTCAAGAGACAACAGAAAAGAGATAAATCTAGTTATTTAAGACTTTAGATGACAATAAGAAGGTTCAAGAGACAACAGAAAAGAGATTAATCTAGCAATTTCAGACTTTAGATGACAATTAGGAGATTCAAGAGCCAACAGAAAAGACTTCAGATGAAAATGAGGAGAGCCAACAGAAAATAGATTGATCTAGCCGTTTCAGACTTTAGATGACAATTAGGAGATTCAAGAGCCAACAGAAAAGAGATTAATCTAGCTATTTTAGACTTTAGATGACAATTAGGAGATTCAAGAGCCAACAGAAAAGAGATTAATCTAGCTATTTCAGACTTTAGATGACAATAATCTCCTTATTGTCATCTAACTGGTGTGTTCTGCAGAACACTCACATAGACATCATGATTACGTTCTTTGATACATGTTTTATTGAATTAATTAAATTGTATTGTGGAAGCAATTAATCTTTATTGTCCCTGGACACCACCCTGCAAACCACTATGAGTAGCGAAGGATATGTGAAAGGATATGTGAGGAAGTATCAGGTTCACCTTAATAACATCTTATCCTCCTATACTTTATCATTCTGGTACCTGGGTACTAGAATTCTGCTGGTAGATGATGTATTACATCTACTGGTGTTAATTGAGGCAGCAGATATCATTTTAAGCATCTGCTTATAGCTAAAAGATGAACTCAAGATCATTTAGCAATGAATTAATGCCCATCTAGGTCCCACCTGACCCAGAAGATTGAATAAGAGCTAGCTCCCAGAAGTGCATCTCATTCAATCAGTACTATCAAATAACAGGTCAAGTGCCATACAGACCTTGTAAAGCTAGAAGTCAGTGTCAAACAAATCAAGGCCATATTTCTGCCTGGCACCAAACAGGATATATTACAAGCTATGGAGTTGTCTACAAAGTGGAATGGATTATTCATTATACAGTTCTCGTTTCAAATACCTGATCACAATAGTTCTTCATCTTGTCTAAAAATACATTTGATTTTATGATACTTATGAAAGGATTAAATAGTTTATTTTTGTGTACCACAGAACAAGCACCTAATTCTAGTACCTTTACAAAAGGCAAGTTAGCTGTAAACAGTAGTAGATTGCATGAATGCTCTTAGTCACAGACAGCAGCACACTCACTAATGTATAGAAAGAAATCTTGGGTAGTTAGACTAATCCATGGTGATACACAAGTCCTTCAACTTGCACCAGACAAGAACGCATATTCATCGAGAGCATGCAGGGCAATCCTATTTTGCCTGGGAGATGAGCTTATTATCCTTGAAAGCTTGCAATATGACTGACTGGCACAGCTACATAGCTAGTGTCTGGTGAAATAGGAATGCTCTTAATTATGCTCCTCAAGAAATCTTGTCAGTCTAAAGAACCAAGTCACTTATTTCAGATCTCTATACACGGGAAGGGAAAAAAAGAGAATCTACTCTGGAGAGATAAAATAATGCTTGCTTTTAAATAAGATTCAAGATTGCAACAACATAAACTACCCCCCCCCCTTCTGCCCCTCTCTCTCTTGTTTCTTATCTGATCTCTTAAACCCATGAGACCATTGTTGCCATTCTCTCTGAAAAAATGTCGATAAAATATCAAAACACTTGAAGTATAATTTCACCATGATTTCAGGCTACTTGTTAAGCAACAATTTGCCAAAATTATCATAAGAGATTAGGGTTAACCTCAACACTAACAATTTGCGATAGAATTTAACTTTCCTTTAAGGCATTTTATCAGTAGATGATAAGATTATTCTGCCTCTAATAATCATATCTCGAGTCAATTACACAGGTCTATAATCCAAAGAATACGATAACAACATAAAGTCAAATAATTAATGATTAATAATTAATAATAGTGACCCATCAAAATGATGACCTATCAAAAGAAAACTTTGCATCCAATAATGGCAAGTTATTCATTAACAGAATTTCAAAACACTTGAAATATGTTCTCCAGATGCTTATCAGAACTGGCAACACAAAATATCAAGCAAGTAATTAGCAAAATTAATACCTGAGGGGAGACAGAGGCTAGACAGAGTTAATCTGTTGGTTTGCCTCAGACCAACCTGAAGATGACTGTTCACATCTCATGGTGTGGTATAAGTGACAAGATTAATGATATTAAAATCATTTAGCCTACTTTTGGTATCTCAGGCTAGACAAAGTAATCTTTTGGGTTTAACACGTACTAGCCTGAATATGACTGTTGTTTCATGTTGATCATAACCATGGTTATAAGTTTATTGATATTAATCCATCAAACCTTGTGATTTCTCTGAAAATCAGCTGCCTCGGTAAGAGTCATGGTGACATCGTGACTAATTACAGAGCGTGACTAATTACGGAACGTGACATGTCTAACATGGAGTTCAATAGTGCATCAATTGCATTAATTAAAGGGGTACAGGTGTGACAAATAGACAAAATGCAAGAATGTAGGAACAAATAAACCCCAGACCACAAAGATTTATTTTACGAATCAACCACAAAACGATCAATTTGCCCTGGCATTCAGCAATATTTACACTTACATATTACTCCAACAAGTACAAAGGAAAGAACATGTAATGAATTCAATTGTTTTTAAATTTTGTAACATACAGTAAATAAATATAAAATACAGATTCTCCAATATTTTCCATGCATCTAATCAGAATTACGTTCTTACATTTGCCCCCCCCCCCCAAAAAAAAAAATGACTTTGCAGAGAAAACATTCTTTACTGTATGTGACAGTGAAAAAAAAGATTTATGATTTGAAAGCTTGAAAGAACTACAACTATCAATTTTGTTTAAAAGATTATTTTTCATTACCCCTTGAATGTGTGCTGATGAGTTAAAATAATTACACACACTTGTGAAATAAAGTACTTGTGATTTTCATGCACGTTTTCCTCATGATATGCTTGACATGATCAGGATTTAATCAACTCATGAGACTCACACTTCATCAATCCTCAACGAGTTTGCTGAGCCATAAATGAAGGACATATTTAAAGTAACATTCAGAAATTCGCCAGCTTCACCATACATTCTCACAAATCGAGATAATATAAAAATGTCATCAATCACAAGTAAAATTTTAGGATTAAAAATAGTATTTGTTTCAAAATGAAATTCTAATAGCATTAACATTAACTTGATAAGAAATATATGCTCAAGCGCAAAGATATGTTTGGTTATTAAAGTGTACATGCATGCACTGTACCACGTACATGAATGACTTAGCGATGCACATGCTTTTGCCAAATATAAATAACTTCTTTTCATATAAAACTGTCTGACAAATCTCATTGATTTTTTCATAAAATAGGAACAATAACAAGTGCAGTGACATTTCATACAATAGGTTAACTAAATTTACTTATGCTTCTGCAACAAAAACTATTACTAATACTATTACTCATAGTCCACACTCATATCAATAGATTGTTTGACCCAAAATATTTGAAACTCATGTTTGATTTTGAATGTGATGAGGGGATCTTGTTTTGTTATGACAGGAAAATGTACTGGCTTTTGCCAGTTTTCGTCTGAGTCAGTTTTCTGATAATATCATAACTGACCTGGTTAAATCAGGGGGCATGATCAGAAATCTTTGTACAGTTCAGAAATGGCGAATTGGCAAATGAATCTATAAGCAAGAATAGGAATGTTAACTGGGGGGGGGGGCGACCAAACAAAGTGGAAATGGGAAAAAGAAGGCATGATGGAAGGAAAAACATGAGATGAGAAAGAGAGAATAATGTAAAAATAGAAGATAGAGGATGGAGAGGACGGAGGAAAAGGAGAGAGACGGATTACATTTCCGATGAGTTGGCTCGACATGTGCCTAAGAAGTTTGCGGATGAATGTACAACAATACGAAAACAGAAGTTCTATAAAATTGTCTTTAAGAGAAAAAGAGAGGTTATTTCTAAAATGAAATGGAAGGGGCTATGTGACTTTCAAGGAGGAAATTACAATTTCTATCGCCCGTGACGACTATTAGGAACTTCCTATTTTTT